GAGAGGTTCTGTGTGTGTATGTTTGTGTATGTTTGTGTGTCGGGGGTGGGGGGGAACTCTAGTTTGTGTGTGTCTCTGAGCCTTATGTCCTCAGGGGTCCGACTACTTTCACTCGTTACGTTGAGAGCCTTAGCAAGTCTCGTGTCATCCCTTCATTCCCAGTAACTTCATCCCCGGTGAACCGTCTCCTGGCTTTCCGAGCAGCAGCACTCTGCCCCAATTCCTGCCGCGTGTTATTTCTGTTGATAATAATAATCCTTACATAAGATTTAGCGTCTTACCACGTCGTTGCGACGTCTCAAATCGCTTGACAATATAGTGCAAAGTGGTTGACTGTGTAACAATAATCCTTCATTTGATGCAGTGCTTTATCACGTTGTTAAGACGTCTCAAAGCGCTTCACAGAGTACACAGTACTGTAAATTGGAGTGAAGGTGCGTTTTGTGGGCAAAACGCGGCAGCCAATTGCACACAGCGGCGTCCCACAAACAGTCGTGAATTGAGTGACCAAATTATTATTGTTTAAGGGATTATTACCAACAGAAAGCGATTCACCAACCGACTAACAACCGGATTCCTACTTAACTCTGGATAAACAGAGGAACGTGTGTGTGGAGTGAGGAAACTCGCCGAACGTTTGTCCCCGACCGGGAATCTAACCCGAGTCCTCTCGCTTGCGAGTGCTCTAACCACTGAGCTACAGGAACCCACAGGTCACAACACATATAATAATTAACATTACAATAATAATCATTGTCGGATCTTGTAACAGAGCCGCACTGCGTCACCGAAGCATCTCAAACCGCTCCACGGAATTCACTGCAGCTCGGGTTTGATTCCCGGGCAGCGCACACAGTAACTCACAGGGCACGTGGTGCTGGAGGCCGTTCAAATGACTTTTCATTCACTAAATGTTTAATTGTATTCAGTGATTAACTATTTATTGAAATAATGCGTCGTAATCACCGTAATACGTTGTGGCTGTAAAGCGGTACCGCAGCGTTTAAAAATATTTTTATGTACATTCAACCAACTGTAAATGTGATTGAAAAATAAAATATTTTCACTAATGTTCAGCGATTGACTCTTTAGTTAAAGGAAAAAGAAAATGCTGTAATTGTAACACAAATAATGTTGTTTTTACGGTGCAACAGCGCCACGTTGTGGTCGTGAGGCGGTACTGCAGCTAAACTGGGATTGAAAGTTTTCAGTCATTAACTTTTTAGTTAAAATAACAGCAATAATAACAATAACAACAATAATAACAATAATAATCACAATAACAACAACAATAATAACCACAATAATAATCACAATAACAACAATAATAATCACAATAATAATAACAATAATAATCACAATAACAACAATAATAATCACAATAATAATAACAATAATAATCACAATAACAACAATAATAATCACAATAATAATAACAATAATAATCACGATAATAACAATAATGATAACAAGAATAACAATAATAACAATAATAACAACAACAATAATAATAACAACAATAATAATCACATTAACAACAATAATAATAACAATAATAACAATAACAGCAATAATAACAATAATAATCACAATAACAATAATAACAATAATAGCAATAACAATAACAGCAATAATAACAATAACAACAATAACAACAACAATAATAACAAACATAATAACAGCCAAAATAATAGCAATAATATGTTTATTAAAGATTATAAACGGTATTGGAGGCGATTTAAATTATTCTTCGCACACGAAATGTTTCTATCAATTGTATTAAGCGCTTCACCATTTATTTAAAATAAACACATGTGAACTATTGATTCAAATTATTGATTTATTATTATTATGTATTAATATTATTATTATTATTAATTATTATGGATTCGATTCGTCAATTGCAGCACAACCTCAGAGAGGATACACTAAATAATAAACAATAAACAATAAACAATAAATAATAAACAATAAACGATAAATGATAAATAATAAATAATAAATAATAAATAATAAATAATAAATAATAATAAATAAATTAAGTGTTATTTTAACCCTGTGGTGGTGTGGGGGGGAAACACAACGACGTTGGGTTTCACGGTGCAACAGCGCTGCACTGTGGCTATAAAGTGCTTCTGCAGCGTTTTTAAATTACTTTTAAAGAATATGTTTTAAATAAATAAATACAAAGAATGTGCCAATTAGTTGTGGGAATCCAATGAATTTCCTTTGCGCTGCAATACCGCGATCAGCCACCAGGTGGCGACGTGTCATAGCTTTCGCGGTGCAACAGCGCCACGTTGTGGCTGCGAGGCGGTACTGCAGCATTTAAAAATATTTGTATGCATTATGGATTGAAGAGCTACAATTGTGATTGAAAAGTAAAATAGTTTCACTCACTATAAATATAATTTATATATATATAAATATATATATATAAATATAAATATATAAATAAATATATATATAAATATATAAATATATATAAATATAATTTCAGCCGTTAACTATTTAGTTAAAAGGAAAAAGAAAATGTAAAGAAGAAAAATGTTGCAATTGCGCACCTGACACTGGGGGCGGAGGGAAACAAATGAATTTTCTTTAACCTGTAATGCCACAAATAATGCGGCTAAAGTTCAGTCAGTGATAAAATCTAATTTTCTTTTCTGCCCGGAGGTTAATAGCCCACAGAGGGAGACATGGAACTCAATAGATTGATCACTTTCCGGCTGAATTGAACCGTGGGAAGCGTAGTCTTGATCCCATCACCACGTGCGCACTTTACCGGCTGCAGTTAATCGCACAAAGCGCAGCGTCAATTATTGATTAATCGGATTATCTGTGGTTTATAGTTTAACTGCAACTCGGACTTTGGATGTGCCTCCAACCTTTTAGCGTTCTGTACCACCTCCGCCCCTGCCTCGCTCCCTCCCGCGCCTCCTTCAAGGCACGTCTCAAGACTCCTTCTCTTCAACCGTGTCTCCGGATCCCAACCCCCCAGCTCGGGCGCAAATCCCTGACTGTCCAGCACTTCGGGACGTCTTCTCGATGTCAAAGGTGTTGCGTAAAATGTCACTTGTTGTTGTTACGGCCTCAACTGATATAACGCATGTGAGTTTCACTGTGTTACAAATCTCCATCAGTCCTGTTCATCATCGTCATAATAATAATCCTTTCATTTGATACAGCGCCTTATCACTCCTTCGACACTGTACATACTGTAAGGTGCGGTGACTGTGTATTTTGTCGGCAAAACATACAAAGTCTGTTGTAACTTGTCGAATTTTATTTAAAAACAGAAAGTGAGTGCGGGAAAGGAATATCACAAATTCAAAAACATAGAATAATATCACAGCTTCTTGGCAATGAATAATATGCAAAACAATGCACGTATGAGTATAAAAAGATTGACTTGGACGGTTATGGTGATCTTGTGAGAAATGGCTTAAAATGTAGACACCGTGAATCAGCGCCATCTTAATACTCCTTGCATTTGGCACAGTGTCTGATCACGTCGTTGAAACGCCTGAAAGCCCTGCACAGGATTTACTGTAAAGTGAATTGAATGTATACTTTGTGGGAGAAACATGGCAGCAAATTGCACACAAACGGTCATGGATTGAGGGACCAAATTATTTTTAAAAATCAAGGGCTTATTACCCCCCGGAAAGCGATCGCCTTCACAGAATATACTACACGTTTTGAGGGCGAAACCCGGCAGCTGATTGAAGTGACCAATTCGTTACATTTTTTTGAAGGAATTTTTATCCCCGGAAAAGCAATCCGACTAACAACCAGGTTCCTACGTACTGTTGGGTAACATTCGCCGTGTCCGGGAATCGAACCCGGGTCTCTGGCTTGCGAGGCGAGAGCTCTATACACTGAGCTGCAGGACTCCACATAAACCCAGAGCCACACGTCAGGAAGCACCAAGACAACAGGACAAGAGACCAGAGGGTTAGTGTTACAGAGGGCGGTTTCAGGACGCACTCCAGAAATTTATTTTTACACAGATTTGTAATCTTATCACATCTCAAAACGTTCACAGGAGTTACTGTAATGCACAGTGTATTGTTCGGCAAATATATATTTTACAGGTAGAGGAAGCAGCCAATTTTCACACAGCAACTGCCTATGAACAGCTTTGAAGCAAATGATCAATTGTTATATGGCCGGGACACAGGGAGAAACTCCCTTCGCTAAATTAGTACAATTAATGTGTGTTTTGCTCAGAGCTAATGTTTCGGGAGGATTTCGGGGCCTTGGAGAGGCTGCGGTTGGGAATTTACAAGAATGATACCAGGGACTTCAATCACTGCGGAGAGACTAGAGAGGCCAGGATTGTCCTCCTGGGAGCAGAGAAGGTTGGGGGGAGATTTAATGGAGGTGTTCACGATGATGAGGGGTTTTTGATGGAGTAGAAAGTGCCTCTGGCCGGTGGGTCAGTAACCACAGGACACAGATTTAAGATAATTGGCAAAAGAACCAGAAGGGAGTCGAGGAGAAAATATAAAACAGTTATGAGGTTAGAGCGGGGGAGTAGGACTCGTTGAATAGCTCCTTCAAAGAGCCAACGCAGACACGATGGGCCGAATGGCCTCCTTCTGTGCTGTTAGATTCTGTGACTCTATTGCAGTTGGACAGGTATAGTGTTGAGTGAGACAGGAAATGCAAAGTGACACTCAGATCTGTTCCTGCTTTAATTTCACATCTGCACAGGAACAAGAGGAGGCCATTCGGTCCCTCGAGTCTGGCTACAACCACAACAACAACAAGCATTTTATACAGCAACAGTATATATATATATATTATATATATAATATATTGCGCAGGATAGCGTCTCAGACGCAGGGCCAGGAGGAGATCCGAGGTGTGACCTGGAGATGGGGGAAGGAGGGGGCGAGGCGGAGGGATTGAGGGAGAGAGAGTGTTGAGAGTTGCAGGGCGCAGCGGATGAAAGCGCGGCCGACAACAGTGGGGCAGAGGGGGGGGGGGGGGGGGTGGGGGGGCGGGGGTCGAGCAGGACGCCGGAGCCAGCGGGTAGCGGAGCGGGGAGTAAGTAGGTCAGAGAGGTCGGGAGGTGCAGATGAAGCGATTTGAAGACAAAAACCCTGAAAAACAGTCAAACCCAGCGAAAAATCAACGTTTTCAGGACGGCCGGGTCGACCGGCAGTGACTTAAGACGGCTTTAAGCTCTCGGTTTACTCTTAATCAGACAAATTACCAGCGTTCCAGAGTTGCTGCCACCGTCAGGAAACCAGGGGGCAGAAATAAGGGCACATTCTCTGCGTGAAACTGTCAGTGAAAGGTTTGGAGACGAGACACGTTATCAGCGTTGTAAGATGTTATCACCCGTCCCTCCTCATCCTCCAGGTAAACTCCGACCTTCCCGGGTCTCAGTGGTTCTAAGCAGAGGTAGTCAGGAGGGGCTGTGTGTTCGGGGGGGCAGTCCTCAGCGGCAATTCTTCTGCAGCGAGAATCACAGGGTTAATTTGACAATAAATCATCGCGATAACAAGGCGCCTGATCGAGTTGTTTGAGACGTCTCAAAGCGCTTCGCAGGATACACTGTGAAGTGAACTGGCCGGGTATTTCGTGGGTGAAACGCAGTGGCCAATTACACACAGATGCGTCCGTCTGTCTGTCTGTCTGTCTGTGTCTGAAGGGATTATTACCCCAGGAAAGCGAAAAGGAATTAGCGCAGCCAATTGACTAACAACCAAGTTCTTACTTGCTGCTGGTTAAGTATAGACGTGCAGAGTAAGGAAACTTGCGGAAGGTTTTGCCCCGTCCTGACTGGGAATCGAACCCTGGTCATCACTTCCCAAAGCCCTGGGCAGTCAGGGATTTTCACCCGAATCGAAGGTTGGGATCAGGTGGGGTGGAGGGCAAAGAGGACGGGGGGGGGTAGGAAGGTAACTGAAGGTGCGAGCGAAGAGGGGGAATCTTGAGCCGGGGGGCTTTGAAAAAGGCGAGGGAGGGGACGAGGGGACCGTGGGATGGAGTTCCAGAAGGTTGGGGCGGAGAGGCTGAAGGCTCGATCACTGATGGTGGGGTGGGCCGGGGGGGGGGGAAGGGGGCCGTGGAGCAGACCAGAGCCCACTGAGTGGAGAGAGCGCACAGGCCAGTGTGGGGTTAGCAAATCGTAGAGGTAGGGATTGAGGGGAAAGTGACTGATATTGGGAGTGAGGCTGAGGGCTGGAGACTGATAGAGACTGAGTGCTGGAGACTGAGGGGTAGAGACTGATAGAGACCGAGAAGAAGTAGAGACTGATAGAGACTGAGGGGTGGAGAATGATACAGAGATGCCGGTAAATCAGGAGACGTTGTACGTGGAACTTACCCAGTTCTTTGTTAAGTTCTGTTGGGCAAAAAAGAAAGTAAAGCGTGTATTAATCACCACGGCTTCTATTTCCAACTCCAACCTCCGTGTAATCATTTGCTGGTTGGTTTGGTGCCGGTTATTTATTATTATTATTATTTATTGAGGCGATTATTAACCCCGGAAAGAGATCCGGCAATCGACTAACAACCGGGTTCTTAATTACCGCTGGTAAACAGAGGCGTGTGTGTGTGTGTGTGTGTCTGTCTGTGTGTGTCTGTGTCTGTGTGGCATAAACTGAGATGTCTTCCTTTTTCCTCGACTGAGGATTGCCATCCACTCCCTATTTCCCGCAACTCTGCCCTCACCCCTTCTCCCTCTTCCCAGAAACCGCGATAGGGCCTCCCTGGTCCTCACCTTCTACCCCACCGGCCTCACCATCCAACAAATAATTCCCTGCCGTTTCCGGCACCTCTAGCGTGATCCACCGCTAAGCATATCTTTCCCTCCCCTTCCCTCTCATTCCGAAGGCACCATTCCCTCCGTGACTCCCCGGTCCATTCCCCCATCACCACCAACAGTGACCCTCCTCCCCCGGCACCTTCCCCACGTCAGTGCACTACCTGCCCTTTCACCTCTTCCTCTACACTGGGGAGACCAAACGCGGATTGGGCGACCGATTTGCCGATCACCTCCGTTCTGTCCGTGAGCACAGCCCTGAGCTTTCGGGTTCTTGCCACTCTCCCTCCCACTCGCGCTCAGACCTCTCCGTCCACGGTCTCCTTCCTGCGCCGTTCCAATGAGCCACAGCGCGAGCTCGAGGAACAGCACCTCACTTATCTGCCAGGGACCTTCCAGCCCTTTCCCCCTCCCCTTCCCTCCACTCTCCCCCTTCTGGGATCATTAGCACATCATCCGGATCCCAGACACACCTTCTACACTCTATGGTCTGCCTTTCTGCTGCAATTCCCCACCCCACCCCCTCCCCACCCATCCCTTTGTTTGGCATCATTAACACCTCTTTAACCCATCATCCCCTGTCCGCTGCCCCATTTTCTCTGTGTCTTCTTTGCCCTGCCTCCCCCCCACTTCTCTGTCAGCCCTTAAAAGCCTCTCCATCCCAACGCGCCCCAGTTCTGACGAAGGGTTACGGACCCAAAACGTTGACTCACTTTCCTTTCCTTTCTCCATAGATGCCGCCCGGGAATCGAACCCGGGTCCTCTGGCTTGCGAGGCGAGTGCTCTAACCGCCACATTAAGGCACTACGCTGCACTTAGTGCTACGTTAGGCGGCTTTGAGTCCAAAATTGGTTCTCGGAATGACTTGTGGTGCGGAGGGGGGAAATCACAGAGTTAGGAATGGGCCTGGAATGGTTGGGGCTCCCGGATTCGGATTGGAACGTACCTTTGGTCTTTTTTTGTTGTTTCCAGATGAAGAACAAAACCCCACCGATCCCGGCCAGGAAAATGAAGAAGAACAACAAACAAAAGACCAGCCCCAGAGAGACACGGGGGAAAAAATAATCTGAAAAGCAAAAGCGATAACGTGGATTAGGTTTGTATTTCCCACCGACCTGAGTTACCCAAATGCACGGGGACACTTCCTCCTCCGGAAAACTAATACTCCTTACGTTTAGCCCGGCGTCTTTCACGTTGGGAGGACGTTCCAAAGCCATTGCACGGGATTTAATAATAATAACAATCCTTGCGTTTGATATAGGGCCTCATCACGTCTTTGAGACGTCTCAAAGCGCTTCGCAGGACACAACGCAAAGTGAATTGACTGTGTATTTTGTGGGTGAAACGCAGCAGGTAATTGAGCACAGCAGCGTCTCACACACAGTCGTGACCACATTATTAGTTACTTGGCTAACAACCAGGTTGCTACTTACCGCTAGACGGAGGCGTGTGTGTGGAACAAGGAAACGCGCCTAAGGTTTCGCCCCGACCGGGAATCGAACCCGGATCCTCTCGCTTGCGAGGCGAGCGCTCTCACCGCTGAGCTACTAACAGGGCTCCGCAAACTGGTCCCCGATATCACACGTCGACTGACCTGCGATCTGGATTTTTCCTTCTGTTTTTTTCTTGGTTAAGCTGTCGATGAACAGGCAGCTGAACATGTTGCCGGAGCTCTCCGTGGCAATGATGGAGGTTTGCATCATGATCAAGCCATTGGCAGAATTTCCTGTTGTGGTCTGTGCCGTCAGTTTGTGCTGTTTCCCATCCTCCCACGAGACCTCGGGCTGAGAACTCCATCCATCGGACTCGCACACAAGCTTGATCCCGTCGCCTTGGTATCCCGCCATGTGAATCCAAGGCTGACTGCCGAGAACTGGGAGTGCACAGGGGGAACAGTTGGGAACAGCAGCGGAAATCATTCAACGACGACTTATAAGAATTTACTCGGCGCAAGAAGAACAAGGACCAATCCAGTTCTCCTGCCACCAACCATCCTGGCAGTCGCTTGACATGTTGTGTCCCAAACTATACACCGCATCCCCCAGGATATTATTTCCCAACAGAAATCTATCTCATTTGTTCTTGAAAGAATCGACTGGTTCTTTTGCAGCTTCACTTAAATCCGCGTCCTATGGCTACCAACCGACCCACCAGAGGAAACAGTTATTCACTCTATCAAAACCCCTCACAACACGTCTCTTTCACAGTCTAAAGCTAGGAATTCAACTCTTCCACTGACAATAATAATAATAATAATAATAATAATAATAATAATAATCCTTGCAATTGATATAGCGCCTGATCACGTCTTCCAGACATCTCAAAGCGCTTCGCAGAATATACTGTAAATATACTGAATTCACTGGATGTTTTGGGGGACGAAATGTTGCCACACAGCCCACGGCACATTGCGCACGGCAGCGTCCCACAAACAGTCACGGGTTGATTGGCCAAATTATTATTATTACTACTTTTGAAGGGATTATCACCGCCGGAAAAGTGATCCGCCAATCGACTAACCCGGGTCCTCTCCCCCGCGAGGCGAGCCCTCTAACCACTGAGCCGCAGGACTCCACCACGATACGAAGGGTGAACCCACCCCATGAGAGGACGCCAGAAGATCAGAAAGAAATGAATGTTTTTAACTCATGCGTTTTTTTTTTAAAAAAATCAAAGGGGTAAAATGTGTTTTCTTACCAGACTGCGAGAGGCAAAGTACACCGCAAAGTATCTGAGCAAAATGTTTCCACGTCATTTCACCAGACATTCCTAAAGGAAATTAGAACTGGTTAGAACACAGCGAAGGTGATTAGAGACGGATATGAGTGAACTTCAAAATCTTTCTGTGACATTTCTGATCGCGCAGTACAACTCACACCAGTCGGGACCGTGACATTTATAATAATAATAATAATAATAATAATAATAATCCTTACGTTTGATACGGCGCCTTATCACGTCTCAAAGCGCTTCACAGAGTGTACTGTAAAGCGAATCAATTGCACGTTTCGTGGGCGAAACGCAGCAGCCGATGGCGCGCAGTGGAGTCCCACGAGCGGTCGTGGATTGAGTGACCAAAATGTTATTTAACGGACCGTTGGCCCAGGACACCAGGAGCGAGAAACTCCCTTCTCTTTCCGAATAGTGTCAGGGGATCCATTGGTTTCCAGATACAAAATGGTTGCAAGTGTCCGTATAAAGTTTCTTTTTTTGTAGAATTATATTCCAACCCTGTTCTTCTTCTTCTTATTATTATAATTCTTATTAAGAATTATTTGAGCAAGAAAGACTGCACGGGCTGGAGCTCTCGTCTGCCGTTGAGATGAGGTGCTGAGGGAGGGCCTGATCGTTTCGGATCACGAGGTTAAATTAGTTTAACGCCGTGGGTTGGGATTACATCTGATAAGAAGTTCTCAGAACTAGAGGGTGTGGTGTGGTTTGATTCCAGGGTTGGGGCGAAACGTTAGGCACTTTACTCCACACACACACACACACACACACACACACACAGTTGTTGGTGGCGTTTCAGACACGCGATGAGGCGCTGCAGCACATAATACTGTTATAAATCAGCCTTTACGTGGCTCAGTGGTTAGAGCACTCGCTTTGCGAGTGAGAGACACGAGTTCAATTCCAGGCAGAGGGCCAAACCTCGGGCAAGTTTCCTTACTCCGCACAGAGCCTAATAATAATCCCTCCAAAACCAAAAACAATAATAAATCGGTCATTTTCAATCCACGACTGTCTGCGGGACATCGCTGTGCGCCATCGGCTGCCGCGTTCGCCCACAACTATACAGTCAGTTCACTTTACAGTGTGTTCTGTGCGGCGCTTTGGGACGTCCTCCCGACGTGAACAGCGCTGTATCAAACGCGAGGATTATTATTATTATTATTATTATTATTATTACAAAATGGTCAAGAGCAGATCTTCAACGACAGTCAATAGGGCGGTGAGGCTGGGAAACGCATTGGCGGAGACTGTGGTCGATGCACAAAGTGGTCAGTGGAGGAAACGGACTCGTTGGGTGGATCCTCAGTGTTTCCGTGTTATTGTGGCTTCCATTGCTGCGCGGAGGGAGGGTCTGTCTCAGTCTGTCTCTGGCTTTTGCGGTTCAGTTCAGAGAGAGTTCCCCACTCCCTCGACACGCTCCCTCCCTCCCTCCCTCCCTCCCTCGCACACTCGGCCTCGCTCGCTCACTCACTCCGAAGCTCACTCACGTACTCTTCCCTCGCTCACACACTCCCTCACTCACTCAGACTCACTCACATACAACGTCCTCCCTCATTCGCACTCCCTCACTCCCTCCCTGCCTCACGTACTCGCTCACCCACTCGCTACCTCACTCACACACTCCCTCCCTCACATACTCGCTCACACGCTCACTCACACTCCCTCCCTCACTCACACCCTTACACACTCGCTCACACACACACTTACGCACTCTCGCGCACACTTCCTCTCACTCCCTCCCTCCCTCCCCCGCTCGCACCCTCACACAAACACACACTCCCTCACTCCCACACTCACTCAAACCCTCCCTCACTCACGCACACACTCGCTCACACACTCACTCAAACACTCCCTCACTCACCCTCCTTCACACACTCATTCCCTCCCACTCACTCCCTCCCTCCCACACTCCCTCCCACACTCACTCCCTCCCTCACACACACTCACTTACTCAATCCTGAGGTTATAGAGTCATTCGCAGTATTTTCAACCATATTGTTCGTACAGTAACATGTCCCCTCCCCACCTCCCCACCCCTTCTCTGTCTCCATCAGTCCCCTTCTCTATCCTCTCTCTCAACAACAACAACAACAACAAGATTCCATTTATAGAGCGCCTTTCACGTCAGGAGGACGTCCCAAGGCGCTGCACAGTTGGGTCATGACCCGAGCAGGGGGGAAATGGTCAGGGTGAGGGGAGGGAAGGGAGGGAGCGAGGAGGAGGAAGAGAGTCGAGAGGGGAGCTGAAGGCACGGTCAAAGAGAAAGGTTTTGAGACCGGCCTTGAAGGAGGAAAGGGAGGAAGCGGCGAAGGCACTGGGGGATGGAGTTCCAGAGCCTGGGGGCTGAGAGGCTGAAGGCCCGACCACCGATGGTAGGGCGGTTGGGGCGGGGGACGTGGAGCAGACCGGAGCCAGAGGAACGGAGGGTACGGGCAGGTAGGTAGGGGGATAGTAGGTTGGAGAGGTAGGAGGGAGCAAGGCCGTGAATGGCCTTGTAGGTGAGGATGAGGATCTTGAAATCAATCCTCTGGGGGATGGGGAGCCAGTGGAGGCGAGCGAGGGTGGGAGTGATGTGGTCGCGAAGCCTGGTGCGGGACAGTACACGAGCTGCAGAGTTCTGAATGACCTGCAGCTTGTGGAGGGAGGGCCGGGAAGGCCGGCGAGGAGAGAGTTCCCATAGTCCAGCCTTGAGGTGACAAAGGCGTGAACCAGGGTTTCAGCAGCGTGAGGGGTGAGGTAGTGCCGTAATCTGGCGATGTTCCGGAGGTGATGGAAGGCGGTGCCAGTTGTGGTGCGGATGTGAGGGAGAAAGGACAGCTCAGGGTCGAACAAAACGCCGAGGTTCCTGACTGGCTTTGAGAGGTGGAGAGTGCAGCCTTGGATGCTGATGGTGTCAGCGCCTGAGGTGCGGAGGCGCTGACGTGAGCCAATCAGGAGGGCCTCGGTTTTTCGCACGTTGAGCTGAAGAAAGTTGTCTCTCGTCCAGGACTCGATGTCGGACAGGCAGCTGTCAGGACATCGGTGGTCGTGGAGTTGAGAGTAGAGGAGGAAAGGTAGAGTTGGGTGTCATCCGCATACATGTGGAAGTTAACCCCATGTTTGCGGATGATGTCACCAAGGGGGAGCATATAGAGGGTGAAGAGGAGGGGACCGAGGACAGAGCCCTGAGGGACACCACATGAGACAGTACGGGGGGTGGAGGAGAAGCCATTCGTCGAGACAAAGTGAAGACGGTGAGAAAGGTACGACCTAAACCACTCAAGGACAGTGCCTTGAAGGTTGAGGTGGGAGGACAAGCGGTGGAGTAGGATAGCGTGGTCGACCGTATCGAATGCTGCCGATAGGTCGAGGAGGACGAGGAGACAGAGGGAGCCCTGGTCACAGATGGTCAGGATATCATTGGTGACCTTGACCAGGGCAGTTTCTCTCCCCCTCTCTGTGCCCCTCTCTCCCCCTCTCTGTGCCCCTCTCTCCCCCTCTCTGCGCCCCTCTGCCCCCTCCCTCTCTGTGCCCCTCTCTGTCTCTCTCCCTTTGGTTTTGGAGGGATTATTATTAGGGCTGTGTGTGTGGGGTAAAGAAACTTGCCCGAGGTTTGGCCCTGACCAGCCCTGAACTCAGGTCTCTCGCTTGCCCTCACCCTAAGCGAGTGCTCTAACCACTGACCCACAGGACTCCTCTGGACAGAATAAAGAAACGACCAGAAAATATTAACCCCAGCAGAGTCGGTGGGGGGGGGAAGGCTGACAGTCTGCAACACAAGCGGAAATAATTCAAGGAGGTTCCCAGAGAGAGACAGAGATCTGACCGTGTGGAGCCATCGGCTTCACACACACACACACAGAGAGAACCTGTCATTGAAACACTGCTCTTAAAAGCATCTATTAGTCTCCTCTCCTCAAGCGAACATATGACCCGAAAGTCCCCGTCTCTTACCTTTCTCTGCAGTCAGGGACGAGTGTTGCAAAGTACAACATAAAATGGTGTTGGATGAAACGAGAAAGAATCTTTCAGTTTCACTTTCATTTTGAAAGGTTTTTTTTACATCAGTATAAGAATAGGATCAAGACGGAGGGAGGGGTGGGGTTGGAGGGTGGGGGGTGGGGGGGGCAACGGGGAGCGGTTGGGATAAGCGGGAGGACGCATCCAGAATCATGGCGGCGGGTAGAGGAGTGGGAGCGGGTGGGGAGGTCGGGGGTGAGCTGGTGGGGGAGATCGGGAGTGAGCGGGTGGGGAGATCGGGAGTGAGCGGGCGGGGGGGAGGTCGGGAGTGAGCGGGTGGGTGGGGGGTCGGGAGTGAGCGGGTGGGGGAGGTCGGGAGTGAGCGGGCGGGGGAGGTCGGGGGTGAGCGGGTGGGGTGGGGGGTCGGAAGTGAGCGGGGGAGGGGGGTCGGGGGTGAGCGGGTGGGGGAGGTCGGGGGTGAGCGGGTGGGGTGGGGGAGGTCGGGGTGAGCGGGTGGGGTGGGGGGTCGGGAGTGAGTGGGCGGGGGAGGTCGGGGGTGAGCGGGAGGTGTCAGGATGTGAAGGGATGTGCAGATGAGTGAGAGGATCTTGAAATGGAGTGGCCAGTCAAATGGAGGCAGCGGGTTGTGGGCTGGGGTGAGGGTGAGGGTGGGGGTGGGGGGGGGGGGGTGAGCAGTCGGAGAAGTAGGGAGCTGCCAGGGTACGAAGGGATATGGAAACGAGCGAGAGGATCTTGAGACCGGCAAAGAGGGCATTTGAAAAGCCCCCGCCTCTCTCTCTCTCTCTCTCTCTCTCTCCCTCTCTGTGCCACTCTCTCTCCCCCTCTCAGCCCCTCGAGTCGGGAGGCGATGAACTCGTGGGCTAACGTTTCGGCTGCTTCTGGGCTAAGGTACAGTCAGAGGCGAGCAATGCGGCAGAGGTGGAGGAAGGCGGTCCTGGTCAGGGAGGGACTGGACGAGGGGGAAGGAAGGACGGCGGCGGGTCGAACATGACCCCTGGGTTGCGTACCTCTTCGGTACGCCTGAGGGATAGGCCGGGGAGGTTGAGGAGGTCGGTGCCAGAGGATAGAAGACTGAGTGTGGCTTCCGTCTGGTCCCCCCACACTTCCTGCCCCACCATTGCCAGTCAGGTGTTCAGCATCTCTGCCCCCACACTCCGGAACTCTATCCCACAATCCCTCCGCCTCATCCCCTCTCTTCCCTCCTTCAAATCCAGTCTGAAGACCTTCCTCTTTGATCGTGCCTTCAGCCAACCTCCCGCCCCCCACCCGCCCTCCTCTCCTTATGACCCCCCAACTCCCCGATTGCCCAACGTGAAGGACGCTACACAAGTGTAACTTGTTGTGGTTGGAATAGTTTCTTTACAAAAATAATAAATTCGACCAAATGGTCCGATACGCAATGTAGATGCCAATCTTATTACACTTTATATTAGATTATTATGCTTTTTATTAGAATATTACACTTTATGTAATGATACGAGGTTTCCGCCCAAAATATGCCCGTGCTTTTCTCTGTCTCTACTTTGTTGCAGAATATATTAGTACAGATGTATCTCTCTTGAGCTCTGTGTGGTTTCCTCTGTTACTATTTCGTGGAATGTGCACCTCCTATTTTTGCAGCTTAATTGAAATGTTTTTCTTAAAATGTAGCAGATCAACGATAGGCAATCCCTGAAAAAAAATATGCCCATGACACTCGCACAGTAGGGTCCCACAAACAGTCGTGGATTGAGTGACCAAATTGTTTTTTTTTCCTGCACTGAGCACTGTGGTCAGTCCTCCACACCTCGTGGTCACAAAGCTGGGATGACCGTCACAGGAATTCTCAGATGCAGAGGCAGAAAGCATACACCATCCCTGGGTTTGAAATGATAATAATAATAATAATAATAATAATAATCCTTGCATTTGATATTGCACTTTTCACGTCGGGAGGACGTCCCAAAGCGCTTCACAGAATATACTGTAAAGTGAATTGACTGTATATTTGTGGGCGAACGTGGCAGCCAATGGCGCACAGCAATGTCCCACAAACAGTCGTGGATTGAAAATGACCAATTTATTATTGTTTTGGGTTTTGGAGGGATTATTATTAGGCTCTGTGTGGAGTAAGGAAACTTGCCCGAGGTTTGGCCCTCTGCCTGGAATTGAACTCAGGTCTCTCGCTTGCAAAGCGAGTGCTCTAACCACTGAGCTACAGGACTCCACAATGATGGTGAAGCAGGATCCTCCCCTCTCTCTAACACTCTTCCCCGAAGCGTATGGGGAGAGAGCGGGGAGCGGGATATGTTTGGACAGCTCTTTCAAAAGCAGTCACGGGCACGATAGGCTGAATGGCTCCTTCTGTGCAGTCTAATTCTATGGTTCTATGATATCCCAACTCCCTTCCCAGCTTTCTCTGTGGGTCACATCGTCTCTGAGATGTTCCCCTGTGATTAAGCACCTAATGAAGCGCGTATTGTTGCTGTCTCCCGTCAGCATCGATGGAAAGGTGTGAACTAAGGCCCAGAGACCCATCACCGCTTCTCTCGCAAACACACACCAGCACATCTCCCCAGTGTCCCTCAGTCACTACAGTCGCTCCGTGCTCCTCGACTCCCGCTGGCTTCGACGCTGTCACTTGTGTGTTTCTCCGATTCTCTCCTGGCAGCTCTGTGCTGGGGGATGGTTCGATCCCCGGGGTAGAACGTGCAGTCACACAGCAGCTCAGGCTGTCTCACTCTGTGGAGTGGAGAGAGCATGAAGATCGCGATAGGTTCAGTTCCTGCTGATGGGCAAACTGATCAACAGCACTCAATCTCCTGAACAATCTTCTCTACAACCAGACCATCCCCACCAGAACCATCCTCCTCTTCTCCCCCCCCCACATCATACATCCTCCTGTTACACACTCACACTCCCTCCACCCCACCCCCCCCATTGCCACCCCCTATAGTTTCTCTCTATTGTCAAATCTCATCCTCGCTGTGTGCACCTCTATTAGGTCCCCTCTCAATCTTCTCTACTCAAGTGAAAACAGACCGGATTTTTCTCTTTATAACAAAGCCTCCCATTCCTGCTATCATTTTTGTAAATCTCCTCTGTACCCCTTTGGTCTGTTCAGGCCCCCCCCCCCGCACTTCCCGCCCCACCATTGCCGATTGGGCATTCAGCATCTCTGCCCCCCGCAATCTCTTCGCCTCACCCCTCTCTTGCCATGTTCAAGTCCCATCTGAAGACCTTCCTCTTCGACCGTGCCTTCGGCCAACCACCCGCCCCCACCCCTCTGCCCTCCACCTTTCCTGACCCCAACTCCCAGCTCAGGTGCAAAAGCCCCTGACCATCCAGCGCCCTGGGACGTCTTTCTGACGTGAAGGGCACTATTGTAATTTGCTCCTTGCAAGATTCTGCCATTCAATTTTTTCTGCCAAAATGCATCAGCCGTCATGTCATTGACTTCATTTGCCACCAATCTGCCCATTGCATTGATCTATTTAAACCCCGCTACAGTGTCTAACCATCCTCCTCACTGTTCATCTAGTTTGGTATCATTTTCGAAGGTTGATACCATAACCTCACCAATTCTCCTGTTGTAACAGTTGATCAGATGTGGTTTCTGGAGTTAGAGAAAGCGTTGGTCTGAATGACAACGACTTACCTCTTGTTACTGTCATACACACACGTTTCTTTAAGGGAGAATCCAGTGTCTCGTGGTTTATTTCACACAGGAACTCGCGCTGGTCATGTGCATCTACGTCCACCTGAAAGGCGAGCCCAAAGCTACAGCTGACGGTCCTATCGTTGTTCTCGGTATATTCGGGGGACTTTATCTCATATTCAATCGCTGCAAAACGTATGCGTTGAACCGACGGCTTATATTCCGGTGGTCCATAGGATTCCTCCGAGAACGTGCGGATAATTCCCTTTGCTCCGATTCCCCATTTGACAGTCAATGCTTTGGGGCTGAACCGAGTGACAGTACAGATCAGAGTCTCGTGATCTCCGTGCTTCACTGGGCCAGGGTCCAACAGCTGGATATCCTGCGGTACTGTTAAGAAAATCTTGTTATCAAGATATCAATGGCGCCACGAAAAGAAATAGTGCAACTACTGTCCTTGTAAATCTTTACAATTTCTTAGTATTGAAGGTCCTTTGAATGAATCTTTAACGCAAAAGGCACTATAGGGTTTTTTTTGGGGGGGCGGTCAGTCTGACAGATGCAAAAACCCATCACCATGCTTGATATCCAAACCAAACTGAGAATTCCTTGCATCCCATATAGACAAACAGCTAGAAAGCCTTCAAAAAGGAGATAGTTCAGGGACAGAACAAATACATCCACACCAAGGGGAAAGGATGACTAAGGAAATCGGGATTAAAATAACACAGAAAAAGGAGATTTCTGATAAATGTCAGGTCCAAAATACTGAAGATAATCAAATAGAATATAGAAAGTACAGAGGAGAACTGAAAAAAGGAAATAATAGGGGCAAGGAGATTGTATGAGAAAAGATTAGCGGGAACCCTAAGGTATTTTATAAGCGTATAAAAGGTTAGTTGAAGGGGTCTGTGAGGGACCAACGAGGAAATCATACAGCACAGAAGGAGGCCATTCGGCCCATCGTGTTCTTTGAAAAGAGCTATCCAATTCAATCCCACTCCCCGCGCTCTCCCCCCAGGGGGCAAGGCGGAGGGATTGAGGGAGAGCTTTGGGGCGTTGCGGCTGAAGGCACCGACAACGATATCGGCTTTGCCAGCCATAGAGGAGTCCAGAAGGTGGAGAGCAAACAACAGAGGAGCGACGAGAACAAGACTGATATCGTCCTCTGGGGTCTCACCTCCTATGACGTGAAACCCGTGCTGGCTTCCCAGGTTCTCTGCGTTCTCGTCTCAATAACCCGATACACAAACTCCGCCCTGTCGTGTTTCCTTGCATCCGCGGGAAACGATATAAAGATGTTGGGTGAAAGCTCGGGGCAGCCCAAGGCGGTGAAGTGATTGATGGAATCTTCCAGTAACTTCAGCCTGTTTTCGGCTGAGTCTTCCCTTCCGTAATGCCTCTCCAGGACCTGGGTTTCGACGTCGTTTTTCCTTATGGCCAAGACACACTTCCTCGCTTGCAATGAACAGCCACGAAAGGAACAGATCCCACTGGTGAATTGGCCTTGCAGGGCCTCCGCTGGCTGCAGAAGTATCTGCACCTTAACTGTAACAACAACAACGACACCTTGCATTTATATAGCGCCCTTCACGCAGGGCAGAGTTTCAGAGCGCTGGATTATTACAGCATCAAGCTCCAGTGCCCAGCCTAAGATTTTACATTGATGACTCGTATTTCAAGGGCGGGGGGGAGCGCTCAGTGACAATAATCGTGATAATAATGATAATAATAATCCTTGCATTTGATGTAGCGCCTTATCATGCCCTCGAGACGTCTCAAAGCGCTTCACGGAACACACTGCAAAGCGAATTGTCTGAATAGTTTGCGGGCGAACCGCGGCAGCCGATTGAGAAATTAAGACTTTTTGAGAATTTGATCAAATTCCGGATGCGCTGAAATGCTACATAGATAGAGCCGGAGTTCCCGTACGATATTTGTGCAAACGTTCTCTTACCTTTTGAAAAACACTTGAGGCATAAAGGAAGGTCGACCAGTTGCTTATATTTTATGATGATAAAATGACAAGAAGCGCCATCAGTAAAATCACAGCACAAGTGATAGAGAACCAGGAATACCACGGAAGGGATCCTTAAGGAAACAAATCACAGGATCAGAGCCAAATCTAATAATAGTAATGAATAACAATCCTTGCGTTTGATACAGCGCCTGATCACGTCATTGAGACGACGTCTCCAAGAGCTTCGCAGACGACACTGGGAAGTTTATTGACTCTATATTTGGTGGGCAGCCAATTGCCCAGAGCAGCGTCCCACAAACAGTCATGGATTGAGTGACCAAGTTATTATTATTGTTATTTTTTTCTTTGAACGGATTATTACCCCAAGCAAAAGCGATCCGCCAACCGACTAACAATCGGGTTCCAACTTGCTGCTGGGTAAACGGAGGCGTGTGGTGCGGAGTAAGGAAACGTGCCTGAGGTTTTGCCCTGCCCGGAAATTGAACCCAGGTCCTCTCACTTGCCAGGCGAGCGCACTAACCATTACGCTACAGGACTTCACAAAGGTAAACCAGATGATAATGATAAAATTATTCTAGCATTTCACAAGATTCCCCAGATTAATGCAGATGAAGAAAGCCTTTCAACCGATCTGATCTCATCTCTCCAGAAGGCCCACCCTACCATCCTCTCATCACAGCATCAAGCATCAAGTTCCAGTATCCTGGCCTCCGCCAACCATCCTGGCAACCTGTTCAGTCATTAATTACACGGATAACGAAATACTTCCTGGTGTCTGTTCTGAAATTGCCCTTTGCAACTCTGCAACGACAACGGATGACATTTATGCTGCGCCTTTCAAGTCAGGATGTCCCGAGGTGCTGGACGGTCAGGGAGCTGGTGGCTGCGATCATGAGGGGTGTAGGGTGGGGAGGGTAAGGGCAGAAGGGTGACCGAAGCCACGGTCGATGAGGTGGGTCTTGAGACGGGTATTGAAGGCTGCAAGCGAGGGGGCAAGGCGGAGGGACTGCGGGATGGAATTTCAGAGGGTGGGGGGGGGGGGCAGAGAGATCGAAGGCCCGCCCGCCATAACGGTGGGGCGGACGAGCCAGAGAGACGTGCAGCAGGTTGGAGCCCATTGAGCGGAGGGAGCGGGAAGGATGGTAGGGGGGTTAGGGGGTCACAGAAGTAAGGATGACCAAGGCCATGGAGGGCTTTGAACGTGAGGACCAGGATCTTGAACCGTATCCTCTTGTTCTATCTTCTAAACTATTGCTCTGGGTTTATTTTTTCAATCCTATTTAAAATGTTACGCTCTATAAAGTCCCCTCTGAGACGTTACATAGCTCCCCTCACACAAGGTAGCCTCCCAGAATCGCCGGCCCATGTCCTCTGGTTCCACCGTTCAGTTTAACTTGTCTCCCGAGGCTCATAGCTCTGACATTAGGGATCATTTGTTTCGCTCTATTGCACTTCCTCTCGGGCCTGGGAAACCCCTTATGTTGCAGTGGCAAACAGTTTGCAGTATTTTGGTGCCAAACACCGTGACGTTGATAAAACGCCTTATCACGTGAAACATTCAGACGTGGGTCACGTAGAGTGCAGTGGCTGCACATTTGTAGGCAAATGCTTCAGCCAATTTCTGCCTTAGTGCCTCAAACAGCCACGAAATAAGTGAGTCCGTTTTTTGGTTTGAGAATTACTGGCCAGGATTTCTGTAGGTGGACTTAGTTAGAGGTGAGTCAGGCCCAGGCTGAAACCCGCACTTTTACTGGCGTTGAAATGTTTGTCGTTTTATAGACATGAGAGAACGTAGCACTCATTTGCTGGGACGATAACGAGTATAATTCTCTCCCCCCGAATTCCCTCACTGCACGTTTTCTCTCTTTACCTTCGAAAAACATTTATAAAATCCATCTCTCTGCATCAGCATCCCCAAACTCTTCTTCTTCCTTTCAAATCCCCATCGTCTCTGTGAAGAGCTTCAAGACGTTCATCCAACTTGACCCTATAAGTGTTGTTCTACTCACCTAACTTTGGATCATTTGGGGATGGGAGGGTTGACTGTTACACTTTGGTTACCGTTACAGTGTGACTTACCCATAACTGTGATGGTCACTCTTTGTTTCACAAGAGTCTCGGACGCTTCATGTCTCACATGACAGATGTAACTGTCACCTCCCACCACTGGAGGCGCCCTTAGGGTTAGGACATTGACAGCGCTGAAGGTCCCGTCGCTGTTCCTCACGGGATTCCCTCTCTGGATCTCCTGACCGGTCATCTCTTGCAGGGTCTCGACGGTTGAGATCTTGAACCAGAGAATGGAAATTTCTTCCGGGTAGAAACCAGAGGCCTCGCAGCGCAATGATCTCCTGAACCCGGGCTTGAGCTCCAGCAGGGGTCCAACTGGGGGAACACTGGGGGAAGCTGAACACAAGATAATGATTATTGTTAGAGGACAATCAGATGGAATGGCTGAACAAAGCCATTCAATATAATAAATAATAAAATTCGTGACTTCAAGCCACGACTGTTTGTGGGGACGCTGCTGTGGGCAATTTCGCCCACAAAATACACAGTCACTGCACTACAGTGTATCCTGTGAAGCGTTTTGAGACGTCTCGAAGACGTGATGAGGCGCTGTATCAAACGAGAGGATTATTATTGTTGCGATGACTGTCAAGCTTTGGAGGGAGAGTGGACAAGAGATAGAAGTACCTGATATCCTTAAAGTGCAAGTGGCTGATCCCTCGTCGGGTGAGGCGATGACTGTACACTCGTAGTCTCCCTGATCTTCAATACCAACCTCAGGGAGGAACAGAGCTGCTTTGCCCTTTGCCAGCTCACCAGCAAACCGAGTGCCAACCCTGGACACACGAATGCCACCCTTAAAATACGAGATCACAAGCTCGTTGTTCCTCTTCCAGCTCACTAACAGGAACTGGGGTTCAACAGGTGCATCGGGGACAAAATCGCAGTTTATGGTCACGTTCGTCCCAACGGCCGTCTTCAGCATCTGTGGACTCAGCATCACTTTCAGAGCCACTAGGAAGAGATTCACCCGCCTCAGCGATTTCAAGTATCATCAAAAAAACAAAAGAAGCCACACTTTCTCTCTCTCTCTCTCTCTCCGAGCCAAGCTTGGTGGTCGGCAAGCGAGAGGACCCAAGGTTCAGTTCCCAGGCTGGGAGTGACCGTAGGCAAGTGTCCTCACTCCACCCCCCGCCCACCTCGGTTTGCCTCGCAGTAAGGAGGCGCCAGGCTGCTAGTCGACTTTCCAGGGGTCGTAAAGCCCTTTAAAAAAAATGTGGTCGCTCAATCCATGATTGTTTGTGGGACGCTGCTGTGCCCGAATTGGCTGCCGCGTTTCAACCACAAAATAAAATCAATTCACGTTACAGTGAATTGTGAAGCGCTTCGAGACATCCAGTAGACGTGATAAGGTGCTATACCAAATGCAAGGATTATTATTATTATTATTATATCAAATGCAAGGATTATTATTATTATTATCCCTCTCGTACACCCACCCTACCATCTCCCCCACCCCTGCATCAAGTTGCTTTTTAAATGAATCAGTGTTCTGGCTTCAATCAGCCTTCCATAAGATTGACTTCATACACAATAAATCGAACCTGCAAAGCTTTCGGAGACGCTTTGAAGTGAAAGGTAATTCGTGAAGTTGTTAGCAACACGACCTAAGGCTTGGTTTGGTTCCGAGTTACCGAGCAACCATCCTTTTCCAAACACCCAGTCTCCTGAAAGTTTATTTAACGCATTCACACTTAAAAACTAAAAAAAGTACTCACTAGGACGTCCATAATATCGGAAATTGCAAGCGAGAGGTTCGATTCACAGGCACGGGCGAAATCTTAGGCAAGTTTCCTGACTCAGAACGCCTCTGTTTCCCGAGCAGTAAATCACTCTCCGGGGTTAACAAACACTTCAAAAAAATATTAGAGTCAGGGGCGTGTCTCAAAACAAACAGGACACCTCCTAAAATAAAGAGTTACTTTACTAAATAATAGTAATAATCCTTGCATTTGCTACGGCGCCTCATCACGTATTCACGACGTCTCAAAGCGCTTCACTGAATATACTGTAAAGTGAACTGATTGTATATTTTGTTGGTGAAATGTTGCGCACAGCGGCGTCAGTGATTATTTAAGGAATCATTACCGCTGGAAAATATGATTTCTGGGCAAAACAGCGGCGTTCACATCCACACAACACTCACCCCATCTCCACATCCACCACATTTCTGTTTGTCTTGTTCCTTGTCTCTTACCTGACAATAAAGCTGTCAAGAGAAGCAACAACCCCAGGGCAATAAGAGAAGCCATATTCCGTGTCCGGAAACCAAGGCTGTCACTGGAGAAAGGATCGAGCTTCCTCGGTTTATTTAACGGTGGACAACTAGTAAGGTGACTCGCTCCGAAGGACACTGCAGCAGCAGTAACCGAAGCTCAATACGTTCCTGGCAAGTGTGCAGGTAGACTAATATTGTTGCTATGTGCTCCTGAATTGGGTGGGGAGAAAACAAAGGTTTCTTATCGCTCAGACAAGAACAGACCTGTAGAATATGCATCGTTTTGATGCTTTCTGTTTCGTACCTGTCACTCCGTTTCCTAAGCCCTTGAGAGATGGGCCTCAGATGTCCTTCGGATGAGACATTAAACAAGGCCACATTCGTCCGGGCAGGCGTTAAAGATCCTGATCGAAAAGAGACGCTAGTTTCTGTCTCTCGGTGTCCTGTCTGTTGTCATCCTGTCTGACAATCCCCAGATAAAATTGGTCGCTCGATCCAAAACGCACAGTAAAATCTGGTGATCGCTTTGAGACGTTTCAGCGGTGTAAGAAGGTTTCGGAGCTTGTTTACGTTTACATTGGCTGATTTCCACCCCGTGATGCGTCTAAAAAAAAATGCGACACATATCAACCACCAGAACAGGTTCTGCAGCTGTGAAGGCGCACGAATCAGGAAGTGTTTCGCAGATACTTGTATCATAGAGAGCATCCTGCAGTGTGAAGGGAGAATTTAAGTTAAAAAAAAGTGTTCAGTGGAGAGGAGGGGGAATGCGAAACAAATTTCAGGGGAATTTAACAAGAATTTAGATAGAATCACCGACCTGAATTATCCAGTTCTAAAGCGAAAGACTGAACAAGTTATTCAGTGGCACAAACCAATCACAACATCCTAAAGTCATACAGAAACCCTCAGACAAGAACAACAACTTGGATTTATATAGCGCCCTCCACACCGGACGGCGTCTCTGTTTACCAAGCAGTTAGTTAGTCGATTGGCGGATCGCTTTCCGGGGATAATAATACCTCCCCCCAGAAAATGCGATCGCTCAATTCACGACTGTTTGTGGGACAATTGCTGTGTGCAATTGGCTGCCGAATTTCATAAGAACATAAGAAGACGAAGAAGAACAACAACAAAATTACATTTATAGAGCACCTTTCACATCGGGAGGACATCCCAAAGCGCTGGACAGTCAGGGGTCAGGACCTGAGCTGGGGGAAGGGTGGGGTATGGGTGAGGGAAGGCAGAGAGGTAGGAGGGCGACTGAAGGCACGATCGAAGAGGAAGGTCTTGAGACCGGACTTGAAGGAGGCGAGGGAGGAAGTGAGGCGAAGGGACTGTGGGATGGAGTTCCAGAGCGTGGGGGCAGAGAGGCTGAAAGGACGGGTCGGGGGGGAAGACATGGAACTGGCCAGAGCCCCGCTGAACGGAGGGAGCGGGCAGGTTAGTACAGAGTCAGCAGGTCAGAGATCCTCATCCTTGAAGTTGAGGACGAGGATCTTGAATTCGATCCTCTGAGGGATGTCGGGGAGGGTGGGAGGGACGGGGTCACGGAGCCTGGTGCGTGAGAGCACACGAGCTTCAGAGTTTTGGATGATCTGCAGCTTGTGAAGGGAAGAGTTGGGAAGGCCGATGGGGAGGGAGTTTCCATCCGAGCATAAGAAATAAGAAATAGGAGCAGAAGCAGGCCCTTCAGCCCCTCGAGCCTGTGCCCCGCCATTTAAGATCATGGCTGATCTTCTAACCTAATTCCACTTACCCGCCCTATCCCCATATCCCTTATCCCTTTAGTTTTTAAAAATCTATCAATCGCAGTCTTGAATATGTTCAATGACTGAACATCCACGGCCTTCCGGGGTAGAGAATTCCATAAATTCACTTTAATCTTGAGCTTATGACCCCTAGTTTTAGATTCTCCAACCAGGGGAAGCAGTCCCACACTATCTACTCTGTCAAGACCCTTCAGAATCTTACAGGTTTCTATAAGATCACCTCGAATTCTTCTACGTTCTAGAGAATGTAGGCCGAGTCTACTCAACCTCCCCTCGTAGGTCAAACCCTTCATGCCAGGAACCAATCTAGTGAACCTACGTTGCCCCCCCTCCAAGGCGAGTATATCCTTTCTCAGCTAAGGAAACCAAAATTGCACACAATATTCCAGGTGCGGTCAAAACGCACAGTCACAAAACGAAAAGCACACCGTCAATCCACCTCACAATCTATTCTGTTGTGTTCCTCACAAGGTAACCATCACCGTTGCTTAAGAGTCTCCAAAGCAAGCTGAGAGAGGACATGGACCTCCCAGAGATAGATGGTTGGAACTGAACGTGCTCTCTCCCCACCCCCCCCCCCCCCCGGAGGGACGCTCCCTGCTTACGTCTCGAAGCCCCGCTACGTCAAAAGCAAGGATTATTATTATTATTGATTGTCGAATGAGTTTCGAAACCGCGGGGGGCGGGTGGGCGGGTGGTGGGCGTTGGGTACTAAGGGAAAGTGCTCTTCGTGCACGATACACGCAGGAAGCAACATGGGTTGGTTACCATTGGAAATGAGGTCCAAAAATGACTGTGGTTTGTACAGATTGTGCTGTAATTCAGCGGATACATTACAGCCCTTGAAACCGCAGTTTCCTGTCGAGAGTCCTGACGAGAGGTGGAGGTCAGGTAAGTGGGACAAAGCTCTGACACCGGAGGCCCACCCCCCCCCCCCCCCCCCACCCCGCGCTGTCTAACAAATCCAGAGCCGCAGAGCGACAGGGCCGGTGGGACTCTTTTTTTAAACAGCCCCTCGTCGAGACGAAACGTGGCAAAGAAACAGCCGCAGAAAAGCGCGGCGTGACTGTTTTCTTTAAGCCAATGTGGGGGAGGGAGAGAAGGGGGGAGGGAGGGAGGGAGGGAGGGCGCTCAGGATCCTTGGCCTAAAATCTGGTGCATGAGCTTCCGCGCACTTATAAATAATTTGCATTTTCACACGCTCAGGCAGGTGCCATGGTGCAAAGCGCAATGCAACCACCCGCCCGTGTTTCCGAAGCGCCCGTCAACGAATGAGCATTCAGCTCCTTTGCGGTCTGTCACACATTTTCCACTGGCTGCCCCCGGTCGTGTGACATAGGCTGCGTGTCTCTCGCACGCCGCGCGTCCGACTCACCATCCCGCCATCTCACCGAGATGAACGGCCTGATGCTGCTCGCGGCGTGCGCCTCGCTCGGTATTGCAGGTCGGTGCTTTTAGTTTGATTAAACATCACGGTACAAGTGGGGTTTTATTTCCCACCTTCTCTCTCTCTCTCTCTCTCTCAAAGACGGCGAGTTTTATAGCACGGCACACGGTTCGAGTTCCGTAAGCGTGGTGGTCAGCGCCCTAACCCCGCAAGCGAGAGGACCCGAGCTTGATTCCCGGGCGGCTTGAAACCTTGGGCAAGTCTCCTTACTCCACACAAAGACACGCCTCTGTTCTTACGCAGCAGTAAGTAGGGACTCAGGTGTTAGTCGATTGGCGGATCGCATTCCAGAGATAATAATTCCCTTCAAAAAAAAAATGCGGTGACTTAATCCACAACTGTTTGTGGGACGCTGCTGTGCGCCGTGTTTCGCCCCCGAGATAGTCACAACACGTTCGAGTATATCCTGTGCAAAGTGCGTGAGGTTTGAAAGCTCTTAGAGACCTCTCAACCACATAATCAGGTGCCGTATCTAACGATAATCCTTGCTTTATTGTTAGACAATAACTATTATTATTATTTTATCATCTAACAGAACGGCAGAACAGGCTCGTGGGGCTGAATGGCCTACTCCTGTTCCCATGTTCCCCGTGTTTCGAGCTGCAGTTGTTGAGCAACCGAGAGAAAGGCTTTGTTGAGTTTCTGTGCCCGTGCGTTTGCTGTTTCAGGAAGGGCCTTCGGGCTGAAGGTTACTCAGCCCGGGCAGAGCCTGGTGTTGCTGAGAGGGGACGCAGCCATGTTGCAGTGCTTCTTTGAGTACAGCGGGGGTCAGCCTGGACTGGCGTCGACCGTGTGGTACAGGGAGACGCCAAGCAAAAGCGAAATCAGCGAGACCAATGCTCTGTACTCTGGTCGGGTGATCAAACCCACAGCTCGGGACCTGGCACACGGGAGGAACGCCTCACTGACCCTCAGTAACGTCACGGTGCAGGACACCGGCGTCTATTACTGCACCGTCAAGGTCACGATCCCGGGAGAGGGCAGAATGGAGAATGGCACAGGCAACGGAACCCACTTACTGGTGAGAGGTGAGCGAGACTTGCTGGAGAGAGCCAGAGGGATGGGTGGGGTAGGGGAGGCGGGGGGAGGGGGGGGTGGGGGGGGAGGTGAAAGCCGGGGGAATGGGACAGCAGGAGATCACAAACTGCACAGATTGTCACGCTATTAACGACGATAACAAATAATAATAATAATCCTTGCATTTGAATTCTTATCACATCGTCGAGACGTCTCAAAGCGCTTCACAGAACATAAAGTGGAATGACTGTACACTCTGTGGGTGAAACGGCGTCACACAAACGGTCGTGGATTGAGTGACCAAATTATTATTATTATTTGAAGGGATTATTAGGCGATTACAGTAAAACTCTCATAAGTCATATCAGTTGGGACCGTACATTGAATATGACTTTCGCAGAGTATGAGTTATGCGAAACTTATCAATAATATTTTTTTATCATTATTATATTATTATAATAGGAAATTCAATGGGACTTGGGCAGATGTGCAACTTAGGCGATACGATTTATAACAGATCAGACTTGGGGTGAGTTTATCACTTTGGCAATCACCTAAATCGTGCTGCCCGAGTCTTGTTAAAGTTCCTGGTTGTTAGTCGATTGGCTGATCGTTTTTTCCGGGCGTATTAATCTGTTCCAAAAAAATAATAATGTGGTCGCTCAATCCGTGACTGTGTGTGGATCAGTAACTGCTGTGCGCAATTGGCTGCCGCGTTTTGCACGTACAATATACAGTCAATTCACTTTACGGTGTATTCCGCGCGATTGATTAGGTAATGAATTAAGTAAGTGATTAATTGAGAAGGAAAATGGAGAAAAGAGGGATTGAGGGAGAGCGTTGGGAGAGTTCCAGGGACTGGATTTAATAATAATAATAATAATAATAATCCTTGCATTTGATATAGCGCTTTTCACGTCGGAAGGACGTCCCAAAGCGCTTCACAGAACACACTGTAAAGTGAATTGACTGTAAATTTGTGGGCGAACGCGGCAGCCAATTGCGCACAGCAATGTCCCACAAACAGTCGTAGATTGAAAATGCCAATTTTATTATTGTTTTTGGTTTTTTGGAGGGATTATTATTAGGCTCCGTGTGGAGTAAGGAAACTTGCCCAAGGTTTCGACCTGCCTGGAATTGAACTCAGGTCTCTCGCTTGCAAAGCGAGTGCTCTAACCACTGAGCTACAGGACTCCACGATTTGGTGCCAGAGTGCAACCTTTTGCTCTTTCCTTTGGCCCAGCTCCCCCGGCCCCTCCGAGGATATCAACAGAAACCCTGGGGTCGCAGGTTGTCAGTGTGACCTGCAAGACATCTGGCTTCCACCCCAGAAACATCAGCCTGGTGTGGCTGCTGAACAACAGGTCAGTCACTGACAGTGGGACTACTGTCCTGACACAGGAACCCGACTCGACCTACTCAGCTTCCAGCGTGTTCAACGTCACCCAGACTGGCCTTCGCCCTGATGTAAGCCCCCAGGCCATCTTCGCCCAGTGCCAAGTTCTCCACCAGACCTTGCAAACTCCTTTGAGAAGTGAAAGGATTCAGCTGCGAGTTGCCCAACCCAGTGAGTAAACAACATCCCTCAGTTAGTCTGTACAGGGTTGAATCCCCGCATTAACCTCTGTCCCCCACCCCATCACCCCAGCCCTCGCCAGGCTCCACTGGCTCCCTCTCATTCGTCTCATCCTGCTTGTCCCTCATCCCCTCTGTTTCCATCATCAGTGGTCCCGGGTTGTCAGTGTGACTACTCTTTCAGTCACTACTCCCCGAAATCCTGGAACAATCTTCCTCTTCCTTGCCCCCTTCCTTCTCCATCTTCAGGTTGCGCTTGAAGACCTTCCCCTTCGACTGTGCCTACGGTCACCCTCCCCTGCCCTCTGGCATCAGGCTCTGCCACTGCCCAGTGGTCTGGGACACTACCCCGGGTGACAGGTACTATATATGTACACATGGTCGCTGAATCCATCTGCCCTGAGCTAGACAGCTTTCATTGAACACCACTTCCTGAAAGATCAGGTTAGCTCAGCTTACAGCAAGCGCTCTCACCACTGTGGCGAGAGGTTGCGAATGCGAGGCCCCAGGTCTGCATTTAACTCACAGCGTGGACCACAGAATGAATTGGCATTAAAAGCCGTCCTTTTGAGAGAAGAGGTTAAATGGAGGGTCTGTCTGTCTGAACCGGTTGACGTTAAATATCCTGCGATGCTATTATTAGTAATGACAAGCCCTGCATTTGATGTAGCGCCTAAATCGCACAGTCGAGACATCTCAAAGCTCTTCACAGGATATACTGTAAAAGTGTCGTGACTGTTTATTTGTCGACAGAGGTGGCTGCCCAGCAGTGACCCACAAACGGTGATGGTGTGAGTGACCAATTTTATTTGGGGGGATTGTCAGCCAGGCCACTGAGAGAGAGAAACTCCCTTCTCTTTTCGAATAGCGCCTTAGGATCTTTGACGTCCACCTGTACAGGCAGACGGGAGCTCTGACAATGCAATAGCCCACCCCCCCCCCACCGGAGCGTCAGCTTAGACTATGGGGCTTGAACCCACAATCTTCTGACTCAGAGAGCAGAGTGCAACCGAATAACAGCATAACAGGCTGACAGAGCGAGCTGCAAAACCACGTGTTGTCTCATGGATCATCTAAATATAATGAAGACGTGTCAAAGCGAATGCAAGGATGATTATGATTATTATTTACCTAGGGATTAATATTTTATGTGAACTCTACACAACAGGTCTGAATACTCCCCTTGTGATCGGCTTGATAAGCGTCTGTGTTCTGGCTCCGGCCCTGATTGGTATTGCTTACTATTTACTTCGAAAAGAAGGTAAAACCCGTGACAAGGCAAGGTTACTGTAACCGGCAGTGAGAGAGTTACTTACACCAATGCAATATCACACTTACACAGCGCCTTTCACGTCAAGAGGACGTCCCAAAGCGCTGGACCTGAGCCGGGGGTCAGGATCGGGATCAGGATCAGGAGTGTGTGGGTAGGAGGGTGACCGAAGGCTCGGCCGAAGAGGTTTTGAGCCACTCCTTGAAGGAGGCGAGGGAGGGAGCGAGGCAAAGGGAATGTGGGACGGAGTCCCACAGGGTGGGGGCAGAAAGGCGCATTGGTCAACGGTGGGACGGGCCGGGCAGGAGCAAGGGGCCAAGGTTCTGGACCTGCCTTGGTAAGGTGGAGTGTGCATCCCTGGACGGTGATGCTGTCAGTACATCAGAGATGAGAGAATGCTGTGACACGGCAGAATTAATAATAATAATCTTTGCACTTAACGCAGCATCTTATTACATCGTCGAGACGTCTCAAAGCGCTTCACAGTATAGTGGAGTGACTTCATATTTTGTGAGCAAAACATAGCAGCAAAATTGCACACAGCAGCGTCCCCACAAACAGCCGTAAAGTCATCGAATAATTTAATTTGAATTTGGGGGATTTCAGACCTGGACACCGGGGGAGAGAGAGATATATATATAGAGAGAGAGAGAGAGAGAGAAAAACTCTTCTCTCTTTTTGAGTAGCGCTGCGGGATCTTTAACGTCCACCTGAAACAGGCAGACGGTTTAACATCGCATCCGAAGTACGAGGCGCTAAGCAACAAACCGAATCACATTGTAACGCGGTGCAATTGCTTTCACAGAGATACGCCAAGTTCCAGAGAGAAGTTCGCACACTGTAAGTAGATTTTTTTTGGGGGGGTGGGGGGGGGGGTGGCGCGTCAGGTCAAAAGCAGACTGAGATTTCCACATATGTGTGTCACCAACACGTGGAAATTTCCCTGCGTCTGGAATGCAATGCACACTCTCTCCCCATCAGCGTTGCTTAACAGTCTCCAAACCAGGCTGAGATTTCCATGCATCCCATTTCCTTGGAAATTCCAGCGATAGATTGTTGGAATGAATACTCTCCCTGCAGATAAGTGCCCAGCTCGCCTAATTCCGGAGAGTATGAGGCACAGGGCTTTGTGGCTTGTGGTTAATGGGAACTAAATGGGAAGAATCTCTACTCCCAATACTAAAATTAATTCTTGCATTTGATATAGCGCTTTATTGCATCTCCGAGACGACTCCAAGCACTTCACAAAACATAATCGAAAGTGAATCGACTGTATATTTGGTGGGCGCAATGCGGCAGCAAATTGCGCCCAGCGGCGTCCCACAAACAGTCGTGGATTGAATGACCCATTTATTTTATTTTTTTGGAAGGAATTATTACCCCGCGGAAAGCCATCCGCTAATTGACGAGCAACCAGGTTCCTACTTATCGCTAGGCAAACGGAAGCGTGCGGGTAAGGAAACTTGCCCAACCTTTTGCCCTGCCGGGAATCGAACCCAGGTCTCTTGCTTGCGAGGCGAGCGCCCTAACCACTGAGTTACAGGACTCCAAGCAACAATTACACAGAGCCTTTCACGTTGGGAGGACATCCCAAGGCGCTGGACAGGTAAGGAATCGCACCTGATCTGGGGATGACAATTTTTTTGTTAATTTTTCCGAAGGTGGACTGGACGGACACAATAAACCCAATCTACGCCACAATCAAATTCTCAGATTGAAACAGAAAAGACGTTCCCACAGGGAGTTCTGCCCACGAATTGAATGAGCGTAAGGTTTCGAGCTTACCTTACCTTACTTGCTGTGAAGGGCATCTCCAATCAGGACATCGGAAAGATTATTCATTCTTTTGATCGTCTGTAAATTCAAAAAATGAAAAATTTGTAGAGGCAGAACAGTTAATAGGACTGCGTGATGTCAAGAAATATTTGTTTATGCACCAAACCAGAAAAACAAGTACGTGTGCAGAGATTAGAGACATTCAGAGAAATGTTATCTGTCAGCTCAAGATGCGTAACGAGGAGTTGGCTGGTGTTATCAGTGGGAAACAGAGTGGTTTCATGTCCCAACATATAGTGTAAATACAGCATTTTTGTGTATGGAACTATAGCCGACAACCAAGTATTATTTTATTTCCATGTGTATATAACCAATAAAAAAAAACCTTGTTTTGGCCCAAACTGTCCTTGTCAAGCCGGTGTTTATCCTGCAATAAAAGTAGAATTTATTTCTTACAGAAAGCACAACCTGCCCCCAAATACTGGGTGTTTGCTGTCCTGAAAAGGAAACATACGAACAGGAGGCCATTCAGCGCCTCGTGTCTGTTACGCCATTCTATAAGATTTTGGTTGATCCTCCAATTACCCGCCTTTGCCCTGTTATCCCCGGATACACTTACCTAACAGTGCCTTGATATGGATTCTGAATGGATCCAGGAGCCACGGCATTTGGGGAAGAGAGTTCCACAGAGGGCGAGAAAGCAGGTCAGAGAGATAGGGAAGTGTGAAAGGATTTGTACGCAAATGAAAGGATCTTGAAATCGATCTGTTCTGTGATAGGGAGCCGGTGGAGCCTGGCGAGGGCTGGGGTGATGGGGGTACAGGGTTTAGTGTGTGTGTTAGGGAGCCGGTGGAGCCTGGCGAGGACTGGGGTGATGGGGGTACGGGTTAGTGTGTGATAGGGAGCCAGTGGAGCCTGGCGAGGGCTGGGGTGATGGGGGTACAGGGGTTAGTGTGTGATAGGGAGCCGGTGGAGCCTGGCGAGGGCTGGGGTGATGGGGGTACAGGGGTTAGTGTGTGATAGGGAGCCAGTGGAGCCTGGTGAGGGCTGGGGTGATGGGGGTACAGGGGTTAGTGTGTGCGATAGGGAGCCAGTGGAGCCTGGCGAGGGCTGGGGTGATGGGGGACAGAAGTTAGTGTGGGTTGGAATACGGGCAGCGCAGTTCTGAATCAGTAGTTTGGTTTGGAGGAGTTGGAGGACATTGGGTCCAGTCGAGGCGGGAGGTTATGAAGGTGGAGATGAGGGTTTCAAGTGTGTCGAGTGTAACAGTCTCGAAACACCACATAAAGTGTTGACACACGGAATACGTTTATTTTTTATTCACACAGATTTATATATAAAAAAAATCAGTACAAACAGGGAGACAGACGTGTAAACAGCTCTGTGTACAGAGCCAAGACGGGCTCCTACGCATTGTCACGAACGACAAACACGAGTGTGCAAGGCACGGGGACGTGCAAATAAATACAATTAATAGTGCATCTCTCTATCTGGCTAACAGCTGGAATGAGTGTATATAAAAACAGAAGTGGCCGGGAAACACTCAGCGGGTCAGGCAGCATCTACGGAGAGAGAGGAGAAAGTGAGTTCACCTTTCAGGTCGATGGCCTTTCTTTCATCAGTGGTCATCGGTCTGACGAAAAGCTCTCCATAGATGCTGCCTGACCTGCTGAGCGCTCCCGGACACTTCTGTTATTGTTTCAGATATCCAGCATCTGCAGTATTTTGGCTTTGGGAATCATTGGGTGTTTTATTTTCACTACGGGCAAGAACCAGCTTGTTGGGGAGGGGAAAAGGCATTTAAATAGACAAGCAATATCAGTCGCTCTCTCTCACTTTATTCTCCATTAACTGAAGCAGATTTTTCTGTTGGTCAGCCGGGTGTCTGACACGCGCGGAAACCCATCACCGTGCTTAAGGGTCTGCAAACCAAGCTGAGAATTCCACGGATCCCACCTACGCCTGGAAATCCCAGCGGTAGATTGTTGGAAAGGAACGCGCTCTCTCTCCCTCTCTCTCTCTCTCTCTCTCTCTCTCTCCCTGGAGGGATGCATTCCCTGCTGTCCTCGTTCTGGGGAGTATCAGGCGCAGGTTGGCAAGAGGCAAGGCTCGGGGGACACCGTAGGGTGTGTGCTGGGGTGACTTAACGCGTTGTGTTGCGTTGCTGACCTCTCACCAGCTAAAACCCTTCCCTCTCCGCTCAACACAACAACTGTTAGGGAGGGCATTGGAGTAAAAGTGCACACACGCACACGCACACACGCACACACATATGTATCTGCAGTCAAAAAGCAGGTTCGAGCGAGGCGGATAAAACACAATATTTCCGAGCTCGAAAGTTCCGAGGCCCGGACTCATTCTCGAGACACGTCGGAAGGGCAAACAGAAATAAAATGATGGCTTCTCGGATAAAATTTCACTTAAAGAAGGAGCAGTTGGTCACTGAACCCAAACACCATCTCAGGGTGACTTAGGGGCCAATAGATCAGAAAAGGACTCACAAAACGACTCACCAACGCAAGGTTTGGACCCGGTTGGGTGAGTGTTTAAGACTACCTGGATCTGCGTAGTTGACTCGAAGTAGTGTCTTAATAACAATAATAATCCTTGCGTTTAATACAGCACCTTATCACATCATCGAGACGTCTCAAAGCGCTTCACAGGATATACACTGTAAAGTGGAGTGACCGTGTATTCTGCGGGCGAAACGCAGCAGCGTCCCACAGACAATTGGGAATTGAGGGATAAGGCGCAAGGGTCAAATGCAAGGGTTAGTAAGGGATATTAGGATTATTTCTGGAGCGTGCCGACAGGTTTCTTTCTGAGCTGCCAGAGGTGGCCCTGGATTGTCAGGGCGTCCACGTTGGCAGACATTGTCTTGGAGGGGATGGGTTGGAACTGTTTGCGATCGGAGTTGTACTTGTACAGGTTCTCGATCATTTTCTTCTGGATGCTGCGTGGCCCTGAGCCGGCCAGTTTGTGGATCTCCTCCATCTCGGGGCAATAGGAATAGAGGGCCCGGAACTGGCACTGGTGGTCACGGAACAGAATCACGCACTGGTTCAGCCCACACTTCTCCAGCTCCTGTAACACCAACACACGATCAGATCAACGCCAACGCACAATCAGAGTAACACCAACACACAATCAGAGTAACACCAACACACAATCAGAGTAACACCAACACACAATCAGAGTAACACCAACACACAATCAACACCAACACACAATCAGATCAACACCAACACACAATCAGAGTAACACCAACACACAATCAGAGTAACACCAACACACAATCAGCTCAATACTAACACCAACATACAATCAACTAACTCATCAACAACAACTCACTCACTCACTCACTCACTCACTCACTTACTCACTCACTCAACAGCTTACATTTACGCAGCACCTATCCCGTTGGGAGGACGTCTCAAAGCGCTTCACAGGGTTTGCTGTAAAGGGTTTTGTAGGCGAACGAGACAGCCACCAAGTGCACGAACAGCAGATCGTGTTCACGAGCTACACCTGAGGCAGAGCGGCAGCGGAGACTGTTTTGCTCAACCGAGTGTCTTGACACCCGCGGAAACTCATCACCGTCACTTAAGAGTCTCCAAACCCCAACTGAGAATTCCAGGCATCCCACCTACACATGGACATCCCGGAGAGAGATTGTAGGAACAGAATGCGCTCCCCCCCTCTCTCTCTCTCTCTCTCTCTCTTTCTCTCTCTCTCCCTGGAGGGACGCACCCTGCTGACCGAATTCCAGAGAGCATTAGGCGCAGGTTGGCAAGGGCTGAGATCTTGGAGAGCCCAGAGTGTGTGTTGGGGTAACTGCTGGAGTCTGACCAGCTACAACCATTGATATCGCTGTCACAGTGACTGCGTTGAGAGCTAGGCCACTCACTCACCTCGATCATGATGCTTCTCTGAGACTCATTAGCTTTGCCGGCCAGACAGCAGTGGTTCAAGGCGTTGTGCAGAATGAGCCGGTTGGATTTGGCGCTGGGCTCCTTAAACATCCGCAGACCTGGGCGACAGACCAGAGACAGTATGCACAGAGTCACGCAGCTCCCATTTGCACCGAGAGACTGCCTTGCACTTAAAAGCACCACAGCATCGACAACACTACCACCACCGGCGCACCCCTCAGACAGGATAGCCTCTCGGAGCTCACCGCACCAACGTTACGCTTAAAAGCGTCGCAGAAACGTCAGGCAGAGACGGATCACAAAGCTGCATTTAATAATAACAATCTTTGCACTTGAAAAAAGCGCCTTATCACGTTGCTGAGGCGCTTCACAGAATATCCTGTAAAGTACAGTGACCGTGTGATTTTGTGGGCGAAACACGACAGCCAATTGCGCACAGCAGTGTCCCACAAGCAGTTGTGGATTAAGCGACCGCATTTTTTCGGGGGTCTATTGCCCCCGGAAAGGGCTCCGTCAATGGACTAACAACCAGGTTCCTGATTACTGCTTGGTCAACAGAGGCGTGCGTGAAGTGGAGTAAAGGGAAGGTTTCGCACCGCCCGGGTGAACTCGCTTCACCATTATCCTCTCCCCCCCCCCCGTGCCCCCGTCCCAGCCTATAGCTCAGTGGTTAGACGTCCGCCAGACCTCCATGTGATTCTCGCGCAGGGCGAAATGTTGGGCAACTTACTCCACACACACGCACGCGCCTCTGTCTACCTGGCGGTAAGCAAGAACCGACTGTTAAGTCAATTGGCGGATCGTTTCTTCTGATGGCAATAATTCCTTCCCCACAAAAAAAGAATAATAATAAAATACTAAATAATACTGATTAAAAACAAGTCAATCCACGACTGTTTTTGGGGGGGGGAAGCTGTTGTGCGCAATTGGCTGCCGAGTTTCGCCCACAGAATATGCAGTCACCACACTTTACAGTATATTCTCTCAAGCGCTTCGAGACGTCTCGAAGATCTGAGGAGGGGCGCTGTGTCAAATGCAAGGATCATCATTATTATGATTATTATCATTATTATAATTATTATAATTATTGTAATTATTGTAATTATTGTAATTATTATAATTATTATTATGAGTACTATGATTAATATGATTATTGTGATTATTAGGGTTATTAGGATTATTATCCTCCTCCTCGGTGAACGGCCCAGGTACCTGGTGACTCTGTGGCTGGGTGTCTGTCCTTCTCCGCAGTGGGAGTATTGCTCAGGATCAGGGTCCTGGACATGGTGGACGCAGCCTCTGGCTGCTGCTCCCTGAATAAGCCACAAACAGAACCTTAACACAAGTTATTTTCTGCCCGACCGGGTGTCTGACACACACACACACAAGAAAATCCATCGCCGTTGCTTAAGAGTCTCCAAACCCAACTGAGAATTCCATGGATCTCACCTCCATCTGGAAATCCCAGAGATAAATTGTTGGAATGAATGTGCTCTCTCTCTCTCTCTCTCTCTCTCTCTCCTGGGATGCATCCGGCTCACCTAATTCCAGAGAGTATTAGGCGCAGGTTGGCGAGAGCCCAGAGTGTGAGTTGGGGTAACTGCTGGGGTCTAACCAGCTGAAACCTCGGTGTCTGGTAGGGTTGGGGACTTCCTGCTCCTGCTCCTGCTTGCAGTGCGCACGCCATCCTGCAATTCCAACTTGGACAAGACATCTGTCCCCCATTCCACATCTGTCCACTCGCCACCCCCACACCCCATAGGAGCAGGAGGAAACCATTCAGCCCTTCGAGCCTGTTCCACCATGCAATTACATCATGGCTGATCTGCACCTCAACTCCGATCACCCGCGTCCTGATTCCTAACTGGCCTCAGCTCCAATTTGAAGGTGATTCCCCCCTTGTTCTGGATTCCAGCGCCTTGGGACGTCCTCCCGACGTGAAAGGCGCTCAATAAATGGAATCTTGTTGTTGTTGTTGTTGTTGGATTCCCCCCCCCACACACACACACACCAGAGGATATGGTTTCTCTGTAGCTAACGGCAATACTTACTCGTCTGCCGGGAATCCATCCTCACAGACCTGGGTGTGTGGAATTGTTCCTGTTAATAAGAGAATAACTCTGGTTCGCAGCCCACCATAATGGCCACAACACATCACATTCACACAGCGCCTTTCACGTCAGGAGGACCTCCCAAGGCGCCGGATTTGGACCCGAGCTGAGGGGTGGGATCAGGAGGGGTGGGTGGAGGGCGGGGAGGGTAGGGGCAGGAGGGTCGACCGAAGGTGTCGTCGAAGTGGAGAGTCTTGAGAACGTGACTTGAAGGAGGCAAGGGAGGGAAGCGAGGAGAAGGGACTGTCTGATTCACAGTCACTACACTTTACAGCATATTCCGTGAAACGCTTTGAGAGCCAACAACGTGATAAGGCAAGGATTCCTATTATATTCTGCGTTTCAGACCAATTTTTCTCTTGAAGATCTTATTGTCATCATGTATTATTATCATAAGAATTATTATTGTTATTAAACTTGTGACCCATTCCCACGAACCCCTCATGGAAAGGGCCGGTCTGTGTCGCCACCTCGTGATCAGGGAGAGAATAGCCTCTCAGCGTAAAGCAAGAATCTTTCTTCCAGCATTTATCAGATCTAAAACACCTTAAAACTCTCCCGAGCCTCTGACTGTCGGCTGTAGGCAGAACGCAGCAGCACAACAATGTCTTGCAAACCTCTCTTGTGGCGTGATTTAGCGTCCGACCGAACAGGCACAGATATTTATCATTGATATTAATAATAATCTTAAGTAACGATCATTCGACATCGAACCTCGTCACATCCCATCGTTGAAACGTCTCAAAGCGCTTCACAGAATCCACTGTAAAGTGCAGGGACTGTGCATTTGTAGATAATAACATAGCGTATATTTCACACAGCACCTTATCAAAGCGCCGCACCTACTGTATGTATATTGTAAAGTGTAGTGACTGTGTCTTTTGGGGGGCAGAACGCAGCAGACGTGGATTGAGTGACCAAATTTATCTGGGGGGTGGTTTTCGGCCAGGACACTGGGAGGAATTCCCTTCTCTTTATGAATAGCGCCGTGGGATCTTTAAAGGTCCAACTGGACAGACAGACGCTCAATTTAATGTCCCGTCCGAAGGACGACACCTCCAAACAATGCAACGATCTCTAACATCTTTTAACTGATGTGAGTCTTGAGCCCTGGTGATGTGATTGAGAGACCAGTGTTACTGACCGACATAAATAAATGATAATAATGACACTTGCATTTGATATAGCGCTTTACCACATCATTGAGACGCCTCAAAGCGCTTCGCAGGATGTACTATGATGGCCCATCGTGCGCAGCAGTGTCCCACAAACGGTGAGGGAGTTACTTTGGGGGACAGGGAGAGAGAGAGAGAGAGTAACTCCCTTCTCTTTTCCAATAGCATCTTTAATATCCGCCTGAACAGGGAGACAGGCTGCGCGTCTCGTCCGAATGACGGCACTTCTGACGATGCAACACCCCCCCCAGTGCTGCGTTGGAGCATCAGCTTAGACTAAGAGATTCCGAGTCCCGATGTGGGGGCTCGAACCCACAACCTTCCGACTCGGAGACGAGAGACGAGAGAGAGAGAGAGAGAGAGAGACCGACTGAGCCAGGCCGAGACGTTGTGACCCAGACTCTGTGGCTTTGCGGTGACTGGGTTACTCACTTGCTTTCAGTCCGGACTTGGACAGTCCTGAGTCGGTGCCCGGCCTCTGACGCACGACCACAGCCTCCTCCTTCCTGAGCCGGATCTCTCTGGCTCTCCGTCTGCTCACAGAGGGAGCAGAGATAACCGGGGCCGGGGTGGGGAGGGGGGGAGAGAGATAATAAGTCACCGATCATGGGGAGGGAGATAGAGGGTGGGAGAGCAGAAGGGGTAGGGGTAGGAAGGGAGAGAACAGGTGGGGAAGAGGAGGGTAGGGGGGGAAAAGGAGGGGCAGGGGGAGAGGAGGGGTAGGGGGAGAGGACGGGTAGGGGGGAGAGATGGGTTACAGGGGGAGGGGTGGGGTAGTGGGGGGAGAGCAGAGGTAGGGAGGGGAGAGGAGGGATGGGGGCGAGAGTAGGGGTAATGGGGAGAGGAGGGGTATGGGGGAAATGAGGAGGGGTAACGAGATGGGGGGAGAGGATGGGCAATGGGATGGGGGAAGAGGATGGGTAATAGGATGGGAGAGAGGAGGGATAGGGGGAAAAACAACAACAGGATTACGTTTGTATAGCGCCTTTCACGTCAGGAGGACGTCCCAAGGCGCTGGACAGTGTACAGCATTGCAGACCCGAGCTGGGGTTGGGGGGGGGGAGAAGGGCAGGGAGGGGAAGGGGGTGGTCGACGGCATGGTCGAAGAGGAGGGTCTTGAGGTGGGACTTGAAGGAGGCTAAGGAGGGGGCGAGACAGAGTGACTGGGGGTTGGAATTCCAGAGGTTGGGGGCAGAGTGACTGAAGGCTCTCCCGCCAATGGTGGGGCGGGTGGGTCGGGGGACGAGGAGCAATGTTACGGAGGTGAGGGAAGGCAGAGCGGGTCATGGCTTGGATGTGGGTGCTTGGATCATTCAGAACTCATTCAGAACTCTGCAGCTCGTGTACTGTCCCGCACTAGGCTTCGCGACCACATCACTCCCACCCTCGCTCCCCTCCACTGGCTCCCCATCCCCCAGAGGATTGATTTCAAGATCCTCATCCTCACCTACAAGGCCATTCACGGCCTCGCTCCCTCCTACCTCTCCAACCTACTATCCCCCTACCTACCTGCCCGTACCCTCCATTCCTCCGGCTCCGGTCTGCTCCACGTCCCCCGCCCCAACCGCCCTACCATCGGTGGCCGGGCCTTCAGCCTCTCAGCCCCGAGGCTCTGGAACTCCATCCCCCAGTGCCTTCGCCGCTTCCTCCCTTTCCTCCTTCAAGGCCGGTCTCAAGACCTTTCTCTTTGACCGAGCATTCAGGTCCCCTCTCGACTCTTCCCCCTTCTCGCTCCCTCCCTCCCCTCCCCTCACCCTGACCATTTCCCCCCTCCTCGCTCCCTCCCTTCCCTCCCCTCACCCTGACCATTTCCCCCCTCCTCGCTCCCTCCCTTCCCTCCCCTCACCCTGACCATTTCCCCCCTCCTCGCTCCCTCCCTTCCCTCCCCTCACCCTGACCATTTCCCCCCACTGCTCGGGTCATGACCCAACTGTGCAGCGCCTCGGGACGTCCTCCTGACGTGAAAGGCGCTTTATAAATGGAATCTTGTTGTTGTTGTTGTTGTTGTGGGGGAGAAAAGACAGTTGAGGATCGAACAAGACACCCGGGTTCCTGATGGCTGGTGAGTTGTGGTGAGCAACCATGGAGGGTGACGCTGCCAGAGCCTGAGGTGCTGAGGCACTGGCGTGAGCCGATCGGGAGGGCCTCAGTCTTGTTCACGTTCAACTGTAGGAAATTTGCCCTCATCCAGGACTTGATGTCCCACCGCAGTCTGTCAGGACAGCAGTGCTCCTGGAGTTGAGGGTGGAGGCAGAACGATAGAGTTGGGTGTCATCCGCATACGTGTGGAAGTTGACCCCATGTCTGCGGGTGATGTCAATGGGGAGGCTGTAGACATCAAAGAGGAGAGGGCCAAGGACAGAGCCCTGGGGGACGCCAGACATGACAGTGCGGGGGCTGGAGGAGAAACCGTTAGAGGCAATGGAGGGGATGGGGGGGGGGGGGAGGACTCACCGAGCCTGTTCCCGCTGGCGTTCCTGGTCGCTCTCTTGCTGTTCCCGCCGGAGCCTGGCCCCCTCGCTCCGCTGCTGCTGCTTGAGGATGAAGAGCGCTCGTCTGTGTGCTACCGTGTCCTGGCGACAGAGGCAGCAATGGTTACAGCACCTGCCCACCACCCCCCCCCCCCCACCCCACAACCCCATCACACAGGCCCTCTCCACCCCCAACCCCCTACGTCACACAGGCCCTGCGCCCCCACCCTCATTCCTGTCCCCGCTCCCCAACTCTCTGTCATTCCCGGCTCAAGCCATTCACCCAACGCACACTCCCCCCCCCAAAGCCTTGGCCCTTGCCAACCTGTGCCTAATACTGTCCGGAATTAGGGGTAAGCAGGGCGCGTCCCTCCAGGGGGGGAGAGAGAGAGAGAGAGAGAGAGAGGGAGACAATCTAGCGCTGGGATTTCCGGGTGTGGGTGGGATCCATGGAATTCTCAGCTCGGTTTGGAGACCCTTAAGCGACGGTGTCGGGGTCCGGTGCGCGTCAGACACCCGGCTGACCCCGAACACGTTTCAAAGCGCTTCGCGGGCTGCACTGTAAAGTGGAGTGACTGTACGTCTTGTGGGGGAAAGGGGCCCAATTGCGCACAGCAAACAGTCGTGGATTGAGTGACCAATTTTTTTGGGGGGAAGGGGTTAGTAACCCCAGAAAGCGATCTGTCAATCGACTAACAACCGTGTTCCCATTTACCGCTGTGCGTGTGCGGGTGTGTGGGTGTGTGTGTGTGTGGTGTTTGTGGTGTCTATGTGGTGTGTGTGTGATGTGTGTCTGTTGGGTGTGTGTAGTGTTTGTGGTGTGTGTGTTATGGTGTGTGTGTGTGTGTGTGTGTGCACACGCGTGTGTGGTGTGTGCCTGTGGTGTGTATGGTGTGTGCATGGTGTGTTTGTGGTGTGTGTGATGTGTGTGTGTGCGTGTGGCGTAGTTTGTGTGTGTGGTGTGTGTGTAGTGTGGTGTGTGTGTGTGTGCGCGTGTGTGTGGGTGTGGTGTGTGTGCGTGTAGTGTGTGTGTGTGTAGTGTGTGTGCATGTGGTGTGTGTGTGTGTGTGCGTTTGGTGTGCGTGTGGTGTGCGTGTGGTGTGCGTGTGGTGTGCGTGTGAGTGCGTGTGGTGTGTCGAGTGCTCGAATCACTGCGCCACAGGACTCCACAGAGTCAGGTGGTCCGAGTTTGGACGGTCTCTCACCGCGGCTGCGCTTGGTGTTGGTTTGGGGGTCTCCCGTCCCCCGGGGTCTGGTCGGAGCTCGGGGGACCCCCGGCTCAGCCCCTCCAGCTCCGACTGCACCACATTCAGGCTCCGGTTCAACTCCTCCAAACCGGCCCCCTCCCCCGCTTCGGGGTCGCCCCGGGCCTCGCTCCGCAGCCCCCACTCCGGCCACACCCGGTGCCCGTTTGCGGGGGGCTCGCCGGGAACCTCCCTGTCCTCCCGGCCCCCCTCCGCAGCCCCAGCCAGCAGAGCAAACGCCTCCTGCCCCAGCCTCTGCCTGTGGCTGGCGGCCATTTCCTCCACGGCCCGGATCTGAGCCAGGATCTCCCTGCGCTTGGCCTCCAGCCGCCTGCGGAGCCCCGTCTGCTCCTCCGTCTCCCCGGGGCCCGGCTCCTCCGCTCCCGCCGGGGCCCCCAGCGCTGGGGCAGGGCAGGGGTGCCGTTTGCCCCGCCCCTTCCGGAACCTTCTCTCGGCGAAGCTGGTCATCTGGACCCCGTTGGCCGGTGGACACTGCGAGGGGTCAGCGCCGGCCTCTCCGCCCCCCCCCTCCCCATCCCCATCCCCCTCCCCCTCCCCCCGGCTCGGGCCCCGGCCTCCCTTCCGGATGATGTAGCTGTGTTGACGGCTGATTGGCTTCTTCCGGCCGGGCGGGGCGTCCGCAGGCTCCTCCCCCTCAGAATTCCCAGAATTCCCGTCGTTCCCGGGATTCAGGACGTTCCCAGAACGCTCGACGGCCCCGGAATTCTCGACGGCCCCTGAGTTCTCGACGGCCCCGGAATTCTCGACGGTTCCGGAATTCCCGACGGCCCCGGAGTTCCCGACGGTCCCGGAATTCTCGACGGCCCCGGAGTTCCCAACGGCCCCGGAGTTCCCGACGGTCCCGGAATTCTCGACGACCCCGGAATTCCCGACGGCCCCGGAATTCCCGACGGCCCCGGAGTTCCCGACGGCCCCGGAGTTCCCGACGGTCCAGGAATTCTCGACGGTCCCGGAATTCCCGACGTTCCCAGAACAGGAGTCCAGCCCCGCCCTCGTGGCGTCCCACCCCAGACAGCTCAGGCCGTGGCCATGGCCCCCGATGATGGGCAGACCCGTGGCTCTGGCACTCTCTGGCGTGTGTGGCCGGTCAGACAGGATGTAGCTGTTGCGGAGCAGGTGGCCGGCCCGCGGTTTCGCCGGGAGCCGCGTCCCCTCAGCGTCGCCGCCGCCCTCCCGTCTCCGAACCCGCTCCGTCTCCCTCCTCCCGGCTCCCCCCAGCTCAGCGGGAGCCTCGCCCGGCTCCGACACAACCGTCTCAGGAGGGAATCGCGAGGACGGACAGGCGTCGGGGAGCGCTGATGGACTCTTCGTCTCTTCCTGAATGGGCTTCATTGCAGAGGTGGTCCTCCCAACTACAACTACAACAACAGCAGCAACTTCATCATCATCGATATCATCATCATCAACAACTTCATCATCATCATCAACATCAGCAACAACAACATCAGCAACTTCATCATCATCATCATCAGCCTCATCAACATCAACAACAACAACATCATCATCATCAACATCATCATCATCAACATCAGCAACAACAACATCATCAACAACATCATCAACATCATCATCATCAGCAACAACAACAACAACAACATCATCGTCAACACACACACACACACGCTCTTTGTTTCCCCTGGACGCAATCGAGTGCGCGCAAAATGCCCAGTCACTTCACTTTACAGTCTGTTCTGTGAAGCACTTTGAGACGTGATGATCAAATGCGGATTAATATTATTATTATTTATTTCACACCTTTCACGTCGGGAGGATGTCCCGAAGCGCTGGACAGTCAGGGATTGCCCCCCCGCCCCCCCCCCCCCCCCCCCGAGCTGGGGGTTGGGATCAGGCGGGACAGGGGAAGTGTGGGGGTAGGAGGGTGACCGAAGGCGCGGTTGGAGAGGAAGCTGTTGAGATGGGCTTCGGAAGGAGACGAGGGCGGGGGGCGGGGGGGGGGGGGGAGAGAGAGAGGAGGGCGACATGGCGCAGGCTGGAGCCCGCTGAGCGGAGGTCACGGAGGTAGGGACGGGCAAGGTCATGGTGGACTTCCAAAGCAATCGGAGGATGTCGAATGGGAAGCGTTTCCACGCGAGTCTTGACTGCACGGGGTGGGGCGGGGGGTGGGGAGGGAGGGAGAGGGTGAGGTTGGGGTGGGGGGGACCAACGGTTAATCTTGGCCTCTCCTCCTCACCTTCATCTTCGCTCCTCGCCTTCTCGTCCTCCTCGTCGGGACAGCGGGAATCCCAGCCCTCCTCGGGGGAGCGACTGGAAAGGGGCTCAGAGCCGGGAAGATGGGGAACACGGTGGCCCTGGTCGCTCATCGTGGGGTCAAACTTACAGTTGGGGCTGTTCGGAGCAGCTGTAGTGACGGGGAGAAGATTTCAAAGGGAGTCGGGAGTTTTCTCTGTCGCGCTCTCTCTCTCTCTCTCTCTCTCTCACACACTTTCTCTCGCTCTCTCGCTCTCGTTCCCTCTCTCTCTCACGTTTTCCCTCTCGCTCTCACTCTCTCTCACGCTCTCTCTCTCTCTCACACTTTCTCTCGCTCTCTCTCTCTCTCTCGCTCACTCTCGCGCTCTGTCTCTCTCTCACGTTTTCCCTCTCGCTCTCACTCTCTCTCACGCGCTCTCTCTCTCGCGCTCTCTCTCTCTCTCGTGCGCTCTCTCACTCGTTCTTTTTTGCTCGCTCTCTCTTCTTCACTTTTGCTCGCTCTCGCTCGTTTTCTCTCTCTTTCTCTCTCTCTCTCTCTCGCTCCCTCTCGCGCTCCCTCTCTCTCGCTCTCTCTCTCACGCTCTCTCTCTCTCTCTCTCTCGTGCGCTCTCTCACTCGTCCTTTTTTGCTCGCTCTCTCTTCTTCACTATTGCTCGCTCTCGCTCGTTTTCTGTCTCTCCCTTTCTCTCTCTCTCTCTCTTTCTCTCTCTCTCTCTCTCTCTCCAACTCGACCCCACAATATGTTTATTTCCCTTCCCACGAAAAGCAGCTCATTAACTGGAGCCATGTGACGGCCCAGTGACCGCCCGTCGGCGCCTGAACACAATGGCTCCATTCTTAAAATCCTCTCAAGTCGACGGCAACACGTCTCTGCTGACTGTCTCTGCTCTGGAAAGCGTTCAAAATGTATCGTCCCCCCCCCCCCCCCCCCCCCCCACCCACCCCGGCTTCCCCTGCTCTCCCAGCCCATCCCCCCCCCCAAGAGCGGAGAGACTCCGAGTTCCTCGAGTTGCGGAGTCCAGCAGCTCAGGGGTTAAAGCGCTCGCCTGGCGAGCGAGAAGACTCGGGGTTCGATTCCCGGGCGGGTCGGGTCGGGTCAGGGCGAAACCTCGGACAAGTTTCCTTACTCCACACACACACACACCCACACACACACCCACACACACACACACACACCACACACACGCCTCTGTTTACCCGGCAGTTGTCAGTCGATGGGCAGATCGCTTTCCGGGGTAATTATCCCCCAAATAAAATCGGTCGCTCACTGTTTTTTGGGGTGTTGTGCGCAAACTGACTGCTGCGTTTCGCCCACAAAATACAAATTTAATTCGCCTGACATATATTCTAAGACGCCTCAACAACGAGGCGATGTGTCAAAGCGTCATCATTGTTATCTGCTCCACCCTCCGGGACTCCATCCCGCAGTCCCTTCAACGTGGCTGTGGGATGGAGTTCCACCTCCCTCCCCCTCGACCCCTCCCTCGTCTCCTACAAGGACCATCTCGCAACCCTCCTCCTCGACCGCGCCTTCAGCCACCCTCCTACTCCCCACCTCCCCCGCCCTCCGCCCCTCCTAATCCCAACCCCCAGCTCGGGTCCAAATCCCTGTCCGTCCAGCGGCTTGGGAAGTCCCTTCGTGCCCTCGCACCTCTCTCTCTGATTTTCTTACGCCCCCGCTCCTAAAGACCTTCCTTTTTGATGGTGCTCGTGGTCACTTGCCCCCCACCATCCTCCCTCCCTCCCTCCCTCCCTCCCCCCGGCTCGGGGTCAGACTCCATCACTGCAAAGCGCTCCAGGACACTACCCTGAGTGAGGGACGCTGTGCAAATGCAATGTCTCGTCGTCGTTGCTCCCGTTTCCAGTCGCCCACAGATTGGAAGCTGCTTCTTCTGACCTATCCCCAAGTTATTCAGACTCACCAGCCTCGATCTCGGGGGTTTAGACCCTCTTCGTCCGCAGTCCCTGAATTAAAGGCTCCCGAGCAGTTCAGCTACAAACGCCAGGAAAATGAGCTGGAAATTGAGAGGCGTGAGGAATGTTAATGAGATACACCTGGTGACGTTCACCTCTGGAGTTTTTTCTGGCTTGCGAGCGACGAAAAACTAATCATAATAATAATAATCGTTGCGTTTGATCTCGCGCCTCATCACGTCATCGAGACCATCTCAAAGCGCTTCGCGCAGAATATATTTGAAAGGGAAACGCGGCAGCTGATCGCACGCGGAAGCTTTCCCACAAACGGTCATGGATTGGGCCAACAAATTGTTATTTAAAATAAAAAACATTTTTAGATGGGATTATGACCCCCCCAGAAAAGAGATCCTATCAATTCACTAACAACCGGGTGTGTAACAACCGGGTGTGTAACAACCGGGTTCTACTTACTGCTCTGTGTGTGTGTGTGTGGTGTGTGTGTGCGTGTGCGTGGAGTAAGGAAATTTGCCTAAGGTTTCGCCCCGCCCGGGAATCGAGCCCAGGTCCTCTCGCTTGTGAGGCAAGCGCTCTAACTGATACGCCCCGGGACACAGAAATTTATTCCCTCCCCTCCCCCCACCCTTGTTTCTCAACTTTTCGTCTTCACCTCTTTATTCTACACATCTACAAACCCGAGTTAAGTCAAACACTTCACAGCGTGAGGTGAAGCAAAGCAGCTTAAGCTCGCGTCAGTGTGTGTCAGCCCGGCTCGGTCTGTGGGTCGTCAGTGTGTGTCAGCCCGGCTCGGTCTGTGGGTCAGTCCGGCTCGGTCTGTGGGTCAGTCCGGCTCGGTCTGTGGGTCAGCCCGGCTCGGTCTGTGGGTCAGCCCGGCTCGGTCTGTGGGTCAGTCCGGCTCGGTCTGTGGGTCAGCCCGGCTCGGTCTGTGGGTCAGCCCGGCTCAGTCTGTGGGTCAGTCCGGCTCCGCCTGTGGGTCAGCCCGGCTCGGTCTGTGGGTCAGCCCGGCTCGGTCTGTGGGTCTGTGGGTCAGTCCGGCTCCGCCTGTGGGTCAGCCCGGCTCGGTCTGTGGGTCAGCCCGGCTCGGTCTGGGTCAGCCCGGCTCGGTCTGTGGGTCAGCCCGGCTCGGTCTGTGGGTCAGCCCGGCTCGGTCTGTGGGTCAGCCCGGCTCGGTCTGTGGGTCAGCCCGGCTCGGTCTGTGGGTCAGCCCGGCTCGGTCTGTGGGTCAGCCCGGCTCGGTCTGTGGGTCAGTCCGGCTCAGTCTGTGGGACACTGCTATTTGCAATTAGCTGTCATATGTTGCCCACAAAATACACAGTCACTGCACTTGAATAATAATAAGTCTTGCGTTTGATACAGAGCCTTATCATGTCATTGACGTGTCTGAAAACTCTTCGCAAGAAACAATGTAAAGTGAATTGACTAAGGAACAAAGAGGAGGTGTTCTCTTCGACCCTGAGCTGTCCTTTCTTCCCCACGTCCGCGCCACAACTGGCACCGCCTTCCACCACCTCCGGAATATCGCCAGACTGCGGCACTACCTCACCCCTCACGCGGCTGAAACTCTGGTCCACGCCTTTATCACCTCAAGGCTGGACTGTGGGAACTCTCTCCTCGTCGGCCTTCCCTCCACCTCCCTCCACACTGCAGGTCATTCAGAGCTCTGCAGCTCGTGTACTATCCCGCACTAGTCTTCGCGACCACATCTGGCTCCGGTCTGCTCCACATCCCCCGCCCCAACCGCCCTACCATCGGCGACCGGGCCTTCAGCCTCTCAGCCCCGAGGCTCTGGAACTCCATCCCCAGTGGCTTCGCCGCTTCCTCCCTTTCCTCCTACAAGGCCGGTCTCAAGACCTTTCTCTTTGACCTTCAGCCTTCAGCTCCCCTCTCGACTCTCTATCCCCTCCTCGCTCCCTCCCTTCCCTCCCCTCACTCTGACCATTTCCCCCTCCTCGCTCCCTCCCCTCCCCTGACCATTTCCCCACTGCTCGGGTCCCGACCCAACTGTGCAGCGCCTCGGGACGTCCTCCCGACGTGAAAGGCGCTCTATAAATGAAATCTTGGTGTTGTTGTTGTTGTTGTTGTTGTTGTTGTTATGCTGAAATACTGAGTCACAGATAACATCAAATCCCAGTAGATCTGAGACTCAGCATCTGAGTTATTGTCACAGTCTGTTATTGTCAGCGAGAGCAACAAAGCTTAGGTGAAGAGTGTAGGAGATAAGAGCTTACAAAGGGCATGTTCTTAATTTTTCTTTCTTTCCTCCGTCCCTCCCTCCCTCCCTCCTTCACTCGAATCCTCTCTCCGGAATGCAATTACTTGCGCTGGGGAAAGTTCATGAGATCACAGATTGGTTTGGATGATTAGGCCCCTCTTGTGGGTTTAACCCTGAAAGCGAAGGCCTTAACGGGAAGGTTGGTCCTCGCTGGACAAGCGGATTGGGAGGAGTGGGGGGGGGGGGGGGAACATGCAGCAGGCCAAGTCGGGATCAGGAGGGTTAGGGTGTTAGGGTGAAGGGTAGGATGACCAAAGGCGCGGTCAAATAGGAGGATCTTGAGACCGACCTTGAAGGAAGCGAGGGAGGGATCAGGCGAAGGGACTGTGGGATGGAGTTCCAAAGGGTGGGGGCAGAGAGGGTGAAGGTCTGACCGCCGATGGTGGGGCGGACCGGGCGGGGGAATGTGGAACAGGCCGGAGCCCGCCGAGTGGAGGGAGCGGACCGGTTGACATGGGGTCCGCAGGGCACAGAGGTAGGGAGGGGGTCAGGCCGTGGAGGGATTTGGGGGTGAGGACGAGGATTTTGAAGTCTTATCCTCTGGGGGGGATGGGGAGCCAGTGGAGTCGGGCCAGGGTGCGGGTGATGGGGTCAGGGAGCCTGGTGCGGGAGAGGACACGAGCTCCGGCTCGGAAATCATTGCCTTTTCAACGTGAAGCAAAAATGTGTCGTCGTTTCCCGGCGAATGGCTCGTCTCAACAAGCGGGGCAAATGCACCTACCATTACGCAGTCACTACGCCTTACAGCGAAACCCCGGGAAGCGCTCCGCAACACTTCCGCAAGATTGAGGGTCGCCGTGCGCTGTGCGCAATTGGCTGCTGCGTTTCGCCCACAGAATGCACCGGTCACCTACACTTCACAGTGTATTCTGTGAACCCCTTCGAGACGTCTGAACGACGTGACAAAGCGCTTTATCGAACGTCCGTTTCAGTACGCGTGCGATGCCTCTTTGCGCCTCTCCCCCTTCCCCAAAACATTAAAATAAATTAATATTAATAATAATCCTTGCATTTGACATGGCGCCTTATCGCGTCTTTGAGACGTCTCAAAGCGTTTCACGGGATACACTGCAAACTGTATAGTTTGGGGGCAAAATGGGGCGGTGTTAAAATTATTATTATTATTAAAATGTAAGGATTATTATGACCGTTATTATTCTTTATTTAAGCATAAGCCATTGCTGAGATCTCTCTCTCTCTCTCTCTCTCTCTTACCTGAACCAAAAATCTTGAGCTGAAGCCGAGTCAGAGTTGAGTTTAACACGAATCAACATCGTTCTCTCTCAGGCGTAAGAATCATTCCTCTCTCTCTCTCTCTCTCTCTCTCTCTCGCGCTCTCTCCTTTCTCGAGGTGTCTTACCCTCCGGCGAAACAGCCCGTCTCCCGTCCCACGCGCATCCAGCCCCGACAGCCTTTGCCCCCAAACAAACTCAATAGAAAAAAAAGTTCCACCAACTACTCAAAAACTTTGAACGTCTGGTAACAAGGAAGTCCCTCCTCTCGGGGTCGGGCTGGGTTGGCTGATGCCTCAATGGGGCTTCAGTTACTTTATTGCTGGATCCGCATGTCATTCCCTTCAATCGGAAAACGCCCACAAACTGGCCCTTGTGCAGTTCAGTCCACAAACCCCTCTCGCTCTCCCCCCCCCCACCACCCCAAACCGTCAACCTCTTATTTAATATTTCATTATTAAGAGCATTTTCCAACTTGGATCTTTAACACGAAACCGATCGGGTGTCTCTTTCTTTTCTGTCCCAAATGGATCTCGCTGCTCCGCGGGCGTCTAACGTTAAGGTTATTAATAATGATGATTTGTGGCGCCCTACAGCGCAGTGGTTAGTGCTCTCACCTCGCAAGGGAGAGGACCCGTAGGCAATCTTTCTTTCTCCGCACGCCTCCGTTTACCAGCAGTGAGTAGGGACCCGGTTGTTAAGTCGATTGGCGGATCACTTTCTGAGGGTAATAATCCCTTAAAAAGTAATATTAATAACTTGGCCGCTCAATCCACGCCGCTGTGCGCAATTGGCTGCCGCGTTCGCCCACAAGAATACAGTCAATTCACTTTACAGTGTGTTCTGTGAAGCGCTTTGGGACGTCCTCCCGACGTGAAAAGCGCTATATCAAATGCAAAGATTATTATTATTATTATTATTCTGTGAAGGGCTTTGAGACGTCTCGATGACACGATCAGCAGCCGAATCAAATGCGAGGATTAATACAAAATGACAACAGCCGCTCAGTATTCGCTGCCAGTGCAGTGAGTCAGGAAACAGATACAACGGCATCCTCTAGCCCCCCCCCCCCCCCCCCCCCCGGGAGGGAAAAGGATTTGCCCCCTCATCGCCCGTTGAAATGGTTCAAATGTTTCGTGAGTAAATTACTGTGAAGTGTAGCCACTGTTTTTGTAGCCGAAGGCAGCAGATATTTTCACCTGCGTTGTCCTTATCACCGCCACTCCACACGCGCACACGAAGGGGGAAAGGCTGAATTTATCTGGAAAGGAAAGTGAGTCAACGTTTTGGGTCCACGACCCTTCATCAGATTAAAATGAAACCCAAACAGACGGCAGTTCAGGCAAGTTTCCTTACTCCACACACACTACCGAGAAGTAAGTCCCGGTTGTTAGTCGATTGGCGGATCGATTTCCGTGGGTCCCTTCCAAAATAAATAATAATTTGGTCACTCCGCTCCACGACTGTTTGTGGGGCGCTGTTGTGTGCAGTTGGCTGCGGCATTTCGGCCAAAAATATACCACACTTTACAGCTGTTAAGCAGCTTGAGCGGAAAATCTCAGCAAAAAAAGTTTGTTAGTTGCCGGGGCAACAAAATATTTAGCGCGAACGGGAGTTTCAGAGAAAGTATGGCTTTTGTCGAATCCTTAATAGGGGAAAACAGGCGCCAGTTAAAAACAATCTCCCGGGTGCGTATATGATCTGGAGACGGAAAATCGTTCAGGTTTTCCTGACACCTGCCCCATGTCCTGTTGTTTCAGGAAAATAATAATAATCCTTGCATTTGATTATGGCGCCTTAGCGCATCGTCGAGACGTCTCGGTAATAATTTGGTATCCAGAATACACTGTGACGTGGATTGACTGTGCATTTTGTGGGCAAAACGCAGCACAGTTGTGCACAGCAGCGTCCCACGAGCAATTGCGAACTGAGTGACTAATTTTTTTTAAAATTATCATCCTCGGAAAGCGATCCGCCAATCGACTAACTCCTGCTATGCGGATGAAGGAAACTTGCCTAAGGCTTCACCACCCCCCCAACCCCACCAGGAATTGAACCAAGGTCCTCTCGCTTGTGAGGTAGCGTGTACTAACCACAGGGCCTCCACAATTCAGGGGGACAGGTCTGCTCCTCATTGCCATGAGTTCTGCTGGTGCCTTCACCCACTAAACCACTGAGCCTGGCTCAGGGTATCTGAACGACAGACCAGCAGATCTCACCTGAACCCACAAATTACATTGACGCAATGGCTTTCCCTTTGGGAGGTCGTCCCCAAGCGCTGCAGCTGGAGGTTGGGATGGAGGGCAGGTTTAAGTTGGGGCGACCAAAGGCGCGGTCGAAGAGGAGGAGGATCTTAAGAAGGGCCTTGAAAAGAGGCAGGGAGGGAGCGAGGCGAAGGGACTGTGGGATAATGTTCCAAAGACTGAAGGCCTGACCGCTGATGGTGGTCCAGGCTGGGCCGGGAGGATGTGGAGCAGCGTGCCCCCACTCTCTCCGCTCGGTGGGCTCCAGCCTGCTGCTTGTCAGCGTGGATCCGCACACCGAACAAACAAGTCACGTAAACCACAGGAGGCTCCGGTAATGAAAACTGCTCAATAACTTTAATAATTTCTGAGTGCGGTGAGAGGAAACTGAATAAAACTCGAGACGCTGAGAAGCCAGTCACGTTCCCTACTCGAGCCCCACCACCTTTCCCCAACCCCCCCCCCCCCCCACCACCAAACCACCCCACCCCCCTCAAGTACAGTGCAGGACAGCTGTGAGCAAAGCTGCTTCATACAAATCTCGTGTTAAAAGGTGGATCTTAAATAAACTGTAAAAAAAAAACAAGAGACTCCTCTCGGAAGTCGCTTTTAAGATTCAGAACATAAAGGGTTAAACGGTGCAGTCTGGAGTGGGTGCTCTGTCAATGAGATGGGGGCGGGGGGGCGCGAGTGCTCACTGTTTTACCCCCCCCCCACTCTCACACCCCCGCCCACTCTCCCTCCCTCCTTCTCGGGATTTATTAATGGAACGAGAGACTACAGACAGAGGAGAGATGGAGAGGCATCATGCTTTGATGGGGGCCTTGTTCTGTACTTTCTGGAAGTCCTGCTGTAGTTTGGCGAGGGTCTCTCTGTGTTGCTCGGACTTCTTCTCTAGGTCTTTCATCTGGGTCTCGTATCGCTTTCTGCAGGAGACGGGAAGTGTGAGAAAGAACGTAACATCATAATAATCCCTGCATTCGAGACACTGGATAGGGGATTGACTGTATATTTGTGGGCGAAACGCGGCAGCCAATTGCGCACGGCAGAGTCCCACAAACAGTCGCGGATTGAAGTGACCAAATTATTATTATTATTTTTTTGAAGGATTATTATCCCCGATGAAGTGATCCGCCAATCGACTAACAAGCGGGTTCCTACTTGCTGCTGGGTAAGCAGAGGCGTGTGGAGTAAGGAAAGTTGCCCAACATTTTGCCCTGACGGGAATCGAACCCCAGGTGTCTCGCTTGCGAGGCGAGTGCTCCAAAACACTGAGCTACAGGATTCCTTAAAAATTTGCTGGACGAAAGACCAAGGTCCATTTAGTTCGCCTTCCCTCATCCCAGCAGTTGCATGACATCAACGGATATGGGGCAAATGTGGGTAAAATGGAGTTGAGGTACAGATCAGCGATGAATGGTGGAACAGGCTCGAGGGGCCGAATGGCCTCCTCCTGTGATTCGAGGACCCACAGACTTGGGGGCTGGTGGGGGTGGTGGGGGGTATGTGAAGTGTGACTCACATCTCTCCGTTGATGTAATCCAATCGCTTTGTGACGGTGGACTTCGCCTCTTCTAGATCCTGTTTGACAAGGACTGGGCCAATCAGCTTGAAGACGGTGTTCGATGACTCCAACAGGTTCAACTCCTGAGGGAGGGAGGGAGGGAGGGAGTGAGGGGGAAACGGAGAGAGGGAGAGAGAGAGAAAAAAAAGACAGAAAGCACAGGTACAGAGAAATCAACACAGAGCTGACGGCAGGATCAACTTCAGGGCCTTCACTCCCCAGCACCTCCCTACATACCCCATCCTCCGCCCACCTCAATCCCTCCACCTGGTCCCCTCTTTATCCATCTTTAAATCCGAGTGACCGACAGTGTCCTGGCCAACGATCCCCCCCAAATAAAATCGGTCACTCGTTTCACGGCTGTTTGTGAGACGCTGCTGTGCGCAATTGTCCTGCCGTGTTCGCCTACAAATACAGTCACTGTGTTCAAAGCAATTCCCGTTGAGATGTTCTTCCTTCCACTTGACGCCTTATTGCGTCGTTGAGGCGTCTCAAAGCGCTTCACGGAATGTATTATAAAGTGGAATGACCGTTAGATCGCAGCAGCCAATTACGCGCAGCAGTGAACCGCACAGTCGTGGACTGAGTGTGACCACATTTTTTTTAAAAGGGAAAGTGATCCGCCAATCGACTGACAACCGGGTTCCTACGTATCACCAGGTAAACGGAGGCGCGTGGAGGATGGAAACTTGCCGAAGGTTTCGCCCTCTCCGAGAATCGAACCCGGGTCCTCTCACTTGCAACACGAGAGCGCTAACCGCTACGCAAAGGTTATTATTATTAGTTTTCTGAAACAATAGGGACATGGGACAGGTGTCAGGAAAACCTAAGTGATTTTCCTGTATCCGGAATACATATACGTCTGTTTTCCTATATTAAGAATTGGACAAACGCCATGACATCTCCCTTCACACTAAACGTTTTGTTGCCCTGGCAACTAACAAACTTTTTTTGCTGAGATTTTCTGCTCAAAGCGCTTAACAGAATACACTGTAAAGTGAATTGACTGTATACTTTGTGGGCAAAACGCAGCAGCCAATTGCATGGATTGAGTGACCAATTTTTTTGGGGGGGGAAAGTGAAATTGCTTTCCGGAGGAGGCAATAATCCTTTCAAAAAAAAAATAATAACTTGGTCACTCACTCCACGATTGCTTGCGAGACATTTGCTGCTGCGTTTCGCCGACAAAATACACAGTCACTACACTTCACAGTATATTCTATCAAGTGCTTTGAAATGTCTTGATAAGGCACTATATCATCCGCTAATTCACTAATAACTGTGTTCCTACTTACTGCTGGGTAAACAGAGTGCGGAGTAAGGAAACTTGCCTAGAGTTTCGCCCTGCCCTGCCCAGGAGTCGAACCCTCATCCTCCCGCTTGCGAGGCGAGAGCACTAGACCCTACGCTACGGGACTCGATATATCAAATGCAAGGATAATTATTGTTACAGAAATCATCGTTGGGAGCCTTACCTCTTTAACTATTGTATTTTCAGTCACCTGCGCTTCCAGCTTCTGTCTCGCCGAGAGACATTTGCTGAGATCTGCGAGAGGAAAGGACAGTGTTAAATAAGTACCAGACGTGATACGGATGTGAAACAATATATATATATATTCCTGTTTGACCTTGATTCCTAATTCTTCAAATTCAGGCATTTCAAATAAAATCCTGGAAAATTTGACAGTGATTTTATTTGAAACCTTCGCGATTCATGGCAGTCACTTTTTTTTTTCCTAACTCAAATATGTTGCTGAGGGAGAGGGGCAGGGAAGTCTACATGGAGTTGAAGTGCTTCCTAAGGTGACTGGCAACAGCATGTGTGGATCAAGCCAGCCCTCTGCGACAGTGTCTAGTCTGGTTCCTGAGCCAGTATGCCAGGACACTGTTGATGACGGCACGGCCGGGCCTGGCTCATCGGCAGCGCCTGCGAGGGCAGACCGGTCCCTGGGGGCCGGGAATCCTCCGACTCAGCTCCTGTTAACATTGCAGCCAAAGCCCTGACAGGTAGGGTGGTCCCAGCTGGACAAGCAGCGGGAAAGCTTGCCAGACAGTGATATCAATGGCAAGCTATGTGGTTTTAGCTGGTTAGTCTCCAGCAGTTACGCCAACTCTGGGGTCCCCAAGCCTTGGCTCTTGCCAACCTGCGCCTAATGCTCTCCAGAATTACGTCAGTTGGGTGCCTCCCTCCAGGGAGTGTGTGCACATTCTATTCCAAAAATCTATCTCTGGGATTTTCACATGTTGGTGGGATGGATACATGGAAATCTCAGCTTGTTTTGGAGACTTTTAAACACGTGCGTCAGACACCCGGCTGACCAAAAAACAGAGAGATCTTGCAACTGCTCCGTATCTCCAGCAGTTTCTGATCACAATCATGTCATGCAATGAGCTATGATACCCGGAAATGTTTACAGGGCAGTGGTTTAACCTGGGGTTTGGGTTATAAACTGATCTTTGTGTACTAGTGACTCTAGAAACATGTGAACAGGAGGAGGCCATTCAGCTCCTCGAGCCTGTTCCGCTATTCTTTTAGATCATGGCTGATCTGTACCTCAACACCAAATACCTACCTTTACCCTACATCGCTTGGTAATCTGACCTAACAAACATCTCTCTCCCTCAGTCTTGAAAGTGTGAATGGATCCAACCATAATCCACAGCCTTTTGGGGGAAGAGAGTTCTAGATTTCCACTACCATTTGGGTGAAAAACTGCCTCCTGATTTCACTCGTAAATGGCTTAGTTCTAATTTTAAGATAATGTCTCTTTCCTCTGGATTCTTCCCACTGACCAGAGGAAATAGTTTCTCTGTATCTACCCTATCAAATCCCTGTATCATTTTAAACACTTCAATTAGACTGTGTGTGTGTGTGTGTGTGTGTGTGTGTGTCAGGTTCCCGCCCCCCCACTTCCCCCCTTCTGGTCGAGGTCTCTTGTCCTCTCATTCTCTCTGGTTCTCCCTATTCATCTTTCAGGAATTCTCTTTTTATCTGTCTCTCTCTCTCTAGTGGGGATCTCTCTTTCTCTGTAGAGTTACACACATTTACAGTGTGTTATGTCTTTCTCTATCTGTCTGGGTCTCTCTTGCGTCTCTACCTGCCTCTTAGGGAATCTCTCAGGCTTTTTCTGCGTATGTCTCCCTCTCCCGTGGTCTTTCAATTTGTCTCTAAGATTTCCTCTTTCTGTGTGTGTTTGTCTCAGTCTCTAACTCTCTCAGCATCTCTCGCTCCCTCTCAGTGACTCAATCTGAGTCTCTCTCTCGGAATCTCTCCCTCTCTCTATTCCTCTCTCTCTCTCTATTTCTCTCTCTCTGTCCATTCCTCTCTCTCTCTCTCCCTAGTCCTATTCTCTCTCTCTCTCCCCCTATTCCTCTCTCTCTCTCCCCCTATTCCTCCCTCTCTATCTCTCTACCCCTATTCCTCTCTCCCTATTCCTACTCTCCCTCCCTATTCCTCTCTCTCTCCCTATTCCTTTCTCTCCCTCTCTATATATTCCTCTCTCTCTCTCTCTATTCGCCTCTCTTCCTCTCTCTATTCCCCTCTCTCTCTCTCGATTCCTCTCTCTCTCTATTTCCCCCCTCTCTCTCTATTCCCCTCTCTCTCTCTATTCCCTTCTCTCTCTATTCCTCCCCTCTCTCTCTCTATTCCCCCCTCTCTCTCTCTATTCCCCTCTCTCTCTCTCTCTCTCTATTCCCCCTCTCTCTCTCTCTCTCTATTCCCCTCTCTCTCTATTCCCCTCTCTCTATTCCCCTCTCTCTCTCTATTCCCCCCTCTCTCTCTCTATTCCCCTCTCTCTCTCTCTATTCCCCTCTCTCTATTCCCCTCTCTCTCTATTCCCCTCTCTCTATTCCCCTCTCTCTCTCTCTATTCCCTTCTCTCTCTCTCTCTATTCCCCCCTTCTCTCTCTCTCTATTCCCCCTCTCTCTCTTATTCCCCCCCTCTCTCTATTCCCCTCTCTCTCTATTCCCCCCTCTCTCTCTATTCCCTTCTCTCTCTATTCCCCCCTCTCTCTCTCTATTCCCCTCTCTCTATTCCCCTCTCTCTATTCCCCCCTCTCTCTCTTCCCCCCTCTCTCTCTCTATTCCCCTCTCTCTCTCTATTCCCCTCTCTCTCTCTATTCCCCTCTCTCTCTCTATTCCCCTCTCTCTCTCTCTCTATTCCCCTCTCTCTCTCTCTCTATTCCCCATTCTCTCTCTCTCTATTCCCCTCTCTCTCTCTCTATTCCCCTCTCTCTCTCTCTCTCTATTCCCCTCTCTCTCTCTATTCCCCTCTCTCTCTCTATTCCCTTCTCTCTCTATTCCCCCCCTCTCTCTCTCTATTCCCCTCTCTCTCTCTCTCTCTCTATTCCCCTCTCTCTCTCTCTCTATTCCCCTCTCTCTCTCTCTCTCTATTCCTCTCTCTCTCTCTATCCCTCTCTCTGGAGTCTGTACCTTTCTGTAGTTGTTGGTATTTCTCGAGCTCCGCCTGGAGCTTCCTCTGCTGCAAGTCCGCCATGTTGCCAGGAACCGGAAATAGACAGAGAGCACAGTGTCCAATCACAGCCCCGCTCCCCCTCCAGTCAGTGACCAATCACAGCCCGGCTCCCCCTCCAGTCAGTGACCAATCACAGCCCAGCTCCCCCTCCTGTCAGTGACCAATCACAGCCCGGCTCCCCCTCCTGTCAGTGACCAATCACAGCCCGGCTCCCCCTCCTGTCAGCGTCCAATCACAGCCCGGCTCCTCCTCCTCCTGTCAGCGTCCAATCACAGCCGCTCCTCCCTCCTGTCAGCCTCCCCCCCCCCCCCCCCCCCCCCCCCCCGTGTGCGATGCTGTCCATCTCAGGTCTCTGTACAACCATATACAGACAGTGACTGTGACCTCCGCACTGATGACCACCACCGGCGCTGCTCCGTGGGGTCTCCTCGGAGCTGAATTGGCCCCGAGGTGACACGTTCGGCAACGGAAAGCCAGAATCGAGCCGGACCTCCGCGACAGCCTCCAGTCCAGTCCCTGAGCCCGTCGGGTCCACAGGATTCCAGGGCATTGACCGCTGATAAGACAGCACAGCCCGGCCCGGCCCATCGGGCCGACCAGTCACTGGGGACAGGGAGTCATCCCACTGGGCTCCTGTTAGCCCCGCAGCCAAAGCCCTCACTCGCGGGTAGGGTGGTCCTGGCTGGACAAGCAGCGGGCAAGCTGGTCAATTGTAGCTGGTTAGGCTCCAGCCCAACACACACTCTGAGATCCCCGAGCCTTGGCTCTCGCCAACCTGCGCCTAATGCTTTCCGGAATTAGGTAAACAGGATGCATCATCTTTCACGTCGAGAGGACGTCCCAAGGCGCTGGACAGTTGGGTCAGGACCCGAGCATTGGGAGGGAAACGGTGAGGGGAGGGAGTGAGGAGGGGGTAGGGAGTCGAGAGGGGAGCTGTGAAGGCGCGGTCAAAGAGAAAGGTCTTGAGACCCGGCCTCGAAGGAGGAGAGGAAGCGAGGCGAAGGCACTGGGGGATGGAGTCCCAGAGCCGACCCGTCACCGGGGGGTCATCCCTCCAGGGAGAGTGCTCATACCATTCCAACAGTATGTCTGGGGTTTCCATGTGCAGGTGGGATGCACGGAATCCTGAGTTCGGTCTGGATACTCTTAAGCACGAGTTTGCGCACGTTACGGACACCCGGCCGACCCCGCACTACATTGCGGCGACGTGGACAAATGCCAAGCGAACAGGTGGCACGGCTGCAGCCCTGCCATCCAACTCTGATCATATCCGATGCTGTATGACAACAGATTATTCAAGTATTGGCAACGAAACAGATATGACTGGGATTGGGTTTCCTTCAAGCTGAGCTCAGCGGAGGCCAGTGGGGCTCGATGTGGGGCGGCGGTGAAATTTAAACTGCAGATGTGAGCTCTCATTACGCAGGTCGAGAACGCAAGTGCTTGGTGGGACGGGGCGACGACAGGTAAACATAACCAGATACCTGCTGACAAAGTTCTTCACCTTTCATCCTCGCAAATAGAAGCCATAAAAAAAAAAACCACAAGAAAACATCAATGCCTCACATCAATTAAAGGCTGAACGTTTATGGACCCTGTGGTTTATCAAACATGAACTATAGCAATTAAAAAAACTTCAGTCATTATTACCGTTTGCCCGGCTCAGTTAGCAGCGCTCTGATCCAAGTCAAAAGATGGAGCTCACAGTCCAGGCTGACACAGCTGGACTGACATTCATTGTCCTTTAGATGCGACACATTAACCCAAGATCCTGTCCCGCGGTTTTCTTGAACGCTAATAATACTTCAATTTGATATAGCGCTTTATTACGTCTTCCAGATGTCTCAAAGCACTTCCTAGAATACACCATAAAGTGGATTGACTGTATATTTTGTGGGCGAATCGCAGCAGCCAATTGCGCACGGCAGCGTCCCATAAACAGACGTGGATTGAGCGACTTTGTTTGAGGGATTAATCCCCGTTAGTGATCTACCAATTGACGAACAATTGCTACTCACTGCCAGGTAAACAGAGGTCTGTATTGGAGTAAGGAAATTTACCAGAAGTTACGCCCCGCCCAGGAATCGAACCCAGGTCCTCTCGCTTGCGAAGCAAGTGCGTTAACCAATACACTAGTGATTAACCCAAGGTTCTGTCTTCCTGTTTTTCTGGATGTCAAAGATCCTATAAAAATTGGCCGTCGCATTTCACCCTCAAAACACATTAATATTCTGTGAAGCGCTTCGAGAAGTCTCAACGTTTTGGGTTGGGGTCAGACGGGTGTTTGGCACATGCCTCGAGACGTCTCAACGATGTGATAAGGCAAGGATTATTATTAAGATTTCCCCCAGTTATAAAACAGGAAATATAAAAAAATCAGAAATAGGATTTTTAGTTTATTTATATCCGTTTGCAAAAAGTAACCAATATGAACATTAACCGAGTTTCGTGGCCAGTTCCTTTGCCTTGGCCTTTTCGAGTTTCGCAATGCGAGCAACAGACTTGGGCCCCAGAATACCTCCGCCCCAGTGTTTCCGGATCTGGAATGAAAATGAGAAGACTCCATTAAACAACAACAACAACTTGTGCCCTTCACACAGGGTAGCTCAACAGTGGCGGAGTCTGACAGTGAGCCAGGAAGAAGGGAGGTGAACGTAAGCACGATCAAAAAAGGTCTTTTAGGCAGGATTTGAAAGTGGAGAGGGAAGGAGTAAGGCGGAGGGATTGAGGGATGGAGCTTCAGGGAGTAGCGGCTGGAAGCACGGCCGCCCATGGTGGAGTGGAGGGGGCGAGGAGGCAGCGGATGGTGGAGTTGGGGGGTAAGCAGGTCGGAGAGGTAGGGAGGTGCGAGGGCATTAAGGGATTTGAAAACATCATTACATCCTATCAATGCAGTGTTTAAAATCAGCTATCTGGCGGGCAACTGCCTTCAGCTTGGTGCATATTAATAATAATAATAATCCTTGCATTTGATATATAGCGCTTTTCACATCGGGAGGACGTCCCAAAGCGCTTCACAGAACACACTGTAAAGTAAATTGACTGTATATTTGTGGGCGAACGCGGCAGCCAATTGCGCACAGCAATGTCCCACAAACAGTCGTGGATTGAAAATGACCAATTTATTATTGTTTTGTGTTTTGGAGGGATTATTATTAGGCTCTGTGTGGAGTAAGGAAACTTGCCCAAGGTTTCGCCCTCTGCCTGGAATTGAACTCACGTCTCTCCTTTCAAAGCGAGTGCTCTAACCACTGAGCTACAGGACTCAACTTAGCCTTTTATTGGTAGATCTTTGTAATTCAGGTCTCTCACCTCCCAAGTATTACATGGGGAAGATCCCATCTCTCAGCAGCCAAAAGCTCAGGGTTAAAAAGCTCTTAATTGTTCGACATGATTTGTTCACGTTATGTTTAAGTTCATCATTGCTGATGGCTGGCTGAGAGCATTACTTAAAACAACTTGCATTTGCACAGCGTCTCGGAGCACTTAACAGTGACGAGGGGATAAGCAGGATGCTTCCAAAGCAGTAAGAAATCTCGAATTCTAGTAAAGTCCGCCTGGGAATCGAAACCCAGGGGTCCTCTCGCTTGCCTTGAGTTTAGCAGTTTGATCTGATTGAGGTGTTTAAAATGATGAAGGGATTTGATAGGGTAGAACAAGGGGCATCATCTTAAAATTAGAGCTAAGCCTTTTAAGAGTGAAATCAGGAAGTATTTTTTCGACCAAAGTGTAGTGGAAATTTAGAACTCTCCCCAAAAGGCTGTGGATTATGGCTGGAACCATTCACACTGTCAAGACTGAGGTCGATAAGATTTTTCTTAGATCACAGCAAAAGCGGGTAATTGGAATTGAGGTACAGAACAGTGTAATCTTATAGAAGGGCGGAACAGGTTTGAGGGGCTGAATGGCCTCCTCCTTTTCCTATATTCCTAACCAGCATTCCCCCCCTAGTAACAAACACATCTGCAGATACTTACCTCATCGTATCTGTCATTGTAGTTTGTCCTAACAGCTTCGATTAGCTTACCAATGGCACCTTTATCCTCGCTGTTGGGAGACAGAAAAGAGGAAGGTTTTAGGAACAGCGGGACAACTTAGCCTTTTATTGGTAGATCTTTGTAATTCAGGTCTCTCACCTCCCAAGTATTACATGGGGAAGATCCCATCTCTCAGCAGCCAAAAGCTCAGGGTTAAAAAGCTCTTAATTATTCGACATGATTTGTTCACGTTATGTTTAAGTTCATCATTGCTGATGGCTGGCTGAGAGCATTACTTAAACAACTTGCATTTACACAGCGTCTCGGAGCACTTAACAGTGACGAGGGGATAAGCAGGATGCTTCCAAAGCAGTAGGAAATCTCGAATTCTAGTAAAGTCCGCCTGGGAATCGAAACCCAGGTCCTCTCGCTTGCGAGGCCAGCGTTCTAACCAATACGCTCCAGGACACACTCAACAATAAGGGTTGAAGGGCAAGTGTTATTGGTCCTTATCTGTCAGGGGAAAACGCACACAAGGTGCACACTGGCGTGCGATTGCTTATGAGAGGGATTGACTTACGGGTTGACTTGGGTGAAAGCCAGGGAGCTGCAGGTCTTCCTGTGCACCAGTCTGCCCAGACGAGCCTTTCCTTTCACAATGCAGTAAGGGACGCCCATCTTCCGGCACAGAGAAGGCAAGAACACCACCAGCTGGGAGGAAGTACAAACACTGCCAATGAACAAGCGAGCACAAGAATAAGCTTACAATCTTACCAACGTTGTTCTATCCAGTTACCGTGATATTATTTAGTATGAGGGTACGTCAGTGGTTGTGTGCTCTGCTCAGGGTTAAAAAGCTCATTTTTGGGTCCACATGATTTTTCAGGTGAAGAAATTCATTACATCATTGCAGGCAAACCACAGGGGAGTCCATCACAGAATGCTTCTCAGATAGAGATATATATACACACACACACAGAGATTGAGAGAGATACAAATATCTGTACATAAAGAGATCAGAGAGATGGATAGACAGACACGACAGCCAACAACAACTATACTTGTATAGCGCTCCTCACGTCAGAAAGACGTCCCAGGGTGCTGAACAATCAGGGGTTTTGGACCCGAGTTGGAAGTTGGGGTCAGGAGGGGAGGAGGGGTGTGTGGCTGAAGGCACGATTGAAGAGGAAGGTCTTCAGACCTGACTTGAAGGAGGCAAGAGAGGGGGTGAGGTGGGGGGATTATGAGATAAGAGTTCCAGAGTGTGGGGGCAGCGATGCTGGATGCCCCACAGAGATAGACAGAAAGAGAGACAGACAGAGATAAAACAGGGAGGCATAGACAAATACACAGACAGACAGAGAGAGAGACATGAAAGAGAGAGAGAGAAGGGGGAGGGGGGGGCATAGAGAGAGAAAGGGATGCTCGTGTTTCGAAGTGGAACTGTCACTGTTACCTCAATGGGATCCACATCGTGTGCGATCACCACCAACTGAGCCTTCTTACTCTCCACCAGAGTGGTCACTGTGTTCACACCTACGCGAGCAAGAGAACGTTGCAGTTAGGACATGCAGACAGCGTGTGGTGGACAACTAAACCTGTTCCACGACAAAGAGGGTAAACGTTGTACAATAAGGAGGGACCATAAAAGCAGTGTCAAATCCGCTCAGACAACATGCAGCAAAGTACAATCACGGTAGGATACTCAGTACAATACAGGAACTATTTCAATTTCATGATTATCAATTCAAAATACAATACAAAATTACATTTGTATTAGCGCCTTTCACTTCGGGAGATCGTCCTCACACTTGTCTACAAATCCTTCCACATCCTAGCACCTCCCTATCTCTCCGACCTGCTTACTCGCCACTCCCCACTGCCTCCGCTCGGCTTCTGGCCTCCTGCTTGTCCCTCTTTCCCTCCGCTCGAACGGAGGTCGCGCCTTCAACCACTTTACCCCAAAGCTTTGGAACATTCTGCCGCAATCCCTCCACCCCCTGCCCCTCTTTTAGATCACAACTGAAGACCTTCCTTTTCGACCGTCACCCTCCCCCCTGGCTTGGCATCAGGCTCTGCCACTGTTAAGCTCTCCGAGACGCTGCCCAGCACGAGGGGCGCTATATAAATGCACGTTGCTGTTCAACACTTTTGAGTGCTTGACGGTGAACAAAATGACAAGTGGTTAACCTCTACACTGAATGCTTCAGTACTCGAAGGCTTAGGTTCGCATTACAATCATATTCAAAAAGACGAGTATTTATAAAATATTATTTAAAACGCTCAGTAAGCGAACAGTAAATGTGTGGAACAGGCTCCTGTAGAGAAAGTGTTGATTCTTTTGTGAACAAATTAGATAATGTTTCTGTTAGGAAATAATATCTCGGGATATAATATATAGTTCGGGACAGGTTGTGAAAGTCGAACTGGATGGAATTTGGTCTCCTTTCGTTTAGCAATTCTTATGGTCTTACGCTAGTTATAAGAAAGGAATACAATCACCGAATATTACACACCGAAGGAGGTCATTCCTGTGCCTGTGCCGGCTCTTTGGAAGAGCTACTCAATCAGTCCCACTCCCCCGGTCGTTCCCCACACAATTCTTTTCCAATTTTTTTTCCCTTTCAAGTACCTATCCAATTCCTTTTTGAAAGTTCTTAGCAAATCTGCTTCCACCAGGCTGTGCATTCAGGACCGTAACAACTCTCTGTGTACAAAAAATCTCATTTCCCCTCTGATTCTTTTGCCAATTTTCTTGTATCTATGTCCCCTGGTGGCCAGCCCACCCGCCAGTGGAAACAAAACAAGCAGAGAATTGTGGGCTTTAGTGAGGGGCATGTTTTAGACTGTCTACCTGCTCGGAGGACAGGTGGTCTCTTTGTGGGTACATCGCCTTTTCCTGCTGCCTTCTGTTCCGCCCGGGCCAGCAGTCGCTTCTTCTTCTCCTGTTTAGTCTCAGGCCGGTATTTGTGAGCCAGCTTGAACAATTGCGTGGCTGGAAAAAAATGAGGGGGGGGGGGGAAAACACATCATCTTTAATTACCAACACCTTTAATTGCCGTCATCTTCCAAGTCCCCCATTGCCCCGCAATGTTAGAATCAAACAATAGACTTTTGAGTGGAGTGACCACAGCGTAATGGTTAGCCATTAAGTGAGAGGAACATGTTCAATTCCCAGGTGCGGCAAACCCTTAGGCAAATATCCGTACTCCACACGCCTCTATTGCTCGTCGATCGGCAGTTCATATTCTGAGGGTAATCATCCCTTAAAAAAAAATGTGGTCACTCAATCCATGCCTGTTTGTGGGGCACTGCTGTGTGCAATTGGCGTCTCACCCACAGATTTCAGTCACCGCCCTTTACGGTATATTTTGGGTCCCTCCGCCTCGCCCCTCCCCTCCTTCAAGACCCTCCACATCGACTGTGCCTTCGGTCACCCTCCTACCCCTGCCCTCCCCGCCTCATGATCCCAACCACCAGCTCGGGTGCAGATCCCTGACTGTCCAGCGCCTTGGGACCTCCTCTTGACGTGAACAAATGTAATTTGTTATTGCTGCTGTCTCAACGACGTGATAAAGTCTCTATATCAAGGGCAAGTATTATTTTTATAGGATTATTAAGAATCCTTTTAGCATGAAATGCACAATATAAATTCAATTCCATTTTGTCTGTTCACAGACAAGTGGAAGCTTTGCTGAATTAGCCCTGGCTGTTGCCGGGGACACTTTGCATCAGAGATCTTGGTGGTATGAAACAATCGTCAGCGTTCATCAGATAGCAAATGTTCATAAATCACATCATCTGCAAAATGTCAGCAAAAGCTGGACAGTATTCCTCAATGGTAATATTCATGATTAGATGATCACATTGTTATAATTCTTGCATATAATTAGTGCCTTATTGATAAGTTGAGGCACTGAGACGTCTCAAAGCACTTCACGCAATATACTGATATTATGATTAATTGGCTGCCACGTTTCACCCACTGCGTCCCGGGGGTAATAATCCCTCAAAAAAATAAGAATAATTTAGTCGCCCAATCTACGACTCTTCATGGGACACTCCTGTGCACAATTGGCTGCCGTGTTTGGCTCACACCATATGCAGTCAACTCGCATTGCAGTATATTCTGCAAAGCACTTTGAGACGTCTATATCAAATGGGATAAGACGCTATATCAAATGTAAGGATTATTATTGTTAGCGCCAATACTCAGGTATATGTTGATCTCTATTTTAAACCCTGATTCATTCCGTCTCCACAGCTTTCTGGAGCAGCCATTCCACATCTTCTCATCCAAAGCAGAGTGGATGAGTTAACTCTTTCAACTCAGGCTATTAACCAACCCACAAATCTGTCTCATCAGTGGTGAGATAAGCCATGGGGAAACAGGAAGGCTGTCCACAAAAAGGCTCTCAGAACATGCAGCAACACATGTTGTAACTTGAACACCTTTGTCACGCTACACATTTATAACTCCACAAAGCAAAGCTTATTTTTGGTTGGACAGCTGGATGTCCGACACACGTGGAAACCCATCACCATTGCTTAAGAACTTCTGAACCAACAACTTGAGTTCCATGCATCCATGGAAATTCCAGATAGGTTGCTGGAATGAAATGTGCACCTTCTCCCTCCCTGGAGGGACACATGCTGCTTACCCAATTCCGGAGAATATTAGGCGTAGGTTTGCAAGAGCCAAGGCTTAGGGACCCTAGAGTGTGGGTAACTGCTGGAGTCTAACCAGCTAAAACCGCATAGCTTGCCATTGATATCGCTGCCTGGCAAACTTTCCCGCTGCTTGTCCAGTTAGGACCACCCTACCATTAAGGGCTTCGGCTTGCAGTGTTAACAGGAACTGAGTGGGATGACTCCCTGCCCCCAGTGACTGGTCTGCCCTTCCAGGTCCTGCTGATGAGCCAGGCTGGTATGTCATCAACAGTGCCCTGGAACACTGTGGGCCTGCCTGGCTCAGGAACCGGACGAGAGACCATCACAGAGGCTGTTAATCTCGGATGTAGGGTGCTGGCTGATTTGACACTCACCGGTCTGCCTGTCGAGGGCTTGGGTGAACTGGTTGATCGCTGGAGGAACCTTGAGCCTCTTGTAGAGGATAGAGCGTTGCCGCTGGAGACGGACATATCGCGGCCATTTTACAAAGCGAGTCAGGTCCCTCTTGGGCTGGATGTCCTGACCTGTAAAACGATCAACACAAATGAAGCCAACACTGAGACAACACCCTTGCCCGGCTCCACTAGCTCCCCATCTCTCGGGGTCGGGTTGTCCATCTGGCTCCCTCTCCATTTCACCTGGCTTGGGCATCGGGCAGCCAAAAGGTTTTAACCCCTTTTCTCAGAAGATCAAGGTTAAAATCCTCGTCCTCACTTTTAAAGCCCTCCATCATTCTGCTCCTCCCTGTCATTGTTACTGTGGCTGTCACATTCACCCACATAACACACACTCACTCCGGTTACAATAAAATTCTGGTGAAGCGCTTTGACACAGCCTCCTGACATGAATGCTGTTATATCAAACTTAACGGTTATTATTTCTTACAAAAACAACTCTGGGTGGAGAAGCTGAAGGTTAGTATGAGGGTACGTCAGTGGTTGTGTGCTCTGCTCAGGGTTAAAAAGCTCATTTTTGAGTCCACATGGTTTTTCAGGTGAAGAAATTCATTACATCATTGCAGGCAAACCACAGAGGACCCATCACACAATACTTCTTAGATAGAGAGCAAGAAATCTTTTTTTTGTTTGTGGGACACTGCAATGCACAATTGGCTGCTGCAATTCGCTCACAACATACACAGTCACTCCACTTTTTTGAGGGATGATTACCCCCCAGAAAGCGATCCGCCATCAACTAACAACCGGGTTCCTACTTACTTTTAGGTAATCAGAGGAGTGTGTATTAAGTAAACTTGCCTAACGTTTCACGGGAATCAAACCCAGGCCCTCTCGCTTGCGAGGCACACACTCTTAACCACTATGCATGTCCCAACTGATACAACTTAAGTACTGCAGATTACTCACCGATGCCAAAATTCTTGGGCCTCTTCTCAAAGAGGGGGTTGACTGTCTTTTTCTGCTCCTGCTTCCTGAGAACAGAAGGGGCAGGAGCCACCTTCTTACCTTTCCCCTTCTTCCCCTTTGGCTGTAGAGAAACAGCATGTTAGATACTGTGCACTGAAGCAACAATATATCAGGTAATGCGTAACCTTCATTCACAAAAAACAATAATAATAATAATCCTTGCACTTGATTACTTCGAGACTTTTGAAAGCACTTCACAGAATATAGTGTAAAGCGATTGACTGAATATTCTGACTAAACGCATCCCTTCCCCATCCCCCCCAAAAAGTGGCCTCCTTTGCTGTAAGATTCTATGTTTATTGATAGAACCATAGTATCTTACAGCAAAGAAGGTCATTCAGTCCAAAGTGCCTTTAAAAGAGCTATCCAACGCGTCCCACTCCCCTGCTCTTCCCCGACAGCCCTGTAAATTACTCCTTTTCAAATGCATACCCAATTTCTTTTTGAAAGCCACTATTCATTGCACCGCTTCAACGCAAGACCGTTCCCCTCCGAGACTAACTAGGATGAACCTTCCACCGCCTACACGGGAGTTAACTGCAGCAGCGCAAAAGCTGTTTCGTCAACGGTTCCTGGATGAGGCAGAGATCCTTGGGCGAGGGACAAGGAAGGGAGGCCCTTCGGTCCATCAAAGCAAGTGAAGTCAGACCAGACCGCATCTGGCGGGACCAAGACACCACTGACCGGGGGGGGGAGGGGGGGGGGGGGAAAGATCCCCTTATTACGGTTAAACCCGTGGCTTACGGGGTCGGTCCCCCTTTCCGCCCGCGACGGCGTGCGGGGGGACTGTGCCACCGTGTCTTACGGCAAAGAAGCGGCTGCCGCCACGTTCCCCCCCCACCCACCCGCCCGCCCACCCACCCGCCCGCCCGCGGCGTACGGTCACCGCACGGTCGCCGCGGTCCATCCCGTGAAAGGCAGCGCTTTGGGGGGGGGGGGGCGTCGTCTGCGAAATCTTGACGAGGCGCTGCGGTAAATCATCATTAAATCATCATTATTATTAATCATCAATATTATTATTATTATTAATATTATTATTAAAGCAATACAGTAAAGTGACCGGGGGGGCTCTCCGGGGGACTCGGTTGCGGTCAGGATGGGAATGGGACAGGTTTCACTGCGCCCCCTCCACCCCACCCTCCCTCCCTCCCTCACTCCCTCCCTCACTCCCTCCTGAGGCTCCGTTCACTCGAAGCCACAACCAAGGCCCCAAACGCGAATCCGTCAATAAATCGTACCGCAATCCTCACGTTAAACCCCGCGTAACGGTTCGGTTAAGTGCACCGGCGCCTCCTCCGGGCGGGAGGGCGGCGGGCGGGCGGCCCGGGGGAGGGATGGCGCGGATGGCGGGCGGATTGGCGCGCGGCGCGGCGCGGCGCGGGCCGCCGGGTACCCACCATGATGGCTGCGCGGCAGAGAGAGAGAGAGAGGGCGCGCGCTGCACTCTGGGCCGTCTTGGGCTTCTGTGCTCTCGCGGCAGCGTCTCGCGAGATCGGCCTCGTCTCCTGGCAACGCCTCAGCCCCTCAGCCTCAGCGCCTCATCCCCTCAGCCTCAGCGCCTCAGCCCCTCAGCGCCTCATCCCCTCAGCCTCAGCCTCAGCCCCTCAGCCTCAGCGCCTCAGCCTCAGCTCCTCAGCTCCTCATCCCCTCAGCCTCAGCCCCTCAGCTCCTCATCCTCAGCGCCTCAGCCTCAGTCCCTCATCCTCAGCCCCTCAGCCCCTCATCTCCTCAGCCTCAGCTCCTCATCCTCAGCTCCTCATCCTCATCCCTTCAGCCTCAGCCCCTCAGCTCCTCAGCCCCTCAGCCCCTCAGCCTCAGCCCCTCAGCTCCTCAGCCCCTCAGCCTCAGTCCCTCATCCTCAGCCCCTCAGCTCCTCATCCCCTCAGCCTCAGTCCCTCATCCTCAGCTCCTCAGCGCCTCAGCCTCAGCTCCTCAGCCCCTCAGCCTCAGCTCCTCAGCGCCTCAGCCTCAGCTCCTCAGCCCCTCAGCTCCTCATCCCCTCAGCCTCAGTCCCTCAGCGCCTCAGCTCCTCAGCGCCTCAGCCCCTCAGCCTCAGCTCCTCAGCCTCAGCCCCTCCTCCCCTCAGCCCCTGATCCCCCCTCATCCCCTCAGCCTCAGCTCCTCATCCCCTCAGCCTCAGCTCCTCATCCCCTCAGCCTCAGCTCCTTATCCCCTCAACCTCAGCTCCTCATCCCCTCAGCCTCAGCTCCTCATCCTCAGCTCCTCATCCCCTCAGCCTCAGCTCCTCATCCTCATCCCCTCAGCCTCAGCTCCTCATCCCTTAGCCTCAGCTCCTCATCCCCTCAGCTTCAGCTCCTCATCCTCTCATCCCCAGCTCTTCAGCTCCTCATCCCCTCAGCCTCAGCTCCTCAGCTCCCTCAGTTCCTCAGCCTCAGCTCCTCATCCCCTCAGCCTCAGCTCCTCAGCTCCCTCAGTTCCTCAGCCTCAGCTCCTCATCCCCTCAGCCTCAGCTTGTAATTTCCTCATCCCCAGCTCCTCAGCTCCCTCAGTTCCTCAGCCTCAGCTCCTCAGCCCCAGCTCCTCAGCTCCTCATCTCCTCATCCTCAGCTCCTCATCCCCAGCTCTTCAGCTCCTCATCCCCTCAGCCTCAGCTCCTCATCTCCTCAGCCTCAGCTCCTCATCCCCGGCTCCTCAGCTCCTCATCCTCAGCTCCTCATCCCCTCATCCTCAGCTCCTCATCCCCAGCTCTTCAGCTCCTCATCCCCTCAGCCTCAGCTCCTCATCTCCTCATCCTCAGCTCCTCATCCCCGGCTCCTCAGCTCCTCAGCCTCAGCTCCTCATCCCCGGCTCCTCAGCTCCCTCAGCTCCTCACCCTCAGCTCCTCAGTTCAGCCTCAGCTCCTCATCCCCGGCTCCTCAGCCTCATCCCCAGTGCCTCAGCCTCAGCTCAACTGCAGCTCAGCCGCAGCCCCTCAGCCTCAGACTTAGCACCAGCTCAGCCTCAGCTCAGCCTGTCCATCAGCACCAGAAACATCAACAATATCATATTATATTAGTTATAAAATAATATAATAATAAAACAATAATATAAGAATAATATAGGAATGTGATCATAATATTATATGATGTATAATATTAAATTATACTAATATAAGAATATAAGAATGTGATCATAATGTATAATATAATATAATACAATATATGAATTATAATAAAATAATATATAATGGTATAATATAATAAAATGTAATAATAAAATAATATTGTGATGAAAATATAATAATAATACTTGCATTTGATATAGAGTATCCATATAGAGATCTTAATGATGATATAATAATATAATGATATAATAATACAATAATGTTATAATAGTATAATAATGATATAATAATATAATAATACAATAAAATAATAGTTTAATAATATAAAAATAATTATCTTTGCATTTGATATAGCATCTTATGGCTTTTTCGAGACATCTCAAAGCGTTTCGCAAGACATATTGTACAGTGTAGTCGCTGTGTATTTTGCGGGCGAAATGCTATCCACATCCTCAGAGATCTTAGTCTTTGCACTAACTTCAGACACCATCCCCATGGACTTCAGAGTTCATCCACTGTCTCCATCCTGGTGGTCAGTCAATTAGCCAATTGCACACAGCAGTGTCCCACAAACAGTGGTCGATTCAGTGACCGAATTATTATTTTTTTTAAAAAATTTCCAAAGGATTATTACTCGCCCTACCCGTGAATCAAACCTTTCTTTTGCTTGAGAGGTGAGTAAGCAAACCAACATAATAATACTAATAATAATAATAATAATAATAATAATCCTTGCAGGACTTCATCATTAATGGGAGTGCTGTCGTCAGACGCCCGGCTGACCCCAAAATAATCAAAGCTCCAGCATTTACCGAATGTGCCATGAAGGGGTCTCTGCTGAGCTTGTTTTAAGTCTGTTATAAATTGGGACTTGCTCTGTGTGTGGGCTGCGCTGTGCACCATTGGGTGACGCGTTTCACCCACAAACTACACAGTCAATCCACATCACAGTATGTCCTGCGAAATGCTTTGAGACGATTCGATGACGTGATGAGGCGCGGATGGTGGAGTTGGGGGGTAAGCAGGTCGGAGAGGTAGGGAGGTGCGAGGGAATTTAAGGGATTTGAAAACATCATTACGTCCTATCAATGCAGTGTTTAAAATCAGCTATCTGGCGGGCAACTGCCTTCAGCTTGGTGCATATTAATAATAATAATAATAATCCTTGCATTTGATATAGCGCTTTTCACGTCGGGAGGACGTCCCAAAGCGCTTCACAGAACACACTGTAAAGTGAATTGACTGTATATTTGTGGGCGAACGCGGCAGCCAATTGCGCACAGCAGTGTCCCACAAACAGTCGTAGATTGAAAATGACCAATTTATTATTGTTTTGGGTTTTGGAGGGATTATTATTAGGCTCTGTGTGGGGTAAGGAAACTTGCCCGAGGTTTGCCCCTGTACCGGGAATTGAACTCAGGTCTCTCACTTGCAAAGCGAGTGCTCTAACCACTGAGCTACAGGACTCCACTGGGGTGGGGTGGGCACTGCATTGTCAGAGTCCATCCTTCAGATGAGATGTTAACCCGAGGTCCCGTCAGTCTGTGCAGGTGGACATTAAAGATCCCATCCGAAAAGAGAAAGGAGTTTCCAACAAGTTTGTTTGCCTACAAATTGCACAGAAACTACACTTCACAGTGAATTCTGCGCAGCGCTCTGAGATATCATAATCCTTGCACTTGGTACACGTCGGGAGGACGTCCCAAAGCGCTTCACAGGAGAGGCAATGCCCGGCAATGTCCCACAAACAGCCGTGAAACAAATGACCATTGTATTCGGGGGATTGTTGGCACTGGGCCAGGCTGACCCAAATTGTGAAAGGCTCTCTGTCATACGCCACTATTTTTTTGCACGTCCGGTTTGCAGTATGTTTCCACAAATATACAGTCAATTCACTTTACAGTGTGTTTCCCAAGCCTTAAAACAAACAAGGACTCAACACATATTATTTGGCATTTGCTGATTAGTGTTGAAGTCAGAGAGGATCATTCTCGTCCCTGGAGGGTTAGTCGCTGATCAATTAGGTGCAAAATTCCTCCTGGTGCCGGACTGTGTGCCCATTTTTTTCTTTTAAAAGCTTCAGAATTGTTGGGATACATCTTGAATTCAGTGTTGATTTCACCTGCAAAACACAGTCACTACACTTTACAGTATAATCTGCGTGATGTCTCGACGACGGGATAATAATAATAATAATAATCCTTGCATTTGATACGGCGCTTTTCACGTCTTCTCGACGTCTCAAAGCGCTTCACAGAATGTACTGTAAAGTGAATTGACTGTATATTTGTGGGTGAAACGCGGCAACCAATTGCGCACAGCAGTGTCCCACAAACAGTCGTGGATTTAGTGACCAAATTATTATCGTTTTTTTTCGCTTGAGGGATTATTATCAGGTATGTGGAGTAAGGAAACTTGCCCAGGGTTTCGCCCTGCCAGGAATCGAACCCAGGTCTCTCGCTTGGTGAGGCGAGAGCTCTAACCACTGAGTTACAGGACTCCACAAAAATAAAGCAAGACAACCGCTTTAAGACAACAACAACAACAACAACAAGATTACATTTGCCTTTCATGTCGGGAGGACGTCCCAAGGCGCTGGACAGTGTACAGGATATCAGACCGGAGCTGGGGGAGGGGGGGGTGAGGGGAAGGGGACTGGCCGATAGCATGGTCAAAGAGGAAGGAGGCTAAGGAGGGGGGCGAGGCGGAGTGACTGGGGGATGGAATTCCAGAGGTTGGGGGCAGAGTGGCTTAAGGCTCTCCCGCCAACGGTGGGGCGGGTGGGTCGGGGGACGAGGAGCAGCCGGAGCCGGCTGAGCGGAGGCTGTGGGCGGGTTGGTAGGGGGTTAGGAGGTTGCAGAGGTAGGGTGGGGCGAGGCCATGGAGGGCTTTGTAGGTCAGGACCAGGATCTTGAACTGGATCCTCTGAAGGATAGGGAGCCAATGGAGTCGGGCGAGAGTGGGGGAGATGGGGTCATGGAGTTTGGTGCGGGAGAGGACACGGGCGGCAGAGTTCTGGATTATCTGCCGACTGTGGAGGGAGGAGTTGGGAAGGCCGACAAGCGGGGAGTTTGCACAGCCGAGCCTGGAGGTGATGAAGGCACGAACAAGAGTTTCAGCGGCTTGAGGTAGTGACGGAGTCGGGCGATGTTACGGAGGTGAGGGAAGGCAGAGCGGGTCATGGCTTGAATGTGGGGGAGAAAAGTCAGTTGAGGGTCGACCAAGACACCCGGGTTCCTGACTGGCGGTGAGTTGTGGTGAGCAACCATGGAGGTCGACGCTGCCAGAGCCTGAGGTGCTGAGGCGCTGGCGTGAGCCGATCGGGAGGGCCTCAGTCTTGTTCACGTTCAGCTGTAGGAGATTTGCCCTCGTCCAGGACTTGACGTCCGACCGCAGTCTGTCAGGACAGCAGTGCTCCTGGAGTTGAGGGTGGAGGCAGAAAGGTAAGAGTTGGGTGTGATCCGCACACATGTCGACATTGACCCCATGTCTGCTGGTGTTATTGGCCACGTCAGCAAAGAGTAACAGCCTACCTTTGGCCAGCTCCAAATAAAGAGATAAGGCGCTGTATCAAATGCAAAGCGTAATTATTATTATTATTATTAAATCTCCTTGGTTAGAAAGATTTTAGCTTAACCTCTCCTCCGCATTCCTGAATAATGTGTGTGGTGTCTCTCTCTCTCTCTCTCTCTCTCTGTCTCCTCTGCCCTGGGGGTTGGGTTATGTAAAAGGGGCTGAAAAGGGGTTTGCATGGCAGAGAGGAAGAGAGGGAGAGAGAGGGAACACAATTTTATTGCAAAGGGACAAATCGTTGAAATACCAGACAGAGAAGCTGGTGAATGAAAGTGAAACTCACTCAGAGCTTCTGCAGATGTTCTGCTCTGTCCCTCTTGCAGAGAGGGGAAGAAGAGTGGGAGTGTAAGGGGGAGAGAGAGAGAGGGGTGGGGGGGGGGGGGTGGGAGTAAATAAAAGTGCAATGCCATCTCTGTGGATCAGAGAGTGTGCGAGAGAGAGATAGTTAGAGGAAGTGAATGCAATCGTGCAATGTTGTCACTATCAATCAGATAGTCAGTGAGTGAGAGGGAGGGACTGAACTAAATTGGGCAATACTGAGCAGAGAGGGGGAGAGTGAAAAGAAGAGGGGGACAGAGAGAGAGAGGGAGAGAGAGAAGGGAAGAGATGCAAAGGGACTGAGAGAGAGAGAGAGAGAGGGGGTGAATGAAATTGTGCAATGCCATCTCTGCTTAGCAGAGGAGAGAGAGGGGGGGGAGAGTGAGTGTGTGAGAGAGAGAGAGAGAGAGAGAGAGAGTGGGAAAGGCAAAGAGAGAGAGAGAGAGAGAGGTGTGAGAGAGAGAAGGCAGAGAGAAAGGGGGAAGAACGAGTGTGGATGTGTGAGAGAGAAAGAGAGTGGTGTGGGATAGGCAGAGAGAGAGAGTGAGAGAGAGGGGGTTGGTGGAGAGACACAGAGAGAGGGGGAAAGAGAGAGAGAGAGAGAGAGAGTGGGAAGGGCAGAGAGAGAGGAGACAGAGAGAAAGGGGGAAGAACGAGTGTGGATGTGTGAGAGAGAAAGAGAGTGGTGTGGGATAGGCAGAGAGAGAGAGGGAGAGGGAGAGACACAGACAGAGAGAGAGGGGAGAGAGAGAGAGAGAGAGAGGGAGAGACACAGACAGAGAGAGAGGGGGAGAGAGAGAGAGAGTGAATGAATGAAATTGTGCAAATTGTGCTGCATTGGTCAGGACTGAGTGAGTTGTCTGGGAATCCGAGGGGTTGAGGGGATGGAGAGAGAGAGAGTCATTGGCTCTGGAGACCAAACCCCCGTTGGGTTGGGGTTTGGATCAGTTCTTTGCTGAGAGGGGACGAGGAGAGCAGAGACTGATGTGCTGATCTGTTTGTGAGTATATCGCTGTTTCCTGTCACGTATCTGCCTTCTGCATATGTATTTATATTTCTATATATATATATATATATAGAGAGAGAGAGAGAGAGGGGGTATTTGTGTGTTTCACCCCCAAAGGAACTGTGTACAGTACCACCGGGTCTGCATTTACACTGCGATGTACCATTGCACACACACACACACACACACACCAGGGATGGGATTGCTTTAAACCTCTGTGTGTGTGGGGGGTGGGGGTGGTGGGGTGTATTGTGTGTGGGGGGGTGTGTGTGTGTGGGGTGTGTGTGGGGGTGGGGGTGTGTATGTGTGTGTGGGGGTGTGTGGGGGGTGGGGGTGTATGTGTGTGTGGGGGGGGGGGGGTGGGGGGTGTATGTGTGTGTGGTGGGGGGGTTGGGGGTGTATGTGTGTGTGGGGGGGTGGGGGGTGTATGTGTGTGTGTGGGGGGGGTGTGTGTGTGTGTGTGGGGGGGGTGTGTGGGGGGGGGTGTGTGGGGGGTGGGGGGTGTATGTGTGTGGGGGGGGGGTGTGTGTGGGTGTGGGGGGTGTATGTGTGTGTGCGTGTGTGGGGGTGGGGGGTGTATGTGTGTGCGTGTGGGGGGGGTGTGGGGGGTGTATGTGTGTGTGTGTGTGGGGGTGGGGGGTTTATGTGTGTGGGGGTGGGGGGGGGTGTGGGGGGTGGGGGGTGTATGTGTGTGTGGGTGGGGGGGGGTGTATGGTGTGTATGTGGGGGGTTGGGGGTGTATGGGGGTGTGGGGGTTGGGGGGTGTATGTGTGTGTGGGGGGTGGGGGGTGTATGTGTGGGGGGGGGGGTGGGGGGTGGGGGGTGTATGTTGTGTGGGGGGGGGGTGTATGTGTGGGGGGGGGTGTATGTGTGGTGTGGGGGGGTGTGGGGGGTTGGGGGGTTGTTCAGCATCACTGCGATCTCTGCTATTGCGCTTCCGCACTGTATATTTCACCCCACACCCCCTCTCTGATGCTCTCCATCTCTCTCTCTCATTTGCCTTGTGTCACCTGCACTCTCCCCCCTCCCCCCTCTCTCTCCCCCTCCCCTCTCTCCCCCATCCCCCCTCTCTCTCCCCCCTCCCCCCTCTCTCTCCCCCCCCCCCTCTCTCTCCCTCCTCCCCCCCTCTCTCTCCCCTCCCCCCCCTCTCTCTCCCCCTCCCCCTCTCTCTCTCCCTCCCCCCCTCTCTCTCCCTCCCCCACTCTCTCTCCCTTCTCCCCTCTCACTCCCTCCCCCCCTCTCTCTCCCTCCCCCCTCTCTCTGTACCACCCCCCCTCTCTCTCTACCCCCCCTCTCTCTCTACCCCCCACTCTCTCTCCCCCTCCCTCCCCCCCCCCCTCTCTCTCTCTCCCTCTCATTTGCCTTGTGTCACCTGCACTCTCTCTCCCCCCCCCCTCTCTCTCCCCCCTCTCTCCCTCCCCCCTCCCTCTCTCCCCCTCTCTCTCTCCCCCCCCCCCTCTCTCCCTCCCCCCTCCCTCTCTCCCCCTCTCTCTCTCCCCCCCCTCTCTCCCTCCCCCCTCCCCCCCTTCCCCTCAGTGTTATTGATTTGCTTTGGTTGATCAATTGCTGAAAGCATCGCAAAATGGTGGGGATCTCTATTGGGGGTGACCTGGTTTGAAGGAGGTGTTGACGGAGTGTGTGTGTGTGTGGGGGGGGGGGGGGGATGATGATGATGGTGTGTGGGGGGGGGGGAATGATGATGATGGTGTGTGTGTGGGGATGATGATGATGGTGTGTGTAGGGGATGATGATGGGGTGTGTGTGTGGGGTGGGTGGGAGAGAGAGATGATGATGTTGTGTGGGGGTTAGAGATGATGATGATGGAGTGTGTTTCTGTGTGTGGGGAGAGGGGTGATTATGGTGGTGTGTTGTGAGGGGGGTGATGATGATGATGATGGTGTGTGGGGGGAGAGGGGTGATGATGATGGTGTGTATGGGGAGAGGGGAGATGATGATGGTGTGTATGGGGAGAGGGGTGATGATGATGGTGTGTGTGAGGGGGGTGATGATGATGTGTGTGTAAGAGGGTGATGATGATGGTGTGTACGGGGAGAGGGGTGATGATGATGGTGTGTGTGAGGGGGGTGATGATGATGGTGTGTGTGTGGGGAGAGGGGTGATGATGATGGTGTGTGTGGGGGGGTGATGATGATGCTGTGTGTGAGGGGGGTGATGATGATGATGGTGTGTGAGGGGGTGATGATGATGATGGAGTGTGTGTGTGGTGGGGGGGTTGATGATGAAGATGGAGTTGTTCCTCCATACCTTAGTGAATTCATTGGGAAACGCCCACACACACACCATCATCATCATCCTCATCACCCACCCCACACACACACCTTCATCATCACCCCCACACACACCATCATCCTCATCATCCCCACATGCCATCATCATCCTCATCACCCACCCCCCCACACATACCATCATCATCATCACCCCTCCACACACCATCATCATCATCCCTCCCACGCCACCATCATCATCCCCTACCCCCCACACACATCATCATCATCATTCCCCCCAACACACACACACCATCAACATCACCCCCCACACACACACCTTCATCATCAAACCCCCCCCCCCAAACACAAAGGGCTGGAAGCAGATTCTTGCCCTTAACCCAATGGCCTCCCTTTGTGGTCCAGGGTTAGTGAACAATGGTCCAGGGTTCAGGAAGACACATAGAAAGATAACTGCATATAAGACCAAGTGAAATGCGGGGGCCACACACGGTACGGGTGACCACCCCCTCCACCCGACCCCCAGCAGGGCAAGGGGCAGATAGGCATTTGAGGGGTAAGTCATTTGGAAGGCGGGGGCAATGGTGCGGGGGGTTGGGGGTGGGGGGGAGTGATGGTGTGTGTGTGTGTGCGGGGTTTGATGATGGAGAGTGTGTGTGTGTGAAGTGGGGGGTGATGATGGAGTGTGTGTGGGGTGGAGGTGATGAGGGAGTGTGTGTGTGGGCGGGAGTGATGAGGAGAGGGTGCGTGTGTGGGGGTGAGATGAGGGAGTGTGTGGGGGGGAAGGGTGATGATGGAGAGAGTGTGTGGGGGCAGTGGGTGATGATGGAATGTGTGTGGGGTGGAGGTGATGAGGGAGTGTGTGCGGGGGGGGGGAGGAGTGATGATGGAGAGAGTGCGTGTGGGGGGTGTGATGAGGGAGTGTGTGGGGGGGAAGGGGTGATGATGGAAGAGTGTGTGGGGGCAGTAGGGAGAGATGATGGACATGACGTGGGAAGAGATGTGGGGGGGAGAAGTGATAAGGGAGTGTGTGTGGGGGGGGAGTGATAAGGGAGTGTGTGTGGGGGGGAGTGATGAGGGAGTGTGTGTGGGGGGGAGTGATGAGGGAGTGTGTGTGTGGGGGGGAGTGATGAGGGAGTGTGTGTGGGGGGGGAGTGATGAGGGAGTGTGTGTGGGGGGGGGGAGGGGTGACGAGGGAGTGTGTGTGAGGGGGGGAGGAGTGACGAGGGAGCGTGTGTGAGGGGGGGTGGAGGAGTGACGAGGGAGTGTGTGTGTCATATAAGCACATCGTCTCGTCGCTTATCAGGGGATGGACACTGCCACCACACAGCCCTATAGCAAACTGCAGCGCAGCACTGTATCGTTCATTACAACAGCTCACACTGCGACAACACCGATGAAATCAGATTCCTCACAGGCCACCACCCCCCCCACCCCCCCCCCCCCCCCCCCCCCACCCCCCGAAGCTTCGAATGGGTCCAGAGAGCCCCCGAATTCATCCCGGCTTTAGCCCGAAGCACCGTTGATAATCATAATAATAATAATCCCGATAACAAGAATCCTGAACAATAATAACCCCTTGCATTTGATATCGAGCCTCGTCGTGTCGTTGAGACGTCCCAAAGCGCTTACGCAGGACGGACGGACCGTAATGTGGGTGGACTGCGTGGTTTGTGGGTGAAATGCACAGCAGTGTCCCGCAATCAGTCGTGAATTGAGTGACTTAAGTTATTATTATTTTTAAATGTATTTATTGGAGGGATTACTACCCCCTGTTAATAATTCAACAGGGAGTAGTGGTAAGAGTATCGTGTTTATTCCGTTAATATCAAATAAATATATATATATATCTACTACTACAAATTGTTTATCCTTTTCCATATATAATAATAATAATCCTTGCATTTGATATAGCGCTTTTCACGTCGGGAGGACGTCCCAAAGCGCTTCACAGAACACACTGTAAAGTGAATTGACTGTATATTTGTGGGCGAACGCGCACAGCAATGTCCCCCAAACAGTCGTAGATTGAAAATGACCCGTTTATTATTGTTGTTTGTTTTGGAGGGATTATTATATATATATATATACATATAAAAAAACGGTAAACAATTTGTATTCAAACCATATGACCATATAACAACACACCACAGTCCGCACCATACAACGACACAGATGTCCAAATCAAATAATTGGGAAACACAACAGCGTGCGCTCGGGAATCGCTCAGTAATCCAGACAAAATCATAAGCCCGAGAACGCACCTCAACATACGCAGCAGAGATCACAGAACTATCACACAGAGATAAACTGTCAACTCAACAGCCAAACTCGCGCTGCCTTTCAAACGTGGCTGCTTTTATCGCTTCTCTGCCCGGCAGACAGAACCAACGCCCTCTCACCCATTACTTCCTTCCTCTCTTTCTGAAGTTGATTGATCCTCTACGACAACTCCCAACTATTCCGAAGTTCCACCTGTCTTTTAGGTGTTTCTAACTCCACCTCTCGTTGTCGCAAAGATCGCTGCACCCTTCTCAAGCTGTTTTTGCACAGAGAGAGAGAGAGAGAGAGAGAGAAAAAAAGTGATGGACAACTTTTTCGCAGCCTTCCACATCCTTGAGATAGGCTGTGGAAGGCTGTCTGAGGCTATAGCCGTTTCTCTCTGTGGTCAATCGTTCTTACGTCTATGCTCAAGGACACGATGGCTCGTTATCTCAGAGAAGTGAACGTCTTCCCAGGAAAATGTGAAACGTAATCGGAAGCTAAACTCAACCTGTCCAGCAAAGCTACTCCTAACCATTTAACTATCAAGCCTTCATGCAGTTGTTGTTCGAAATATTACCAAGACACCTTGAGCTGTTAGGCGGCATATTTCAACACCCTGCAGAGCGATCCGCCAACTGGGCTCCTACTTACTGCCAGGTAAACAGAGGCGTGTGGATTAAGGAGACTTGCCTAAGGTTTTGCCCTGCCCAGGAATCAAATCTGGGTCCTCTCGCTTGCGAGACGAGTCCTCTAACCACCACACGACAGGACACTTCTTAGGGATTCAAATTGGTGCGTGGTTTTAAAGTTTAAGAGAAAATGTGGAGTCGTGTGGCGCAGTGGTTACGAGTGCTCACCTCGCAAACGAGAGGACCCAGGTCAGGGTGAGGTCCGTAACCGAGCAGTAAGTAGGAACCTGGTTGGTAGTAGATTGGCGCAACCCTTTCCGGGGGCAATAATCCCTCGCCCCCCAAAAAAATGTGGTCACTAAATCCACAACTGTTTTTTGGACACTGTTGCGTGTAATTGGCTCTAGAGTTCGACAGCAAAATACATGGTTAATCCAATTTGCAGTACATCCTGTATATTCGTGCAAAGACGTGATAAGCTCTATATCGAGTGCAAGGATTATTATTATTATAGTATTCGTCAATTGATTTTTTTGTTCATTCTTTTATCGTTTAGGATGTTGGAAAGCCCAGATATAACACAGAAGCCCTGACCCAGTTTACTGTGCAAATTTCTGCCCTGTTCATCAAAATCTCTATGGAGATGCTACGTCGCTTCAATAAATGCCGGCTGATTGGCTTTCTGCGGAAACCTCGGTTGGGTGTGGGTTTGTTGCTCGTGTTGATGCTCACGGGCATTCCTTTCCTGGTGGATTACGCCCAGGAATGGACCCTGCGGAGAGACCCAACGCCCATCACCAATGGCAGTATCGTGCAGATGCGGGCGAGGGCCGTGAGCTTCAACATGGAGGTCTTCAGACACAACGCTTCCAAATATTACCTCATTCCCAACACAAACGCCTGTGACGGTCCCGACGTCTTCCTGGTCAGCTTTGTCATCAGTAAAACGGGCCACTTCCAAAGCCGGGAGGCCATCCGCCAGAGCTGGGCGAGCGTCAAGGACGTTCAAGGACACACAGTGTTAATACTCTTCGCTTTGGGGGTCCCCGAGAGCACAGAAGAACAGGAGAGAATCGAGGAAGAATCATCTCAATACAAGGACGTGGTTCAAGGGGTCTTTAGGGATACTTACCACAACCTGACCCTGAAGACCATCATGATAATGCAATGGTTGGCACTTATTGCCCGGCTGCCAGATACCTCCTCAAAGTCGACGACGATGTCTTTCTGAACTATCACAACCTAATGGAGCATCTCATAGGCCTCAGCGACGATTCCGAGGACCTGTATCTGGGTTGGGTCCATCGTAGGGTCAGACCCGTTCGAAACAAGAACGACCTGTACTACGTCTCGGAGTCCGTGTACTCGAAGGACGTCTACCCGGACTACTGCAGTGGGACGTCTTATGTTGTGTCCAAGGATGTTGTCCTCAAGGTCTACGTGGCAGCATTGACCACTCCGCTGATAACCATCGAAGATGTCTTTGTGGGGTTGTGTGCTCATAAGATGGGGGTTTCACCCACTCACACCTCTAAGATATCTGGGCCAGTTCGATTTCACTTAAACCAATGTTGCTACAAGTCTATATACGCTTCCCATCACATCAAGCCGGGAGAGTTCCTGAAGATATGGAAGCTTGTGAATGACGGGAGCAGATGCTCGTTGCTCGCTAAGTACACTGGGCTGTTCATGTGCAAAGCCCTCGCCTTGTTGAGTCCAGTTATTAATCAATGAGGAGCCTGTAATGGCTCTCCTGTTTGGGGAACAGACTGGGGCATTGTGGAATCCTGTAGCGTAGTGGTTAGAGCGCTCGCCTCGCTAGCGAGGGGACCCGGGTTCGATTCCCGGGCAGGGCGAAACCTTAGGCAAGTTTCCTTACTCCACACACCTCTGCTTACCTAGCAGTAAGTAGGGACCCAGTTGTTAGTCAATCGGCAGATCAGGTAATGATCCCTTAAAAAAAAAAAAATTGGTCACTCAATCCATGACTGTTTGTGGGACACTTGGAAGCAATTGTCTCCTGCATTTCGCTCACAAAATATACAGTCAATTCAGTTTACAGTGTATCCTGTGAAGCGGTTTGAGACTCACGCAGACGTGATAAGACGCTATATCAAATGAAGGGATTATTAGTTCAAGTGCTCTGGGACGCTACCCTGTGTCGGGGAGCTATGTGAATGCAAGTGTTATTGCCGTCACGGATTTGAGTCCGTGCCCACCCTCCTCACACGGTGTGAGGTTGCGAGGACATGCTGAGCGTAGCTGAGAGCGTTTCCTCACGGTGAGTGAAGTGAGCGGAAGGGGAGGGAAAAGTCTGACACATGCGGAAACCCATCACCGTTGCTTAAGAGTCTCCAAACCCAAGCTGAGAATTGCATGGATCTCATCCACACATGGAAATCCCAGAGATAGGATTGTTGGAATGGAATGCTCTCTCTCTCCCTGGAGGGATGCATCCTGCTCACCTAATTCCGGAGAGTATTAGGCGCAGGTTGGCAAGAGCCAAGGCTTGGGGACCCCAGTGTGGGCGTTGGGGTAACTGCTGGAGTCTAAGCTCAAACCACAAAGCTTGCCATTGATATCACAGTCTGGCCAGCTTTCCCGCCGCTTGTCCGGCCGGGACCACCCTACCTGTTAGGGCTCTGGCTTGCAGGGCTAACGGGAGCTGAGTGGGATGACTCCCTGCCCCCAGTGACTGGTCTGCCCTTCCAGGTCCTCCCGATGAGCTGGGCTGTAACTCTTGATGTCCTTCTTTGTACATTGCAGGAAGCAGTCCCGACAGATGGTTGACTAATCAACCAGTAAAACCATACCTTCCAGAGTCTGATTCACGAACCTTTGGTCAACGACTTCTGCTTTTGTTTCCGATCTCCAGCATCTGCAGTAATTTTGCTTTTCCTTGCAGTTTTCCCTTCCCCTGTGACTGAGGACCCCGCAGCGTGTCTTTTAATCTTTTTCACCGACTACTCCGTGCAAATTTGGGCGAACGCCCAAGGGGTAAAAATGAATTTCGGCCAAATGCAAAACACAGTTGTGCCAAAAAATCTCGTCCCTGCAAAGCCGGCGTTGGGAACGTGTGTACGGTACGATGCAGCGAACACACACGGTTAAGCACACGTGTAATTCTGTTAGGTTCACATAGCCGTTCTCTTTACGTTACAATGACCTCTATCTGCGAAGGAGGTCGTGTTGGGTTTTTTTTTTACAAAAAGAATGAAGTTAATGATTTGCTGGTAACGAACTTAACTTACGGAGCGTGTTTTTTTTTTTTGAGGTTCCAAAATAAACTCCGATTTTTTTTCACTGAATTGTTTTGTTTCGCGTCAATTCCTTTCACCCCCAATTTTCGGACAGATAACAACAACTTGGATTTATATAGCGCCCTCCACGCCGGACGGCGCCTCGGAGCGCTTTACAGTTTAGGATCCTGGGGCCGAGCCGGGAAGAGGGGGAAGGTGACCAAAGGCGCGGACGAAAAGAAAGGTCTTCAGCAGAGAATGGAAAGGGAGGAAACGAGGCGAAGGGAGTGAGGAAGGCAGTTCCAGAGCCTTGGGGCATAGCGGCTGAAGGCGCGGCCGCCGAGGGTGGAGCGGAGGACTCAGGGGACAAGGAGGAGGCGAGACCCGGAGGAACGAAGCCAACAGTACTGTGCTGAGGAGAGGTCAGAGAGGTCGGGGGGTGCAGAAGAGCGCAGGGACTTGAATATTGGTCCGTCTGGGATAAGATAATAAGAGGTATTGGCGGAGACGGGTGATGCGTCGGAGGTGGAAGAAAGCGTTGCTGGTGAGGGACCGGATGTGGAGGAGGAAGGATAATTGGGGGTCGAACCTGATGCCAAGGTTGCGTACGGGTTTGGAAAGTTTTAGGGGAGGTTGGGTAGGTGGAGGAGGTGAGAACCGTGAGATTTTAGACATTGACGAGAGCCGAAGAGTACGGTTTCTGTCTTGTCAACGTTCAGCTGAAGGAAGTTTGAGCTCCTCCAGCCCCTGAGATCTGACAGGCAGAACATCAGGGCACTGGGGGTCGCAAAGTGAGGTGGAAAAGTAAGAGTTGGGCGTCATCCGCATGACCGCTATGTCTGCGGATGACATCCCCAAGAGGGAGCAAGTAGATCAGAAAGAGGAGGGGGCCAAGGATGGATCCTTGGGGTATCCCGCAGGTAACCGGGTGAGAGCGGGAGGAGAGCCGTTTATGCAGATGTACTGCTGGTTGTTAGTCAATTGGCCGATCGCTTTTTCAGGGGTAATAATCCCTCCAAAACGTAATTTGGTCACTCAACCCACGTGTGCGCAATTGGCTGCCGCATTTCACCCACAAAATAAGAGTGGATTCACTTTACAGTGTATTCTGTGAAGCGCTTTGAGAGGTCTCAGCGATGCGACTGGGGTCAGAGGTGCCGTCCTTCAGATCACATGAGGTGTTGAACTGAGGGTTCTCGGTCTGTCTGCTCACGTGGACGTTAAAGATCCCGCTACATTTTTGAAAAGGCGGCGTTTATCCCAATTTCCTAGCTGACAAGACGCATCGTAAATGTAAGTTACCCGCCACGTTCTCCCCTACAAATACGTAGTCACTACGCTTCATAAAAATCCAGTGAAATGCCTTGAAACTTTTCGACTTGAGACCCTGTGATCAGACACTACGGTATATAGGGATTATTATTGTTACACTTGGGGCCTTTCTACTGTGAGAGTCCCGGACGCTGAGCGAATCTTGTGACAATGATTGATTAGAGGAAGACGGTGGTTAACTTGACTGCGGATGTGACGCTCAGCACAAAATGAGACGCAGCGACTGGAAAGTCCCACGAACTTGTTCACCCGTTCGTAACACTGTGACTGTCCAGCGCCTTGGGAAGTCCTCCCACCATGAAAGGCGCCGCGTAAATGTGTTGGTGGTGTTGTATCAAACGTAACTATTATTATCTGTCCTTGACCAGGCGTTCGTTGCTGACATCCAGTCTCAGGTGCATTATCTTTGCGAACCACAATCCAGAGGTTATCAACCCCAATTTTTGTGGGTACCTTAAACCTGAATGATCACATTCCACACACCCTGTTCCTCAGCTTCGAACTGAACTGGAAGACTTGCATTTTTGTAGAGCTTAGGATCATGTCTTGAAAGCGCTCATGGTGTTTCGATGGTTACTACAAGTCCTCACCAACAGTTCTAGATTCTGTCCTACAATGGAGTCCTGCAGCTCAGCGGTTAAGAGCGCTCGCCTCGCAAGCGAGAGGCCTGGGTCTGATTCCCGACAGGGTGAAACCGTGCGCACGTTTCCTTACTCCACAGCCCTGATGATAATCCCTCAAGAAAAACAAAATAAATAATTCGGTCACTTCGATCCATGACTGTTTGTGGGACAGTTGCCGCGTTTCACCCAGAAATATACAGTCAATTCATTCTACAGTATTTTTGTGTGAAACGCTTTGAGACCTCTAGAAGTGGTGAAAAGCGCTGCATCAAATGCAAGGATTATTATTATTATTATTATTATAAACAGTCGTGGATCGAGTGACTGATTATTTGGATTATTATTACCCCCTGGAAAGAATCCGCCTGTGTGTCGACTTACTTCTCGGTAAACAAGAGGCGTGTGGAGTATTGAAACTTGCCCCACCCTGGAACTGAATCCACTTCCTCTCGCTTGCGAGGCGAGCGGTCCAACCCACTACGCTCCAGGACACCACCTGCACACTCATTGGACGTTATAAGGATATAAAATGCCGTGAAATATTTCGACCAGATTAATTTGCTGACTTGCCCTGCCCTGCCCCCATCCCAACCGGCTCGACACACAAAATAATAATAATAATAATAATAATAATCCTTGCATTTGATATAGCGCTTTTCACGTCAGGAGGACGTCCCAAAGCGCTGCACAGAACACACTGTAAAGTGAATTGACTGTATATTTGTGGGCGAATCGCTGCAGATGTTGGAAACCTGAAATGAAAACGGAAGTGGCTGGGAACCCTCAGCCGGTCAGGCAGCATCGAGGGAGAGAAGAAAAACGAGTCGACGCTTCAGGTGGATAAATTCTCGTCGGATAAAAGCTGTGCGCTGAAAGGTTATTGACCTGAAACGTTTGCTCAAATCGGAAGCTGCATAGGCTGACATGGGTGAATGAGAAGTTGACGAGTTGACTTGCCTGAAGTGGTTGGGAGCTTCAGGGGATGCAGGACCGTAGGTGCAACTCAGGCCAAAGTTCTGGTGTCCCGGTGTAGAGGTCAGAGCGCTCGCCGCGCGAGCGAGAGGGCACTGGTTCGGTTCCCGGGTGGGGCGAAAACGTAGGCAAGTTGCCTCACTCCACGCACGTGCCTCGGTTTACCAAGCAGTAACTAACCCGGTTGTTAGATGGTTGGCGGATCGCTTTCCGAGATTAATCCCTACCGCTCCCCTCCCCAAAAATAAATTAGCAACTCAATCCCAGACAAGTTTGCAGGACACTGGTGGCCACAGTCACTTTACACTGTGAAGCGCTTTAGTGCGTCTCAACGACATGATAAGGCGCTATATCAAATGTAAGGATTATTTTTCTTATTAGCCAGTTCTCGGGGAGGTGCAAGCTGCCCTCCTGACTTGAGGAGGTGTCTGACAGGGAGGGTTTGCTGAGAACAAGGCAATGCTGGCCTTGCTAGGTTCCTGCGGGAGAATAGGGGCTCGTGGGGGGGTTGGGGGGGGGTTTGCTTGAAGCTTTCCTGTAAAAAGCACGGGGAGAAACTTGTGTGAAACAGACATGGCGCTGATCTACCTGGTTTGTGGAGATTAAAGTGCTGGTTGAATAAACAATAATCCTCGCATTTGATTTCGCATCTTCAAGACGTCTCAAAGCGCTTCGAAGAACATACTGCAAAGTGTAGTGACTGTATATTTTGTGGGCGAAACGTGGGGGCACAGCAGCGTCCCACAAACAGTCGTGGAGTGATCATTAATTCATCTCGGAATCCATGACTGTTTGTGGGACACTGATCTGCGCAATTGGCTACTGCGTTTTGCCATTTAAAATAAAGTCAAACCATTGAATATTATATTCTGTGAAGCGCTTTGAGACGTCTCAACTGCGTGATAAGGTGCTATGTCAAATGCAAAGGCTTAGTATTATTATTGACAGAGAAAACTGAACTCCGGTTTTCATTCGCACAGGAGGAGATCTTGGTTATGCAACAACAAAATTACATTTGTTAGCGCCTTTCACGGGGGAGGACGTCCCAAGAGACGTCCCTCTCAGAGATTAAGCAAAAGCAGAACCAAAGTCACAGTAAATTGTTCCTGAAATATTTCCTGCGCTGGTAAATTCAGTTGCTTTTCTTTTTGCTTACTAAGTGTTATTGAACACCCTGCTGCCCACTCACCCTCCACAAGCTGCAGACTGCTCAGAACTATGCAGCCCTCGATTCGTTACGTCATCGAGACGTCTCGAAGCGCTCCACAGAAAATATTGTATCCACCCCGCCCGGTAATCGAACCTGTTTCCTCGCTAGCGAGGCGAGTGCTCGAACTACACAACTCCAATCGTGTCGAGGCAGGAATCCGCGAGTTGGCGAATTTTGCTTTTATTTTCTTAAGAAATGTAGATTTTTGGGGGAAAAAAAATCCACAAAGGTTATTTTCAGAGAAATTCTCCTTTCACATTTGCGTTGCCTTGCAGTCAGTCTCCTGGTATTTCTGCAAACAAAACAAACCAAAAATATCCCAACCGCCACTGCTCTGAACACAAATAATTTGACGCAGTGAACCGGTTTTTGCAACGGAAAGGCATCTGCTGAAGTTGGCGGAAGGGGAGGAGAGAACGTTTCGAATGGTGCAGAGTTTCGTGGGGGGAAAATCTCCTGGGGCAGCCTAACCAGAGGGGGGGGGACACATCTGCAGACACCGCTTCAGTGAGCGAGCGAGCAGGAAACTGACAGAACAGGCTCCCATTTGAGACGGTGGAAGCAGAAAGTGTTCAAGTCTCTCAAGGACAAATCAGATAGGTGTCTGCAAGAAAATAATAGTGTATATAGTTTGGGACATGACATATCAAGCGACTGCCAAGGATGGTGGAAGACGAACTGGATGGACCTTGGTCTTCTTTCTCCAGCAATTTCTTATGTTCTTAGGTGAAGACGGGAAAGGCAGATGAGAGCACTCTTCAGTCCACTGCTTTCTGTTAGCACTGGGTCTGGAATAAGCTCTGTGCTCGGTAAATTTGCAAGATTCTTTCACCCCTAACCCCACCGCCTGCGCCCCAGCACTCCAGTCCGGTCTGAAGCTCCAGTCCCAGTCATCTGGTTATTTTCTGAAACGATCGAGAGCTGTCCTCTGTCCCAGCTCTGTGTTCCTGTCCTTCAGTCTCAGTTCCTTTGCCTTTTCTTCCTTTGCTTTCTCCTGAACGCTCTTTCGGATTTCTTCCTGCAACATGGAACAAATACAGAACCACGCCGATTATTAACCACACGCTGGTTATCCGCATGTCAGGCTCAGGGGCTTAAAAGGGGCGACAGGGTCTGAGGCCCACAAAGGTGGTTGGGTATCTAACCTGTGTCCGTAATAATCCCGCGCACATGCATGCAAAAGATTAATTAAAAACTTAAGACAGTGAAATCCTGGGAAGCACTTTGAACCACATCTGTGGGACAAAGAAAATAATAATTTGGTCACTCAATCCACGACTGTTTGTGGAAGACTGCTGTGCGCAAGTGGCTACCTCGTTTCACTCACAGCATAGACAGTCACTGCACTTTAACAATAATACTTGGCATTTGAGATAAAGCCTTTTTGAGACCAATGAAAGCGCTTCAAAGGATATACTGAAAAGTTTATTTTTTTGTAGGCTGTAACCACTGAGCTGCAGGGCTTTACATTATATTCTGTGAAGTAGTTTTGACATGTTCGATGACATGCTAAGATAAGGCACGGTTGAAAAGAAAGGTATTAGTGCAGGTTTTAAAAGCAGGGAAGCAAAGGGTGAGGCAGATTACTCACGATCAGGTTTCACAGGAAAGGTGCAGAGTGGTTGAAAGCTCATCAACGACAGTAGGAGGGTCACGAGGGTAAATGAGGGAGCTCATGAAGTTCACCGAGATTGAGAGGGGGGGGGAGCCTCGGTTTGCTGGAGGGTAGGGTGGGGTCAGCCGGGCTGGGTGAAACTTACAGAGGATTAAGTGGAGAGATTTCACAATGTTGGCACCAAAGACGTCTTTCTTTAAGAAAGTTTTTGGAGGCTGGGAGAGGGAACTCTTGAGAGACAAGGAAGATTTTGGAAGGTATCAGCGGAACCCTGCTGTCCGGTAAGCTTTCCTGCTGCTTGTCCAGCTTGGGACGCCCTACCCGTTACGGCTTTGGCTGGAGGGTTAACAGGAGCTGAGTGGGAGGATTCCCTGCCCCCAGTGACTGGTCTGTCCTTCCAGGTCCTGCTGGTGAGCCAGGCTGGGCTGTGGGTGGCAGGTACCAAGAACTCCCTGCGAGCTTCCCGGTGGGCAACACCACTCAGCGTGAAATGCGTGAGAACATTGCCACCATCTTCCGAGCAGGGATGGAAGGAAGGAAGGAAGGATTAACACAAAAAGTGCGTGCAAGAACGGGGGAGAATAACCCTGGAACAGATTGCAGACATGAAGGAGAGAAGGAATCTGAAGGTTGTTGTCAAGGGTGTTGCATCTCCCTGAGACAATGTTTAGCTACAGTTTCTGAGCAGTTTGGCAGCACGTGATGTGAGAATTGTGTTCACGGTTTATTGGGGGAGGTTGTGGGGGGCAGGAATTGTATGGTAATTGAGGTTAAAATTACATTCACAAAGATTGTATAATCAGCCATTTGGAAAATAATGTGACCTCAAGCATGGAAATAGATCATTCCCCAGTATAGTACGTTCAGTGAATTATGAGGCCAGTCTCCAGCATTCTTGTTTGCCTTCCTATAGTCGTTTGCTACTTTACACTTTTTTGGTCAGTCGGGTGTCTGACACACGCGGAAACCCATCACCGTTACTTAAGAGTCTCCAAACCAAGCTGGGAATTCCTTGCCTCCCACCCACACACGGAAATCCCAGAGACAGATCGTTGGAATGGAATGCACTCTCTCCCCCTGGAGGACTCTCTCCCTGGAGGAAGGCATCCTGCTGACCTAATTCTGGCGAGTATTAGGCGTAGGTTGGTAAGAGCCAAGGCTGGGGGGAGACCAGAGTGTACGTTGTGGTAACTGCTGGAGCCTAACCAGCTAAAACTGCAGAGTTTGCCATTCAAAGCGCTGTCCGGCCAGCTTTCCCGCTGCTTGTCCAGCTAGGATCACCCTACCCGTTAGGGCCTTGGCTTACAGGGTTACCAGAGCTGAGTGGGTAAATTCTCTGGCCCCTGTATTATTATTACAATATATCCAGTATTGTGTGCTACAGCAATTAATTCTGTATGGAAATAACAGGTCATTCGCAGCAGTAAATGTCCAGTGAAATATCATGTCAGTCTCGTCACAGCCTCTGATCAGCCGCTCACTCACCCTCTGTCTATCAAACGCCACCTTCTTCTTCCTTTTCTCAATATTCCCAGTCGAGCTCCGGCCCTTCATTTTGTGCTTTGGCTCAAACTTTTCCTTCACCAAAGGATCATATCCCTGTGATTGAACAAACAGTGTTTATTCAGAGGCCCTAAAGGTTCACAACAACCCCTCGTCTACCCCACATCCGTTGGCACAACTTCTGCCGTGTGTACAACAGAACAAATCAACAACTTCCATTTACCCGGCGCCTTTCACGTCAGGAGGATGTCCCAAGGTGCTGGACAGGCAGTCAGGTATTTGGTGCCGAGCTGGGGGTTAGGATCGGGAGGGGTGGAGGATAGGGAGGGTGGAGGGGCAGGGGGCGCGGTCGAAAAGGAGGGTCTTGAGATGGGTCTTGAAGGAGGCAGGGGAGGGGGACGAGACGAAGGGACTGTCCAGACGAAGGGACCCCAGGCATCCATTCGTGTACATACCAGGCGCTCTGCTCGCTCAGTGAGTTTCTGTTTCATGGTGATGAAGTCAACCTCTCCCAGCTTGTTTGGGTCGAGAGTGATCAGCTCAGGCTGGATCTGAAAAAGAAAACGGGTTTCTCGGACTTAACCCAGAACGTACAGCACCACGAAAGACAACAGTGGTCACCCAGCCAGTATATAAAACTGGTCACTCAATCCACGACTGCTTGTGGGGCATCGCTGTGCGCAACGGGCTGCCGCGTTTCGCCCACAAAATATCGTCGGGAGAGGGTGACTCTCTTCTCTTTCAGAAGAGATCTGCCGTGGGATCTTCTGTGAAGCGCTTTGCGACGCCCCGATGACACGGTGAGGTGAACGACAACAACAACTTGCATTTACATAGTGCTCCTTACGCAGAATAGCCTCCCAGAGTGTTTGACAGTGGCGGAGCCTGTCCAGAGGCTGCATCAAGTGCAAGGATTATTCTAATAAATAAAAAATTCTACTCCAGTCTCACGCATCGTTTCATTTGTCTGTGCCTCCGATTTCGAAACATCTGAAAATGCTTCACAGGTAATTTGATCCCAACCTTAGAGAGACTATTTCTAAGCAAACACAGCCGCCAATTTCCACACTGGAACATCTCGCAAACAGCCCCCAGGTCAATGACTAATCTGGAGAATTGCTGGCCAAACCGCTTTCTCTTTTCCACTAGCACGAGACAATCATTTACATCTATAACAACAGGCAATCAGGAGCTACACTCACACAAGTCACAGCAGTCGGGACCATGAGGTTTAATAGGGCTTACACGAGTCCGAGTTGCAGGAAAACTGTATAAATCGTGTAAAATCCCAGTTAAGCGATAATCTACACTGCGCTTGTGTAATTCACTGCAGCCGGTAAGTGCTGGAGTAATGGAGGGCCGGGGAGCAGTGTTACAAGTTAAGAGATGATTAATACGAACTAAGAGATGGTTAATGTGAGTCGTGCCAAGAAATCAAAGTGGGTTTGATAGGAAACTGTATGGGACTCACGACCCGAGGCCATTACGTGGTTTGTACATCGACTGCTGCGAGTTTTACGGTACTTTTAAAATCTCGCCCCAAACCTTGGCCACCTACCTTCTCCAGAAGCGCTTTGACCTCCCATTCCTGCCTCTGCTTCTTGCTCTGATAGGGATTACATTCCAAGGCATCGAAGTTAGCCTCGCCAGCACCTAGACCACAGGCAAAACATCAGTCAAACAGGTCCAACTACAACCGAACCTCGCCTTGGGGCAGGCAGAAAAGATTGTTATATCAGGGCGTTCACTGTAACAGTGCTTCGCAACTCACAACCTCCTGACACGGAGGGACAGTGCTATCCATCACTGAGCCAGGCCGGCACGAAAGCTCCCCATTAAACAGGCAGATATGGTTATGTTGCCCCCTGGTGACTGTGCTGGGTGGGGTGTGGGGAGCACGTACCTGGCACTAACATGCTGGTGAAGCCCTCGCCGTGCCCAATGCCCAACACATCTTCATAGGGACAGAACTGCAGTCCGTGCACACTCTGCCGTACAGAGTGGCACATGTATGGCTTATTCATGCCCTCCAAATGGGCATCTTTGTAAACCTGGGAGTGGGGAGAGGGAAAGAGAGAGACTGTTTAATATAATGCAGTTCAGTACAATACGGTCCTTACCTTCAAAGGTCTTCACGGCCTTGCTGCTCCCTACCCCTGTGACCTCCTAACCCCCCTACCAATCTCCCTACTCCCTCCGCTCAGCGGGCTCCAGCCTGCTTCACGTCCAGCCCTTCACAGAATGTACTGTAAAGTGAATTGGCTGTATATCTGTGGGTGAAACACGTCAGCCAATTGCGCACAGCGGAGTCCCACAAACAGTTGTGAATTGAGTTGCCAAATTATTATTATTTTTTGGAGGGATTATTATCGCCGGAAATGCGATCCGCCAATCGACCAACACAACAACAACAACAACAAAATTACAACCAAGGAGAAACTATGTCCACTGGCGGGTGAGTTTGTAACCCGAGGACACCGATTTAAAATAATAATAATAATAATCCTTGCATTTGATATAGCGCTTTTCACGTCGGGAGGACGTCCCAAAGCGCTTCACAGAACACACTGTAAAGTGAATTGACTGTATATTTGTGGGCGAACGCAGCAGCCAATTGCGCACAGCAATGTCCCACAAACAGTCGTAGATTGAAAATGACCAATTTATTATTGTTTTGGGTTTTGGAGGGATTATTATTAGGCTCTGTGTGGAGTAAGGAAACTTGCCCAAGGTTTGGCCCTCTGCCTGGAATTGAACTCAGGTCTCTCACTTGCAAAGCGAGTGCTCTAACCACTGAGCTACAGGACTCCCGCAGTTGTTAAAAGAAAGAGGGAGAGGCGAGGAGAAACTTTTTCACACAGCGAGTTGTTGGGATCTGTAACGCATTGCCTGAAGGGAGTGTGGAAGCCGATTCGATAACAACTTGATAATTATTTAGGGAGCACAAATTTGCAGAGCTATGGGGAGAGAGGGCAGGAGTGGGATTGAGTGGGATGGATAGCTCTTTCAAAGAGCTTGCACAGACACGATAAGCTGTATAATTTTATCTGCCAAATTCCTGCTAGATAAACAGAGGTACATAGAGTAAGGAAACTGGCCTAAGTTTCAACCCAACCAGGAATCAAACCCAGGCTCTCTTACGCTTAATCCTCCCCAAGTAACATAACCCTTCTTGCCTTCATTAGTGTGCAACATTGTGTGACGGGAGAGGTAAAAAGATTATGAAAAGTGTTTTTTTTCCCCCACAGATGTCAACATTTCCACGATAAACGATAAGAAATAAGACGGGGACACCTTGATTAAAGAAAATTCTCAGGCTTTAAAGGACACCGTAGTGAGACCTTCACTGCAATGGACTGAAAGTTCGCTCAATTAATCTCTGTAGCGTCTTTTGTGTAGGAGAATATCTCAAAGCGCTTTGCAGAGACAGAATGGGACTCGAGATTGATGTTGGCAGCGAGGTGGAAAGATTTAGCGAGGGAATTTGAGATCAGCGGCAAAGAGGCTGAAATCTCTCCTGCAGATAGCAGAGGTCATGAATTTTAACCAAACCTCGTCATCACGTTTATACTCGTGACTCTGGTGCATTAATAATAATGATCCTTGCATTTGATATAGCGCCTTATGACCATCGTCGAGCCATCTCAGAGCGCTGCACAGAATATACTGTAAAGTGGATTTGTGGGTGAAACACGGCAGCCAATTGCGCACGGCAATGTCCCCACGAACAGTCGTGTATTGAGTGACCAAACTATAATGTTTTGAAGGGATTATTACCCCCGGAAAAGCGCTCCACCAATCGACTAATGTTTTCCTACTTACTGCTAGGTGAACAGAGGCGTGCGCGTGGAGTAAGGAAACTTAAGAGTAAGGTTTCACCGCGCCCCGGAAATCGAACCCAGGTCCTCTCGTCTGCGAGGCGAGCGCTCTAAACAATATGCTGCAGGACTCCACCACAACACAGGCAAAGGCAGCAACATTTGCACACAGCAAGGCCCCACAAACAGTCATGAAGTAAGCAATCGATTTTTCCTACTCACTGCAAGGCTAACAACTAATTCGATAGGATTTTAAGGAAAATATGGTAGCGTACGTGGACCACGTTCCCACAGCCAGCTGCCAGCAGGTTGCTCTGACTGAAGGTGAGGTGACTGGCTCCCAATGGAATGACGTAGGACTGCACCTGCCTCAACGCACGGATATCAAAGATTTTCAGCTTCTTATCCAGACCGGAGGTAGCCATGTATCTGCAAAGACAAGAAAGACGTTTCGCCCACAAAATATACGGTCACTACACTTTACAGTATATTCTGTGAAGCACTTTCGAGACAACAAGATTTCATTTATGGAGCGCCTTTCACGTCGGGAGGACGTCCCAAGGCGCTGGACAGTTGGGTCAGGACCCGAGCAGGGGGGAAATGGTCAGGGGGAGGGAAGGGAGAGAGGGGGCGAGGAGGGGGTAGAGAGTCGAGAGGGGAGCTGAAGGCTGAAGGTCAAAGACAAAGGTCTTGAGACCGGCCTTGAAGGAGGAAAGGGAGGAAGCGGCGAAGGCACTGGGGGATGGAGTTCCAGAGCCTCGGGGCTGAGAGGCTGAAGGCCACCGATGGTAGGGCAGTTGGGCGGGGGATGTGGAGCAGACTGGAGCCAGAGGAACGGAGGTTACGGGCGGGTAGGTAGGGGGATAGTAGGTCGGAGAGGTAGGAGGGAGCAAGACGTCTCGAAGACGTGATAAGGCGCTGTATCAAATGTAAAGGTAATAATTATTAAATAATAATTATTATTATTAAAGACTTTAGCGGAAACATCAAGCCTGACCACTCAGAAGCTCGACTGCTAGTTGGTAACAGACACACTGGAGGGATGCTTCCTGCTTAATTAATTCCGTAAAGTAATAGGCGCAGGTTGGCAAGAGTCAAGGTTTGAGGTGAGGTGACTGGCTCCCATGGAATGCTGTAGGAATGCACTGGCCTCTGGGCTTCTGCTGAAATCTAACCAGCAAAAAATGCATAGCATGTCATTGCACGCTACAAGCTACAAACCGGGGGGAAACTAACTCTCTTAGAGCTCTACCGAGGACCGATAACATACACCCGGCTTCTGGTGCTAAGAGGGAGAAGAGGGAGGAAATGGAATATGAGAGTAAACTAGCTGGAGAAGAACAGAGCTTTAACAAGTACATAAAGAGGAAGAGATTAACAAAGGTAGATGTGAGTCCCTTACAGGCAGAGACAGGAGAAATTATAACGGGGACGAAAGAAATGGCAGAGTCACTAAACAAATACTTTGCTTCTGTCTTCACGTTAGAAGATACTAAAAACTTACCAAAAATAGTGGGGAACCAAGAGATTAAGGTTAGTGAAGAACTTAAAGAAATTAATATCAGTTATCGTACTAGAGAAATTGTGGGACTAATAACTGATAAATCTCCTGGACCTGATGGCCTAGGGTCTTAAGAGAGATGGCTGCGGAGACAGCGGATGCATTGTTTTTGATTTTCCCAAATTCTCTGGATTCTGGAACGGTTCCCATTGATTGGAAGATCGCAAACGAAACACCACTATTTAAGAAGGATGGGAGAGAGAAAAAATGGGGAACTATAGGCTAGTCAGTCTGACATCGGTGGGGAAAATTCTAGAGTCTATAATCAGGGACGTCATCATGGGGCACTTACAAAGTCTTAATATGATTAGCAGAGTAACAACGGTTTCATGGAAGGGAAATCAACTGTTTACAGTTTACATCAATGACTTCGATGAGGAAATGGAGCTTAATGTATCTGAATTCACGGATGATACAAAGCTCGGTGGGAAAGTAAGCTGTGAGGAGGACACAAGGAGGATGCAAAGGGATATAGACAGGTTAAGTGAGTGGGCAAGAAGGTGGCAAACAGAGTAAAATGTCGGGAAGTGTGAAGTTGTTCACCTAGTTAGAAAAAATAGAAAAGCAGATTATTTTCTAGAGGGGGAAGAGACGAGGTAGTGTTAGTATTCCGTGGGATTTAGGTGTCCTTGTACCACCATCACAGAAAGTTAGTATGCAGGTACAGCAAGAAATTAGGAAGGTTAATAGCATGCTAGTGTTTATTGCAAATGGGTTAGAGTACAAGAGTAAGGAAGTCTTGCTGCAATTATATAGGGTCTTGGTGAGACCGCACCTGAAATATTGTGAGCAGTTTTGGTCTCCTTATCTAAGAAAGGATTAGAGGGGGCTTAGAGGGGGTACAACATAGGTTCACTGGGTTGGTTCCTGGGATGAGGGGTTTGACCTTATTCCAGAACACTTCTGATGACAGCACAGTCCAGCTTGGCTCATCAGCAGACTTGTCTGGGGCCTAGGAGTCATCCCACTCAGTCCCTAATGGGTCGGGGGGGTGGTCCTGGTTGGACAAGCAATGGGAAAGCTTGCCAGACAATGATGTCAATGGTAAGCTATGTTGTTTTAGCTGTTTCACTCCAGCAGTTACTCCCAACACACCCAGTTGAGCAAAATAATTTTTTAAAAAAGGGAGTGAAAAAACAATGAGGTTACAGAACACAGGATCATTTACGTTCCAGTCTTGTCGACGGCAATCGCTCGAATGCCTCCGCGATGGCACAGCATCTTCACCAGAGGCTCCTTGACATTCGGGCTCCACATTGTCACAGTCCCTGTGATAGATTGGACAGCACGTTACAGCACAAAACCAGTCTCACAGTGGACAGAGCTTCGTGAGCCACGACATTCTTTTACACGTAGTAAACACAGTCCAGCCCAAAAACAACAAGATTACATTTGTATTGCGCCTTTCACGTTGGGAGGACGCCCCAAGGCACTGCACATTGTACAGCATTCCAGACCAGAGCTGGGGTCAGGGAGGGAGAAGGGCGGGGTCTTGAGGCGGGACTTGAAGGAGGCTAAGGAGGGGGTGAGGTGGAGTCATTGGGGGATGGAATTCCAGAGTTTGGGGGCAGAGTGGCTGAAGGCTCTCCTGCCAACGGTGGGACGGGTGGGTCGGGGGACATGGAGTAGGCCAGAGCCGGCTGAACAGAGGCTCAGTTACAAGTTGAGGGTGTTTACAACAAAAATAACTTGCATTGCACAGCACCCTTCATGCGAGAAAACGCCTCAAGAGCGCTTAACAGTGGTGGAGCCTAGGCCGAGCGGGGCGGGGGGGGGAAGGGAGGAGGTGATCGTAAGCATGGCTTTCATTAGTGATCTAAGCGAGGAAGGATGGGGAAAGGTAAAGGGACTAGAAAAAGAGAGTTCCAAAGCTTCGGGCTGTAGTAGTTGAAAGCGCAGGTGCCGATGGTGGAGCGGAAGGGACGAGGGGCAAACAGGAGGCTGGAGCCAGCTAAGCAGAGGCAGCGGGTTGTAGGTGGGGGACTAAGCAGGTGGGAGAGGTCGGGAGGTGCCAGGGCGTGAAGGGTGAGAGGATCTTTAAATCAATCAGCTGAGCCTGGCGAGGACTGGGTGATACAGAGTTTAGTGCGTGTGATAGGGGGGGAATAGAGTTTAGTGAGGATTTGGACAATATGGGATTCTCCTTGACGTGAAAGGCACTCTACAATATGTAAGTTGTTGTTGTCAGTCAGTCAGTCAGTCAGTCTCCCCTGGGAGTGAAACCTCAGGAGGGAAAACCAAAGGAAAAAAGTATGAGGAGCCTCACCTGTTGTGTGTCCCAAGTGTATAATGGCGTTGTAGGGATTCTGGGCCATCACGTTCAGACGACCTGCTTTGGTGCAGGTAGCAGTGACCTCCTTCCCCACAGAGACATCGAGGTACTGCAGGAATCCACTGGCACTCTGAAAATCAGCAGGAGCACAGCACACGTTGACTTGATAATGTCGCCTTCTCCAGTCATAAAGAGGCGCGACAAAATGGCCGACTTCTGGGTCCCAGGTCGCCGCTGACGTCATTTCCTTCGCAATGGAAGTGACGTCTGGGCTTCACGCCCACGTGCAGGGCTTAGAAAGTGGAGGAGTCCTGTGGTTAGAGCACTCGCCTCGCAAGCTGGAGGACCCGGGTTCGATTCCCGAACAGGGCACAACTTTAGGCGGGTTTCCTCACTCCACACGCCTCGGTTTGCCCAGCAGTACGTTAGAGACACGGTTGTGGGTGGATTAGCCAGATTGCTTTCCGGGAGTAATAATCGTTCAATCCACGCGAGACACCGCTGTGCACAATTGGCTGCCTCATTTCGCCCACAAAATACATTCAATTCACTTTATGGCACATCCTGTGAAACACTTTGAAAAGTCTCAATGACATGATAAGGACCTCTACGTAGAGCCTTCGCCTCGCAAGCGAGAGACCTGGGTTCGATTCCCCTGGCGGGGCAGAATGTTGGGCAACTTTCCTTACCCCACACGCCTCCGTTTACCCAGCGGTAAGTTGGAAGCTGGTTGTTAGTCAATTGGCAGATCGCTTTTTCGGAGGTAATAAACCCTCCAGAAAGAAACAAAAATGTGGTCACTCAATCTGTGACAGTTTGTGGGACAAACGACGGCAGTGTTTCACGGTGACTGGATTTGTGTGATGCATTTTCAATTTGTAAGGTAAGAAATAATCCTCAGGGCCTACAAGCCAATCCTGTTAGTGAGGCTCGATATTATATTGGGGTCCAGTAGGAGCCACAACATGAAGAGTTTACTGCTGGAAAATTTATTTGAAAAATTATAGCTCCGATTATTGTTTGACCTCAAGCTTTATGTAAAAAATATTCTTACAATGAGATGCAGAACGGTGGGAGTCATGTTACGATGGAATCTTAAACAAATCATCACACATGCCAGAGTCATATGGAAGTAATATGCTGATATAAACAATACTGCATTGTTACAACCTGCACCCTTGAGAGCTGCAGTAAAATTATAGTCAAATCCAATTTTTTAGAGGTCAGTCGGGTGTCTGACACATGCGGAAATCCACCACCGTTACTTAAGAGTCTCCAAAGCAAGCTGAGAATTCCATACATCCCATCTACACCTGGAAATCCCAGAGGTAGACTGTTGGAATGGAATCGACACTCTCTCCCTGGAGGGACACATTCTGTTGACCTAATTCTGGAGAGTATTAGGCCCAGGTTGGCGAGAGCCAAGGCTTGGTGACCCCAGAGTGTGGGTTGTGGCAACAGCTGGAGTCTAACTAGCTAAAACCACACAGCTTGTTATTGATATCACTGTCTGGCAAGCTTTCCCGCCGCATGACCATTCTGTTTGGTTTGGATACTCTTCAAGCATAGTGACTGCTTTCCACATGTGTCGAGAGACCTGGCTGACCAGATCAGGCGTTGTGCCAAATGCAAGGATTATTATTGTTATAATTACTCACACATGTGGCCAGGAGGAAATGATACGGCAGGAATTCCATCCGTAAGACGTCATTGAATTTCTTCACGCAGTGCAGCTCAATTCCCATGTTGTCGTAGATGTACAGCCACTTCTTTTGTGCCACAGCAAACATGTTTTCTGAGTGTAACCACCTGCAGAACATTCATTCAATGGTCAACAACTTCAATGTAAGCAGCTAGCATTTCTCTGTACTGCGCTCGCCACCCCCCAACCCATCATCACCTCAAATCTCCTCCCCCCCCCCATACCTCTCCGACCTCCTGACCCACCACACCCTGTTCGCTCCCCTCCGCTCAGCGTGCTCCGGCCTGCCTCACGTCCCCCGCCTCGCTCGCCCCACTATTGGCAGGCGGGCCTTCCGCCACTCTGCCCCCACCCTCTGGAACGCCATCCCGCGGTCCCTCCTCTTTGACCACGCTTTCGAATTCAAATTCCTTCATGCCCTGGCACCTCCCTACCTCTCCAACCTGCTTACGCCCCAACCGACTACCCGCTGCCTCTGCACGACTGGCTCCGACCTCTTGCTTGTTCCTTGTGCCCTTCGTTCTACCGTCGATAGCCGCACTTTCAGCCGTTACGCCCCAAAACCCTGGAACTCTATCCCTCCACCTTCCCCTTTACTTCCCAATCTTCAGGTCGTGCCTGAAGACCTTCCCCTTTGACAGCGCCTACAGTCACCTCCCCGCCCCACTCCGGCTGGGAGTCGTGCTCCGCCACTGTCAAGTGCTCTGGGACGCTACCCTGCTTTAGGGGCGCTGTCAAATGCAAGTTGTTGTTGTAGTTTAGCGGGGCTATGAGCTGTTAGTTAACTTGTTTTGAAAACTGTTCCAAGGAGCGAACAGTAAGTACCAAGGCTCCCGTACATACCGGACATCGTTGATGCTCTCCATCACGTTGATCTCACACAGGAGCTGTTTTGTGTGCCAGTCCAGGGCCGCCACATGCCCTCGACGGCCGCCCATCAGCAGGTGTCTGGAAGCGCGAAAAAGCAGGTCATTTCCTCTACAATGTAACGAACCCTTTAAATAGAATTATATTAACTGCACAATTATCACTGGACTGTGCTCTCAATGGCAAGCTTATGGTTAGACTCCAGCAGTTACCCCAAGCCGATCTCTGGGCTCCCCCCAAAGCCTTGGCACTCGCCAATCTGCGCCTAATACTCTCCGGAATTAGGTAAAGCAGGATGCATCCCTCCAGGGAGAGAGAGCACATTCCATTCCAACAATCTACCTCTGGGATTTCCATGTATAGGTGGGATGTATGGCGTTTCGTTTGGAGACTCTTAAGCAATGGTAATGGGTTTCTGCAAGTGTCACGACACCAGGTTGATCGATAAAAATACAGTCAAAGCAGCCACATGACTTTTTTCCCTGCATTACACCTTCCTGTGCAGGTGACTGATGCTCTCTCTCTCTCTCTCTCCAATGTTTGTGATGATGGTATCTTGCGGTTAACCTCTAGAAGCTGTGTTATCGACTCTCACAACAGTACAACACTCTGACCCCATCTGTGGTGGCTCTGGGAATAGGCACCACCATCATTGGGAACTTGATTGACTAACAAACTTTTGTTCCTTCCCCCCCCACCCCCCCTTAATCTCTTGACAACACGATTCAGACCTGCCGTTCCTGGTGTAGTTTATTCGGTAGGGTCCAAACTGATCCAGCACCAGGTTAAAATACTGGAAAAGACAAAGGAATGGTGTGAAGAATGCAAACTTTTAAAGGATACAAAAACAAACACATAAACCACACCCACACCACACGACACCCACCCACGCACACACCACATGAACACACACCCACGAGCACCTGTGCGCGCACCCACGAGCGGGCGCACACACATGCGCGTGTGTTTGCGCCTGTATTCACGCGCGCATGTTTGTGCGAGCGGGTGCGAGCACGCGCAAACACACACACACAAAGAAACACACGAACACACAAACAAGATCATGGCAAAGAACAAACTTTTTTTTAAAACAATAAGATAACTCCAGAACACTCTTCCTCAATCTCCCTTCTTTGCCCCCTCCTTCTCCATCTTTAGGTCCCACCCGAAGACCTTCCTCTTCGATTCTGCCTTCAAAACCCTCCATGGTCACCCTCCCCCACCCCCTCTCCCCACTGTCATGCGCTCTGGGATTCTACCCTGCGTGAGGGGGTGCTGTGTTGTTACTGTAGGATGAGAAACTGAAATGGATCGATTTATAGCGAGTGGTTTTTACAGTGGAATCTTTTGAACGCGCGTTCACTTAACAATTCAATGGCACCATTTCCGTGCACAGTTGCAAATTCAACCTCAGGACCCGCTCTGAGAGCTATAATAATAATAATAATAATCCTTGCATTTGATATAGCGCTTTTCACGTCAGGAGGACGTCCCAAAGCGCTTCACAGAACACACTGTAAAGTGAATTGACTGTATATTTGTGGGCGAACGCGGCAGCCAATTGCGCACAGCAATGTCCCACAAACAGTCGTAGATTGAAAATGACCAATTTATTATTGTTTTTGGGTTTTTTTTGGAGGGATTATTATTAGGCTCTGTGTGGAGTAAGGAAACTTGCCCAAGGTTTCGCCCTCTGCCTGGAATTGAACTCAGGTCTCTCACTTGCAAAGCGAGTGCTCTAACCACTGAGCTACAGGACTCCACGGCTAGGAGAGGGGTAGTGTCCCAGGGCACTTCACTGAGATAAGGGACGGATATCCCGCTCCATGTTCGAGAGACATATTGCAACGGATTCCCAACGTATATTCTGGGGTTGGCTTTTGCCATCCTGCGTCGAATACTTTAGGTAATGATAATAATCCTTGCATTTGATATAATATAATAATAATCCTTGCATTTGACATAGCGCCTTATCACATCTTTGAGACGTCTCAAAAGCGCTTCACAGGATATACTGTAAAGTGAATTGACTGTATATTTTGTGGGCGGAACGTGGCAGCCAATTGCCCCCGAGTTCCTACTCACTGCTCGATAAGTAGAGGTGTGTGGAGTAAGAAAACTTGCCCAACATTTGGCCCTGCTGGGAATGGAACCCAGGTCTCTCGCTTCCGAGACGAGTGCTCTCACCACTGAGCTACAGGACTCCAAATATAGCACCTGATTACATCTTCGAGACGTCTCAAATCATTTCACCGAATATTTTGTAAAGTGTAGTGACTGTATATTTTGTGGGCAATGTCCCACAAGCGGTCGTGGATTGAAAGACCAAATTATTATTTTTTTGGAGGGATTATAGGTGAAAAGCTCAAGGGCACCGACCTTCGAACTGCTGGTTATGTCGACAGCATCTGCAATGTCCTTCTGATCAATGATACATGTGTCCTCTCCCTCGTTGACTTCTAAAAACCTTGGGAAAGAAACGTAAACACCTCAGAATAACAGTGAGACGAACAGAAAAACCTTCCCACATTATGGGTTGCTGCTCTCAGTTCTGCATCAGAAAATATTTGCCACACTAATCCTCACATTACTCTGCAGCCCATGTCCTCTCCCGCACTAAGCTCTGCGACTCTGTCACCCCGATCTTTGCCCGACTTCACCGGCTTCCCATCACACAGAGGATACAGTTCAAGATCCTGATCCTCACCTTCAAAGCCCTCCACGGTCATACTCCCCCCTAACTCTGCAACCTCCTAACCCCTACCATTCTGTTCGCTCCCTCCGCTCAGCGGGCTCCGGCCTGCTTCACGTTCCATCTTGCTTGCCCCACTGTTGGCGGGCGGGCCTTCCGCCGCTCTGCACCTACCCTCTGGAACTCCATCCTGCAGTTCCTCCGTCTCACCCCCCCCTCCATCGCCACCTTCGAGACCCTCCTCTTTGACTGTGCTTTCGATTTGCCTGCTTCCCCCCCACCTTCCACCCTCCCCCACCCCCCAGCTTGGGTCCGTAACTCTGTCTGTCCAGCACCTTGGGATATCCTCCTGACGTGAAAGGCGCTTTACAAATGTAATTTTGTTGTTGTTAAGGTTGCATTATCAAACCCGGGTCCTCTCGAGTGCTCTACACTGAGCTACAGGACTTCACAATCACTCATTGTGCCACCACCACCCAGCCTTACCCACTGCGCTAACTATAACTTGGCCTTGGGCTTACCCAGCCTCCTCAGGCAGCAGGAGGTTGAAGCTGGCCGCCTGTTTCTGCGCCTCCTTATATTTCTTCTCCATCTTCGTCATCCGATACTTCAGGTTCTTGTTGCCGATTTTCCTCTTGGGTGAAACACATGGATCAAAGTTACTATTTGAACGAAGTCTCTCATCGTCTTTAAAATATTCTTGTTCCGCATCATGGAAGATTGCAGCACAGAAGGAGGCCATTCGGCCCATCGTGCGTGTGGGCCGGCTCTTTGAAAGAGCTCTTCAACTAGTTCCTTTCCCCCGCTCTTATCCCATAGCCCTGCAAATGTTTCCTTTTTAAGTACATGTCCAATTACCCTTTCAAAACTGCTATCGAATCTGCTTCCACCATCCTTTCAGGCAACACCTTCCAGACCGTAACAACTCTCTGTGAAAGAAAAACTGTTTCCTCATCTCCCCTCTGGTTCTTTTCCCAGTTATCTTAAAGCTGTGTCCTCTGGTTACAGACTCACCCACCAAAGGAAATAGTTTCTCCCTACTTACATGCCAATTTACAACAATCTACAGAAATTTACAAAAATAATGGGACGAACTAAATGATCGCGGCTTTTAAATTTTGTGGACAGGCCGTTTACCTTCTCTTAATAATAATAATCCTTGTACTTGATACAGCACCTTAAGAGCTTCACAGAATATACTGTAAGTGAATTGACTGCATACTTTGCGTTGGCAAAATGCAGGAGGCAAATTCGCACAGTAATGTCTCACAAACAGTCGTGGGTTGAGTGACCAAATTATTCTTATTTCAGTTTTATTTGAAGAGATTATAATAATAATATTCCTTGCAATTGATACAGGGCCTTATCACGTCATTGAGCCGTCTCAAAGCGCTTCACAGAATATACTGTAAAGTGTGTGACTGTGCATTTTATGGTCGAAATTCAGCAGCCAACTGCGCACAGCAATGTCTCACAGTCGTGGATTGAGTGACCAAATTATGATTTTTTTATAAAAGGAAATATTATCCCCCGGAAAGCGATCCGCCAATCGACTAACAACCGGGTTCCTACTTACTGCTAGGTAAGTGGAGTAAGTGGAGCCCTGGACTCCACACACCTCAAACCCAGGTCTTCTCGCTTGCAAGGCGAGTGATCTAACTATAGTTTCCAAGGGAAACTACTGGCTTCAAGCAAGTAGTTGGAGGAGCGATCAGTGGATGAACACAATGTTGGAGAGCAGCAAGCCTCTGTCCCAGTACTTAAAGGGACAGATATTTGCTCATCGATGACAATCACTCACCAGTTCTATTTTCTCTCCTCTCTTGAACTTTTTCATCGTCTCTGCAGGGATGGGGACACCACCTGGAAAGGGATCATCCGGCTAGAAACACAAGATTAGTTCGTTTTTACTCGCACTGAACTTAACAGGTTTATGAGAAACACAGGTAACTGGAGTACAGTAAAACTCACGTAAATCATATCAGTCGGCCACAACATTTAATATCACCTACGCAAAGTCCGAGTTGCAGACAAACATGTGTAATTCACTGCAGCCGGTAAGTGCACATCTGGTGATAGATCAACACTACATTTCTACGAACTTAATGTGTCTTGACCCATCGCCACATACACACTTACTGGCAAGCGTTGCAATCGCATTGAATAGCGGGAAATGACGTTCTTCTACTCATATCGATAGATCACTACTACGTTTCACGCAATTCAATGCAGACGGTAAGTACTGGAATAATGGAGGGAAAGGGAGTGATGTTACAAATTAGGAGATTATTGATACGAGTCGTGCAAAGAAATCTAAGTGGGTTTGATAGGAAACTAATGGGACTTGGTTAGATGAATGACTTAAGTGATTATACAATTTATAAAGATAACTGACTTATTTAACTGCAGTAGATAAATGCACTTCACTTTACAGTACTGAGCCACACAGACTAGGACATTTATATTATTATTAATACAATAATATTATTTAGTGAAAAGATTCAATTTGCTCACTGAAAGCAACAACACTAACAAGTGACATTTACACAGCGCCTTTCACATCGGAAAGACGTCTCAAGGCGTTGGATAGTCAGGGATTGGACACAGGGGTTGGGATCAGGAGGACAGAGAGGCTAGGGGTAGGAGGGTGACCAAAGGCGTGGTCGAAGAGAAGGGTCTTGAGACAGGCCTTGAAGGAGACACGGGAGGGGGCGAAGTGAAGGGAATGTGGGGACGGAGTTCCAAAGGGTGTGGCAGAGAGCGCTGAAGACATAGAGCAGGCCGGATCCCACAATATCATGGGCATATTGTTTTTTTTGGGGGGTGGGGGTGGCGATCTCCTCTCATTGATGAGCTATATTAAAAATGCTTTAATGCCAAAAAGATGCATCGTATTCTACAACTACGTAGCAACAGAGGAAAGCATTCCCAGAGATACATCTATATTCTGCAACACTAATTTTTTCTGGTTGTTATGGAAGCTAGAGTCCTCCCCTGGTGACAGAGAGAGAGAGAGAGAGAAACTGAGCGAGCGAGAGAGAGACTGAGAAAGCATATTAAAGGAGGCCTCCCACTGAGCCCTCCCAGTTCAGTATAGATAAAGACAAAATGTGTCAATTGACCTTCCATATTGGATCCTTTGGTTGCAAGCAACGGATTCTGCTAGTTTACATTAAGAGCACAGCAGTAAGGAGGACATTTGAATAGAACAGAATTGCTTTTACACTTCATCACCCTTTAAATTCCTGTGATCAGAAGCAGGTCATTCTACCTGAACAATAATAATAATAATCCTTGCATTTGATATAGCGTTTTTCACGTCGGGAGGACGTCCCAAAGCGCTTCACAGAACACACTGTAAAGTGAATTGACTGTATATTTGTGGGCGAACGCGGCAGCCAATTGCGCACAGCGATATCCCACAGACAGTCGTAGATTGAAAATGACCAATTTATTATTGTTTTTTGGTTTTGGAGGGATTATTATTAGGCTCTGTGGAGTAAGGAAACTTGCCCTTTAAGACATGCAAATCACAATAAGCAGGTCACAACTGCAAGTTGTAAAAATGAATAGTCTTCAGATCACAGAATTTCCACTCACCCCCGAAATCATTGCCTTTTTTCTAGCTCCCTCCTGTTTATTTTTCATAGCCGTCTGAATACTCGGTCGATCTGCTTTCGTTCCCTTCGCTTCTCTCTGCTCGCTACATATTTTCTTGCCTGCACCAACACCTTCGGATTCATTTCCCGTTGAATCCCAGTATCGCTTTGCTTTCTGGAAGGGGGGGAAACAGAGACAAAGATTTGTACAAATGTGAAAGAGCAGGAGCACTGAGGAGTCTCTCTTAGTTGGTAAGTGCTCCCACTGATGACACACTCGGCATCTAAGCTCAGTAAATCAGAGAATCAGTAAAGCTCTTCTTTGTTCACATACTAACTGACTCATCTTCACACTTATTGTATCATGAGAGCAGCACTGAATGTCCATACTTTGCCTTTATGACTTGAAAACAGGACGAGATCTTAGGCAAGTTTCCTTACGCCACACACCTCTATCTATCTGGAAGTGAATAGGAACCCGGTTGTTAGTCAACTGGTGGATGCTTTTCCGGGTATAATAATCACTTCTGAAATAAATAGTAATAATTTTGGTCACTTAATACCCCACTGTTTGTGGGACGTTGCTGTGTGGCGGCCACACTTTGCCCACAAACTATACACTCACTCACTATACTCTACAAAATATTCTGTGAAACGCTTTGTGAGACGTCTCGAAGATTTAATCAGGCGCTATATTTCTCTCTCTGTTTAACCCCTCTCCTCTCTCTCTCTGTTTAACCCCTCTCCTCTCTCTCTCTGTTTAACCCCTCTCCTCTCTCTGTTTAACCCCTCTCCTCTCTCTGTTTAACCCCTCTCCTGTCTCTCTGTTTAACCCCTCTCCTGTCTCTCTGTTTAACCCCTCTCCTGTCTCTCTGTTTAACCCCTCTCCAGTCTCTGTTTAACCCCTCTCCTCTCTCTGTTTAACCCCTCTCCTGTCTCTCTGTTTAACCCCTCTCCGGTCTCTCTGTTTAACCCCTCTCTGGTCTCTCTGTTTAACCCCTCTCCTCTCTCTGTTTAACCCCTCTCCTGTCTCTGTTTAACCCCTCTCTGGTCTCTCTGTTTAACCCCTCTCCTGTCTCTCTGTTTAACCCCTCTCTGGTCTCTCTGTTTAACCCCTCTCCGGTCTCTCTGTTTAACCCCTCTCTCTGCTCTCTCTCTCTCCCTCATGTGATCTCCTCTCCTCTTCTCCTCCCTCTTGTTATCTTTTCTCCCCTGTGGCTCCCCTTTACCTCATGTGACCCCCTCTCTCTCTCTCTCTCGGTACCTGACGTTTCACACGCGTTTCTCCTCTGATCGCCGCCATTTTGTCCACAAAAAAGCCTTTTCCCGGCAGCCCTCGCGCCCGTGACCCGAGCAGTGAAGCGTGAGCCCCGCCCCCCGGTTACCATGGAGACAGGGAGCCCCGCCCCACCAGCTGGTTACCATGGAGACAGGGAGCCCCGCCCCACCAGCTGGTTACCATGGAGACAGGGAGCCCCGCCCCACCAGCTGGTTACCATGGAGACAGGGAGCCCCTCCCCACCACCCTGATTACCATGGAGATAGAGAGACACGCACGGTTACCATGGAGATAGAGAGCCCCCTCCCTGGTTACCATGGAGATAGGGAGCCCCTCCCCTGGTTACCATCGAGATAGGGAGCCCCTCCCCTGGTTACCATGGAGATAGGGAGCCGCTCCCCTGGTTACCATGGAGATAGAGAGCCCCGCCTTTGGTTACCATGGAGATAGTGAGCCCCACCCCTGGTTACCATGGAGATAGGGAGCCCCTCCCCTGGTTACCATGGAGATAGAGAGCCGCTCCCCTGGTTACCATGGAGATAGAGAGCCCCACCCTTGGTTACCATGGAGATAGAGTGCCCCTCCCTTGGTTACCGTGGAGATAGTGAGCCCCGCCCTTGGTTACCGTGGAGATAGTGAGCCCCGCCCCTGGTTACCGTGGAGATAGAGAGCCCCGCCCTTGGTTACCGTGGAGATAGAGAGCCCCGCCCTTGGTTACCGTGGAGATAGAGAGCCCCTCCCCATCCGTCTCAAGACCCTCCTCTTCGACCAGTCACTGTGTCGGGGGGGATCCCTCTCAGCTCCTGGGAACCCGCAGCCAAAGCCCTCACGGATGGAGTTCCAGAGGGTGGGGGCAGAATGGCAGACAGTGGGGCGAGCGAGCGAGCGAGGCCGGACAGGGTGGCAGGGGGTGAGGAGGTCGCGGGGTGAGGAGGTCGCGGGGTGGGGGGGGGAGAAAGACCGCGGAGGGCTTCGAAGGTGAGGACCAGGATCTTGACCCCTGTATCCGGCGGAAAGCGCGACATCCAAATGGTGGAGCGGAGGGCGCGAGGGACGGGCGGGAGGCACCGCGGTGCCCGTCGAGTGGCGGCACCGCACCGAGTGGTGGATCGGGGAGGGAGGAGGTCGGAGAGGGGAAGGAGGTGCCGGAGAGCGAAGGAATTTGAACGCGAGCGTGAAAATCCTGAAGTCGATCCGTTCGCTGACGAGGAGCCAGTGGAGCCCGGGCCCGAACTGGTGATTATTATTATTATTATATTCATAATAACAATAATAATAATCCTCGCATTTGATGCAGAGCGGTTCACAGTAGACGTCCCAAAGCGCTCCACGGAATACACTGCAAAGTGAATCGACTGCGTATTCGTGGGCGATATATTTTTGGTTTCGTGCTCTGGATTCAATGGGACTGACAACTACAACAAAAGTCCATTGTGGAGAGAGACAGAGCCTTTTCACGTTACCTGCGAAGTGCTTTGAGACGACTCGACCAAGTGAATAGAGCCGCGGAAACTTGTCTAAGCTTTCACTGAGGCCGGGAGTCGATACCCGGAAGGATGCTATTCGTAGGACCGGACGTTCATAAGCTCTCCTGCGTCCCTCGTTCCTTTGTTGCTGATGGAAGCTATGATATTGGGCACAAATAAATCAATATTATTCTTACGAGAGAGTGAACTTTGGCTCACTTTGCTTACTTGGGGGGCAAACCTGCATTTGGAACCTGAACTCAAATATTTGCCGCTGTGGCAATGGGTTACGATCAGCTCCGAGTCAACATCGAAATCTGTACACCGGGAACGGTGCGTAGTTCGGGTCCCGCAATAATATAATCCTTTCATTCACCTTATTATGTCGTTGAGACGTCTCAGAGCGCTTCACCTGTTAGGGCTTTGGCCCGTGGAGTCCTGTGGCTCGGTGGTTAGAGCACTCGCTTTGCAATCGAGAGACCTGAGTTCAATTCCAGGCGGAGGGCCAAACCTCGGGCAAGTTTCCTTACTCCACGCAGAGCCTAATAATAATCCCTCCAAAACCAAAAACAATAATAAATTGGTCATTTTCAATCTACGGCTGTTTGTGGGACATTGCTGTGCGCCATCGGCTGCCGCGTTCGCCCACAAATATACAGTCAATTCACTTTACAGTGTGTTCTGTGAAGCGCTTTGGGACGTCCTCTGGACGTGAAAAGCGCTATATCAAATGCAAGGATTATTATTATTATTATTATTATTGCAGGGGTAAAAACTGAGTTGATTCCCTGCCCCAAGTGACTGGTTGCGACATTTAATTGTGACATTAATGAAAGGATTATCATTATAGTCTCTTTCTGTCTCCCGCTCCTGTCTCACCATGTCTCGTCCATACGCCAGGCATGAGAAGGTTTGGGTGTTGTTTGTTTTTCAGAGGACGTTAAGCAATGAGGTGAGGGTTGTGTTATAGACACACCAACCCGGGGCAGAGCACGTGATCACTCACTAGTTCTGCTAACTCTGCCATTTAATCCCTCACATCAGTTGTCGGCATCTCCTGCCAAACACGGGTAAGTCTGTCCTGGGTTCTCTTCAGGATGAAAATTATTACATACATATATGTATAGAATGATAATACTAATTCTTGCAATTCTTACCACGTCGTGAAGCTATCGCAACTTACTATTTTTAACCATTGATAATCCTCGGGTTGGACGGAGCATCTATGCCACGGCATCAAGAAATCTCAATGTGCTTCACAGGAATTTACCGTGAAGCGCAGCCATCTGCCTGAACAGGCACAGACTCATCTTAACGTCTCGTCTGCTCAGACAATTCAGTGTCAGCCTAGACAGCCTGATCCCTTCAACAAATCTGAACTGTTTGAGGGACGCTGCCGCGCGCAATTGGCTGCTATAATAATAATAATAATAATCCTTGCATTTGATATAGCGCTTTTCACGTCGGGAGGACGTCCCAAAGCGCTTCACAGAACACACTGTAAAGTGAATTGACTGTATATTTGTGGGCGAACGCGGCAGCCAATGGCGCACAGCAATGTCCCACAGACAGTCGTAGATTGAAAAATGACCAATTTAATTATTGTTTTTGGTTTTTTGGAGGGATTATTATTAGGCTCTGTGTGGAGTAAGGAAACTTGCCCGAGGTTTCGCCCTCTGCCTGGAATTGAACTCAGGTCTCTCACTTGCAAAGCGAGTGCTCTAACCACTGAGCTACAGGACTCCGCTGCGTTTCACCCACAAAACACATCTATTATTTGCAAAGATATGGGGAAAGAGAGGGATTGGGGCTGACTGGGCAGCTCTTTCAAAGAACTGGCATAGGTACGAAGGGCCGATTGGCCTCCTTTTGTGCTGTAATATTCTGCGATTCTATTATTTTGTCATTGATTTTTGCTGCATTCTTAACTTCTGCCTCTTACAAAGTACCCCAACCCTAACCCTACTCAAATACTAATACTAACCCTAATACTAACTCTAATTCAAATACTAATTTTTGATTCTGTATCCCTCCAACTCCCCTCTCAATCTCTCTCGCTCTCTCTCTCAGTCTCTCTCAACGCGCTGTATCAAACACAAGGATTTTATTATTTTTGCAGTGAATCAACGACAACACATCAAATTCTTGCAGCACCTTTCACGTCGAGAGGACGTCCCAAGGTGCTGGACAGTCAGGAAATTTTGCCTCGAGCTGAGGGTTGCGATCATGAGGGGTGGAGGGTAGGGAGGGTGGGGGTAGGAGGGTGATCAAAGGTATGGTCTTGAGACACCTTTTGTAGGAGGTAAGGGGTAGGGGGGGTGGTGGGAGAGCGAGGCGAAGGGACTGTGGGTCGAGCGGAAGCAACAGAGGACCACTGAAGGTGCAAATCCAGTGCCGCTCAACACACAGAGAGTGAGAGTGATAAGCACAGTTATTTACCAGCCACAATATTTACTTATCACCCTCGAATGCTATTCCTTGCAGGATGCAATGTCGCCCAGGGTGCTGTTGCTGATCTTTCCACTTCTCGCCACAGGAGTTTGCTCTCGGAGGTAAGAGGCAGTGTGTTGGCCCGGCTCCCCCACAACCTCCCTGAATAAAATAGGTCACTCAAGCAAACACCCGACCCGTTAGTTAGTTAGTTAGTTAGGACTTTGGCTGTAGGGTTAACAGGAGCTGTTTAGGAGGATTCCCTGACCCCGAGCGATTGATCTGCCCTTCCAGGTCCTGCTAATGAGCCAGCAGGCTCTGTCGCGCTCTCCCGCGCTCTCTTGCCCTCTCTCACGCACTCTCACACTCTCTCACGCTCCTGACACGTTCCTGACACGTTCCTGTCACATTCTGTCACAGGAGAAACCCCGAAGCTTGCGTTGAAGCTCCAGAGACTTTGAGCTTTAAGGTTTTGTGCAAAACTGCCCATTATGAGGTAAGAGAAACGCGTTGAATATTTCTATTTCTGGCACGTAAATTCTTGCTTTCTTGTTTACAGCACCTACAGTGTGGAGAGAGAATGGGATTTGCCTACACTATGTGGAGTCCTGAGGCGTAATAGTCAGAGCACTCGCCTGACGAGCAAGAGGGCCTGGGTTTGATTCCCGAGCAGGTCAAAACCGTAGCCAACCACAACAAGATTACATTTGTATAGCGCCTTTCACATCAAGTTCAAGGGTTACTACTGTAATCAGATGCAAAGGATTTTTATTACTGAACGTGGCAGGATTTGCTGGGCGCTAGTCTCCGAAATGCAATGAGGAAATTAATAAATGTACAGTCTGGTCAATCTTCAACCCTTGCTGTCGTGTTTAGAGTTTTTCTGTAGCATACTCTCCACTGGAGGGCAGCCATGGATTTTATTCGGACAAACGTTCCAGTTTCTTTCTCCTCACAGGCTGTTTTTAAATTTGCTCAGCGCACTTGTGCACAATCGTGTGGATACCCATCTTGCTTAAGAGTCTCCAAACCAAGCTGAGAATTCCATGCCTCCCACCTACCCCTGGAAATCCCAGAGATAAGATTGTTGGAATGGAATGTGCTCTCTCTCTCTCTCTCTCTCTCTCTCCCTGGAGGGACACATCCTGCTTACGTCTCAAAAGGCGTAAACTGTATAATAATAATAATTATTAAATCCTTGCATTTGATATAGCGTCTTCGAGACGTCTCGAAGCGCTTCACAGCGCTTCACTGTAAAGTGAATTGACTGTGTATTTGCGGACGAAATGCGGCAGCCAATTGCGCACAGCTGCGTCCCACAAACAGTCGTGGATTGAGCGACCAATTTATTATTATTATTTTTTTTTGAAGGAATTATTACCCCCGGAAACTGATCGACTAACGACCGAGTTCCGACTTTCTGCTAGGTAAACAGAGGCGTGTGGAGTAAGGGAAACTCGCCCAACGTCTCTCACTGCCACAATCAAATGCAAGGATTATTAATTACTAATATTACTATCGTTAGTATTTGGCGAGTCAGTAGGCAGACACTATTGCTGACACACTAATGAGCCTGGAATGTGAAGTTAATATAACGCCAGCAATATCGCTGTCTCTCGCTCTCTTTATCTCTTACTCTCTCTCTCTCTCTCTGGTAATAGATCCGCAATTACACTGCTTCGGTCTGGGCCAAGACCGGACTGATGTACTATAGGTGGCCGGGCTGGAAGCAAGGGTACCAGCGTCTCGCTCAGTACTTCGCGGGCAATAATGCAAAGGGTAAGATTGCGTGACATCCCACCTCTTGTTCCCTTCACCCCACTTCCTCCTCTCTCCCCGGAGGTGGGGGGAGCTGAAGTGTGTCGCACGATCCACACAGACCATGGGGTCAGGATTCCTCGCACTGAAACACACAGACAGTTTTAAGAACATCGACCACCTCTACATAGTCTGATATTAAGAGTGACACCTCTACATAGTCTGATATTAACAGTGAGCACCTCTATATAGTCTGATATTAACAGTGACACCTCTATATAGTCTGATATTAACAGTGAGCACCTCTATATAGTCTGATATTAACAGTGACACCTCTATATAGTCTGATATTAACGACACCTCTATATAGTCTGATATTAACAGTGACACCTTTATATAGTCTGATATTAACAGTGAACACCTCTATATAGTCTGATATTAACAGTGACACCTCTATATAGTCTGATATTAACGACACCTCTATATAGTCTGATATTAACAGTGAGCACCTCTATATAGTCTGATATTAACAGTGACACCTCTATATAGTCTGATATTAACAGTGACACCTCTATATAGTCTGATATTAACAGTGAACACCTCTATATAGTCTGATATTAACAGTGACACCTCTATATAGTCTGATATTAACAGTGACACCTCTATATAGTCTGATATTAACAGTGAGCACCTCTATATAGTCTGATATTAACAGTGAGCACCTCTATATAGTCTGATATTAACAGTGACACCTCTATATAGTCTGATATTAACAGTGAGCACCTCTATATAGTCTGATATTAACAGTGACACCTCTATATAGTCTGATATTAACAGTGACACCTCTATATAGTCTGATATTAACAGTGAGCACCTCTATATAGTCTGATATTAACAGTGACACCTCTATATAGTCTGATATTAACAGTGACACCTCTATATAGTCTGATATTAACAGTGACACCTCTATATAGTCTGATATTAACAGTGAACACCTCTATATAGTCTGATATTAACAGTGACACCTCTATATAGTCTGATATTAACAGTGAACAAAAGCTGAAAAGGACACCTCTATATAGTCTGATATTAACAGTGAGCACCTCTATATAGTCTGATATTAACAGTGACACCTCTATATAGTCTGATATTAACAGTGACACCTCTATATAGTCTGATATTAACAGTGACACCTCTATATAGTCTGATATTAACAGTGGACACCTCTATATAGTCTGATATTAACAGTGAGCACCTCTATATAGTCTGATATTAACAGTGACACCTCTATATAGTCTGATATTAACAGTGATACCTCTATATAGTCTGATATTAACATTATCAAATACAAGGATTATAATTATTATTATTCCCTTCTCGGGTCCTCACTCTCTTTCCCACCCCCTCCCCCCACCCACCGCCCCCCAACAACCCCACCTCAGGTGCCTAATTAATTGTGTGATGTTGACTCTCCTTTACCCCTTTCAGGCGTTGTCATGAACCTGACCTCTCCAGTCCTCACCTCAGTCTCTGAAGACGCTGCCTGGACTCGTGACCTCTACTTCTTGCTTCCTGAGGACTTTCAGGACAGCCCTCCGACTCCCAACGACTCACAGGTAAGTTTTACCCCCCCCCCAACCCACCCACCTTACCCCTCAAGGGTCATTTTTTTGTGGAGAAGTCAAGCTGACACACGCGGAAACCCATCACCGTTGTTTGAGAGTCTCTAAACCGAGCTGAGAATTCCATGCATCCCGCCTACACATGGACATCTCAGAGATAGTTTGTTGGAATGGAATGATCTCTCCCTCTCCCTGTAGCTCAGTGGTTAAAGCACGCGCCTCGCAAGCGACAGGACCCGGGTTCGATTCCCAGGTGCGGTGAAACCTGAGACAAGTTTCCTTACTCCGCACGCCTCTGTTTACTCAGCAGTGAGCAGGAACCCGGTTGTTAGTCAATTGGCAGATCGCCTTCTGTGGATAATCCTTCAAATAAATAAATTCAGCCTGCTAAATAAGTCAATAAATCATTCAATAAGTAAATCATTTGATCACTCGATCCATGACTGTTTGTAGGACACTCCAGTGCCCACAGCATAAGCAGTCGATTCACTTCACAGTGCATCCTGTGAAGCGCTTTGAGACGTCTTGAAGACGTGATAAGGCGCTATATGAAATGCGGGGATTCTTATTATTATGATTATTAAATGCTTTGAGATGTATCGAACACATTATTATTGCGATTATTATAAAGGTGTGTTTACGTGACTCCCCTTTGTTTACTCTGCACAGGTGGTTCTAGTCGATGCCCCTGAGCCGTATCAGTTTGTGAAGCAGTTCCAGGGCAGTCCCAGGAAGGCCCGGGAACAGGCCTCGATCTTGGGCAAGAGCCTGACGCTGAACAGGGTTGACTTCGATCCCATGCGCTACTACGTAGCTTCCTATCAGTGGTGAGCAATAGGACCTTCACGTATACATCACTGACCAGTCCATCTAGCCTAATGGAGTCCTGTAGCTCAGTGGTTAGAGCACTCGCCTCGCAACAACAACAACAACAACAACAAGATTTCATTTATAGAGCGACTTTCACGTCGGGAGGACGTCCCAAGGCGCTGGACAGTTGGGTCAGGACCCGAGCAGTGGGGGGAAATGGTCAGGGTGAGGGGAGGGAAGGGAGGGAGCGAGGAGGGGTGAAATGGTCAGGGTGAGGGGAGGGAAGGGAGGGAACGAGGAGGGGTGAAATGGTCAGGGTGAGGGGAGGGAAGGGAGGGAGCGAGGAGGGGTGAAATGGTCAGGGTGAGGGGAGGGAAGGGCGGGAGCGAGGAGGCGGTAGAGAGTCGAGAGGGGAGCTGAAGGCACGGTCGAAGAGAAAGGACTTGAGACCGGCCTTGAAGGAGGAAAGGGAGGAAGGAAGGTGAAGGCACGGGGGAAGGAGTTCCAGAGCCTCGGGGCTGAGAGGCTGAAGGCCCGGCCACCGATGGTAGGGCGCAAGCGAGAGCCCTGAGTCCGATTCCCGGGCAGAGCGAAACATTGGGCGAGTTTCCTTAGTCCACACGCCTCTGTTTACTCAGCAATAAGTAGGAACCCGGTTGTTAGTCGATTGTCACATCACTTTTCCGGGAGTAATAATCCCTTCAAAAAATAATAATAATTATAAATTGGTCCCTTTAATCTACAACTGTTTGTGGAACACTGCTGTGCGCAATTGGCTGCCGCATTTCTCCCACAAAACATACAGTCAATTCCCTTTACAGTAAAGCGCTTTGAGACATCGCGAAGATGCGGTAAGGATTATCATTATTTTATTATTATTGTTATCATCTTAAACACCTCAGTCAGGTCTCCCTCTCCATCACCTCAACAACAACAACAACAACAACATCTTATGTTTATATAGCACCCAGAGCGCTTGTCTGTGGAGCCTGATGCCAAGCCTCGGGTGGGGAGGAGAGGGGAACATCTCAGTAAATCTACGCTGTCCTCTCTCGAACTCTTTATATTATCTTTCCTGTAATGTTGGGCCCAGAACTCTACACAGTTTTCCAATAATAATAAAAATAATCATAATAATAATCCTTGCATTTGACGTAGCACCTTATCACGTCGTCGAGACATCTCAAAGCGCTTCCCAGAATATAATTATACAGTGTATATTTTGTGGCGGAAGCACTGATTGTCGCACAAAGAGGGGATCGAGTGACCAAATTATTATTTTTTTTTGGAAGGGATTATTACCCCCGGAAAAACAATCCGCCAATCGACCTTGAACCGGGTGCGCTCTCTCTCTCTCTCTCTCTCTCTCTCTCGGAGGGACGCACCTTGCTTACCGAATTCCGGAGAGCATTAGGCGCAGGTTGACAAGAGCCGGCAAGGCTTTCTCTGTATCTATCTCCTCTTATATTCACCTTAAACCTGTTACGATCACCATCACTAGGAACCCTCAATGCCGGTACAGAGCTGACCTGAGCCACGTGGATCTGGATTTCCTGGAGGAATTCTTCAGCATAGACGCCCCACGTAAACGCGGTTGGTTCGGAGGTGAAGAGCGAGGCTCCCGGTTGAGAAGCAGAGACAGCGAGAGGCTGGATGACGGGCAGTACCGGGAGGAAAGAAGCAGGAGACAGTTCGGCCAAGGATGGTGGCAGCAGCACAGACGGGGCTGGGGTAACCACGGCAACCACGATGGCCGCCATGACGGTGAAGAGCATGGGGACCGAGGCCATGGGCGTCGTTACGACCGAGGCCAAGGGCGGTATGACAACCAAGGCCGTGGGAACGAGGATAACCAAGGCCGTGGGTACCAGGATAACCAAGGCCGTGGGAACCAGGATAACCAAGGCCGTGGACACGGGTTCCATTGGAGAGACGAGGACAGAAGAAGAGGCCACAACCCTCACGGATGCGGGTAAGCGAGAAAATAATAATAATAATAATAATCCTTGTATTTGATGCATTACCTTACCACGTCTTCCAGACATCTCAGAGCGCTTCACTCTTAAGTGAAGCGACTGTGTATTTTGTGGGCGATTGCGCACAGCAGCGTCCCACAAACAGTTGTGGATTGAAGTGACCAGTTTATTATTTTTCTTAAGGGATTATTACCCCCCGGAAAGCGATCCGCTGTTCGACTAACAACTGGGTTCCTACTTACCTCTGGGTAAACAGGGGTGCGGAGTAAGGAGTAAACTTGCCCAAGGTTTTATCCCGCCCGGGAATCGAACCGGGTTCTCTCGCTTGCGAGGCGAGAGCGCGCTCACCACTACGCTACAGGATGCCACTTCGGTAGAGAAAGACACAGCTCCCAGTCTCCATCACTGACTGCTCTGTGCTGTGTTTGTACCCATCGGAATTTCCAACGCTGAGGTGGATAGAGTTGTTAGGTCAGGGGACCGAGGGATATGGGGCAAAGCTCGGTAGCTCGAGTTGAGGTACCAGCTAAGCCATGATCTAACAGGCTCGAGGGGCCGTGTGGGCACGTTTCGCCACAAAAATACACAGTCACTCCACGTTACAGTATAATTCTGCAGCGCTCTGAGATGTCTCAATGATGTCAAGTGCAGGGCTGATTATTGAAGAGAGCGCGAGAGAGCAACAACAACAACTTGCATTTACACAGCGCCCCTCACGCGGGGTAGTGTCACAGAGCGCTTGACGCTGGCGGAGCCGGTGGGGGGTGGAGTGGGGGGGGGGGGGGGGGGGGTGTGGGGAGGTGAACGTAGGCCAGAAGATGGGGAAGGAGAGAGAAAAAGGCAGAGGGGAGAGTTTGTAGGGCGTAGCGGCTGAAAGCGCGACCGTCAATGGTGGAGTGAAGGATGTGAGGGACCGGCAGAGGACACGGAGGCAGACACAGAGACACGGACAGAGGCAGGCGCAGGCAGACACGGAGACGCACAGACACCAACAGACACAGACGCCGCCAGACAGGTGGTTGGGGAGATGGCCCGTGTAATGTGTGTCTTCTTGTATCGCAGCTCTGTTCAGTGTCAGCGTAATGAGGTGTGGCACAGTTCGAGGAAAGCCCCAACTTGCTTTCTCCAGCCCGAGTGACCTGAGCTCAATGCTTCTCTCACACCCGATCTGGGGAAACAACAACAACAACAACAACAACAACATATATATATATATGTGTATATATATATATATATATCTGGCGTGGCATCGAGGGCTATCGTCCCGGAGCGTTTGAAATAAAGTACTAATAAATAAAAGGCTCTGTGTAAATTCTACTAATCTCTCCCTCCTCCCTCTCTCCTGCCTCCCCCCACTCTCTTCCGTCTCCCCCCCCCCTCTCTCTCTCTCTCTCTCTCTCTCCACCCTCTCTCTTCCCCCCTTTTCTCTCATTCTGTCTCCCTCTCTTTCCTTCCCTCTCTCCCTCTTTACTTCCTCTTCCCCTCCCCTCCATCTGTCTCCCTCTCTCTGTTTCCCCAACTCTCTCCCTGTCTCCCTCCCCACTGTGCTCTCTCTCCCCCCCCGCCCCAAACTCTCTCCCCCTCTTTTTCTTCCCTCTCTCCTCCCTCTTCCCTCCCTCGCCCCTCCCCTCCAGCCCTCTCTCCCCCTTCTCTCTCCCACCCCCTTCCCATCTCTCTCTTCCCACTCTTTGTCTTACTCCCCCTCACTCTCTCCCCCCCACCCCACTGCTCTCTCTCTCTCTCTCCCCCCACACCCCCCACATTCAGCCCTGCCGAGAGGCACTGTTGGTGGAACTAAATCATCGCTGTCTGTATTCCTTTACTCAATGCTCTTTGAGATGTGCAAAATTCACATAAATTCATAATAAAAATTAATCTTTGCATTCAACGCACCCGATTGTTGTGTCTTCGAAACTTCTCAAAGCATTTAATAATAATAATAATACCCGCATTTCATGTAGCGCCTTATCAGGTCATCGAGACGTCTCTAAGCGCTTCACAGAATATACTGTATAGTGACTGTATATTTGTGGGCAAAACGCGACAGACGATTGCGCACAGCGGCGTCCCACAAAGAGCCGTGGATAGAAGTGACCGATTTTATTATTGGTTTTTTTGAGGGCTTATTATCAGACGTGTGTGTGTGTGTGTGGAGTAAGGAAACTTACCAAGGTTTCGTGCCCCCCACACCCCAGCCCCCACCCCTTGCCGGGAATCGAACCCAGACGGAGTGACTGGGGGATGGCATTCCAGAGGTTGGGGGCAGAGTGGCTGAAGGCTCTCCCGCCAATGGTGGGGCGGGTGGGTCGGGGGACGAGGAGCGGGCCAGAGCCGACTGAGCGGAGGGAACGGGCGGGTTGGTAGGGGGTTAGGAGGCCGCAGAGGTAGGGTGGGGCGAGGCCACGGAGGGCTTTGTAGGTGAGGACCAGGATTTTGAATCGGATCCTCTGGAAGGAGAGGGACCCAATAGAGTCGGGAAGTGTCGTGACTGTGTTTCGTTGGTTGGAGACGGCGGCCGTTTCGCACAAACGGCGATGAAGTGGGCGAACAATTTTATTTGGGGGATTATGGGCCAAGACACCGGTGGGGGGAAGGGGAGAGAGAGAGACTTGGGGGTTTAAACCCACAAAACCCCTGGCTCAGAGGTGAGCGAGAGAGAGAGAGAGAGAGAGAACTGAACCAGGCTATCACAGCAATAAAAAAAAATGTCAATTTCACATGAAATCAGGACACATTAGATATGTTTTTCCTGTGTTAAATGTATTCCTTTCTCTCTCCGTATTTGTGTGTCTCATTCTCTCTCGGTCTCTCTCCTCCTCTCTCAGTCTCTCGCTGTGTGACTCTCTCTCCCTGTGTCACTCTCTCAGTCTCTCTCTGTGTGTCACACTCTCTCCCGTGTACTCTCTCGATCTCTCTCTCCCTGTGTCACTCTCTCAGTCTCTCTCTCCGCGGCACTCTCCATCCCTGTGTCACTCTCTCAGTCTCTCTCCCTGTGTCACTCTCCATCCCTGTGTCACTCTCTCAGTCTCTCTCCCTGTGTCACTCTCTCCCTGTGTCACTCTCTCAGTCTCCCTCCAAAACCAAAAACAATAATAAATTGGCCATTTTCAATCCACGACTGTCTGTGGGACATCGCTGTGCGCAGTCGGCTGCCGCGTTCGGCCACAAATATACAGTCAATTCACTTTACAGTGTGTCGGTTCTGTGCAGCGCTTTGGGACGTCCTCCCGACGTGAAAAGCGCTATATCAAATGCAAGGATGATTATTATTATTATTACACCTCTCTCCGCGTCACTCTCCCTGTGTCACTCTCTCAGTCTCTCTCTCTCCGCGCGTCACTCTCTCTCTCCACTGTGTCACTCTCTCGGTCTCACTGTACACTCCGTCACATGCACTCTACCAATCTTTCACTTTCACAGCCTCTCTTTCTCTGTGCGGAGAAGGAACCACTTTGGTAGGTAGCGTTCTCTTCAGCGGGAAATTTTCAGTCTATATTTTCCTGCAAGCTTTAGCTAAAACCCTTCTCTTCTGCAACTCCCACTCTCTCTTCATAATACTCTCTCGCTCTTAACTTGAGTTGCTATTTGCTATTAATTTCTTCTAAACTTGAAAACAACAGGAAACTTTCCTGGGAGAGAAAGTGAAAGTGAGTGAAAATTCAGCCCAGATCTTCATTCGAGTGAGTTACTGTGTTTGGGTGTGTCTCTGTGTGTACATGGATGTCTGTGTGTGTGTGTGTGTGTGTGTGTGTCTGTCTGTCTGTCTGTCTGTCTGTCTGTGTGTGTGTGGTGGTGGTGGTGGGAGTACTGTCTGTGCGCCTGTCTGTGCGCCCGTCTGTGCGCCCGCCATATGTCTATACCCTATCTGTCTGTGTGTGGTGCGGAGGGGGGGGGTTGTCTGTGTGTATGTGCCTGTGTATGTGACTGCGTGTGTGACTGTGTGTACACCTTGACTGTTTGTGTGTCTGTGTGTGAGTGCGTGTGTCTGTGCCCTGTGTATGTCTTGTGTCTGTGTCTGTGCCCCTGTGTACGTCTTGCGTCTGTGTCTGTGTACGTCTTGTGTCTGTGTCTGTGCCCTGTGTATGTCTTGTGTCTGTGTCTGTGCCCCTGTGTACGTCTTGTGTCTGTGTCTGTGTATGTCTTGTGTCTGTGTCTGTGTCTGTGTACGTCTTGTGTCTGTGTCTGTGCCCTGTGTACGTCTTGTGTCTGTGTCTGTGCCCTGTGTACGTCTTGTGTCTGTGTCTGTGTCTGTGTACGTCTTGTGTCTGTGTCTGTGCCCCTGTGTACGTCTTGTGTCTGTGGCTGTGCCCTGTGTATGTCTTGTGTCTGTGTCTGTGTACGTCTTGTGTCTGTGTCTGTGCCCCTGTGTACGTCTTGTGTCTGTGCCCCTGTGTATGTCTTGTGTCTGTGTCTGTGCCCCTGTGTATGTCTTGTGTCTGTGTCTGTGCCCCTGTGTACGGCTGTTCAGATGGACGGTTAAGATCCAGTGGCGGCTTTGGAAAAGAGAAGGGAGTTTCACTCTCTCCGTGTCATGGACGACAATCCCCCAAATAAAACAGGTCATTCGCCCCACGGCTGTTTGAGGGTTTACACTTTATCCTCGGAGACATTTAACGACGTGATATGGCACTGGATCAAACGCTCGGATTATTTCATTATGGTTAATAACTAACTCCCTGTTGCAAAGAAAGGCTTTCGGCTGCACTTTGAGACGCAGAGACTGGCACAGACACAGCGTTGTGGAGGGCGGGGAGGGTGGGGTTGGAGAGTGGCTGAAGGCTCGGGCAAAGATAAGGGTCTTGAGACAGGCTTCGAATGAGATAAGGGAAGGGGTGAGGTGACGGACTGCGGGATGGAGTTTGAAGGGGTGGGGACAGAGAAGGTGAAGGTCTGATCGCCAATCGGGGTTGGCGGTGAAGGGGGTGGGGGCGCAGGGTCGGCGACATGGTGCAGCCCGGAGCCCACTGAGAGGAGAGAGCGGATAGAAACACAGTTCAACACTCACACCCTCACACGCTCGCTGTCACACACACTCACTGTCTCTCTCTCACACACACAGGCAGGTCACTGGAGACCCATCATCTAAACGTTTCTGTTTTCTCTCTTGTCGCTGAGGATGGTTCGTTCAGCGATGCCCAGGTCCCGATCAGCCTCCAGCTCGTTCCTCACCTCCTGCAGGATGTTTGGGACTCGCCGTCTCCTCCTCTGTCTCCTGATTTCAGCGGTCGGTGAGTGAACCTACACGAGAGACGGGGAATCCTCCCACCCACTCAGCTCCTGGTTATCCCGCAGCCAAAGCCCCAACGGGCCGGGTGGTCCCGGCTGGACAAGCAGCGGGAAAGCTGGCCAGACAGTGATATCAATGGCGAGCTATGGGGTTTTAGCCGGTTAGCCTCCAGCAGTTACCCCAAACACTCACTCTGGGCTCACCCCCAAGCCTTGGCTCTTGCCAACCTGTGCCTAATAATCTCCGGAATTAGGTGAGCAGAGTGCATCCCTCCAGGGAGAGAGTGTGGACTCCATACCAACGATCTATCTCTGGGATTTCCGGGGGTAGGTGAGATGTGGGGAATTCTCAGCTTGGTTTGGAGGCTCTTAAACACGGTGATGGGTTTCCGTGTGAGTTAGACACCCGGCTGACCAAAGAAAATACGTGCCAGCCCCCCGCTCAGGATCAAATCCCCGACTGCTCAATGCTTTGGGACGTCCTCGTGACGTGAGACGATACAAATCTCCCCCACCTGCATTTTTTTAACATCAATTCTCTGCTTTTTTTCCCCGGCTGCCAATAATTACAGGCAAGTTCGAATGCCATTCGCATCCGAGCACATCCCAAATTATTTTAATTCCCCGCGGAACCATTTTATTCGACTGTAACCCTCAGCCCCGATATTTGTGATACAACAACCCACATTATCGCAGTGTTTACAGATGAAAGAAAACGCATCGGTTTTCCCGCAGAGTCGGGTAATAATTGACGAACATATTTACTCGTCACATTTTTTTTTATTTAACTGAACAGTTAATGACTGCGCACCACTACAATTATTTTATTTTCAATCCCAGTTATTAAAATTATATAAATATATATTTTTTAAGAAAGCTGCAGTACTGTTTCGTGGCCACACAGTGAAACGGTTTTACAGGTTCAAAGGAAATTCATGTGTCAGGTGTAATTGACGACTGTATTCAATGTATATTTAATTGCAGTTTATTCTTTTTTCGACGGTTAATGGCTGAACATGAGTAAATTTATTGTGTTTTTACGGTTAAAGTTCATTCCGTGCAACACAAAATAATCTGCACCGTTAATCTCAACCCTGAATCACATTACTTTCTGGGGGCAATATTTTTTTTGCGCTTATAATTGACTAATCTATTCATTTTCAACACTTGACCTCATAACGGCTTCATAACGTTCAAACATTTAATGGATCAAAAATAATTTCAAACAATTGAGATGCTTCAGTAACTCAGTGCGGCTCTATTACAAGGTGCAACGATGATTATTATTGTAATGTTAATTATTATATACGTTGTGAGCTGTGGAGTCCTGTAGCTCAGTGGTTAGAGCACTCGCCTGGCAAGCGAGAGGACCTGGGTTCAATTGGCAGCTACGTTTCTCCCACAAAATACACAGTCACTACACTTTACCGTGTATTCTGTGAAGCCCTTCGAGACGTCTGAAAGACTTGAGAAGGCTCTGCGGCAAATGCAAGGATTATTATTATTATTTTTAGTGTTATTGTATTATTGTATCATCGTCATCGTTATTGATGCTGAGATGTTTCTGACGAGCAGTTGGCTTCGAGGTGTCGGGGCCCAAGGAGGCGCTGGAGGTGACCGTGGGGGAGGACGGCGTGTTGCGCTGCCAGGTGGAGCAGGCTTTGCCTCTGATGAACCTGGAGGTCAGGTGGGTCAGGCAGGATTGGAACTCGCCCGTCTATCTGTACAGAGACAGAAAGGAGCAGCTCAGCGTCCAGGACAAGGCGTATCAAGGGAGGACCGAGATGGATAGCCAGCAGATTTCTGCGGGCAATTTTTCGCTGATGATCAAGAACGTTCAACCCCCAGACAACGGCTCCTACACCTGTTTTGTTAAATTGTCCGAGAAATCCAACGAGGCTCTGGCAGAGCTGAAGGTTCGAGGTGAGACCGTGATGTCACCCTGACACAGCGTTCAAACCGGCCTCTCACTTTGCTTACAGAGAGAGGTTGGGTTCATGTGTGTGTGTGAATGTGTGTGTGTGTGTGCGTCTGTGAGTGACAGTGTGTATATGTGTGTGTGTGTGTGTGAGAGACTGTATGTGAATGCACGTGCGTGTGTGTGTGATAGTGTGTGTGTGGGGGGTGGTGGGGGGGGAGACAGCATGTGTGTGACAGCGTGCGTACGTGTGTGTGTGTGTGACGGTGTGTGAGTGAGAGACAGTGTGTGTGTGTGTGTCTGTGAGTGACAGTGTGTATATATATGTGTGTGTGAGAGACTGTATGTGAATACACGTGCGTGTGTGTGTGTGTGATAGTGTGTGTGTGTGGGGGGTGGTGGGGGGGAGACAGCATGTGTGTGACAGCGTGCGTACGTGTGTGTGTGTGACAGTGTGAGTGAGAGACAGTGTGTGTGTGTGTATGTGTCTGTGAGTGACAGTGTGTATATATATGTGTGTGTGAGAGACTGTATGTGAATGCACGTGCGTGTGTGTGTGTGTGTGTGATAGTGTGTGTGTGTGGGGGGTGGTGGGGGGGGAGACAGCATGTGTGTGACAGCGTGCGTACGTGTGTGTGTGTGTGACGGTGTGTGAGTGAGAGACAGTGTGTGTGTGTGTGTCTGTGAGTGACAGTGTGTATATATATGTGTGTGTGAGAGACTGTATGTGAATGCACCTGTGTGTGTGTGTGTGTGTGTGTGTGTGTGTGTGATAGTGTGTGTGTGTGTGGGGGGTGGTGGGGAGGAGACAGCATGTGTGTGACAGCGTGCGTACGTGTGTGTGTGTGACAGTGTGTGAGTGAGAGACAGTGTGTGTGTGTGTGTCTGTGAGTGACAGTGTGTATATATGTGTGTGTGTGAGAGACTGTATGTGAATACACGTGCGTGTGTGTGTGTGATAGTGTGTGTGTGTGGGGGGTGGTGGGGGGGGAGACAGCATGTGTGTGACAGCGTGCGTACGTGTGTGTGTGTGACAGTGTGAGTGAGAGACAGTGTGTGTGTGTGTGTGTGTCTGTGAGTGACAGTGTGTATATATATGTGTGTGTGAGAGACTGTATGTGAATGCACGTGCGTGTGTGTGTGTGTGTGTGAGATAGTGTGTGTGTGTGGGGGGTGGTGGGGGGGGAGACAGCATGTGTGTGACAGCGTGCGTACGTGTGTGTGTGTGTGTGACGGTGTGTGAGTGAGAGACAGTGTGTGTGAGTGTGTGTGTGTGTGTGTGTGTGTGTGTGAGACAGTGTGTAAGTGGACAACCCCAGGCTTCTCTTTTCCACCGCAAACCGTTTCCTCCGTCCACCTGCCCATGCCTCTCGCCCATCCTCTCCTCGAACTCCAACTGTGAGGAGATGCTGGACTTCTTCGAATCTAAAATCAAGGGGATACATTCAGTCACCTCAGCCCCGTCCACAGCCATCACCTCTCCCTCCTGACCCACCAACCCACCACCCTCCCATACTCCTTCGAGCTTATCTCTCCCTCCTCCCTCAAGATAACTGTCCGCAAACTCAAACCCACCACCTACTCCCTCGATCCCATCCCCAGCTCTCCCCTCATCTCCCAACTCCACCTTCTGGCCCCTCTCCTGTCCAATGTCATCAACCTCTCCTTATCCCCCTAAATACAGCCGTCATCAACCCCATCTTGAAAAAGCCTTCCCTGGACCCATCCCTCCTCTCCAGCTACTGCCCCATCTCTAACCTCCCATTCCTCTCCAAGGTCCTGGAATGAGTCGTCGCGTCCCAGCTCTGTTCCTTTCTCTCTCGCCATTCCCTCTTTGAACCTCTCCAATCCGGCTTCCGCGCTGCCCACAACACGGAAACAGCCCCGGTCACAGTCACTAACAGAATTCTGAACATCTGTGACCACACGGCTCCCTCTGCCTCCTTGTCCTCCTCGACCTCTCTGCCGCCTTCGACACTGTCGACCACTCCATCCTCATGCACGCCTCTCCCCTCTACTTAATCTTCACGGACCTACCTTTGCCTGGTTCGATTCCTATCGCTCTCACCGTCTCCACTTTGTTGCCTGTAACAGTTTCTCCTCCAGCCCCCGCACTGTCACGTCTGGTGTCCCCCAGGGCTCTGTCCTTGGCCCCCTCCTCTTTAATATCTACATGTTCCCCCCTTGGTGACATCATCCGCAGACATGGGGTCAACTTCCATATGTATGCGGATGACACCCAACTCTATCGTTCTGCCTCCAACCTCAACTCCAGGACCACTGCTGTCCTGACAAACTGCGGTCGGACATCAAGTCATGGATGAGGGCAAATTTCCTACAGTTGAACAAGACTGAGGCCCTCCTGATCGGCTCACGCCAGCGCCTCAGCACCTCAGGCTCTGGCAGCGTCACCCTCCATGGTTGCTCACGACAACTCACCAGCCATCAGGAACCTGGATGTCTTGTTCAATCCTCAACTGTCTTTTCTTCCCCACATCCAAGCCATGACCCGCTCTGCCTTCCCTCACCTCTGTAACATCGCCCGACTCTGCCTCACTACCTCAGCCTCCTTCAAGTCCCGCCTCAAGACCCTCCTCTTTGGCCATACCATCGGTCACCCCCCCTTCCCCTCCCCTCCCTTCCCCCTCCCTGACCCCAGCTCAGGTCTGAAATGCTGAACACTATCCAGCGCCTTGGGATGTCCTCCCGACATGAAAGACACTATACAAATGTAATCATGTTGTTGTTGTGTGTCTGGGGGGACAACAGTGTGTGTGTGTGAGAGATAGTGTGAGTGTTGGGGAGTGTGTTGGGTTGTCGGGAAGTAGTGTGCGCGGGGGGGTGGGTGCTGTATGTGTTGGGGGGACAGTGTACAGTAACCACCTGTAACACCAGCTCTAGGTGAGGCCCCGCTGTTACACACAGAGGGTTACCAGAACGGGGGGATCAGGCTAAGCTGTCACTCCGAGGGCTGGTTCCCGGAGCCCCAGATCCTGTGGGGGGACGGCAGCCGCAGGAACATGACCGCACAGTCGCAAACCAGCCACGTGAAAGATTCCAAGGGTTTCTTCACCACGAAGAGCAGCGTGACTGTGAGCAGTGACTCCACAGACACTCTCACCTGCCAGATACGGAACCGCTTGCTCAACAAGGACCAAGAGGCTATGATTATGATCTCAGGTCAGTGTTTCCCTCGCATTAACCAGACTTCACGAGCAACGAGTGGCGTCCAGTAGGTTAGTGGTCAGAGCACCACAAACAAAACGTGGTCACTCAATCCACGACTGTTCGTGAAACGCTGCTGTGCGCAATGGACTGCCGTGTTTCACCCACAAAACGCACAGTGATGGGATCTTACAGTACAGAAGGAGGCCATTCGGCCCATCTTGCCTGTGCTGGCTCTTTGAAAGAGCTGCTAACCTGTCCCACTCCCCCCCTCTTAACCCACAGCCCTGCAACTCGTTCCTTTTCAAGTACCTATCCAATTCCCTCGTATCGAATCTGCTTCCACCAGCCTGTCAGGGCGTTAGTTCCACACCGTAACAACTCTGGGGTGAAAAATGTATATTTTTTGCACATTCACTACACTTTATAGCGTATTCTGTGAAGCGCTTTGAGACGTCTGAACGACGTGATGAGGAGCTATTTCAAACGTATTTTTATTGATAATGTATCACAAAGGAGGGAATGAAATGAATTGTGCGGCTTAATCCCTGTGGGTTGGGGACGTCCTCCTGACGTGAAAGCAAAGGCGCAACAGCAATATCAGTTGTTGTCGTCGTAGTGGTGGTGGTGACTCTCTTGGTTTCTCTGGCAGAGGAAATGTTTCCCCGGGTCTCTGCCTGGATGGTGCTGTTTATTCTGCTTCTCGTCGTCCTCCCCATGGCTGTCGCTGGAACCGTCTTCATTTGGAGAAAACAGACCACGAAGATTAAAAGTACGTTTGCTTTTCCTGACTCACTCGGAGCCCCGTAGCTCAGCGGTCAGAACGTTGGCCTCGCGAGCGAGCGAGCGAGGGGACCCGGGTTCGAATTCCCGGGTCGGGGCGAAACCTTAGGCAAGTTTCCTTACTGTACACACGCACAGGCACACGCACACACGTGCTTCTGCTTACCCAGGAGTAAGTAGGAATCCGGGCGTTAGTGGATTGCTGGATCACTTTCTGAGGTAAGTGGTTTCTGTGTCAGCCTGGCACAGTGGTAGCGCTCTCTCTCTCTCTCTCTCTCTCTCTCTCTCTCTCTCGTCGCTGAGTCAGAAGGTTGTGGGTTCAAGCCCCCCCACGTCAGGTCTAAGCTGATGCTCCAGCGCAGCTCTGGGGGGGGGGGAGTGTTCCGTTGTCGTAGACCCCGTCCTTCGGATGAGACGTTAAACCGTCTGCCTTTTCTGGTGGACGTTTTAAGTTATCTCATCCATTATTCGTAAGGGGAAGGGAGTTTCTCTCTCTCTCTCTCTCTCTCGCTCTCTCTCGCTCTCTCTCGCTCTCTCTCTCTCTCTCTCCCGGTGTCCTGGCCAACAATCCCCCAAATAAATCGGTGCTCTGAATCCACAGCTATTTGTGGGACGCTGCTGTGCGCAAAACGGCTGCCAGTTTCAATCACAAAATACACAGTCACTCCGCTTTACAGTACGGTCTGCGAAGCGCTTTGAGACGTCTTGAAGACACGATGAGGCGCTTTATCAAATGCAAGGTTTATCATCATTATTATTATTCGTCCAACTAATCCGTGCTGGAGTTTATACTCCACGTGAGTATCCACACACTCCTTACTCTCTCTCCCGCACTCCCTCCGGGTTGGTTGGCAGTTTGCCCACAAAACACACAGTCAGTCGTGCTCTGTCACAGTTAAGCGCTCTGGGTCCCAAGTTGTTGTTGTAATGGTGGACTTCCCTCAAATAATAATAATAATAATAATAATCTTTGCATTTGGTACAGCGCCTAATCACGCCTTCGAGACGTCTCAACGCGCTTCACGGTAAAGTGCAGTGACTGTGTATTTTGTGGGCGAAACATGGCAGCCAGTTGCGCACAGCTTGGATTGCTCACACTTGAAGGGTGCTCTGGGGTGCGAGTTTACGTCAAGGCTCTCGCTGTCCCAGTAACACGATCTTTCTTTCCGTTTTGTTTTGCAGAACGCGATGGACTCAACGACAACATCGCGAGGACTGGTGAGTGAGATCGGAGTGTAAGCCTTTGCACTTCGCGACCGCGGTCCGTCTGCAGAGGAAAGAGAGAGTAACATCATATGGGACCGCATGATTTACACACGGTGTCCTGTAGTGTAGTGGTTAGAGCGCTCGCCTCGCAAACGAGAGGATCTGGGATCGATTCCCGGACAGGGTGAAATGTTAGGCAACTTTCATTACTCCACACACACACACGCACACACGCGCGCGCCTCCGTTTACCCAGCAGTAAGTAGGAATCCGCTTGTCAGTCGATTGACAGATCGCTTTTCCGGTGTAATAATCCCTTAAAAAAAACGAATAGTAATCTGGTGACTCAATCCACGACTGTTTGTGGGGACGCTGCTGTGCGCAATTGGCTGCCGTGTTTCTCCCACAAAATATACAGTCAATTCACTTCACAATGTATTCCGTGAAGAGCTTTGAGACGTCTCGAAGACGTGATGAGGTGTTGTTGCATCAAATGCAAGGATTATTATTATTATTATCATCATCATTATAAGGTTCAGGTTCTAAAACATCCTTTTTCATCCACAGATGAGAGTTTGAAGCTTATTACGAACGGTAGGTACAAGTCAGGCAATCACAGTAAAGCTCACATTTCAGCAAATTGATGAAAAGCCGTTGGTGGGAGCTTTAAAATGTGGGAATTCTGAGCAGATGGAAGTGAAAATTGAAATCGGAGATCATTGAAATCTGCTCAGGTGTGAATCATTCAGCAACGAGACGTCAGCAAACGTATGTTGGTTGATTGGCGGATTGTTTTCCGGGGGTAGTAATCCCTTAAGAAAAATAACAATTTAGACACGCAGTCCACGACTGTTTGTGGGGACGCTGCCGTATGCAATTGGCTGCCACTTTTCTCCCACAAAATATACAGTCAATTCACTTTACCGCATATTCTGTGAAGCGCTTTGAGACGTCTCGAAGACGTGAGTAGGCGCTACATTGAATGCAAGGATTATTATTATTATATAACGTAAACAGGAGCTCAGACACTGATGTCCACTCCTGACATTGCTTTTAAAGGACTGTGGAATAAAATTAATAACTTTATTTCTTAAGATGTTATTTATTCTCATTTGCTTTAGACCGGACACAACTTAAGAAGGCGCTGGGTAAGTGTTTCCTTCAGTCTCCTCCTCCCGGTATTGTGAGTGTGTTTCTGTCTGCGCAGATAAATGTGTAAAGAATATAAATACATTAATATAAGTAAATATACAGAATCTCCAAAGTCAGCAGTTCCTATAACAATGTGATTGTAAACTCCTGTCACTGTTTCACACAAAACATTGAATTCTTCAAAACATGTTCTTACGTTCAATGTTTTTTCTGAAACGTTGTTAAATATTATTATCCGTCCTTTGGATGAGACGTTAAATCGAGGTCCCGTCTGCCTGTTCGGGTGGACGTTAAAGATCTCCTGCGGCACTATTCGAAAAGAGGAGTTTCTCTCTCTCTCTCTTTCTCTCCTGGTGTCCTGTCCAACAATCCTCCAAATAAAAAAAATACGAGTTACTATCTCCATGTTGGTTTGTGGTCACTGCTGTGTGTAGTTGCGATGCCACGTTTCGCCCACAAACCACACTTTATAGGATAAACCCCTTGACGTCCTGTCACCTCCCTACCTCTCTGACCTGCTTACTCCCCAACCCACCACCCGCTGCCTCCGCTCGAGTGGCTCCGGCCTCCTGCTTGTCCCTCGTCCCCTCCACTCCACCATCGGTGGCCGCGCTTTCAGCCACTACGCCCTGAAACTCTGGAACACTCCTCCCTCTACCCCTCCACCTGGTCCCCTTCCTTCCCCATCTTCAGATCCCACCTGAAGACCTTCCTCTTCGACGGTGTTTACTGTCACCTCCCCCACACCCCCAGCGGCGGCGGCTTGGCATCGCGCTCCGCCACTGGGGTGTGACCCTGCCTGAGGAGTGCTGTATAAAAGCAAGTTGTTGTTGTCAGTGTGGCACTCCAGCTGCCAGCAACGTTCCCTGCTTGTGGTCTCGGAGCCGGGTCTAACGTGTTGGGGAGTTGTTGGGCGTTAGAAATCCCGCCTGGCGTCTGTTCCAATCGAAAACGTTAGCCACAAAACCCTTTTCTTTTTTGGTCATTTTCAGATATTGAGAAACGCTGCACTGAATCAGGTCTGAATACTGCTCAACACTCAGCCTCCGCGAGACACCGCGACTGTTACTGTCGTGGCATTACATTCAGACACCACAGCGCCCGCCTCTGACCCCATCTCACACCCAATGTCCCCCAAACCTTCTTCGCGCCTTCCACCTCCCGACGGCTTCTCAAACACCTCCCTCCCCTGTCTCCCCAGCTCCACCCATTCATCTGCAGGCTACACCCTTCTCTTCAAACCCCCCCCCCCCCCACCCCACCCCCAACGCCTCTGCCCTCGCCAGGCTCCACTGTGGCTCTGTCTCCCCCAGTGGATCAATTTCAAGGTGGACTCCTATGGTGTAATGGTTAACCTAACCCTAACCCTAACCCTAACCCTAACCCTAACCCGGTTGTTAGTCGATTGGCAGATCGCTTTCCAGGTGTAATATCCTTTAAAAAATTTGCTGTTACTCAATCCACAGCCTGTTCGCTGGATGCAATTGACTGCTTCGTTTCGCCCCCCCCCCAAAAAAAATACAGTCAATCCACTCTGTGGAGCGCTTTGAGACGTCTCAATGATGCGATGAGACCCTATGTCAACTGCAAGGATTATTATTATTGTTATTATTATTATTGCATGATTTACGAGCATCTCACACTCCCTTTTTTTTTCAAAAAGCTCCCATTGCCTCTGTCCTCGCCAGGCTCCACTGTCTCCCTGTCTCCCAAGGGATTTTAAATCCCTTGCCCTCACCTATAAACCCCTATACACCTCCAGCATCTCCCTATATCTGCGATCTTCTCCTACCCCGACTCTTCCACTCCCCCCCCACCCCCACTCATCAACTCGAGTTGATTGCCCTCCGCTCCCACTATCAGTGACCGAGCTTTCAGCTTGTCCTACTCTGACCAAAGTTTGTGTGTGTGTTTTTCCAGAGTGGGACAAATATCGCAAATGCAACGGTAAGCCACTGTTACAGTAAATGCAGATTGAAATATCTAAGCTGCTTGTAATCGATCCTGGCCTGTGGGGCAGCCTGTAGCTGTCAGCCGTGTCCGCTCTGCCTTTTTCTTTGCTCAGCCGGGTGTCCGACGCACGCGGAAACCCATCACCGTTGCTTAAGAGTCTCCAAACCAAGCTGAGAATTCCATACACCCCACCTACACCTGGAAATCCCAGAGATAGATTGTTGGAATGGAATCCGCACTCTCTCCCTGGAGAGGGAGGCATCTTGCTGACCTAATTCCGGAGAGTATTAGGCGCCGGTTGGTAAGAGCCAAGGCTTGGGTGGAGCCCAGAGTGTGCGTTGGGGGAACTGCTGGAGTCCAACCAGCTAAACCACATAGTTTGCCATCGATATCACCGTCCGGCCAAGCTTTCCCGCTGTTTGTTCAGCTGGGACCCCCGCGATCCACGGCTTGCAGGGTTACCAGGAGCTGAGCGGGAAGATTCCTTGCCCCCCAGTGACTGGTCTGCCCTTCCAGGACCTGCAGACTTAAATCACCGCTGAATAACCTCTTGTTGCAGTTAAATAGATGCAGGTTTTACCTGCGCTAACCGAGCTGTCACGTGTTTCTTTCAGATTGCAAGAATCAACTGGAACAATTTGGTAAGATATTGCCGATCAAAGAATGTATTTAACACTTTGCCGCAAATAAAGGTCCATCCCAGCCTACGTTACAGTGAGGGGCTGTAGTGGGGGTTGACTGTGCATGTGCTCACCAGGGGTGGGGTAAATTGGGGGCTGTTTCCTGCACAAGATGAAAAATTGGCCAACTTCCAAGTCGTCAGGTCACCGCGGAAGCTCAACAGGTGCAAAGCGGGAAGTGACATCGGCAGTGACCCTATTACAACAAAAATATTACATTTATCTATAGAGCGTCGCTCACGTCGGGAGGACGTCCCAAAGCGCTGAACAGTCAGGGGTCAGGACCTGAGCACGGGGGAGGGGGTGGGGTTGGGGTGAGGGAAGGCAGAGAGGTGGGAGGGCGACTGAAGGCACGATCGAAGAGAAGGGTCTTGAGACCGGCCTTGAAGGAGGCAACAGCAACAACAACAAGATTGCATTTGTATAGCGCCTTTCGTGTCGGGAGGGCGTCCCAAGGCGCTGGACAGGGCATAGCATTTCAGACCTGAGCTGGGGTCGGGGGGGGAAGGGGGTGACCGATGAAGGGAGGAAGCGAGGCGAAGGGACTGTGGGGTGGAGTTCCAGACTGTGGGGGCAGAGAGGCTGAAAGTAACAGGAAGTAGGAGGTTTCTGTGCAGGGCCTGTAGTCGGAGAGACCAGTGGGCCATGACTCACAAACTCATTGGAGATCAGTGGTTAGAGCACTCGCTTTGCAAGTGAGAGACCTGAGTTCAATTCCATGCAGAGGGCCAAACCTCGGGCAAGTTTCCTTACTCCACACAGAGCCTAATAATAATCCCTCCAAAACCAAAAACAATAATAAATTGGTCATTTTCAATCCACGACTGTTTGTGGGACATTGCTGTGCGCAATCGGCTGCCGCGTTCGCCCACAAATATACAGTCAATTCACTTTACAGTGTGTTCTGTGAAGCGCTTTGGGATGTCCTCCCGACGTGAAAAGCGCTATATCAAATGCAAGGATTATTATTGTTATTATTATTGACCGGTGCTCGCGATGTGAATAGTGTCCACAAGTTGTGGTAGCAGTATTTTGACTGTTCCAACAGGTCTGCCCTTTGTGTAAATTTTACAACATGCCAAAGTATTGTCTGAGCTCAAATTCTGCTGCCGCCCCTTGCGTTTGATATAGCGCCTTTGAGACGTCTCAAAGTGCTTCACAGAATATACTGCAAATTGGATTGACTGTGTATTTTGTGGACGAAACGCGGCAGCCAATTGTCGTGGATTGAGCGATCAAATTAAAAATAAAATATTTTTTGAAAGGTATTATTACCTCCGGAAAAGCGATTCACCAATCCACTGACAACCGGGTTCCTACTTACTGCTACAACAACAACAACAACAACAAGATTTCATTTATAGAGCGCCTTTCACGTCGGGAGGACGTCCCAAGGCGCTGGACAGTTGGGTCGGGACCTGAGCAGTGGGGGAAATGGACAGGGGTGAGGGTGAGGGGCGAGAGGGGGGAAATGGTCAGGGTGAGGGGAGGGAAGGGAGGGAGCGAGGAGGGGGTAGAGAGTCGAGAGGGGAGCTGAAGGCACGGTTGAAGAGAAAGGTCTTGAGACCGGCCTTGAAGGAGGAAAGGGAAGAAGCGGCGAAGGCACTGGGGGATGGGGTTCCAGAGCCTCGGGGCTGAGAGGCTGAAGGCCCAGCCACCGATGGTAGCGCGGTTGGGGCGGGGGATGTGGAGCAGACCGGAGCCAGAGGAACGGAGGGTACGGGCAGGTAAGTAGGGGGATAGTAGGTCGGAGAGCTCGGTAAACAGAGGCGGGTGGAGTAAGGAAACTTACCCAACGTGTCGCCCTGCCTGGGAATTCAACTCAGATCCTCTTGCTTGCGAGGCGAGTGCTCTAACCGATGCGCTGCAGGACTCCACTGAATGCCGTAATGCTATATTTTGCGACAGAATATAAAATCTAACCAAACCCAGACTGAATAATTCTTTCTGTTTTCCAGAGGGAAGCAGACTCGGGCCAAGTACAGGTAAGAGACTGTGTGATAATCCGCTTCAGGCTGAGTGTTGGAGATGGTTTGTGTCAATTTATAATGATTACAACGTGTAATCACAGGACATGTTATAACCCAACTGTCCCTACTCTGTGACCACGCAATATAATGAGTAGTGAAGAATGTCTGACTACTAAAAAGTCACACTCCTTGGCTCAGAGTCAATGACTCCGTCAATGTCTTCACTGCTGTGGATCTGACCTCCTCAACCTCCCTGAGCTCTCCCTCAGACTCACCGAACCAGTCCGCAACCTGGGCGTCCGTTTTGACCCCCGGCTGTCCTTCCTCCCCCAATTCCGGGACCTGACCAGAAGCACCTTCCTCCACCTACACTACATTGCCTGCCTTCGACTGTACCTTACTCCAACTGCAGGTGAAACCCTCGTGATTGGTTTGTCAACTCCTGCCTGGATTACTCCAACACACTCCTCACTGCTCTCCCCAGCTCCTCTGTTCAAATGATCCAGCTCATTCAGAACTCTGCCGCCCGCATACTGACCCGTTCTGGCCCAGGCTCCACTGGCTCCCCATCACCAAACAGGTCGCCTTCAAGATCCTCATACGTGGGGTTCAAATCCTTTCACTCTCTGGCACCTCCCTCCCTCTCCGACCTCCTCACTCCCCAATCCACCACCTGGAGCCTTCGCTCGACTGGCACCGACTTCCGGCTGGTCCCTCGCATCCTCCACCCCATCGTAGGAGGTCGTGCATTCAGCCACTGTGCCCCCGAAACTTTGGAACACTCTCCCTCACTCCCTCTGCCTTGCCCCTTCTCTCCACTTTTTCAAATCCCGCCTGAAACCCTTTTCGACCGTGTTTATGGTCACCTTCCCGCTCCGTGTCCCGGCTCGGAGTCAGGCTCTGCCACTGTTAAGCGCTCTGAGACGCCACCCTGCATGGAGGGCGCTAGATAAGGGTAAGTTGTTGCTGGCATCACTTCCTACACTCTATACATGTGCACTATGTGTGCACCACTGATATCATTTCCTGTTAAATGGTGTTAGGGGACGTGACATGAGCAATCCTTCCTGTGCATGCACTGGACATGACATCAGGAGTGACCTGGACCGGGAAGTCAAGCCATTTTGTAGCGTAGAAAGCTCTCTGGTACAGAAGACAGTGGATCACATCCAAGGGGCCGCCCTGTAAATCCTATTAAACACACAGGGTCGATTTCTCTGACCTGCTTATTCCCCAACCCGCTACCCGCTGCTTTCTCTCAACTGGCTCCGGCCTCTTGTATGGTCCTCCGCTCCACCATCGGTGGCCGCGCTTTCAGCCACTACACCGCAAAACTCTGGAACACTCTTCCTCTATCCTTCAGCCGTGCCCCTTCCTTCCCCCTCCTCAGATCACACCTGAAGACCTTCTTCTTCAACCGTGGCTTATGGTCATCTCTCCCCTCTAACCTGTCGGCTTGGTATCGTGCTTATCCACTGTCAAGTGCTCTGGGACGTTACCTTATGTGAGAGACGCTGTGTAAATTCAAGTTGTTGTTCGCTGGGTGTTTGCTTCACTCAGTAATTGTCAGTGATTGTTTGCATTTGATGTAAAGAGCCGATAATTGTAAACAGGGAAACGGTTGCAATTTCTCTCCAGCCTCCGTGGTTCTGGACCCAAAGACCGCTCACCCAGACCTCATCGTGTCCCAGGACGGTTTGAGTGTGAGTCTCGGTGACCATCCTCAGAAGGTCGGCAAGAGCACAAATAGGTTCAGTTCGCACAGGGCTGTCCTGGGAATTGATGCATCCACAGCCGACATACAGAAACTTAACGGATTCGCAACCGGGATACACTCCTGGGAGGTGGAGCTCGGGAAAAAGACGGCATGGACTATCGGAGTGGCCAGGGAGTCCATCAAGAGGAATGAAAACATCACCCTCACACCTGACAACGGATTCTGGGTTGTGTCACTGAGCAACGGGGAGGATTATCAGGCTCTTACTTCACCCTCCACCAAGCTGAGCCTCAGTGTGAAACCCGGGAAGATCGGAATTTACCTGGACTTTGAGGGGGGGCGGGTGTCGTTTTACAACGCTGATAACATGTCTCTCCTCCACACTTTCACCCACGCTTTCACTGAGAGGCTTTATCCTCTCTTCTGCCCCGGATCAAATGAAAAGGGTACGAATTCTGACCCTCTGAAAATCTGTGCGGTTAACAAGGAAGAAGACCAGTCGGTGGTGTAGAATTGCTGACCCTTTTGATCGTCTTTGAGCTGTTATCATCTTAAGCTTTTACTCAATGTACGAAATAGGCGTAAGGTTCTGCAGAACTCAAAGATTTGATCGGGTGACTATCGCGAGGTGTGTTATTTCTCTGTGAGAGACGTGACCTCTCACAATTTGGTATTCATAGATTCATCGATTCATAGAATGTTATGGCACAGAAGGAGGCCATTCGGCCCATCGAGGCTGTGCCGGCTCTTTGACAGAGCAAGTCACTTTCACTAACCCCAATCACCAGCTTTCTCCCCATAACTCTGCAAACCCCCAGATACCTATCCAGTTCTCTCTTCTTACCTATGTCCATTTTAAAACATAAAATGCTCTAATAATTGTATTATTGCAATCCAGAACTCCGCTGCCCACATACTCACCCGCACTAAACTCTGTACCCCCATCAAGCCAGCGCTCGCCAGGCTCCACTGGCTCCCTATCACCAAACGGATCGATTTCAGGATCCTCTCACTCGTCTTCACACCCCACCAATCCCCGTCACCTCCCCACCTCTCCCACCTGCTTACTCCCCAACCCACTTGCATTCGGTAAAGGATGTCAATGAATTGCCTGTACATTTTGAGGGTGAAAAGTCCGTTCTTGTAAACTGATCACTCCTAATACTGGGATTGTAGGATTAAACCCTACGACAATGTGAAAATCATTTTTATAAACAGTTTTACATCAACCTCTTGTATTTTTTCATTGTGTTTGTGTTTTATTAATCCTTTCACGAATCCTTTCAAGATGCCGTGACACTGCTCAAAACGAGAAGGCAGATTACAGAACGTGCGGTCAAAGAGTCAGGTCTTGATGTGTCTTGAAAGAGAGTGAGTCGGAGGATGGTTCTCCAGTCAGAGAGGCAAAATGGCGATGATGGGGCAGGTGGGGTAGTGGGTGGGGGGGGACAAGCTGGTATTTGCTGGGCCAAAGGAACGGCTGATTCAGGAGAAAGGCACTATATAAATGGAAGTTGTTCTATTAAATGCATATTAGGGCTTCTTAATACATTTTGTGGGCGAAACAGCAGTTCTTGTCGCAGAGGAAAGGTGAGGAGAGGAATGAGGAGAGGAATCCTATCCTGGTCTCTCCATCGTCTATCCTGCTTTCATTACATGCAAACTCATTGCTTGTCGGCCTCTCCAACTCCTCCCTCCGTAAGCTGCAGATCATCCAGAACTCTGCAGCCCGTGTCCTCTCCCGTACCAGGCTCCGCGACCCCATCACCCCCATCCTCGCCCGACTCCACCGGCTTCCCATTACACAGAGGATACAGTTCAAGATCCTGGTCCTCAACTTCAAAGCCCTCCATGGTGATACCCTTCTCTTCAGCAATGCCCAGTCTCAAACTTGGGGGATGTGCTCAGAATCTCACTAAAATCTCTCAAATATATCTATACAGTAGGTGACATGCTGTGAAGTGCTTCAAGACGTCTCAATGGTGTGATAATGTGCTGTATTAAATTCAAGGATTATTATTATGATGATTGTTAACATTAAACCTTGCATTTGATGTAGCGGCTGATAGTGTCTTTGAGACGTCTCAAAGCACTTCACAGAATATACGGTGAAATGAATTGACTGTATATTTTGTAGGCCAAACGCGACAGCCAATTGCACACAGCAGCGTCCCACAAACAGACGTGGATTGAGTGACCATTTTTTTTTGAAGGGACCGTTACCCCCGGAAAGTAATAAGTTCCCGCTTACTGATGGTAAACAAAGGCATGTCGCGTAAGGAAACTTGTCTAAAGTTTGCAATGAAACCCAGGTTCTCTCGCTTGCTAACCACTACTCTACAGGACTCCACAGATGAGGTATTGTGTCCCTGGGGCCAAATTCGCTCCGTCCTGAGAACAGGAACAATCTGAGCAAGAATAATAACATTGTTAAACAGACACACATCAGAGAAACACAGCCATTAATCCAACAATCTCCTCCAATAACTGTTAGCATCAGCAATTGTGGTGAGTTCAATTTTTTGTACGTGTCCCTGGATCTGTTATCTCCGTCCTCGACTACTCTAATGCCCTCCTCACTGGTCACTCCACTATCCACAGACTACAACTCATCTAAAATTCCACCACATTTATTCTCACACACACTAAACTTCAACTCCCTCTCACAGAACAAATCAATATCACGATCCTCTCACTCGTCCGCAGATCCCTTGACTCCCTGACACCTCCCAACCTCCCCGACCTGCTTACTCTCCACTACATTACCCACTGCCTCCGCTCGCTGGGCTGGCACTGGCCTCCTGCTCGTACCTCGACCACTCCGCTCCGCCATTGGCGGCCGCACTTTCAGCCACTGCACCCCAGAGCTTTGGAAATCTCTCACCTGTTACCTCTGCCTTGCTCCCACCCTTCCCCTCTTTCAGATCCTGAATGAAGACCTTCTTCTTCGCCCCTTCCTCCCCCCGCGCCCTCCCCCGCGCACACCTTCCCGGCTTGGCATTAGGCTGAGCCACTGTTAAACACCCTGAGATGCTGCCCTACGTGAAGGGCACTGTATAAATACAACAACAAGATTACATTTGTTTAGCGCCTTTCACGTCGGGAGGACATCTCGAGGCTCTGGACAGTGACAGCATTTCAGACCCGAGTTGGGGTCAAAACTAACATTCTTCCGTGTTTCACCAATGCCATTTTACGTTGTACTTTAAACTACTGGTTTAAACACAAATTGTTTCATGAAATACTAAAATACTAGTTGTTCACAAAATATTAGGCCTGGTATGGGTCTCCGCTTGTGTCAGACGCTTGACTGACCCCCAAAAAGATAGGGTGACAGGATGTAATCTTACATTTTTGGTAATTTAAAAAAAACGTTATAAACGAAAGTGAAAGTAACATTCTTCCTTGTTTCACCAACGCCATTTTATGTTGTCGTGAAACTTCTTGTCCCAAACTGCAGAGAAAGGTACGAGAGACAGACTTTCAGGTCATATTGTTCGCCTGAGCAGAGGAATGGGGTAAGGTCTTTACTTTTTAATACCAGAGTTTTAATGGAGATAAATTATTCTACCAACAAGATCAGGTGTCTGATTCGCAGCAAGTTACTGAGAGATGAGCAAGAAGGAAATCTCCAAATCTCAGGTCAGTGACCACATCAGCCTGAGATATTAGTGAGAGTCTGATAGATGTGTCGCGGGTTGTGTAACACATCAAGTGAATACAAAATCAGTTGAGATGAAGAAAACCCTTCAGTCCATTTGATCTCATCCTCTCAAAATACCAAACCCACCACCTTCCATTCCAGCACCAATCTGTTTCTTAAATGTGCCCAGTGACCTGACCCGGCATTAACCTCTTCCAGCAGCTGAGTACTTTGGGTTAAAGATATTTCTTCCTTGTAACTTTCCTAAACTTAACTCATGTTGGGTGGATGTCCTAAGGCGAATAATAAGATTAACTCATGCATTCATCACATCGAGGCTTGACTATGCAAACTCTTTGGTTGTTGGCCTCCCCAACTCCTCCTCCTCACGCTGCTGAAACTCTGGTCCACGCCTTTATCACCTCAAGGCTGGACTATGTGAACTCTCCTCGCCGGCCTTCCCGGCCCTCCCTCCACAATCTGCAGGTCATTCAGAGCTCTGCAGCTCATGGACTGTCCCGCACCAGGCTTCGCGACCACATCACTCCCACCTTCGCTCGCCTCCACTGGCTCCCCATCCCCCAGAGGATCGAATTCAAGATCCTCATCTTCACCTACAAGGCCATTCACGGCCTCGCTCCCTCCTACCTCTCTGACCTACTATCCCCCCACGTACCTGCCCGTACCTTCCGTTCCTCTGGCTCCGGTCTGCTCCGCATCCCCCGCCCCAACCGTCCTACCATTGGTGGCCGGGCCTTCTGCCTCTCAGCCCCGAGGCTCTAGAACTCTATCCCCCAGTGCCTTCGCCGCTTCCTCCCTTTCCTCCTTCAAGGCCGGTCTCAAGACCTTTCTCTTTGACCGAGCCTTCAGCTCCCCTCTCGACTCTCTACCCCCTCCTCGCTCCCCCCCTCCCCTCCCCTCACCCTGACCATTTCCCCCACTGCTCGGGTCCTGATCCAACTGTACAGCACCTTGGGACGTCCTCCCGACGTGACAGGCGCTCTATAAATGGAATCTTGTTGTTGTTGTTGTTCCATAGGCTGCAGATCATCCAGAACTCTACAGCCCGTGTCCTCTCCCGTACCAGCCTCCATGACCCTATCACCCCCATCCTTGCCTGTTCCACTGGCTTCCCATCAAACAGAGGATACAGTTCAAGATGCTGATCCTCAGCTTCAAAGCCTTGCGTGGCTTTACTCCCCCCTACTTCTGTGACCTATCCGCTCCCTGCACTTAGTGGGCTCTGGTCTCCTTCACAACCCCTGCCTCAGACGCCCCACCATTGGCGGGCAGGCCTTCTGCCACTCTGCCCCCACCCACTGGAACTCCATCTCACCTTGCCCCCCCATTGCCTTCCTTCAAGATCCATCTCAAGAACCTTCTCTTCGACCATACTTTCAATCACCTGCTTCCCCCGACTGCCCTCCGCCCTCTCTAATCCGGACTCCCAGCTCGGGTCCAAAACATTGACTGTCCAGTTCCTTGGGATATCCTCCCAACCTGAAAGGTGCTATACAAATGTAATTTTGTTGTTGTTGTTTATTATTATCCTTGCATTTGATATCGCGCTTTTCACGTTTTCTGGAAGTCTCAAAGTGCTTCACAGAATATACTGTAAAGTTAATTGACTTAATTGTTAATTGTTCCCTTAGTTTAGCACTTCATATATTCGGATAATGAATTTTGGGTTGTTTACAATGTCTATTTCCACTCCCTGGATGATGAAGCCATGTTTTCCTCTCTCCCCTCAGTGATTTCTATTAAATAAATTCATATAACAATGAGATGTGACATTGCCATCAGCAGAACACAGATCGGATTGAAAGTGTAGCATGTGAGAGGCTTGTGTTGTGTGTAATACAGTCACATAGGGGTAAATATGTTATTGTTGTTTGATATCAGAATAGATGTTTAAATCCCTATTTACATCCCTCGACAGACGAGTTCTTTCCCAAAGTGCCAGTGGATGTGGTGGTTTCCTCAGTGTTCTTAGGACTTGCCATATTGGTGCTGAGTGTTCTTGTCGGCTACAGTGTAAAACAGCGCAGAGAGATCAAAGGTAAGTTTCCACCAGTTATGTCTCTCAACCCAAGTCTCAGAACAGTCTGTTTTCATGTAAAAATATTAGTTTTATAAATTTAGATATAAAATAGCCGGTAAACGTTAATGCGAATGTGGGTCAGAGGTTGATCTAATGACACAGAATCATTCTAATCTCGTTTACCATCCACAGAGACGGAGAGGGGGTTTGCTAGTGGCAATGACATGAGTTTGCTTTTTGTATGTTGTTCGATTGTGGGAATAACTTCCCCCCCATATAAAATCTGTCTTCATCTTTCTCTGCATAGCTTGTTCTACACATAAAGTGAAAACCAATTGCAAAATGAGGTGTTAGTAATTCATAATAATAATCAATTTGGAAAATCACCTTTTATGTAAGAAAGAAGTCCCAATTGCTTCACAGGATACACTGTAAATTGCCGTAACTGTGTTTTGTGGTCAAATGCAGCAGCTAATTTGCATACAGCAACGTCGCACAAACAGACATAAAATGATTGATTTTTTTTTTATTTGGGGAATTATCGGCCAGGACACTGGCCAAAACTTACTTTTCTTTTCACATAGTGCCTTGGCTTCTTTAACATCTACCTGAAGACAGATGGGGCCTCGGTTTAATTCTCACCTGATGGAGAGCACAATACAGCCTCCCCCTCCCCCTGCCCCCCGTTTAGAGACTGAAAATACGGTGAAAGAGGAAGGACTTGAGATGGACTTTGAAGGTAGCTAAGGAAGGGGCACCAGGAAGGGGCAGATAGTGCAGCAGCAGAGAGTTGGTGTAATCTGGACTGGACATGATGAATGCATGGATTAGGGTCTCAACGGCCTGTGGTGGGAGGTTGTGGTGGAAGTGGGTAACGCTATGGAGATGGGGAAAGCCTCTGACCAGCGGCTTCAATCCACAACCTTCTGACTCGGAGGTGAGAGTCCGGGTGAATTGTGGTGAACTGTTGAGCTGTATTTGCTGTAGTTTATAACGTTGGTTAAAGTTGTAAAGATGCAGATTATTCATCACCATAATGCAATGTTCAGAATGTTTGTCGCTGCTCCAATCATTTTTCGGTGGTAACAATTTGTTTTTATTCAACAGCTCTTCAGCTAAGACTGGGTAAGCAAAACCAACCAACTGTTTCTGTTGTTGAGCAATCTCATTGACATACAGGAGGAGCCGCTTAAACCAGGCACATCGGGACTGGACCTTTTGTCCGGTTTATGTGGCGTCCAAAGTTAATCAAAGTCCTCTTCCCATCAGCAATCAATCCCAATTTGACTCCGCCCATTCTCTCCCCATTCCTCCGCCTCCCCTCACTGAGTGACAGCCCAAAGCCACTTGTGAATGGTTGGAGGCCGCTGTCAATCAGCCACACTTTGACTCCTCCCATCTCCATCCCAGAGACTCTTGCGGCGAGTGAGTGGACACAGTGGTGACCAGCGAGACATTCTGTCCAGATTAACCGATTTTTATCCGAATAAACAATCAGCATTTTGTCAGATTATCAGATCATCACATCGCCAAATAATTACATTTACTGTGAAATGTGTTTCACACAATCTTAAACCAGCAGAGAGACAAGACCGAGAGAGGTCAATGTTAATTAACTGAACAGTTATAGAGGTGACACAGAGAAAGCTACATAGAGAGACAGAGAGAACAACAACAACAAGATTCCATTTTTTGAGCGCCTTTCACGTCAGGAGGATGTCCCAAGGCTGCAGTTGGGTCAGGACCCGAGCAGTGGGGGAAATAATCAGGGTTTGTTTAGGGAAGGGAGGGGGCGAGGAGGGGGTAGAGAGTCGAGAGGGGAGCTGAAGGCTCGGTCAAAGAGAAAGGTCTGGAGACCGACCTTGAAGGAGGAAAGGGAGGAAGCGGCGAAGACACTGGGGGATGGAGTTCCAGAGCCTCGGGGCTGAGAGGCTGAAGGCCCGGCCACCGATGGTAGGGCGGTTGGGGCGGGGGATGTGGAGCAGACCGGAGCCAGAGGAACGCAGGGTACGGGCAGGTAAGTAGGGGGGATAGTAGGTCAGAGAGATAGGAGGGAGCGAGGCCATGAATGGCCTTGTAGGTGAGGATGAGGATCTTGAATTCGATCCTCTGGGGGATGGGGAGCCAGTGGAGGCGAGCGAGGGTGGGAGTGATGTGGTCGCGAAAAGTATACGTTAACTGTAATTATAATTATAACTATAATCAACTGTGAACATTAGGAGGAGATGGACAAAGTTAGAGAGAAAAGGAGCCTCACAGGGCGAGAAAGAGTTAAAACAATGATGTGAAGCGAGAGAATGATATAATGTGATCTCATGACCTGCCTGAATTCTCTTAATTGCCAGCGTTTTAACATTGCAAAAACATGTTATCTGTTATTTGGACGGATATTATGTCAATTCGAATCCAAAGACCTATAGTTTTGCTGGAATCCCTTTATTTCTTACAGAATTGTTTATTTTGTCACCTGTCCATCTGGTATTTGATAGTTAACCACTGTTTGGTTTAGCATCCACTGCCTCGCCCGCCCCACCGTTGGCAGGAGGCCTTCTGCCACTCTGCCCCTACCCTCTGGGACTACATCTCGCAGTCCCTCCGCCTCGCCCGCCCCACCGTTGGCAAGAGGCCTTCTGCCACTCTGCCCCTACCCTCTGGGACTACATCTCGCAGTCCCTCCGCCTCGCCCCGTACCTTGCCTCCCTCAAGACCCATCTCAAGACACTCCTCTTCGACAGTGGTTTCAATCACTCTGCTTCCCCCTCTGCCTACCACCCTCCCCAATCCCAAACCCCAGCTCAGGTCTGAAACACTGACTGTCCAGCGATTGGGACGTCCTCCCGATGTGAAAGGCACTATACACATGTAATTTTGTTGTTGTTGTTGTGCCTCAGTTAGCTCTGGGGCTGCCTCCTTCCTTGTTGGTGACAAACAAACTATCCCCTGGTCACATTGTGACCCTTTTTAGCTCCACACAACCTTCATCACAGTCCATTGTTATGGCTCTGTTGTTTCTACACCTCACTCCTATTTGTGCAAAAAAAATCTTCACTTATTAATATTCAGTCTCTCAGACATGAAAATCTGTGGGTGGGGTCACGTGGAATTAAGTTAAACACAGCCGTGTAGCACTGACCTGATCACCTCTCCTTTCTTCTTGTTTCCAGTCAGGAGAAAGCTTACCCACTGTGCAGGTAAGAGTCTCAGTAACCAGAGAACATAATATTCACATAAACCTGTCGCCTTCATTGCTAAACACTGGGACTGAGGGTCTGAATGGAACTCCTGCAATCTATTACCGACTGGTCAGTGACGTGTAGAATGAACTGGAAGGATACAAACTCTGTATAGTAAAAGATAATAATATAAATAAGACAATGGGGAGAAAATGTGACAGTGAAAATATCAGAAAAGTTTATTAAAAGGTGAGAATAAAACTCAGATTCTCAGTTTTAGTTTTCGAGCAAATTGGTTCTGAGTTCCAGAATTTCAGTCACCAATTGTTCGTACAGAGACGTCCAGTTTGTGAATGTCGCCGTTTGATCCCAACAATGGACTTTCCTGATTCTCCAGGTTTGGGATCAAACCGGTTTATACAATCCAGTCACTGGGAAATCTACTCCCTGTTTATATACAATCCCGACACTGGGAAATCCACTCCCTGTTTATATACAATCCAGTCACTGGGAAATCTACTCCCTGTTTATATACAATCCCGACACTGGGAAATCTACTCCCTGTTTATATACAATCCCGACACTGGGAAATCTACTCCCTGTTTATATACAATCCCGACACTGGGAAATCTACTCCCTGTTTATATACAATCCAGTCACTGGGAAATCTACTCCCTGTTTATATACAGGAAAATGATTTAACTTTCCAAATTTACCCCCACACATCATTATATTCCCCCCCCCCCAACACACTCATATTCACCCCAACACACACATTCCCCCCATTGACACATATCCCTCCAAACACCCTCTCATCCCTCCCACACACACATTCCCCCCAACCGCCCTACATCCACCCCCACACATACAGCCCCCCACACACTACAAGTGCGCCGCCTCCCCCACGCGAGCACCTCGCCCCCTATGCACGGGCCGTCCCCACAAACACGCGCACACCCCCCCCCCACCACGCACCCCCCCCCCCCACACGCTGTGAGCCTTTGTTTCCAGATATAGTTTTTTTACACACAAAGTCGGAATTTGTGGATTTACCCCTCACTCCACTTTGTGTTATTTCTCTCTCTCTCTCAGCTCCGGCCGCTCTGACTCTGGATCCTGACACAGCCCATCCCCGGCTCATCCTGTCTGAGGACCTGACCAGTGTGCGATGCGGAGACAAACTGCAGCAGCTCCTCGACACTCCGAAGAGGTTTAGTGAAGATCTCATCGTCCTGGGATCTGAGGGCTTCACATCAGGGAGACATTACTGGGAGGTGCAGGTGGGCAACAAGACTGTGTGGATTGTGGGAGTGGTGAGGGAGTCTGTCAACAAGAAAGAATCAATCACACTGTCACCAGAGGATGGGGTCTGGGGGGTGTGGCTGTGGTACCAGGACTATGAAGCTCTGACCTCCCCTCCCACCCGCCTGCCCCTGACAGTGAGACCCGGGAAGATCGGGGTGTACCTGGACTACGAGGAGGGACAGGTGACATTTTACAATGCTGACGACATGTCTCATCTCCACACTTTCACTGAGAAACTTTATCCTCTCTTCAATCCCTGGCATAACGATGACGGGAAAAACTCTGAGCCTCGGAGAATCTGCCCAGTGACAGATTAATGAGGAGGAAAACCCTCAGCCATTCCCTCTGTTTGACTGTTATAACCTGGAGGTTTGGACGATGCCGAGTGTTTGCTTCTGTGCGTTACCCCACACCAGTTTGGAGCTGAGTTTGTGACGGGAAGTGAAGGGCGGGGCTGAGCGGGGTCTCCCGGGGAGACGTCAGCTCCACCTTGTACCCCGAGCAGGGAACGCCGTCTATGGCCGACGTCACCGAGCAGCCGCGACACGGCACCTGCACATTCCAGACCCATCTCAAGACCCTCCTCTGCGACCGTGCTTTCGATCTCCCTGCTTCCCCCGCTTTCCTCCACCACCCGCCCCACCCCTATCCCCAGCTCAGGCCCGTAATTCTGTCTGTCCAGTGCCTCGGGACGTCCTCCCGACGTGAAAGTCGCTCTACACATGTCATTTTGTGGTGGTGTCGGTTGTCCTGTGAGTTCCAGGGAACAAATAAATAATCGAAACCTGCAGTTACCGCTTCACTGCCGCTAAACGGTGGTGTTGCACTGTGAAACTTGCCATATTGCAGTAGATTGACTGATGCTCCTTGAGAGCAGCTGAGCAGCATCTGACTGCAGCTGATCTGGGGCTTGGCAACGCATGTCAGAAATAAGTCCGTCCTCCATGATGGTCCTCGATCTGGTCGCCGGGCCAGGTGGGTCCGCAGTATTCCAGGGCACTGCTGATGGCAGCCGAGTCCAGCCTGGCACATCGGCAGGACCTGGCAGGGCAAACCAGTCACTGTGGGCAGGGAGTCATCCCACTCAGCTCCTGATAACCCTTCAGCCAAAGCCCTGACAGGCTGAGTGGACAAGCAGCAGGAAAGCTTGTCAGACAATGATTTAAACGTGGCAAGCTTTGCTGTTTCAGCTGCTTAGACTCCAGCGGTCACCACAACGCACGCTCTGGGGTCCCCAAGCTTGGTTCGTGCCAACATGAACTAATACTTTGCCCACAAATATACAGTCAATTCACTTTACAGTGTGTTCTGTGAAGCGCTTTGGGATGTCCTCCCGACGTGAAAAGCGCTATATCAAATGCAAGGATTATTATTATTATTACATCAATAATATTAAACCTTGCGTTTGATACAGCGCCTTATCATGTCTTTCAGACGTCTCAAAGCGATTCACAGAATATATTGTAAAGTGAACTGACTGTGTATTTTGTGGGCGAAACTCAACAGTCAGTTGCGCACAGCAGTGTCCCACGACAGTCGTGGACTGAGGGACCACATTTTTTTCTTTTTTTTGGAAGGACTATTATCCCTGGAAAGTCATCTGCTCGTCGATTAACAACCAGGTTCCCTCCTTACTGTTGGTAAACAGAGATCTAAACTTGTCTAAGGTTTCGTCCCACCCTGGAATCGAACCCCGGTTCTCTCGCTTGCAAGGCGAGCGCTCTAACCACTACACTGCAGGACACCACAGATGAGGTATTGTGTCCCTGGGGCAAAATTTGCCCCCATCTTGAGTTCGGCCACAAACTGAGCAGAACAATAACATTGTGAAACAGACACACATCAGAGAAACGTAGCCATTAATCCAACAGTCTCCAATAACTTTCAGGATCAACAATTGTTGTGAGTTCAATTTTTTGTACGTGTCCGTGGATCTGTTACCTCCGGCCTCGACTACTCTAACGCCCTCCTCACTGGTCACTCCGGCTCCACTATCCACAAACTAGGACTCATCGAAAACTCCCCCGCACTTGCTCTCACCCACACTGGTCTCCGTCCCCCCATCACCCCAGGCCTCGCCAGGCTCCACCGGCTCTCTATCACAGAACAGATCGATTTCAAGATCCTCTCACTCGTCTGCAAATCCCATCACATCCTGACATCCCCCGACCTCCCCCACCCGCTCACTCCCAACCTCCCCCACCCGCTCACTCCCGTCCTCCCCCGCCCGCTCACTCCCGACCTCCCCCACCCACTCACTCCCGACCTCCCCCACCCGCTCACTCCCGACCTCCCCACAAGCTCACTCCCGACCTCCCCCACAAGCTCACTCCCGACCTCCCCCACAAGCTCACTCCCGACCTCCCCCGCCCGCTCACTCCCGACCTCCCCACCCGCTCACTCCCGATCTCCCCACCCGCTCACTCCCGACCTCCCCCATCCGCTCACTCCCGACCTCCCCCGCCCGCTCACTCCCGACCTCCCCCACCCACTCACTCCCGATCTCCCCCTCCCGCTCACTCCCGACCTCCCCAGCCACTCACTCACGACCTCCCCACCCGCTCACTCCCGACCTCCCCCACCCACTCACTCCCGATCTCCCCCACCCGCTCACTCCCTACCTCCCCCACCCGCTCACTCCCGACCTCCCCCACTCGTTCACTCCGACCTCCCCCACCCGCTCACTCCCGACCTCCCCCATCCGCTCACTCACGACCTCCCCCACCCGCTCACTCCCGACCTCCCCCACCGCTCACTCCCGACCTCCCCCACCCACTCACTCCCGATCTCCCCCACCCGCTCACTCCCTACCTCCCCCACCCGCTCACTCCCGACCTCCCCACCCGCTCACTCCCGACCTCCCCCACCGGCTCACCCCCGACCTACCCCACACGCTCACTCCCGACCTCCCCCACCCGCTCACTCCCGACCTCACCGACCCGCTCACTCCCGATCTCCCCCACCCGCTCACTCCCGATCTCCCCCACCCACTCACTCCTGACCTCCCCACCCGCTCACTCCCGACCTCCCCCACCCGCTCACTCCCGACCTCCCCCACCCACTCACTCCCAACCTCCCTCACCCGCTCACTCCCGACCTCCCCCACCGGCTCACTCCCAACCTCCCCCACCCGCTCACTCCCGACCTCCCCCACCCGCTCACTCCGATCACCCCACCCGCTCACTCCCGACCTCCCCCACCCGCTCACTCCCGACCTCCCCCACCCGCTCACTCCCGACCTCCCCCACCCGCTCACTCCCGACCTCCCCCACAAGCTCACTCCCGACCTCCCCCACCCACTCACTCCCAACCTCCCCCACCCGCTCACTCCCGACCTCCCCATCCGCTCACTCCCGACCTCCCCCATCCGCTCACTCCCGATCTCCCCCACCCGCTCACTCCCGACCTCCCCCACCCGCTCACTCCCGACCTCTCCCCACCCGCTCACTCCCGACCTCTCCCCGCCCGCTCACTCCCGACCTCCCCACCGGCTCACTCCCGACCTCCCCACTCGCTCACTCCCAACCTCCCCCACCCGCTCACTCCTGACCTCCCCCATCCGCTCACTCCCGACCTCCCCCACCCGCTCACTCCCGACCTCACCGACCCGCTCACTCCCGACCTCCCCCACCCGCTCACTCCCGACCTCCCCCACCGCTCACTCCCGACCTCCCCCACCCGCTCACTCCCGACCTCCCCCATCCGCTCACTCCTGATCTCTCCCCACACGCTCACTCCCTACCTCCCCCACCCGCTCACTCCCGACCTCTCCCACCTGTTCACTCTACGCTACCCACTGCCACCGCCCTCGCACAATGGGAGCTATATACAAAATATTACAAGTCTGGCGATGGGTCTCCAGGTGTGTCAGACGCCCGACTGACCCCCAAAAGTATCGGGTGACCCTAATCTTCACTTCTGTTTTAAAAAACCTTTCTAAATGAAAGTGAAACTTAAGATTCTTTCTCGTTTCACTCAACGCCATTTTATGTTGTGCTTTGCAACCACTCGTCCCTGACTGCAGAGAAAGGTAAGAGACGCGGACTTTCGGGTCATATGTTCACTTGAGGAGAGGAGAATGATAGATGCTTTTTAATAGCAGTGTTTCAATGACAGGTTCTCTGTGTGTGTGAAGCCGATGGCTCCACACGGTCAGATCTCTGTCTCTCTGGGAACCTCCTTGAATTATTTCTGGTTGGGAGTTGCTTGTGCTGCGGACTGTCAGCCTGACCGCCCCTGGCACAGGAGCACAGAGAGGGGCACAGAGAGGGGCACAGAGAGGGGCACAGAGAGGGGCTGAGAGAGGGGCACAGAGAGGGGCTGAGAGAGGGGCACAGAGAGGGACACAGAGAGGGGGAGAGGAGCACAGAGAGGGGCTGAGAGAGGGGCACAGAGGGGCTGAGAGAGGGACACAGAGAAGGGCTGAGAGAGGGGCACAGAGAGGGGCACAGTGAGGGGCACAGAGAGGGACACAGAGAGGGGGAGAGGGGCACAGAGAGGGGCTGAGAGAGGGGGAGAGGGCACAGAGAGGGGGAGAGAGGGGTTCAGAGAGGGACACAGAGAGGGGGAGAGGGGCACAGAGAGGGGGAGAGAGGGACACAGAGAGGGGGAGGGGCTGAGGAGGGCACAGAGAGGGGAGAGAGGGGGACACAGAGAGGGGAGAGAGGGACACAGAGAGGGGGAGGGGCACAGAGCGGGACACAGAGAGGGGGAGAGGGCACAGAGAGGGCACAGAAGGGGAGAGGGCACAGAGAGGGGGAGAGAGGGACACAGAGAGGGGAGAGGGGCTGAGAGAGGGGCACAGAGAGGGGCTGAGAGGGGGAGAGGGCACAGAGAGGGGGAGAGAGGGGTTCAGAGAGGGACACAGGGAGGGGGAGAGGGGCACAGAGAGGGGTTCAGAGAGGGACACAGAGAGGGGGAGAGGGGCACGGAGAGGGGCTGAGAGAGGGAGAGGGGGCACAGAGAGGGGGAGAGGCGCTGAGAGAGGTGCACAGAGAGGGGGAGAGAGGTGCTGAGAGAGGGGAGAAAGAGGGAAGCGGACAGAGAGAGAGAAAAAGGTGATGAGAGAGGGCGAGAGAGAAGATGGCGAGAGAGAGAAGGGGAGATGGGGGTGGAGCAAGAATTAGAAAGAGAGGTGGGTTTAAAGAAAAAATCCGACTCATTCAGAACTGTGCCGCCCATGTCCTGACCCGAACCAAACTCCATCCCCACATCTCACCCGTTCCGGGCTTTCACTCCCTGGCACCTCCCTCCCTCCGCGACCCCCTCACTCCCCAATCCACCATCCGGCACCACCCCTCGACGGGCAACCGACCACCTGCTCGTGCCTCGCTCCCTCCTCCGCCCCACCATCGGAGGTGGCGCATCCAGCCACTGCGCCCCGAAGCTTTGGAATACTCTCCCTCACTCCCCATGTCTTGCCCCCCCCCACACCCCCCCACCACCGCCACCACCTCCACCAAGCTCGGAGTGGGGCTCCACCTCTGTTAAGCGCTCTGTATGGAATGGCGCAAGTCATTATTGTTGTATATTCCTGTATTAACAACAAGGATTAAAATACTGTTAATGGCTCTATAACCTCAGTGTGTGAGAGAGGGAATATGGGAGAGAGAGATGGAGAGAGGGAGGGAGGGAAAGAGTGTAAGCCAATGAGTGTATGAGAGATGGAGGGAGTGAGGGAGGGAGTGAGGGTGAGAGGCTATGTGTGAGGGAGAGGTTTGCATCAACTACAGTTTCCGCCATCGAGTTTCCCCGCATCAATCCGCTATCGGTTATTTGTTTATAATAAGCCTTATGTTTGATATAGTGTCTTAACACGTTGCTGGGACTCAAAGCGCTTCACAGAATATACTGTAAAGTGGAGTGACTGTATATTTTGTGGGCAAATTGCGATTCCAGGGAGAAACGTTGAGCAAGTTTCCTTACTCCTCACATCTCTTGTTTACTTCGCGGTAAGTAGGAACCCAAGCTAAACTATTCGATTGGTGGATGGCTTTTCCGAGGATAATAATCCCTTCCAAAAAATAAAGGTCAATCAATACGACTGTTTGTGGGACACTGCTGTGTGTAATTGACTGCTGCGTTTTGCCCACAAAACATACAAACAATTCACTTTACAGTAGATACTCTGTGAAGCGCTTTGAGACGTCTCAAAGAAGTGATTAGGCGCAAACTTAAGGATTATTATTATTATAAATGTTACGGTCCCGACTGGTGTGAGTTTTACTGCGCGATCACAAATGTCACAGAAAGATTTTGAAGTTTACTTGTGATCACTCATATCTGTCTCTAATCACCTTCGCTGTGTTCTAACCAGTTCTAATTTCCTTTAGGAATGTCTGGTGAAATGACGTGGAGACATTTTGCTCAGATACTTTGCTTTGTACTTTGCCTCTCGCAGTCTGGTGAGAAAACATATTTTACCGCTTCGATTTTTTGAAAAAAAACATCAATTTCTTTCTGATTTTCTCCCCGTCCGGCGTCCTCTCGGGGGTATGTTTGCCTTCTCTATCGCCGTGGAGTCCTGTAGTGCAGTGGTTAGTGCGCTCGCCTCGCAAGTGAGAAGACCGGGTTCGATTCCCTGGTTCGATTCCCAGGTGGGGCAAGTTTCCTTACTCCACATTTCCCTGGAAAGTACTCCAAGCAGGAAGTAAGGAGTGGTTAGTCGATTGCTGGATCCCTTTCTGTGCGTGTAATAATCCCTTCCAAACAATACACCCCAAAATAATCAATCGATCCACGACTGTTCGTGGGACACCGCTGTGTGCAATTGGATGCATTTCTCCCACAAAATACACACTTTACAGTGTATCCTGGGAAGCGCTTTGAGGTGTCCCGATAAGGCGCTGTATCAAATGCAACGTTATTATTATATTATTATGTTCGAACATTAGCAGCAAGTTTTGGAAGGTTGTGTGTCTCCCCAGTGGTCAGTAATGGGCGCTATAGAGGTGGATTGACCTAATGACACACAGGTTATCAGCCTGGCTCAGCGGTAGCTCTCACTCCCGAGTCAGAAGGTTGTGCGTTCAAGCCTTGCGATCACGCCACAACCTTCGCATGAAATAGCACCTCATCACATCTCAAAGCACTTCGCAGAATATACAGTAAAGTGAATTGACTGTACATTTTGTGGGAGAAGCACGGCAGCCAATTGCGCGCAGCAGCTTCCCACAAACAGTCGTGGATTCAGTGACCAAGTTATCGTTAGTATTTTTTTTTGGAGGGATTATTGCCCCGGAAAAGCGATCCGCCGGTCGACTAACAACCGGGATCCTACTCACTGCTAGGTAAACAGAGGCGCGTGGAGTAAGAACACTTGCCTAAGGTTTTGCCCCGCCTGGGAATAATAAGTCCTCTCGCTTAGTATTATTGTTGTACGAGACGGTGTGATCGAGCAAATCCTGACTTCTTCCATTGTTTCATTGATTAAGATGAGAAATTCACAGTCATCGGCCCAGCTCACCCTGTCCAAGGCTTTGCTGGTTCAGAGGTTGTCCTGGACTGTAAGTGCTCCGTAGGCTTGCCGCTGCCGACAGTGGAGGTGAGATGGTTCAGATCAAGCTTTGCCATCCCCGTGCACCTATTCCAAGACGGACACACTAATGCAAGCAAGCAAGATAAAACCTACAGAGGCAGAACAGAACTGTTTACAGAGGAGTTTATCAACGGCAACATGTCCCTCAAACTCAAAGACGTGCAGTGGTCAGACAGAGGAGAGTACACCTGTTACATCGATGACAAGCAATCGTATGACGAGGCAACAATAGAATTACAAGTCCAGAGTAAGTAACATCGTGGAGTCCTGTAGCGTAGTGGTTAGAGCACTCGCAAGCGAGAGGACCCGGTTCCAATTCCCAGGCAGGGCGAAACGTTTCCTTACTCCTTACTCGATTGGCGGGTCGCTTTTCTGAGGGTAATAATCCCTTCAAAAAATAATAATTTGGTTACTCAACCCACGACTGTTTATGGGACGCTACGGTGAATTCAGCATATTTACAGTATATTCAGTGAAGCGCTTTGAGACGTCTCGAAGACGTGATAAGGCGCTATATCAATTGCAAGGATTATTATTATTATTGTCATTGAAGAGTTGAATTCGTAGCTTCAGACTGTGAAAGAGTTGCGCCGAGTAAATTCTTATGTTCATAAGTTGTTGTTGAATCATTTCCGCTGCTGTTCCCAACTGTTCGCTCGGTGCACTCACAGTTCTCGGCAGTCAGCCTTGGATTCACATGGAAGGACATGAAGAGAACGGGATTAAGCTTGTGTGCGAGTCCGAGGGATGGATTCCTGAGCCCGAGGTCTGGTGGGTGGATGGGAACGAACGCAAACTGACAGCACAAACCAAACTAGACACGTCTCCCGATGGTTTAATCAAGGTCCAGACTTCCTTAAGTGTCACGAAAGATGCCGGCAACAAGTTCAGGTGCCTGTTCATCAATAATTTAACCAAGAAACAAACAGAAGGAAGAATCCAGATCGCAGGTCAGTCAACGTGTGATGTTGGATCAGTTCAAGATCCTCGTCCTCATCATTAAAGCCCTCCATCTTGGCCTCGCTCCTCCCTCTCCCTCTGTGACCTCCTAAAACTTCACCAACCTGCCCGCTCCCTCCGCTCAGTAGGCTCCGGCCTGCTCCACGTCTCCCACCCTGCCCGCCCCACCAGCAGCAGTCGGGCCTTCAGCCATTCTGCCCCCTGCCATCGAGATTAGGTGTCAGCCTGGCTCAGTTGGCAGCACTCGCTAGTCTCTGGGTCAGAAGGTTGGGGGTTCAAGTTCCATGTCGGGACTTTGAGTCCATACTACAGGCCAGGGTGGTCCAACAGGTGGCCCGCGGGCCGCATCCGGCCCACAGGATGATTTAATCCAGCCCACAAACAGTCACGCTGTGTGTCCAGAGCCCAGGTTTAGTTGGATCTCTGTCTGTGTGTGTGTGTGTGTATATCAGTTTTACAGATAAATGTACACACACACAGGCAGGGACACAGATATACACAGACTGAGCGAGAGATACACATAGACAGAGAGAGAGCGATACAGAGATACACAGACAGAGAGAGGAATAGATACAGAGATACACAGACAGAGCGAGGGAGAGATCCAGAGATATTTCCTTACTCAACACACATCTGTTTACCGAGCAGTAAGTAGGAACCTGGTTGTTAGTCGATTAGTGGATCACTTTCCGGGGGTAATAATCCCTTCAAAAATAAAGGATTTGGTCAGTCAATCCACGACTGCTGTGCACAATTAGCTGCTGTATTTCTCCCCCAACTGCACAGTCGCTACGCTTTACGGTATATTCCGTGAAGCGCTTTGAGACGTCTCAAACACGTGATAAGGCACTATATCAAACGCAAGGATTATTATTATTATTAAATCCTGTGAATGGCTTTGGAACGTCCTCCCAACGTGAAAGACGCCGGGCTAAACGTAAGGATTATTAGTTTTCCGGAGGAGGAAGTGTCCCCGTGCATTTGGGTAACTCAGGTCGGTGAGAAATACAAAACTGATCCACGTTATTGCTTTTGCTTTTCAGATTATTTTTTCCCCCGTGTCTCTCTGGGGCTGGTCTTTTGTTTGTTATTCTTCTTCACTTTCCTGGCCGGGTTCTGTGGGTTTTTGGTCTTCATCTGGAAGAAATACCAACAGACTAAAGGTACGTTCCAATCCGAATCCAGGAACCCCAACCATTCCAGGCCCATTCCTAACTCTGTGATTTCCTCCCCACCACAAGTCATTCCGAGAACCACTTTTGGACTCACAGCCGCCTAACGTAGCACTAAGCGTAGTGTAGTGCCTTAGTGTAGTAGTTAGAGTACTCGCCTCGCAAGTCAGAGGACCCGGGTTCGATTTCCAGGTCGGGTAAAACCTTAGGCAAGTTTCCTTACGTCTCCCATACGTCTCTGTTTATCCAGCAGTAAGTAGGAACCCTGTTGTTAGTCGATTGGCCTATCACTTTTCCAGGTGTGATCATCCCTTCAATAAATAAATGAATTAATTTTTGAAAAACTCACGACTCTTTGTGGGACGCTGCTGTGCACAATTGACTGCCACGTTTCATCCACAAAATATACAATCAATCCACTTTACAGAATATCCTGAAGCGCTTTGAGACGTCCCAACGACATGATAAGGAGCTTTATCAAATGCGAGGATTATTATTCTGTTATTATGTGACCCACAATTTCTCAACAATAAATGTTGTCGTTCTTTATACCCGGCACCAAACCTACAAGCAAACGATTACACGGAGATTGGAGTTGGAAGTAGAAGCCGTGTGATTAATACACATTTTATTTTATTTTTACCCAACAGAACTTAATAAAGAACTGGGTAAGTTACACATACAATGTCTCCTGATTTACCGGCATCTCTGTATCAGCCTCCGCCCCTCAGTCTCTATCAACCTCAACCCCTTAGTCTCTATCAGTCTCCACCCTGTGGTCATGTAGCTTAGTGGTTAGACCACTCACTTCGCAAGCGAGAGGACCTGGGTTGGATTCCCGGGCGAGGCAAAAAGGTGGGCAAGTTTCCTTACTCCACACGCCTCTGTTTACCGAGCAGTAAGTAGGAACCCGGTCGTGAATCAATTGTCGGAGAAAACAATCCCTTCAAAAAAATAACAATAATAATAATTTGATCACTCAATTTGCGACTGCTTGTGGGACGCTGCTGTGCGCAATCGGCTGCCGCATTTCGACCCCAAAACATTGCAGTCAATTCACTTTTTAGTCTGTGCTGTGAAGCGCTTTGAGACATTTAGAAGACATGATAAGGCGCTATATCATGTGCAAAGGTTATTATTATTATTGTTATTATTATCACTAGACCTCAGTCTCTATCAGTCTCTACCGCTCAGGATTATTATTATCTGCCTCGTTCTTAGCCATGTAGCCTTATCACCTGTTTGTTTGACTTCTGTTGCAGAGTGGCAGTGGATGTTTGCGTGTGCAGGTAAGGATCCTTTTACCACAAACGAAACCATGTGTTTAATCTGTCCTTGCCTCTTGTACACAGTTTGTAAACAACCCCCTCCCCATCTAAGTGTGAGCCTGGCTCAGTGGTAGCCCTCTCGCCTCTGTGTCAGAAGTTTGTGGGTTCAAGCCCCAAGTCGGGACTTGGAATCGCAGTCTAAGCTGATGCTCCGATGCAGCGCTGGGGGGAGAGTTGCATTTTGTCGGAGGCGTCGTCCTTTGGGTGAGATGTTAAACCGAGGTCTCGTCTGCCTGTTCAGGCAGATGTTAAAGATCTCCCGCGGCGCTATTCCAAAAGAGAAGGGAGTTTCTCTCTCTCTCCTGGTCATCAATGTGTCCTGGCCAACAATCCAACCCCATTGAGATAACCTTATGTGTCTTTGAGCTTAGATTATGAATGAATATGGATGAGGGAGGGGAGGGAGGGGAGGGGAGTGGGGTGGGGGGTGGGGGGAGAGGGAGGGAGGGAATGCAAGCAAGCAAACAAAAATGGTCACTTAATCAACGACTGTTTGTGGAGTATATGGTGTGAAGCACTTTGAGACGTCTCGAAGACGTGATGAGGCGCTATTATTAATAATAATAATCCTTGCATTTGATATCGCGCTTTTCACGTCTTCGAGACGTCTCAAAGCGCTTCGCAGAATATAATGTAAAGTGAGTTGACTGTATATCTTGTGGCCCAAACGCGGCAGCCAATTGCGTAGAGCAGTCGTGGAATTAGTGACCAATTTCTTTCATTTTTCTTCAAATGCAAGGATTATTATTTCTATTATTAAGAATTATTGTCAAGTTAGTGATGTGATTCTCGCTCTAGTTACAGTCAGACTGGATCCTGACACAGCCCATAACAAGCTCGTGCTGTCTGAGGACCTGACCAGTGTGTCATCTGGAGACAAACATCAACTGTTCCCCGACTCCCCGAAGAGGTTTAGTTACTGGGCCAGTGTCCTGGGATCTGAGGGCTTTTCCTCAGGGAAGCGCTACTGGGAAGTGCAGGTGGGCAGCAAGACAGAGTGGAGCTTGGGGGTGGCCAGAGAGTCCATTGAGAGGACAGAGGAGATCAAACTATCACCGGAGAACGGAATCTGGAGTTTGATCCTGAGAAACGGGAGTGATTATTGGGCCCGTGATAACCCTTGGATCCGCCTGACGGTGAACGAGAAGCCCAGGAAGATCGGAGTGTTCCTGGACTACGAGGCGGGGAAGGTGTCGTTCTACAACGCTGATAAGATGTCTCACCTCCACACTTTCACTGAGACGTTCACAGAGAGAATGTATCCTTATTTCTGCCCCTGGTTTCCCGACGGTGGCAGCAATTCCGAACCGCTGGTAATTTGTCGGGTCAAGAGTAAAGCCGAGAGTTTAAAGCCGTCTTAAGTCACTGTTAGTCAACTGGTTTTGACCGAGCCAAAGGGATTTCGTCTTCAAACCCCTTCACTCCCTGACCTCTCCCGACCTCCCTGAGCTGCTTACTCAATCCAACCCACTACCCGCTGCCTCAGCTCGACTGCTGCTGCCTCCTGCTTGTCCCACGTGCCCTCTGCTCCACCATCGATGGCCAAACTTTCAGCTACTTCGCCTCGATACTCTGGAACACTCTACCTCAATCCCTCCGCCTTGCCCCTTCCTTCCCCGTCTTCAAGTCGCGCCTGAAGACCTTCCTCTTCGAGTGTGCCTATGGTCACATTCCCCCCCCCCCCATCCCCCTCTACCCCCAGCTCAGCGTCGTGCTACACCACTGCCAAGCGTTCTGAGATGCTACCATTGCGTGAGGAGGTGCTGCACTAATTTGTAAGTTGTTGTTGTTGTAGCCATGATTGAATAGAATGGCGGAACAGGCTCAAGGGCCTGAATGGCCTCCTACACATATAGATGTGAATCTAAAGCAGGAACAGATTTGGGGCTTCATTTACACTGTCTAAAAATTCACTTTGCACTTCCTGTCTCACTCAACACTATACCTGTCCAACTGCAATAGAGTCACGGAATCTAACAGCATAGAAGGAGGCCATTCGGCCCATCGTGTCTGTGCTGGCTCTTTGAAAGAGCTGTTCAACGAGTCCTACTCCCCCACTCTAACCCCATAAGCTATGTACATTTTTCCTTTTGAAGTACCTATCCAATTCCCTGCTATCGAATCTGCTTCCACCACTCTTTCAGGCCATGCGTTCCAGACCATAACAACTCCCCGGATAAAAAAATATTTTCTCCTCGACTCCCCTCTGGTTCTTTTGCCAATTATCTTAAATCTGTGTCATGTGGTTACTCACCCACCGGCCGGAGTAAATTATTTTTTCTTATTTACTCCATCAAAACCCTTAATAATTATGAACACCTCTATTAAGTCTCCCTCCAAAGGGCATCTCTCTGCTCCGATTGAAGTCCTTGTTCTAAATTTCTTCTGCACCCTCTCCAAAGCCCTGACACCCTTCTCAAACAATCATCACTTGTTTTAAGCATAACATTAATTTAGCGAAGGGAGTTTCTCCCTTCCCCATGTCCTGGCCAACACTCCGTATAAAAATTGATCATTCGCTTCAAAATTGCTGTGCAAAAATTGGTTGCTTCCTTTACCTGTAAAATAGACAACACAGACAATACACTGTATGTTACAGTAACTCCTGTCAACATTTTGAGACGTTTGGACGATGTGATAAGATCACACGATCTGTGTAAAAAGAAATTTCTGGAGCAAGTCCTGAAATCGCCCTTTGTAACCCTAACCCTCTGGTCTCCTGTCCTATTGTCTTGGTGGTTCCTGACGTGTGGCTCTGGGTTTACTCATTGAATGAAGTTTAAATCAAGTTTACCCGCCTGTATAAGGCCTCTCTGAGAGAGACACCTCCTCTCAAGACTGAAGAACCTCAGCTTCTTCCTCTAACCTGGAGATGTGGAGCCCTGTAGGTAGTAGTTAGTTGTCTTCAAGCGAGAGGACCCGGGCTTCGATTCCCGGGCAGGGCCAAATCTTCGGCAAGTCTCCTTAGTCCACAGTAAGTGGACTACCTGGCAGTAAGTAGGGACCCGGTTGTTTGTCGATTGGCGGGTCACTTTCTGTCGGAGGGGTAAGAACCCCTTAAAAAATAATAAAAGTTTGTGTGTTCAATTGATGACCACTTACGGGACACTGCTGTGTGCAATTGGCTGCCGTGTGGCGCTGACAAAAGGTACAGTTACTACACGTTTCAATGTATTCTGTGAAGCGCTTTGAAACGTACCAGTGTCGCGATATCAAATCGCAAGGATTATTATCGTTACGATGGCGGTGCTGATTCACGGTGTCCGAACTTGAGAGCGGTTTCTCACGAAATCACCGTAAACGTCACAAATGGAACATTTGTGCCCAGAAGTGTATTTTTGTATATTTTTTACATTTGTAAGAAGCTGTGATGTCGTTCAATATTTGAATTTGCGATACGCCCTTTCCGCGCTCGCTTTGCTTTTTTTAAATAAAACGCGACAAGTTACAACAGTGTTTGTTTCGCCCACAAAATACGCAGTCACTGCACTTCACAGTATATCCTGGAAACGCTTTGAGAGACGTCTCGAAGACGTGATAAGGCGCTGTACAGCCAGACTCATTTGCTCCCCACCGTCTCTCCCGCCTCACTATACCCTCCATACCTAAGATGAGGCCCACCGCCGGCTGCCTTGACCTCCTCCCCACCCAGTTTGTGGTCAGCCAACTCCCCCTCCTCCCTCTGCCCACTGCTGACTGACACAATCAACCGTCTCCTCAGGCTCTGTCCTGCTCCCCCTCAAAACCCCTGTCATCAGTCCTCAATGCGCCATCCTCCTCCACCGCTTCTCGTGCCTCATCCACCTCAGTGGGACCGCACTCGCATGGTTCGAGTCCTACTTGACTAACCGGCAACAACATATCTCGACAAACGGTTTCTCCCCTCGCAGGTGCCCGCCCCAGCCCGGTCACCTGCGGGGTAACCCGAGGCTCCATCCATGGCCCCTTTCGTTTCCTCGTTGACACGCTCCCTCCCGGCGATGTCATCCGCAGACAGGGTATCAACTTCCACTTGTGTGTTGGTGACCCAAATCTGCTTCTCCGGCTCCAGCTGCGTTTCTCAGTCTCCATTGATGTCCCGTCAGCTTGTCATCAAGGCCTGGATGAGCGCAAGTGTCCTGCAGCTGAAAGTCGTCAAGACGGAAGCCATGCTCCTGGGCTCCTGTCTTCCTTCCTGCTGGTCTGACCTCCTCAACCTCCCCGCGGCTCTCCCTCAAACTCACCAAACTCTTGCGCAATTTAGGCGTCAGGCTCAATCCACAGCTTTTCCACAGCGCCTTGGGACGTCCTCCCGACGTGAAAGGCGCTCTATAAATGGAATCTTGTGGTGGTTGTTGTTGTTGTTGTTCCTATCTCGCCCACATCACTCCTACCCTCGCTCACCTCCACTGGCTCCCCATCCCCCAGAGGATTGATTTCAAGATCCTCATCCTCACCTACAAGGCCATTCACGGCCTTGCTCCCTCCTACCTCTCCAACCTACTATCCCCCTACCTACCTGCCCGTACCCTCCGTTCCTCTGGCTCCGGTCTGCTCCACGTCCCCCGCCCAACCGCCCTACTATCGGTGGTCGGGCCTTCAGCCTCTCAGCCCCGAGGCTCTGGAACTCCATCCCCAGTGCCTTCGCCGCTTCCTCCCTTTCCTCCTTCAAGGCCGGTCTCAAAACCTTTCTCTTTGACCGTGCCTTCAGCTCCCCTCTCGACTCTCTACCCCCTCCTCGCTCCCTCCCTCCCCTCCCCTCACCCTGACCATCTCTCCCCCTCCTCGCCCCTTCCCTTCCTTCCCTCCCCTCACCCTGACCATCTCTCCTCCTCCTCGCTCCTCCCTTCCCTCCCCTCACCCTGACCATTTCCCCCTCCTCGCCCCCTCCCTTCCCTCCCATCACCCTGACCATCTCTCCCCCTCCTCGCCCCCTCCCTTCCCTCCCATCACCCTGACCATCTCTCCCCCTCCTCGCCCCTTCCCTTCCCTCCCATCACCCTGACCATTTCCCCCCCCCCAATGCTCGGGTCCCGACCCAACTGTCCAGCGCTTTGGGACATCCTCCCAACGTGAAAGGCGCTCTATAAATGGAATCTTGTTGTTGTTGTCGTCCCGGGCAGATAAAATGAGGTGATGTTCCTTGAACGCGTATACATAATTATATACAAGTCGGTAGTGCATTGGTTCGAGCGCTCGCCTCGTAAGCGAGAGGCCCGGGGGGGGGCTCGATTCCCTATATCAAACGCAGGGATTATTATTTAATATTTCACATTTATTCTTTTCCTCACTGGAAATTGCGAGTATAAATATTGCATTAGAAATTAGAACATTTATAATTGAATATTTGCTTAGAAAATTATTCGCTTAAAATATCTTTCGGCCAAGAATGCGACGAAATGGCTACTCTTGCTACTGGGGACGTTTCAGATTTACTGCCTGGAGTTTCTCAACAGTTGTGCGGCAGTCTCACACTAAATATGCAGCTCCGGGGGAAGCTCTGTCTCACAAAGTGATTTATTTCACGTGTAGATATTGATAATCATGATATTCCATCTAATTGATGTCGCGCATTGTTGAGACGTCTCCGAGAGCTTCACAAAATGTACTGCAACGCGGCCGTCAATTGCGCTCAGCAGTGCCGCACAAACAAGTCGTGGGTTGAGTGACCAAATTATTATTTTCTATGGGAGTATTATCCATGGAAAGTGATCCACCAATTGACTAACAGCCGTGTGTGTTCCAACTCACTGTGTGAGGTACACAGAGGTGTGTGGAGTGAGGACACTCGCTCCGCTCCCCCCCCCCCCCACCTCTCCCCGCCGGGGTCCTCTCGCTTGCGAGGCGAGTTCTCTCTAACGACCTTGTTATCCCCCAGTGGAGACGGACAAAAAAATGACGTTGTTCTGTACTATGAGGAATAATTATTGTCTTATTTCTCTCCCGTCGCTGCTGACTGACCAGACCCCACCCCCCACCCCGCTACCACAAGAGACCGAGGAGGGAGAAGGAGGGTGTATGAGGGAGATGGTGCCCACGGCTTCAGGTAATGGACGGATGTGGTGAGGTTGTGAGATATGTTTGTGGGTTCTCGTCAGTTTGTGTAGTGTTGGTCTGTATTCAGCCACTCAGTCACTCTCACCCTGAACATCATTCAACCCTTCCCGAACCAGGCGGGTCTGCAGTATTCCAGGGTACGCTACTGATGACAGCACAGCCGAGCCTGGCTCATCGGGGGGGGGTCCCGCACGTACACAGCCCCCTCCCCCACACAACGCGGCCCACCCCCCCCCCCCCTCCCTCCCTCCCCCACACCCGGCGCTGTTGCGCGGACACGATGGGGCCGAACGGCCTCCTTCCGCGCTGCGGGTCCTCCGATGCTCCCGATTCAACGAAAAAAAGCGAACCGCGTCGCGTTTCCCGGTGCAACGGCGGCGGCGAACGCCGCCTTTCGGAGTACTTTACCGGACGCGCGCGACGAGCTCCAAACTGGGACGGAAAGAGTAAAATCGTTCCCCTGTTGTGCGGTCATTGACAATTCGGTCAAAGAAGCCGCAATGAGCTTCAAATAAATGGACAGTGTCTATTGAGGGGGAAACAGATGACTTTTTTTCTTTGAGCTCTAATACAGACCATTGATCGTCGCTGTTCGTCAGCGCTCGACAGCGCCGCGTTGCAGCGTTTACCCAAGAAAAAAAAGAAGCATTGAAGCAATGAACAGTCAGTTCACTTTACAGTGTGTTCTGTGAAGCGCTTTGGGACGTCCTCCCGACGTGAAAAGCGCTATATCAAATGCGAGGATTATTATTATTATTATTATCCCCCCCCCCCACACACACACTGGAAACGCTCACACTGAACACCATTCAACCCATCTAGTCTGGTTCCTGAGCCAGGCAGGTCTGCAACACAACAACAAGATCACGCGTGTGAAGCGCCCTTCACGTCGGGAGGACGTCCCAAGGTGCTGGACAGGCAGAGGTTCGGATCTGAGCTGGGGGTTTGGGATTGGGGAGAGGGGTGGGCAGGGCGATCGAAAGCGGTCGAAGAGAAGGACCTTGAGATGGATCTAGAAAGAGGCAAGGGAGAGGGTGAGGCCGAGTGATGCAGTTCCACAGGGTGGGGACAGAATAGCAGAAGGCCAACGGTGGGGCAGGCGAGGCCGGGGCATGTGAAGCAGGCTGGAGCCCGCTGAGCGGAGGGAACGGGTAAGATGGTAGGGGATTGTCGCAGAGCTAGGAGGAGGAAGACCATGGAGGACCAGGATCTTGAACTGTATCCTATGTGTGATGGGAAGGAATATTCCAGGGCTCATTAGCAAATTCCGGAATGGCGGGGAGTCATCCCACTCAGCTGCTGTTAACCCTGCAAAGCCCTCACGTGACGGGGCTTGGCCAGACCGCTTGTGTCTGCCAGCATCCTGCTTGCGTGTCTGTTTTTTTTTCATTGATTGTGAGGCGAGTGCTCTCACCAATACTCTACAGGACTTGTGGAGCTCTGTACCTCAGTGGGTACAGCACTCGCCTCACAAGCAAGAGGACCTGGGTTTGGTTCCTGGGCAAGGATGAAACGTTGGGCAAGTTTCCTGACTCCACAATCCTGTTTACCTCACAGTAAGTAGGAACTGGTTGTTAGTTGATTGGCGGATCGCATTCGGGGTAATAATCTCTTCAAAACAAATCTAATAATTGATCGCCAAATCCACGACTGCTGTGCTTACAGTATTCGGTACTGCATTTTCCCTAAACAATATACATATTCTGTGGATGCGGTATATTCTGTGAAGCGCTTTGAGACGTCTCAATTACATCTATCTCAAGTGCAAGGATTATTAAGTTTTGACGCTGATTTTATTCCGCATGGATTCTCACTGTGTTTTATTCCCCTGTTTTGCCTTCAGTGCTTCTTCTTCCACTGTGCGCAGTATTAACTCTGCCCTCTCCCAGCGCCATCGCAAATGTCTTCATCGGAGCAGACTTCTGTTTTCCTGTCAACCGTACTATCGAACAGCAACATGAAGTTGTCCTGGAAATGAAGTCTCCAATTAACCTCAAAATAATGGTTTGGGACTCAAAACAACCGTACAGGCCAGATATTCACCCGAGTTACAGGGGTAGAGTTCTTTGCCTCAAGCGTGGTGGTGTGCTGGTGAGCAATGTATCTCTCGATGACAGTGGGATATATGAGATCATCATTAGAGACTTTCTGAGAAGCAACGAGAGCCACTTGGTTGATCTGCGTGTGTTTGGTGAGTATATTGTGACTGGACTGTGCAGTACATTAAAAACAGGAGGAGGCCATTCAGTCCCTCGAGCCTGTTCCGCTATCCTTTTAGATCATGGCTGATCTAAACTCCGACGACCCACCCTTACCCCATATTCCTTGATAACCTGACCTAACAAAAGTCTATCCACCTCAGCCTTGAAACAGCCCTAATCCTCAGCCTTTTTGGGGAGAGAGTTCCAGATTCCACCATACTTTGTGTGAAAAAGTGTCTCCTGATTTAATTTAGTTTAATAGCCTCACTCTAATTTTGGGTGTGGAGAGTACGAGGGTCATCAAGGGTAAGGTCAAGGAGGAGGTTCTTGAAATGGACTTGAAGGAGGTGATGGAAAGGGCGACGTGGAGGGATGGTGGGTCAATGGGTAGGGGAAGAGAGGCGGAAGGCCTAACCACCAATGGCGAGCCTTTAGCCTCTCTGCATACTCCCTCCCCCACTCCCCGCACCAACAGCGCAGTGAGTCTCTCCCTCTTTCATTGACTCGCTCTACCTCCCAAACACTGAACCACCTTGTGGGACGATCGCCAGAATAATGAGTCTTCCTGTCTTTAAAACCTTGTGTTTCAGACCCTGTCTCCCAGCCGATGGTGAAGATGGCCGGTGACTGCTCAGCCAACGTCAGTCTGAGCTGCTCTGCCTCCAAAGGAACAAACGCCACCATTTATTGGAGGAAGAGGTTGGAGCCTAACATCACGTACAATGGGTCTGTGCTGCTGCTGAACCGTGGCAGAGGGGGGCAGGCAGCTGAGTACGAATGTGTAGCAGAGAACCCGATCAGTCAGGAGATCAGTCGCCCACAACAGCCTTGTCAAGAGAATCCAGATCGAGGTGAGAGATCCGTCAACATTACACACTGAATTACAGAGAGGTTCTGTTAGAACGCACCTCACTACAGCGTGAATTTGCTTCACGTTATTCCAGGCTGTCTACCATCAGGTCATGATCAACATCACTGGCTCCCCGTCCCCCAGAGGATAGAGTTCAAAATCCTCGTCTCGCCTTCGAAGCCCTCCACGGTCTTGCTCTTCCCTCCCTCTCTGACCTGCCGACCCCATTTAGACCTGTCCGCTCCCTCCGTGTCCCCCACCATCAGCTACCAGGCCTCCACCCTCTCCAACCCCACCCTTTGGAACTCCATCCCACAGTCCCTTCACCAAACCACCCTCCTTGGCTCTTTCAAGGTCCATCTCAAGATGTTCCTCTTCGACTGCACCTCCTACCGCTGCCCTCCACCCCTCCTGATCCCAACCCCCAGCTCGGGTCCAAATCCTTGGAAACTTTGCTTAAGGTTTCGATTGATCCGGGAATCGAATCCGGGTCCTCTTGCTTGCGAGGCGAGTGCTCTAACTACTACGCTGCAGGACTCCCATTTCTGACAAATCATTTCTTTTTGCGGCTCCTGGTTTACAACAATAATCGCTGCCTTTTCTTTCCCCTCAGATCGCATATGGTTGATTCTTCCTGTGATTGTAGTCGCGGTGCTGGTCATTATCTGTTGCTGTTACCAGAAATGGTGGTAAGTTTCCTCAGAATAACATGGGTGCAGGGAACAGTGTCTTAGAGAGAGGAAAGTCACCCCACCCTCCTGAGACCTACGTGCCAGAGAATTAACAACAACTTCTGTATATAAAGCTCTTTCACGTTGGGCTGGGTCTCGGAGCGCTTAATAGTGGGGGAGCCTGACACCGAGCCGGGGGGAGGGAGGAGGTGACCGTAAGCACGGTCGATGAGAAAGGTCTTCAGTCGTGATCTCAAAGAGTGGATGGAGGGATTGGGGGTGAGAGTTCTGAAGCTTCGGGGCGTAGTGTCTGAAAGTGCGGCCGCCGTTAGTGGAGTGGAGGGCACGAGGGATGAGCAGGAGGCAGCAGGTTGCAGAGGGGGGAGAAAGGAGGCCAGAGAGGTTGGGAGGCGCCAGAGCATGAGGGGATTTGCAGACGAGTGACATAAATTGTAGACACTAGAATTCATTCTGTTGTGTTAGTTTCGCCGGTTGGGAGATTTTAACTCCTGACTCTTTTTTTATAAACTAGGAAAACAACATTAAGAACAACTTGGAGTTCAATAGCGGCCTTCACACAGGGAAGCGACCCAGACAGCCCGGTGAAGGATGGAATCCTCCCCTCTGGCGCGTAGCTGTCATGGACGGTTGGACACAAAAGCACTTTACTGATCCCGATGCACAACATCAGAGAAATGACAGGACAGGACGGGAAGCCATTCACACAACACTAGAGCCACTCTGCCAATGCCACTAATCATTCCGGTGCTTTGTTACATTTACGTTCAGATGATGGTCATCCTTCATCCTTCTAGATTTGTCTCCTCCATCACACAGCATCAAATTTCCAGTAAGATTGACCTCTTTGTGCTGCTTCAGCTTCAGGCATTATTATTAATAATTATTATTATTATTAATTATTATTATTATTAATTTATTAATTATTAATTACCCTGTGAAGCACTTTGAGCCGTCTCAACAATGTGATAACACACCGTGTCAAATGCAAGGATTATTATTTTTGTGAAGCTATTTTCTGACCATTCTTGCAGTGTAAATAAACAGTATTTATCAATAAATATTTATTTCCGTTTAAAAAAAAAAGAGAAACCTGTGAATTTTCCTTACCCTTCTCTAACCCTGTGGAGACAACAGTGAACAGTTCCGCCGTCTGCTGGTATCTGCTACTGCGGTTACACAGTCGTCGTGTCTGCAATTATTCTCAGCCTGAGGGAGAGCCGTGACATGAACTGGCTCCAAGGTGACATGTTTGGCCCCGGAATGTGGGAATCGAGCCGGCCCTCTGGCAGGAGCCGAGGCTCGGGGCCCCCAGAGTGTGTGTTGGGGCAACTGCTGGAGCTTAACAATAACAACACGATTACATGTGCACGGCCTGCTTCGCGTTCCCCGCCTCGCTCGTCCCGCTATCAGCGGGCAGACCTTCCGCCACTCTGCCCTACCCTCTGGAATTCCATCCCGCAGTCCCTCCGCCTCGCCCCCCTTCGAGACCCATCTCAAGACCCTCCTCTTCAACTGTGCTTTCAATCTCCCTGCTTCCCCTCCCTGCCCTCCATCCTCCCCGACCCCCAGCTCTGTCCAGCAGCTTGGGACGTCCTCCCGACGTGAAAGGCGCTTTACACATATCATTTTGTTCTTGTTGCAAAGCGCCCTTCACGTCTGGAGGACGTCCCAAGGTGCTGGACAGACAGAGTTTCGGATCTGAGCTGGGGGTTTGGGATTGGGGAGAGGGGTGGGCAGGGCGATCGAAAGCGGTCGAAGAGCAGGACCTTGAGATGGATCTAGAAAGAGGCAAGGGAGAGGGTGAGGCCGAGTGATGCAGTTCCAGAGGGTGGGGACAGAATAGCAGAAGGCCAATGGTGGGGCAGGCGAGGCCGGGGCATGTGAAGCAGGCTGGAGCCCGCTGAGCGGAGGGAACGGGTAACATGGTAATTCTGGTGCTTTGTTATGTTTACACCCCTCGTTCAGATGCAGCCCATCCTTCCTCCTTCTAAACCTCCCACAGAAACAAGTAAAATTTTGGCCATGAGGGATTTGTAGATAAAACTGTAGACACTGGAATTAATTCTACTGTGTTAGCCTCACCCGTTGGGGAACGCGATTACACAAGGAGATTTTAACTCTGACTTTTTTTATAAATCAAGGAAATAAATGACAACAAGAACAACTCCAGTTCTATAGCGGTCTCTCCCAGGGTATCAACCCAGACAGCTCGGAGAAGGATGGAACCCCCTCCCCTTTTTAGTGTAAATAAATTAGTTTTTATTAATAGACATTTCTTCTGTTGCAATTATTCTCAACCCGAGGGAAAGCTGTGACACATGAACTGGCTCCAAGGTGACATGTTTGGTCCCGGGAATCGAGCCGGCCGTCTGGTAAGAGCCAAGGCTCGGGGGCCCCACAGCGAATTCAGCGAATTGAATAAGCAATTCGCTGCTTATTATTATTGTTGTTGTAATTATTGTCAATTGCTGACAATCATTACAGACACACGATGGGTTTAAATGCCATTCACATCCAAACAGATTAAAAACAATTGCAATTGCGCGCAGTACCAGTAGACGGCGCTGTAACCCTCGGCCGCTATAATGGTGGAGCAACGCCGCCATCTGGTGGCCGCTCGCGGTACTACAGCTAAAAAAAAAATTATTCACTGGTTCCCCACAGTGTTGGGTGGAGTTGAATATATTTAATCTTTCCTTTTTTTTTACATAACCAGAGAGTGAGTGGCAATGATAATGCAATCATTCGATTTGATTTGTGAGTGTACAACTCGTTCCATGTCCATAAAAATGATCATAAAAATGGGACGTCCTCCCGACGTGAAAAGCGCTATATCAAATGCAAGGATTATTATTATTATTATCTTAAAGGCCTTCAGAGACAAACGGAATCAGATCCAAAGCACAAGGCAGAGTGTCTCCTTCCAAAATGGGAAGGATGAGCAAACAACAACTTCAACGACAGCAGCAACAGCAACGGAATGCGTTTATATACAGCGCCTTTCACACCGGCCAACAAACCGTCTCCTAGAAAGTTAACTTCCACCTTCGCAACTTTCATTGTCAGCACTTCGGTTCGGAACTTGGAAGTCTATGTGTGTTGATATTTCTCACGTTCTTCTCTTGTTCCCTCCCTGGACTTTTGGAAATGACGAGAGCCCCAAGTTGCAAGATTTCTGAACAGATTTCTTTTTCCAGAAATATCTAATTATCCCGTTTCTGAAGCCGGGAGCACATTCGGTGTCGTAAAGGTTCGATAATTACAGTATGCGTTTGAAGAAATCCGTGAAGCAACATTGGTTAATTGGGGCCCAAATTTCTGTGGAAGTAGAACCTCCGAGAGCTCAGTTGACCATCGATGGCCTGGATTCTCACACAGACATCTGAACTGATCCGAAGTGCACAAATTTGGAAACGGCTAAAGAGCCGCGTTACTATGGATTACTACAGTCGGGGAGCGGCGGCAGGACAGCGCGGGGAGGACCTGGGCCGACTGACCCAGGTACTTAAACTCGACGCCGGAGCGAGATCAGCTCGGGGGGGGGGGGGGCGGTGTGGGGGCGGAGCGGAGGGAACTGCCTCCTCCCTCTCCTCCTTCAAGGCCGGTCTCAAAACCTTTCTCTTTGACCGCACCGAGCCTTCAGCTCCCCTCTCGACTCTCTTCCTCCCCCTCGCTCCCTCCCTTCCCTCCCCTCACCCTGACCATTTCCCCCCTCCTCGCTCCCTCCCTTCCCTCCCTCACCCTGACCATTTCCCCCTCCTCGCCCCCTCCCTTCCCTCCCCTCACCCTGACCACTTCCCCCCTCCTCGCTCCCTCTCTTCCCTCCCCTCACCCTGACCATTTCCCCCCTGTTCGGGTCATGACCCAACTGTGCAGCGCCTCGGGACGTCCTCCTGACGTGAAAGGCGCTTTATAAATGGAATCTTGTTGTTGTTGTTGTTGTTCAATGCCACCACGTGAATCGCCCGTTGGCCGATTGCGGTATTACAACCAAAGGTGAAGTTATATTAATTTGTTTCCCCCCATCGTCCCGTTGAGACGGAACCAATATATTTAAGATAATATTTAATTACAGCGTAATCTCTCCCCTTGAACTGGACACCTAATGCCTGAAACGCTCGTCCACGTTTCATTGCTTCAATGCTTCTTTTTTTTGGGGGGTAAACGCCGCAACGCGGCGCTGTCGAACAGCGACGATCAATGGTCTGTATTAGAGCTCAAAGAAAAAAAGTCATCTGTTTCCCCCTCAATAGACACTGTCTATTTATTTGAAGCTCATTGCGGCTTCTTTGACGGAACAGTCAATGACCGCACAACAGGGGAACGATTTTACTCTTTCCGTCCCAGTTTGGAGCTCGTCGCGCGCGTCCGGGAAAGTACTCCGAAAGGCGGCGTCCGCCGCCGCCGTTGCACCGGGAAACGCGACGCGGTTCGCGTTTTTTCGTCGAATCGGGAGCATCGGAGGACCCGCGGCGCGGAAGGAGGCCCTTCGGCCCCATCGTGTCCGCGCAACAGCGCCGGGTCGAAGAGAGAAAAAAGTTATCGACAGGAATAACACGCGGCAGGAATTGGGGCAGAGTGCTGCTGCTCGGAAAGCCAGGAGACGGTTCACCGGGGATGAAGTTACTGGGAATGAAGGGATGACACGAGACTTGCTAAGGCTCTCAACGTGACGAGCGAAAGTAGTCGGAGTTCTGAACCCGTCCTCCTACTGCTGCGCTGTTTCAGCTTCCACGCTCTACCCTCTCCCACCCCCGAGGACATAAGGCTCAGAGACACATACAAACTAGAGTCCCCCCCACCCCACACCCCCTCCGACACACAAACATAACACACACAGAACCTCTCGAAGGGCTTCAAACACGACCCGAGTCCTCTCGCCTGCGAGGCGAGCGCTCTGTGCTGCGCTGCGGATAATTTAACAAACTTTTTATCGTAATTCTGGAACTCCCTTCCTCTCTCCTTCCCCATTTCCAGGTCGCGTCTGATAACCTTCCTCTTCGACTGCTTATGGTCACATCCCCCCTTTCCCCGGCACCGAGCCGTGCTCCGCCACTGACAAGCGCTCCGAGACGCTGTCCTGCGTGAGGGACGCCATATAGGGACGTTTCGCCCACAATATACAGTCAATTCACGTTACAGTATATTCTGTGAAGTGCTTTGAGATGTCGAGAAGACGTGATAAGGCGCTGTATCAAATGCAAAGATTTTTATTGTTATTATAAAGACAAGTTGTTGTTGGGATAACAAAACATGTACACACATATCTCCCCAACACACCCCCTCCCACACACCCCACACCCCACACACACCATACACACATCACATCACCCCCCACACACCACACCCCCTCCAACACACACCACACCCCCCACACACCACAAACACCACACACACAGCTCAGCTGAGCTTTTACCAAATGTGTCATTTATTAAGTTGTCCGTTCAACAAAAAATTAGTTCAAATCAGAACAAAGTACAAATTACACAGTCACTACACTTTACATTATTTCCTGTGAAGCACTTTGAGACGTTTCAAGGATGTGACAAGACTCTGTACCAAATGTAAGGCTTATTATTATTGTTGTATCAGATACACGGATTTCTATTGTTATTATTAATTGTCCCTGTGTGTGTGTTTGGTCTCCGAGACGCCACTCGCACGTGAAGGGGGATACAGTTCTGGTTGTTGTTTGTCTCAACTCCTAACGGAGCACAGCGCAGAGCTTGTAAGGTGTCGGGGATGATGTGATTCCGACAATGGCCGTGAGGGGAAGGTCGGTCACTCCGGGCGGAGGCTGGAATCGGAATCTCTGCATCAGCGTCGAGAAGAAGAGAAAGAGTTCAGCTTTAGCCAGACTCTCGCCTGCGCAGGCCCTTCGCCCTGAGAAACACGACAGGGAGAGAAAGACAGTCATGTAGTCGCGATTACATTGTACTCGTGGTGTCCTGTAGGGCTGTGATTAGAGCAGTCGCCTCGCAAGCGAGAGCACACGGGTTCGATTCCCCCGCGGTGCCAAACCTTACTCCAAGTTTCCTTACTCCACACACACAGACACACACACACAGACATACACACACACACAGATACACACAGACTCACACACATAGACATACACACACAGACGCGCACACACAGACTCACACACACAGACATACACACAGACACACAAATACACAGACACACACATAGACTCACATACACATATACACAGACACACACACGGATACATATACAGATACACACACACACACAGACACACACACACACACACAGACACAGACACACACACAGACACACACACACACAGACACACACACACACACAGACACACACACACACAGACACACACAGACACACACACACACACAGACACACACACACACACAGACACACACACACAGACACACACACACAGACACACACACACAGACACACACACACAGACACACACACACACACGCCTCTATTTACGCAGCAGTAAGTAGGAACCCGGTTGCTAGTCAATTGCTGGATTATTTTTCTGGGGGTAATAATCGCTTTAAGACGTCTCGATGATGTGATAAGTCACTGTATGCAAGGATTATTATTATTATTGATAAAGATAAACATTGATCTCATTACCTGCAGAGAAAGGCATGAAAGCATCTCTCTTCCTGAACTTGCCCTCGACGTCGAGGAAGTGGGAGGGGTTGAATTCATTGGGTTTTTCCCACTGTGTTTTGTCATACAGCACTGAGGTCAGTAACGGGATCACACGGGTGCCCTGGAATCACAACGCACGTCAGAGCTTTGTAAATGTTCTATTAATCCATCTCGGACCACCCGAGCCCTGAGGGCTTGGACCTTGGCCAGGAGGGTCCCCGTTATTCCAGGGCACTCGCTGCTGTTGACAGCACAGCCCGGCCTGGCCCATCGGCAGGACCCGGAAGGGCCGACCAGTCACTGGGGGCAGGGAATCCTCCCCCTCAGCTCCTGTTAACCCTATTTATTCCCACAGTTATTTTTACTCAATTGTCGGCCTCACGCGGAAACCCATCACCGTTGCTTAAGAGCCTCCAAACGAAGATATAGATAGGCTCGGGGAGTGGGCGAGTAGGTGGCAGATGGTATTTAATATAGGGAAGTGTGAAGTTATTCACCTAGGCAGAAAAAATAGAAAAACAGATTATTTTCTAGAGGGGGAGAGATTAGATAGTGTTAGTGTTCAGAGGGATTTGGGTGTCCTTGTACACCAGTCTCAAAAAGTTAGTTTGCAGGTGCAGCAGTAACTAAGAAGGCGAACGGCAGTTAGCGTTCATTGCAAAAGTACAAGAGTAGGGAAGTCTCGCTGCAGCTGTATAGGGCTTTGGTGAGACCGCACCTGGAGTATTGTGTGAAGTTTTGGTCTCCTTATTTAAAAAAGGACATACTTGCCCTCGAGGGGGTGCAGCGTAGATTCACTCGGTTAGTTCCTGGGATGAGGGGACTGACCTATGAGGAGAGGCTGAATAAACTGGGGCTGTGTTCTCCAGAGTACAGAAGAATTAGGGGGATCTTATTGAAACATATAAGATTCTTAAAGGGCTGATAAAGTAGACACTGAGGGTCTGTTTCCCCTGGAAGGAGAATCTATAACCAGGGATCACAGTCTGAAAATTAAGGGTCAGCCTTTTAGAACAGAGTTGAGGAAATATTTCTTCACTCAGAGGGCAGTGACTTTATGGAATTCACTCCCCCAGAAGGCTGTAGATGCTCAGTCCTTGACATCTTCAAGGCTGAGACTGATAGATTTTTTAAAAATAGAGGGATTGGGGGATATGGGGATACGGCAGGTAATTAGAGTTAGGTCAGAAGATCAGCCATGAGCTTATCGAATGGCGGGGAAGGCTCGAGGGGCCAAATGGCCTTCTCCTGCTCCCAACTCTTATGTTCTTATTACCTTAGGTATAAAATATCCTCGGAAGTTTGTGTCGGCAGTTGTGGCGTGGGGAAGGTTCAATGGGACAATGTTTCCAAATCTCTGCGTTTCATGTATGACGGCGTCTGTGAAAGGCATTGCTTTACGGTCTTCCAGCCTCGGGTGACGGTCTGTCCCAATCACTTGATCGATTTCCTCATGGACTTTCTCTAAAGGAAAGAAACGCTGATCATGAGGGTATTTGTCAGCCTGGCTCCATCCGTGACCCTGAGCCAGAAGGTGGTGGGTTCAAGCCCCACGTCAGGGACTCAGACCTACTTTAGGACAATGATCTAATAATATTCTTTACGCTCGATTATAGCGCTTTATCACTCCGTCGAGACATCTCAAAGCGCTTCACACTGTAATCTGCAGTGACTGTATTTTGTGCGCTCTGAGACTCTATCCTGGGTGGAGGGCGCTTTACAAGTGAGAGTTGTTCTTGTTTGTGGCTGAAATGCGACAGCCAATTGCGCACACGGAGGAAAGCAATCTGCCAGTCGAGCTCCAACCGGGTTCCTACTTACTGCTGGAACAGAGGCGCGTGGAGTAAGGAAACTTGCCTCAGGTTTCACCGCCCGGGAATCGAACCCGGGTCCTCTCTCTTGCGAGACGAGTGCTCTAACCACTACGCTACAGGACTCCACAGTTAAGGGTGAGATTCAGTCATGGTCTGTATTACACAAGCAAATCTCAACAGGAGAACTAACATAACATAACATGTAGGAGCAGGAGTAGGCCATTCGGCCCTTCGAGCCTGTGCCCCGCCATTCAATCATGGCTGATCGTCTAACTCCAGCTAATAACCTGACGCTGCCTTATCCCCATATCCCTTAGTCCCTTTAGCAATAAGAAATCTATCTATCTCAGTCTTGAATATGTTCAAGGACTGAGCGTCAACAGCCCTTTGGGGTAGTGAGTTCCATACATTCACTGCCCTTTGAGTGAAGAAGTTCTTCCTCAACTCAGTGCAAAAGGGCTGCCTCTGATTTTAAGGTTGTGACATCTGGTTTTAGTTTCTCCAACCGGGGGAAACAATCTCCCACTCTCTACTCTATCATGCTCTTTGATGACGTTATAGGTTTCTAGAGAATATAGGCCCAAATAGGTCAGCCTATCCTCGTAACTCATCCCCTTCATCCCTGGTGTAACCTAGTAAATCTACGTTGCACGCCCTCCAAGGCAAGTACATCCTTCCTTAAATGAGGAGACCAAAACTGGACACAGTATTCCAGGGCCCTATACAGTTGCAGCAAGACTTCCCTACTCTTATACTCTAATCCTTTCATAATAAACTCTTCTGGTATTTGTTAGTTCAACGAGTAACTGACAACAACGGAAATCTTACGTTGAAAGTCGGGGAATTTCATCATCAGCAGAATAGCCCACCGGAGTGTGGTTGAGGTCGTCTCCATTCCAGCGACAAACAGATCGTTTGTTGTGATCACCAGATTCTCCTCATGAAAATAGGTCTTTGGGTTTCCCGATTCCTGAGAAACAAATGCAGTCAAACTCGCATAAGTCTTTATATGTCGTTCAGCCATCCACGCCTCGCTCCTTCCTAACTCTATGACCCGCTAACCAACTCCATATCAACCTGTCCGCTCCCTCCGCTCGGCGGCTCCGGCACTGCTCCAAATCCATGACTATTCCAGCGCCTAGGGACGCCTTCCCAACATGAAAGGTACCGTGTAAATGTAACTTATTATTGTAATAATTCCCCCAACCTAAAAAAACCCTCCAAAAACATGACTGTTTATGGAACACTGCTGTGCATTATTGGCTGCTGCGTTTCGCCCACAAATTACAGTCACTACACTTTACAGTATATCCTGTGAAGCGCTTTGAGACGTCTCAATGACATGATAAGGTGCGATATCAAATGCAAGGATTACTATTACTATTACTATTACTATTATTATTATTATTATTATTTACTTCCTGTTGCTTGACCATGAAGGCTTGAATGAAACTGCGAACGGAATCTATATTCAGATCCTGTCTGTTCTCCTTCAGTATTTTCCTCAAGAAGGTTCGGACGATCGTGGCATTGGACAGAAAGGTCTTATGTTTGCCCGGCAGAAAATCCAGGAACGGAAACACGAAATTGATCAGCTGAGAAGAGAGAAAGGACGAAAGAGTAAACAGGAGCTCATTTCCCTCCGGTGGTATCCCAGAGCCCCTCCGCCTCACCCTCTCCTGTGCCTTCTTCAAGATCTTCCTCTTCGACCACCTCTTCGGTCACACTCCCACCACATTGTTTCTTTGAAGGGATTATTAACTCCGGAAAACGAACCGCCAGCCGAACTGACTGCTAGGTAACAGAGGCGTGTGGAGTAGGAAAACTTCCTAAGGTTTCTTCCTGCTCAGGTGTCTATCCTGGGTCCTCTCGCTTGCGAGGCGAGTGAGATAACCAGAACTCCACAAGTGAGCGGGTTGAGCGGGCTAACCTTCAGCAGTTACCCCATCCCAGCAATACACACTCTGACGCAGAGAGCGTTACCTGCACTGTTGGACTGATTGCCAGCCTAATGTTTTCATTGATGATCCGTATAAGATTGACAAACGTCTGATCATCATAATTAAACCTGTTGCCCAGTAGGATAGAGCAGATGACATTGGCCACAGCACCATTTGTCAGAATCGTGGTTTCAAAGGGCTGACCTAAAAAACAACACAGCGATCACCCAAATGATACAATAATCCTTGTATCTCATGTCGTGTTTTATCACTGGTGGAGTCTAGTGGTGAGTTTCATTCATCTCAGAAACTCGGGTGTAAAATATTACTAATAATAATTATCCTTTCATTTGATACAGCGCCTTATCGCGTCTTTTTTTTTCCTTTTCAAGTACATATCCAATTGCCTTTTGAAATCTACCCCAACAACTCTCCGGTGAAAAAGATTCTCCTCACCTGCCCTCTGGTTCTTTTGCCAATTACCTTAAATCTGTGACCTCTGAATAGTTCAGTCACTCAATTCGCGACTGTTTGTGGGATACTGCTGTACGCAATGGGCTGCCGTGAATCATACAGTACAGAAGGAGCCCATCACCTTTATAAGACTGGAACACGTCACTTAAGTGAGACGCTTCCTCTATGATTTTATCTTCGACAGATTTCTTCCCCATCCCGAAATCCCGGAGGGTTGATAATGTAAATCGTCGCATCTGCTTCCAGGATTCGCCGTCAGCCAGAATAACACCTTAAAGAGAATCCGGAGAAAGGTTTTACTCCACAACGAAAAGCATAAGAGTAGTAACATTAACGGACGGAGTCCTGTAGCTCGGTGGTGAGAGCACTCGCCTCACAAGCGAGCGACCTGGGTGCTATTCCCGGTCAGGGCCAAACGTTGGGCAAGTTTCCTTACTCCACACACACGTCTCCGTTCACCTGGCAGTAACTAGGAACCTGGTGGTTGGGCGATTGACGGATCGCTTTTCCAGGGGAAATCATTGCTTCAGGAAAAAGATAAGTAACAATAAATTGGTCACTCAATCCACGGCTGTTTGAGGGAAACAGAGTAAACAGAGGCACGTGTGTGTGTGTGTGTGTGCGCGTGTGTGTGGAGTAAGGAAATGTGCCCAACAATCACTACACTGCTGTGAGAAATTGGCCGCCACGTTTCACCCACAAAACGCACAGCTACTACACTTTGCAGTACATTCCGTGAAGCGCTTTGAGACGTCTCGAAGACCTGTTAAGGCGCTATATCAAATGCAAGGATTATTATTATTATTATGGCCCCTTCTCACATCATTGGGACGTTTCAAAACGCTTCACATGATACACTGTGAAGTGTAGAGACTGTGTGTTTGGTGAGCAAAACCCAGCGGCCAATTGCACACAGTAGTGCTCCACAAACAGCCGTGGATTTAGTGACCAATTTATTATTTTTCTAAGGAATTATTACCCCGGTTGTTGTCCATCGAACAACTGGGTGTCAATTTACTGCTCAGTAAACAGAGGCGTACGGAGTAAGGAAACTTGCCTACGGTTTCGCCCTGACCGAGAATCAAACCCCTGTCCCCTCGCTTGCGGGGCGAGCACGCTAACCACTATGCTACAGGACTCCAAAATAATAATAATAACAAGAATAGTAGGTGGAGTCCCATATCGAATGTAGGAACATAATATAAATATAACAATTGCACACGCAGCAGTGTCCCACAATTTATATTATAATAGTGTAATATAAATATAACAATATAATATAATAATAGCAATGTAATATAACAATACAATGTAAATATAATAAATGAAGATAAATATAACCTAATGCAATAGGGAAGAGGAATTACCGTGGTTTTTCCTGTGGATGCTGTTGACGTGGTCATGCGGACGTCCCATAAATTCCTCGGCATGGTTGACCAGTGCGTCCTTCACCACCTCGTAACCCGTCAGCACCACCGTGTCCTGCTGACCCAACCGCAGGGAAAATATACAGCCATGTTTCTCCGACAACTGGAGGGAGAGACCAGTATAAGATAAAATGTAAAGTGCAGTGACTGTGTGTTTTACAGCCACGCGGGGCAAACATTAGGCAAGTTTCCTTACTCCACGCGCCTCTGTTTACCCGGCAGTAATTAGGAACCCGGTTGTTACGTCGATTGGCGGATCACTTTCTGGGGGGAACATTCCCTCTAAAATAATGTGGTCACTCAATGTTTGCGGGACACTGCTGCGCGCAATTGGCAGCTGCTAATGCATTTGAGACAGCGCCTTATCACGTCGTTGAGACGTCTCAAAGCGCTTCACAGAATATATTGTAAAGTGGAGTGTTCTGTGTATGACGGTGTATTCTGTGGTGTATTCAATGTTCATATATTGATGTATTCCACATATTCACATTTTCGGTTTAACGTTTTCTCTGAAGGAGAAACGAGGCTCCTCTGGAGGAGGGTCAGCTTAGGCTACATGAGCTCAAAGTCCTGCATCCTTCGAACTCATACAGTCTTCAACCACAAGCTTCTGACTTAGGTTGAGAGGCCAAGCTGAGCCCGAGAGACTCACAACTTCATGTCAACACGATCAGATCAACAGAGGAACTCCCCAGGTGCGGTTCCAGAGATCAGGAACACCGGGGTACCCATGGTTGGTGGATCAGGGGAGAGCGATGAAGCAGCCTGGTTTAAAGGGAACAAAAGTCTTTGGGAACACTCAGCAGGTAAGGCAGCATCTATGGAGAAAGGAAAGTGAGTCAGGAGAAAGGAAAGACCCGTTGTCAGGACTGGAGGCACGTTGAGAGTTGCCAAACAAAGTGGGGGAAGGTGAGCTGTTAAGGTCTGAAATTGTTGAAATCAATATGGAGGCCAGAGGGCTGGAAGGTCCCTGGCAGATAAGTCAGGTGCTGTTCCTTGAGCTGTGGCTCATTGGAACAGCGCAGGAAGGAGACCGTGGATGGAGAGGTCAGAGCGCGAGTGGGAGGGAGAGTTGAAGTGGCAAGAAACCGGAAGCTCAGGGCTGTGCTCACGGACAGAACGGAGGTGATCGGCAAATCGGTCGCCCCATCCGCGTTTGGGACACGCGTGTAGAGGAGATCACATCGTGAGCAGCGAATGCAGTAAACTACATCGGTGGCAGCACATGTAAGTCACTGTCTCACTTGAACACTGTGTTCGGGGACCTGGACAGTGGGAATGGGAGGAGGAGGTGAAAGGGCAGGTACTGCGTCTCCTGCGTTGGCTCACAAAATACTTCCAGCATTTGTGTTTTGACAAAGTATAACGATTGTGCTGGGATTCCTAAAAATAAGCCAATATTACTTATTCTTAATTTTGATTCAAAATAAATCAGGATTAACCAAACGTTATCCCTGTGACTTTGCACATGTGTTCTGTAAGAAACAAAAAAACAAATGGACAAACCAACTGAACCAGAGTCAAAACAGAGTCAAAATCTGAAGTTAATAAGTAAAATGTACTCAATCCTCATAGTGCGGTGGAGAGGGTGGGGGGGGGGGGGGGGCAGGTGGAGAGACAGCTTTCACAACGAGCAGAGTTTGACCCTTAGGACATCACAAAAAAACAACTTCAAAATGAAGTCCGCGCGCAAGAATCTGCCGAATTTTCCAGGTGGAATTTTATCCCCAGTTATTGTCTGGTTTAGGAGGTGTGAGGGGGGCAATATTTTCCTATTCTTGATGGTTAATCCCATGACTGCCTTTCAGTGGGTATTAATCTGAGATCTTTTCTTGTGCAACTGCAGGAACATAGCACTTTTTCATCATTTTTCAAGAAAACCATCCAGACATCCACAAAGTGAATGAGGGGCTGAGAGATACCGAGGGGGAGAGATTCAGTTTTGTCATTGCTCTGCACATTACGAGTGATGCCGTTAAAGGGCGACAATCGGCTAACGACCGTGTTCCTACTTCCTACGAGGCAAATAGGAGGCATTATTAAAAACGTTCACCATTTACTGTGCACTACATACGGTTCTGATTACAAAAATATTCAAATCATAAAGCAACAAACTGTGAACTACGTAAGGAAAGGGACAGTTCTTGGCATTTAATGATAATAACCACTGAGATGTCCCAAAGCGCTTCGCAGAATATACTGTAAAGTGTGGTGAGTGTTTACTTTGTGGGGGAAACGCGGCAGCCAATTGTGCACAGCGGTGACCCTCAAACAGGAGTGGATTGAAGTGATCAAATGATTACTTTATTTGGAAAGCGATTGGCAATCGACTAACTACGGGGCTGCTTCTCACTGTTGGATAAACAGAGGCGTGTGTGTGTGGGGGTGGGGGGGATGTGTGTGTGTCTGTGTGTGTCTGTGGGGTGTGTGTGGTGGTTGGGGGGGGGGTTTGTGTCTGTGTGCGGAGAAAGCAAAAATGTCTAAGGTGTCTCCCCGCCCGGGAATGGACACCCGGGGTCCTCTGGCTTGCGAGTCGAGGGCTCTAACCCCCCCCCCCCCACTCACCTGCATCAAGGATTCGTGGAGACGGCTCAGTTTGACCTGGTGCAGGTTGCCGATGATGGGCAGGCCTGCCGGGCCAGCGGGGAAGCGGGGGTCAGTTTTACGCCCGGACGCCAGGAAGAGGAGAAGAACCATAACCAGAGAGCAGAGCAACAGGGCAGTCGTGAGGTCAACAGCGGGCAAAGCCAAAGCCAGCAGAGCCATGGTGGGCGAGCAGGGAATGGGAGCTCAACTCAGCCCGACAGCATCTACCCTCACTCCCTCGCTCTCTCTATCCCTCCTCCCTTCCTCTCTCGCTCTATCCCTCCTCCCTCTCTCTCTGTCCCTCCTCACTTCCACTTATAAGGACACAATCACATGACAACATTCACTCCCTCTGCCCTTGACACACACCGCCAAACAGCTAACGCAGCATTTCTAAAGCCGGGAGGGTCCGATGGCAAAGACAATTGACAAAATACAACTTGTAATCGCACAGTGCCGTTCAGACAGAGCAATAATTATTATGTAATAAATGCAAGGATTATTATTATCATTATTATTACGGTTGTGTTCTCAAGTAGGGCACCAAACAGTGACCTGATATTCCCTTTTGTGCAATAGAATTTACAGCATTTGTCTCAGATTTCGCCTCTGGCACGCAAGACTGAACTGCGATGATTTACAAGTCGGTCATGTATTATAATAGCCTCTCACCTAATTACATGTGGTAAGGCAAGTGGTCAAATGACGCAGCTACGGGACTCCACTGTAAAGTGTTCTGATGGTGTTTTGTAGGTGAGAGTGCAACCTTCTACCTTTATGGCTTTCTCGAAACTTTGACCGACATTTGAGAGCTTGAGTGTACAGTTATTTGCTGTGCCCATAATAATGCAATCAATAAAGATGTGCGTGGAAGTGGTTGACCTGTGAATGAATTATGGGCACAGTTTTGAGACGTCTCACCGACAGGATGAGTCTCCTCGCCGGCCTTCCCGGCACCTCCCTCCACAAGCTGCAGGTCATTCAGAACTCTGCAGCTCGTGTACTGTCCCGCACCAGGCTTCGGGACCACATCACTCCCACCCTCGCTCGCCTCCACTGGCTCCCCATCCCCCAGAGGGTCGAATTCAAGATCCTCATCCTCACCTACAAGGCCATTCACGGCCTCGCTCCCTCCTACCTCTCCGACCTACTATCGGCCCACATACCCGCCCATACCCTCCGTTCCTCCGGCTCCGGTCTGCTCCACATCCCCCGCCCCAACCGCCCTACCATCGGTGGCCGGGCCTTCAGCCTCTCAGCCCCGAGGCTCTGGAATTCCATCCCCCAGTGCCTTCGTCGCTTCCTCCATTTCCTCCTTCAAAACCAGTCTCAAGACCTTCCTCTTCGACCGTGCCTTCAGCTCCCCTCTCGACTCTCTACCCCCTCCTCGCTCCCTCCCTTCCCTCCCCTCACCCTGACCCTTCTCAGGTCCTGACCCAAACGTCCCGACGTGAAAGGCACTCTATAAATATAATGTTGTTGTTGTTGAAGCGCTATATCAAATGCAAGGATTATTATTATTATTACAGCAAATTCTGTCAAATCACTTTGAGCCGTGAAAAGGCACTGCATCAAAGGCAAGGATAAGAACATTTGCAGCCGAAAGACCAAGGTCCATCCAGTTCACCTTCCACCATCCTGGCAATCACATGCACAAGTCATGTCACAAACTATATCCTGTATCCCAAGATATTATTCCCTAAATCATTTTTTTTCCATCAACGGGGTGTCTGACCCACGCGGAAACCCATCACCGTGCGTTAAGAGTCTCCAAACCAAGCTGAGAATTTCATGCATCCCATCTCCACATGGAAATCACGGCGATCACAAGAACAACAATAAAATTACATTTGTATACACCTTTCACGTTGGGAGGACCAGTGCTTTGGGACGTCCTCCCGACGTGAAAGGCGCTCTATGAATGTAATTGTGTTGTTTGTCGTTGTTGAGGACGTCAGTGTTGGACGGTCGGTGTTTCAGACCCGAGCTGGGGGTCGGGATTGGAGAGGCAGGGGTTGAAGCAGGGTGAGGTAGAGGAGAAACCATTTGTGGAGTTTAGGCAATAAACCCTTTAAAAAATTTGGACACTCACTCAATCCACGACTGTTTGTGGGACATTGCTCTGTGCGATTGGTCGCCCACAAAATACACAGTCGATCCACTTGACACTATATTCTGTGAAGCAATTTGAGACACACTAAACACACTGCACACACATATCACACACACCACACACACACACACACTAAACACACTGCACACACGTATCACACACACCACACACACACACTAAACACACTGCACACACGTATGTCACACACACACACAAACTAAACACACTTCACACACATATTACACACACACACATACATCACACACACAGCCCAGCTGATTTTTTACCAAATGTGTCATTTATTAAATTGTCCGTTCAATACAAAATTAGTTCAAATCAGAACTAAATAGAAAATGCACAGTCACTACACTTTACATTATATCCTGTGAAGCACTCTGAGAGTCTCAATCATGTGACAAGACTCTGTACCAAATGTAAGGCTTATTATTATTGTTGTATCAGATACACGGATTTCTATTATTATTATTAATTGTCCCTGTGTGTGTGTTTGGTCTCCGAGACGCCACTCGCACGTGAAGGGGGATACAGTTCTGGTTGTTGTTTGTCTCAACTCCTAACGGAGCACAGCGCAGAGCTTGTAAGGTGTCGGGGATGATGTGATTCCGACAATGGCCGTGAGGGGAAGGTCGGTCACTCCGGGCGGAGGCTGGAATCGGAATCTCTGCATCAGCGTCGAGAAGAAGAGAAAGAGTTCAGCTTTAGCCAGACTCTCGCCTGCGCAGGCCCTTCGCCCTGAGAAACACGACAGGGAGAGAAAGACAGTCATGTAGTCGCGATTACATTGTACTCGTGGTGTCCTGTAGGGCTGTGATTAGAGCAGTCGCCTCGCAAGCGAGAGCACACGGGTTCGATTCCCCCGCGGTGCCAAACCTTACTCCAAGTTTCCTTACTCCACACACACAGACACACACACACAGACATACACACACACACAGATACACACAGACTCACACACACAGACATACACACACAGACGCGCACACACAGACTCACACACACAGACATACACACAGACACACAAATACACAGACACACACATAGACTCACACACACATATACACAGACACACACACGGATACATATACAGATACACACACACACACAGACACACACACACACACACAGACACAGACACACACGCAGACACACACACACACAGACACACACACACACACAGACACACACACACACACAGACACACACACAGACACACACACACACACACGCCTCTATTTACGCAGCAGTAAGTAGGAACCCGGTTGCTAGTCAATTGCTGGATTATTTTTCTGGGGGTAATAATCGCTTTAAGACGTCTCGATGATGTGATAAGTCACTGTATGCAAGGATTATTATTATTATTGATAAAGATAAACATTGATCTCATTACCTGCAGAGAAAGGCATGAAAGCATCTCTCTTCCTGAACTTGCCCTCGACGTCGAGGAAGTGGGAGGGGTTGAATTCATTGGGTTTTTCCCACTGTGTTTTGTCATACAGCACTGAGGTCAGTAACGGGATCACACGGGTGCCCTGGAATCACAACGCACGTCAGAGCTTTGTAAATGTTCTATTAATCCATCTCGGACCACCCGAGCCCTGAGGGCTTGGACCTTGGCCAGGAGGGTCCCCGTTATTCCAGGGCACTCGCTGCTGTTGACAGCACAGCCCGGCCTGGCCCATCGGCAGGACCCGGAAGGGCCGATCAGTCATTGGGGGCAGGGAATCCTCCCCCTCAGCTCCTGTTAACCCTATTTATTCCCACAGTTATTTTTACTCAATTGTCGGCCTCACGCGGAAACCCATCACCGTTGCTTAAGAGCCTCCAAACGAAGATATAGATAGGCGAGGGGAGTGGGCGAGTAGGTGGCAGATGGTATTTAATGTGGGCAAGTGTGAAGTTATTCACCTAGGCAGAAAAAATAGAAAAACATATTATTTTCTAGAGGGGGAGAGATTAGATAGTGTTAGTGTTCAGAGGGATTTGGGTGTCCTTGTACACCAGTCTCAAAAAGTTAGTTTGCAGGTGCAGCAGTAACTAAGAAGGCGAACGGCAGTTAGCGTTCATTGCAAAAGGTTTAGAGTACAAGAGTAGGGAAGTCTCGCTGCAACTGTATAGGGCTTTGGTGAGACCGCACCTGGAGTATGGTGTGAAGTTTTGGTCTCCTTATTTAAAAAAGGACATACTTGCCCCAGAGGGGGTGCAGCGTAGATTCACTCGGTTAGTTCCTGGGATGAGGGGACTGACCTATGAGGAGAGGCTGAATAAACTGGGGCTGTGTTCTCCAGAGTACAGAAGAATTAGGGGAGATCTTATTGAAACATATAAGATTCTTAAAGGGCTGATAAAGTAGACACTGAGGGTCTGTTTCCCCTGGAAGGAGAATCTATAACAGTCTGAAAATTAAGGGTCAGCCTTTTAGAACAGAGTTGAGGAAATATTTCTTCACTCAGAGGGCAGTGACTTTATGGAATTCACTCCCCCAGAAGGCTGTAGATGCTCAGTCCTTGAACATCTTCAAGGCTGAGACTGATAGATTTTTAAAAAATAGAGGGATTGGGGGATATGGGGATACGGCGGGTAATTAGAGTTAGGTCAGAAGATCAGCCATGAGCTTATCGAATGGCGGGGAAGGCTCGAGGGGCCAAATGGCCTTCTCCTGCTCCTAACTCTTATGTTCTTATTACCTTAGGTATAAAATATCCTCGGAAGTTTGTGTCGGCAGTTGTGGCGTGGGGAAGGTTCAATGGGACAATGTTTCCAAATCTCTGCGTTTCATGTATGACGGCGTCTGTGAAAGGCATTGCTTTACGGTCTTCCAGCCTCGGGTGACGGTCTGTCCCAATCACTTGATCGATTTCCTCATGGACTTTCTCTAAAGGAAAGAAACGTGGATCACGAGGGTATTTGTCAGCCTCCATCCGTGACCCTGAGCCAGAAGGTGGTGGGTTCAAGCCCCACGTCAGGGACTCAGACCTACTTTAGGACAATGATCTAATAATATTCTTTACGCTCGATTATAGCGCTTTATCACTCCGTCGAGACATCTCAAAGCGCTTCACACTGTAATCTGCAGTGACTGTGTATTTTGTGCGCTCTGAGACTCTATCCTGGGTGGAGGGCGCTTTACAAGTGAGAGTTGTTCTTGTTTGTGGCTGAAATGCGACAGCCAATTGCACACACGGAGGAAAGCAATCTGCCAGTCGAGCTCCAACCGGGTTCCTACTTACTGCTGGAACAGAGGCGCGTGGAGTAAGGAAACTTGCCTCAGGTTTCACCGCCCGGGAATCGAACCCGGGTCCTCTCTCTTGCGAGACGAGTGCTCTAACCACTACGCTACAGGACTCCACAGTTAAGGGTGAGATTCAGTCATGGTCTGTATTACACAAGCAAATCTCAACAGAAGAACTAACATAACATAACATGTAGGAGCAGGAGTAGGCCATTCGGCCCTTCGAGCCTGGCCCGCCATTCAATCATGGCTGATCGTCTAACTCCAGCTAATAACCTGACACTGCCTTATCTCCATATCCCTTAGTCCCTTTAGCAATAAGAAATCTATCTATCTCAGTCTTGAATATGTTCAAGGACTGAGCGTCAACAGCCCTTTGGGGTAGTGAGTTCCATACATTCACTGCCCTTTGAGTGAAGAAGTTCTTCCTCAACTCATTGCAAAAGGGCTGCCTCTGATTTTAAAGTTGTGACCCCTGGTTTTAGTTTCTCCAACCGGGGGAAACAATCTCCCACTCTCTACTCTGTCATGCCCTTTGATGACGTTATAGGTTTCTAGAGAATATAGGCCCAAATAGGTCAGCCTATCCTCGTAACTCATCCCCTTCATCCCTGGTGTAACCTAGTAAATCTACGTTGCACGCCCTCCAAGGCAAGTACATCCTTCCTTAAATGAGGAGACCAAAACTGGACACAGTATTCCAGGGCCCTATACAGTTGCAGCAAGACTTCCCTACTCTTATACTCTAATCCTTTCATAATAAACTCTTCTGGTATTTGTTAATTCAACGAGTAACTGACAACAACGGAAATCTTACGTTGAAAGTCGGGGAATTTCATCATCAGCAGAATAGCCCACCGGAGTGTGGTTGAGGTCGTCTCCATTCCAGCGACAAACAGATCGTTTGTTGTGATCACCAGATTCTCCTCATGAAAATAGGTCTTTGGGTTTCCCGATTCCTGAGAAACAAATGCAGTCAAACTCGCATAAGTCTTTATATGTCGTTCAGCCATCCACACCTCGCTCCTTCCTAACTCTATGACCCGCTAACCAACTCCATATCAACCTGTCCGCTCCCTCCGCTCAGCGGCTCCGGCACTGCTCCAAATCCATGACTATTCCAGCGCCTAGGGACGCCCTCCCAACATGAAAGGTACCGTGTAAATGTAACTTATTATTGTAATAATTCTCCCAACCAAAAAAAACCCTCCAAAAACATGACTGTTTATGGAACACTGCTGTGCATTATTGGCTGCTGCGTTTCGCCCACAAATTACACAGTCACTACACTTTACAGTATATCCTGTGAAGCGCTTTGAGACGTCCCAATGACATGATAAGGTGCGATATCAAATGCAAGGATTACTATTATTATTATTATTATTATTATTTACTTCCTGTTGCTTGACCATGAAGGCTTGAATGAAACTGCGAACGGAATCTATATTCAGATCCTGTCTGTTCTCCTTCAGTATTTTCCTCAAGAAGGTTCGGACGATCGTGGCATTGGACAGAAAGGTCTTATGTTTGCCCGGCAGAAAATCCAGGAACGGAAACACGAAATTGATCAGCTGAGAAGAGAGAAAGGACGAAAGAGTAAACAGGAGCTCATTTCCCTCCGGTGGTATCCCAGAGCCCCTCCGCCTCACCCTCTCCTGTGCCTTCTTCAAGATCTTCCTCTTCGACCACCTCTTCGGTCACACTCCCACCACATTGTTTCTTTGAAGGGATTATTAACTCCGGAAAACGAACCGCCAGCCGAACTGACTGCTAGGTAACAGAGGCGTGTGGAGTAGGAAAACTTCCCTAAGGTTTCTTCCTGCTCAGGTGTCTATCCTGGGTCCTCTCGCTTGCGAGGCGAGTGAGATAACCAGAACTCCACAAGTGAGCGGGTTGAGCGGGCTAACCTTCAGCAGTTACCCCATCCCAGCAATACACACTCTGACGCAGAGAGCGTTACCTGCACTGTTGGACTGATTGCCAGCCTAATGTTTTCATTGATGATCCGTATAAGATTGACAAACGTCTGATCATCATAATTAAACCTGTTGCCCAGTAGGATAGAGCAGATGACATTGGCCACAGCACCATTTGTCAGAATCGTGGTTTCAAAGGGCTGACCTAAAAAACAACACAGCGATCACCCAAATGATACAATATTCCTTGTATCTCATGTCGTGTTTTATCACTGGTGGAGTCTAGTGGTGAGTTTGATCCATCTCAGAAACTCGGGTGTAAAATATTAATAATAATAATTATCCTTTCATTTGATACAGCGCCTTATCGCGTCTTTTTTTTTCCTTTTCAAGTACATATCCAATTGCCTTTTGAAATCCACCCCAACAACTCTCCGGTGAAAAAGATTCTCCTCACCTGCCCTCTGGTTCTTTTGCCAATTACCTTAAATCTGTGACCTCTGGTTACCGACCCACCCGCCAGAGGAAACAGCTTCTCCCTATTTACTCTGTCAAAACCTCTCCCAATTTTTAACAGCTCTATTAAATCTCCTCACAACCATCTCTGCTCTAAGGAGAACAATTCCAGCCTCTCTCGTCTCTCCAAATAACTGAAGTCCTTTAACTGGCAGTAAGTAGGAACCTGGGTGTTGGTCGATTGGTAGATCCCTTTTTTGGCCATAATAATAATAATCCCTTCAATTTGTTTTTAAAAATGAATAGTTCAGTCACTCAATTCGCGACTGTTTGTGGGATACTGCTGTAGGCAATTGGCTGCCGTGAATCATACAGTACAGAAGGAGCCCATCACCTTTATAAGACTGGAACACGTCACTTAAGTGAGACGCTTCCTCTATGATTTTATCTTCGACAGATTTCTTCCCCATCCCGAAATCCCGGAGGGTTGATAATGTAAATCGTCGCATCTGTTTCCAGGATTCGCCGTCAGCCAGAATAACACCTTAAAGAGAATCCGGAGAAAGGTTTTACTCCACAACGAAAAGCATAAGAGAAGTAACATTAACGGACGGAGTCCTGTAGCTCGGTGGTGAGAGCACTCGCCTCACAAGCGAGCGACCTGGGTGCTATTCCCGGTCAGGGCCAAACGTTGGGCAAGTTTCCTTACTCCACACACACGTCTCTGTTCACTTACTGCCGTAAGTAGGAACCTGGTGGTTGGGCGATTGACGGATCGCTTTTCCAAGGGTAATCATTGCTTCAGGAAAAAAATAAGTAACAATAAATTGGTCACTCAATCCACGGCTGTTTGAGGGAAACAGAGTAAACAGAGGCACGTGTGTGTGTGTGTGTGTGTGTGCGCGTGTGTGTGGAGTAAGGAAATGTGCCCAACAATCACTACACTGCTGTGAGAAATTGGCCGCCACGTTTCACCCACAAAACGCACAGCTACTACACTTTGCAGTACATTCCGTGAAGCGCTTTGAGACGTCTCGAAGACCTGTTAAGGCGCTATATCAAATGCAAGGATTATTATTATTATTATGGCCCCTTCTCACATCATTGGGACGTTTCAAAGCGCTTCACATGATACACTGTGAAGTGTAGAGACTGTGTGTTTGGTGAGCAAAACCCAGCGGCCAATTGCACACAGTAGTGCTCCACAAACAGCCGTGGATTTAGTGACCAATTTATTATTTTTCTAAGGAATTATTACCCCGGTTGTTGTCCATCGAACAACTGGGTGTCAATTTACTGCTCAGTAAACAGAGGCGTACGGAGTAAGGAAACTTGCCTACGGTTTCGCCCTGACCGAGAATCAAACCCCTGTCCCCTCGCTTGCGGGGCGAGCACGCTAACCACTATGCTACAGGACTCCAAAATAATAATAATAACAAGAATAGTAGGTGGAGTCCCATATCGAATGTAGGAACATAATATAAATATAACAATTGCACACGCAGCAGTGTCCCACAATTTATATTATAATAGTGTAATATAAATATAACAACATAATATAATAATAGCAATGTAATATAACAATACAATGTAAATATAATAAATGAAGATAAATAACCTAATGCAATAGGGAAGAGGAATTACCGTGGTTTTTCCTGTGGATGCTGTTGACGTGGTCATGCGGACGTCCCATAAATTCCTCGGCATGGTTGACCAGTGCGTCCTTCACCACCTCGTAACCCGTCAGCACCACCGTGTCCTGCTGACCCAACCGCAGGGAAAATATACAGCCATGTTTCTCCGACAACTGGAGGGAGAGACCAGTATAAGATAAAATGTAAAGTGCAGTGACTGTGTGTTTTACAGCCACGCGGGGCAAACATTAGGCAAGTTTCCTTACTCCACGCGCCTCTGTTTACCCGGCAGTAATTAGGAACCCGGTTGTTACGTCGATTGGCGGATCACTTTCTGGGGGGAACATTCCCTCTAAAATAATGTGGTCACTCAATGTTTGCGGGACACTGCTGCGCGCAATTGGCAGCTGCTAATGCATTTGAGACAGCGCCTTATCACGTCGTTGAGACGTCTCAAAGCGCTTCACAGAATATATTGTAAAGTGGAGTGTTCTGTGTATGACGGTGTATTCTGTGGTGTATTCAATGTTCATATATTGATGTATTCCACATATTCACATTTTCGGTTTAACGTTTTCTCTGAAGGAGAAACGAGGCTCCTCTGGAGGAGGCTCAGCTTAGGCTACATGAGCTCAAAGTCCTGCATCCTTCGAACTCATACAGTCTTTAACTACAAGCTTCTGACTTAGGCTGAGAGGCCAAGCTGAGCCCGAGAGACTCACAACTTCATGTCAACACGATCAGATCAACAGAGGAACTCCCAGGTGCGGTTCCAGAGATCAGGAACACCGGGGTACCCATGGTTGGTGGATCAGGGGAGAGCGATGAAGCAGCCTGGTTTAAAGGGAACAAAAGTCTTTGGGAACACTCAGCAGGTAAGGCAGCATCTATGGAGAAAGGAAAGTGAGTCAGGAGAAAGGAAAGACCCGTTGTCAGGACTGGAGGCACGTTGAGAGTTGCCAAACAAGTGGGGGAAGGTGAGCTGTTAAGGTCTGAAATTGTTGAAATCAATATGGAGGCCAGAGGGCTGGAAGGTCCCTGGCAGATAAGTCAGGTGCTGTTCCTTGAGCTGTGGCTCATTGGAACAGCGCAGGAAGGAGACCGTGGATGGAGAGGTCAGAGCGCGAGTGGGAGGGAGAGTTGAAGTGGCAAGAAACCGGAAGCTCAGGGCTGTGCTCACGGAGAGAACGGAGGTGATCGGCAAATCGGTCGCCCCATCCGCGTTTGGGACACGCGTGTAGAGGAGATCACATCGTGAGCAGCGAATGCAGTAAACTACGTCGGTGGCAGCACATGTAAGTCACTGTCTCACTTGAACACTGTGTTCGGGGACCTGGACAGTGGGAATGGGAGGAGGAGGTGAAAGGGCAGGTACTGCGTCTCCTGCGTTGGCTCACAAAATACTTCCAGCATTTGTGTTTTGACAAAGTATAACGATTGTGCTGGGATTCCTAAAAATAAGCCAATATTACTTATTCTTAATTTTGATTAAAAATAAATCAGGATTAACCAAACGTTATCCCTGGGACTTTGCACATGTGTTCTGTAAGAAACAAAAAACCAAATGGACAAACCAACTGAACCAGAGTCAAAACAGAGTCAGAATCTGAAGTTAATAAGTAAAATGTACTCAATCCTCATAGTGCGGTGGAGAGGGTGGGGGGGGGGGCAGGTGGAGAGACAGCTTTCACAACGAGCAGAGTTTGACCCTTAGGACATCACAAAAAAAACAACTTCAAAATGAAGTCCGCGCGCAAGAATCTGCCGAATTTTCCAGGTGGAATTTTATCCCCAATTATTGTCTGGTTTAGGAGGTGTGAGGGGGGCAATATTTTCCTATTCTTGATGGTTAATCCCATGACTGCCTTTCAGTGGGTATTAATCTGAGATCTTTTCTTGTGCAACTGCAGGAACATAGCACTTTTTCATCATTTTTCAAGAAAACCATCCAGACATCCACAAAGTGAATGAGGGGCTGAGAGATACCGAGGGGGAGAGATTCAGTTTTGTCATTGCTCTGCACATTACGAGTGATGCCGTTAAAGGGCGACAATCGGCTAACGACCGTGTTCCTACTTCCTACGAGGCAAATAGGAGGCATTATTAAAAACGTTCACCATTTACTGTGGACTACATACGGTTCTGATTACAAAAATATTCAAATCATAAAGCAACAAACTGTGAACTACGTAAGGAAAGGGACAGTTCTTGGCATTTAATGATAATAACCACTGAGATGTCCCAAAGCGCTTCGCAGAATATACTGTAAAGTACTTTCACTTTGTGGGGGAAACGCGGCAGCCAATTGTGCACAGCGGTGACCCTCAAACAGGAGTGGATTGAAGTGATCAAATGATTACTTTATTTGGAAAGCGATTGGCAATCGACTAACTACGGGGCTGCTTCTCACTGCTGGATAAACAGAGGCGTGTGTGTGTGGGGTGGGGGGATGTGTGTGTGTCTGTGTGTGTCTGTGGGGTGTGTGTGGTGGTTGGGGGGGGTTTGTGTCTGTGTGCGGAGAAAGCAAAAATGTCTAAGGTGTCTCCCCGCCCGGGAATGGACACCCGGGGGTCCTCTGGCTTGCGAGTCGAGGGCTCTAACCCCCCCCCCCCACTCACCTGCATCAAGGATTCGTGGAGACGGCTCAGTTTGACCTGGTGCAGGTTGCCGATGATGGGCAGGCCTGCCGGGCCAGCGGGGAAGCGGGGGTCAGTTTTACGCCCGGACGCCAGGAAGAGGAGAAGAACCATAACCAGAGAGCAGAGCAACAGGGCAGTCGTGAGGTCAACAGCGGGCAAAGCCAAAGCCAGCAGAGCCATGGTGGGCGAGCAGGGAATGGGAGCTCAACTCAGCCTGACAGCATCTACCCTCACTCCCTCGCTCTCTCTCTATCCCTCCTCCCTTCCTCTCTCGCTCTATCCCTCCTCCCTCTCTCTCTGTCCCTCCTCACTTCCACTTATAAGGACACAATCACATGACAACATTCACTCCCTCTGCCCTTTACACACACCGCCAAACAGCTAACGCAGCATTTCTAAAGCCGGGAGGGTCCGATGGCAAAGACAATTGACAAAATACAACTTGTAATCGCACAGTGCCGTTCAGACAGAGCAATAATTATTATGTAATAAATGCAAGGATTATTATTATCATTATTATTACGGTTGTGTTCTCAAGTAGGGCACCAAACAGTGACCTGATATTCCCTTTTGTGCAATAGAATTTACAGCATTTGTCTCAGATTTCGCCTCTGGCACGCAAGACTGAACTGCGATGATTTACAAGTCGGTCATGTATTATAATAGCCTCTCACCTAATTACATGTGGTAAGGCAAGTGGTTAAATGACGCAGCTACGGGACTCCACTGTAAAGTGTTCTGATGGTGTTTTGTAGGTGAGAGTGCCAACTTCTACCTTTATGGCTTTGTCGAAACTTTGACCGACATTTGAGAGCTTGAGTGTACAGTTATTTGCTGTGCCCATAATAATGCAATCAATAAAGATGTGCGTGGAAGTGGTTGACCTGTGAATGAATTATGGGCACAGTTTTGAGACGTCTCACCGACAGGATGAGTCTCCTCGCCGGCCTTCCCGGCACCTCCCTCCACAAGCTGCAGGTCATTCAGAACTCTGCAGCTCGTGTACTGTCCCGCACCAGGCTTCGGGAACACATCACTCCCACCCTCGCTCGCCTCCACTGGCTCCCCATCCCCCAGAGGGTCGAATTCAAGATCCTCATCCTCACCTACAAGGCCATTCACGGCCTCGCTCCCTCCTACCTCTCCAACCTACTATCCCCCTACCTACCTGCCCGTACCCTCCGTTCCTCTGGCTCCGGTCTGCTCCACATCCCCCGCCCCAACCGCCCTACCATCGGTGGCCGGGCCTTCAGCCTCTCAGCCCCGAGGCTCTGGAATTCCATCCCCCAGTGCCTTCGTCGCTTCCTCCATTTCCTCCTTCAAAGCCGGTCTCAAGACCTTCCTCTTCGACCGTGCCTTCAGCTCCCCTCTCGACTCTCTACCCCCTCCTCGCTCCCTCCCTTCCCTCCCCTCACCCTGACCCTTCTCAGGTCCTGACCCAAACGTCCCGACGTGAAAGGCACTCTATAAATATAATGTTGTTGTTGTTGAAGCGCTATATCAAATGCAAGGATTATTATTATTATTACAGCAAATTCTGTCAAATCACTTTGAGCCGTGAAAAGGCACTGCATCAAAGGCAAGGATAAGAACATTTGCAGCCGAAAGACCAAGGTCCATCCAGTTCACCTTCCACCATCCTGGCAATCACATGCACAAGTCATGTCACAAACTATATCCTGTATCCCAAGATATTATTCCCTAAATCATTTTTTTTCCATCAACGGGGTGTCTGACCCACGCGGAAACCCATCACCGTGCGTTAAGAGTCTCCAAACCAAGCTGAGAATTTCATGCATCCCATCTCCACATGGAAATCACGGAGATCACAAGAACAACAATAAAATTACATTTGTATACACCTTTCACGTTGGGAGGACCAGTGCTTTGGGACGTCCTCCCGACGTGAAAGGCGCTCTATGAATGTAATTGTGTTGTTTGTCGTTGTTGAGGACGTCAGTGTTGGACGGTCGGTGTTTCAGACCCGAGCTGGGGGTCGGGATTGGAGAGGCAGGGGTTGAAGCAGGGTGAGGTAGAGGAGAAACCATTTGTGGAGTTTAGGCAATAAACCCTTTAAAAAATTTGGACACTCACTCAATCCACGACTGTTTGTGGGACATTGCTCTGTGCGATTGGTCGCCCACAAAATACACAGTCGATCCACTTGACACTATATTCTGTGAAGCAATTTGAGACACACTAAACACACCACACACATATCACACACACCACACACACACACACTAAACACACTGCACACACATATCACACACACCACACACACACACACTAAACACACTGCACACACGTATGTCACACACACACACAAACTAAACACACTTCACACACATATTACACACACACACATACATCACACACACAGCCCAGCTGATTTTTTACCAAATGTGTCATTTATTAAATTGTCCGTTCAATACAAAATTAGTTCAAATCAGAACTAAATAGAAAATGCACAGTCACTACACTTTACATTATATCCTGTGAAGCACTCTGAGAGTCTCAATCATGTGACAAGACTCTGTACCAAATGTAAGGCTTATTATTATTGTTGTATCAGATACACGGATTTCTATTATTATTATTAATTGTCCCTGTGTGTGTGTTTGGTCTCCGAGACGCCACTCGCACGTGAAGGGGGATACAGTTCTGGTTGTTGTTTGTCTCAACTCCTAACGGAGCACAGCGCAGAGCTTGTAAGGTGTCGGGGATGATGTGATTCCGACAATGGCCGTGAGGGGAAGGTCGGTCACTCCGGGCGGAGGCTGGAATCGGAATCTCTGCATCAGCGTCGAGAAGAAGAGAAAGAGTTCAGCTTTAGCCAGACTCTCGCCTGCGCAGGCCCTTCGCCCTGAGAAACACGACAGGGAGAGAAAGACAGTCATGTAGTCGCGATTACATTGTACTTGTTGTGATTAGAGCAATCGCCTCGCAAGCGAGAGCACACGGGTTCGATTCCCGCGCGGTGCCAAACCTTACTCCAAGTTTCCTTACTCCACACACACACACAGACACACAGAAGGATACATACACAGATACACACACAGACACACACACACACACACGCGCGTGCCTCTATTTACTCAGCAGTTAGTAGGAACCCGGTTACTAGTCAATTGGTGGATCATTTTTCTGGGGAGTAATAATCCCTCAAAAAAAAAGGAGTCAATCAATCCATGTTTGTATGTGTGACGCTGCTGTACACAATTGGCTGCTGTGTTTCGCCCACAAAATATACAGTCAATTCACTTTACATTATATCCTGTGAAGCGCTTTAAGACGTCTCGATGATGTGATAAGTCACTGTATGCAAGGATTATTATTATTATTGATAAAGATAAACATTGATATCATTACCTGCAGAGAAAGGCATGAAAGCATCTCTCTTCCTGAACTTGCCCTCGACGTCGAGGAAGTGGGAGGGTTGAATTCATTGGGTTTTTCCCACTGTGTTTTGTCATACAGCACTGAGGTCAGTAACGGGATCACACGGGTGCCCTGGAATCACAACGCACGTCAGAGCTTTGTAAATGTTCTATTAATCCATCTCGGACCACCCGAGCCCTGAGGGCTTGGACCTTGGCCAGGAGCGTCCCCGTTATTCCAGGGCACTCACTGCTGTTGACAGCACAGCCCGGCCTGGCCCATCGGCAGGACCCGGAAGGGCCGACCAGTCACTGGGGGCAGGGAATCCTCCCCCTCAGCTCCTGTTAACCTTATTTATTCCCACAGTTATTTTTATTTAATTGTCGGCCTCACGCGGAAATCCATCACCGTTGCTTAAGAGCCTCCAAGCCAAGCTGAGATTTCCACACATCCCACCTACACCTGGAAATCCCAGATTGTTGGAATGCAATGGAATCCGCACTCTCTCCCGCGAGGAACACATCCGTATGACCTAACTCCGGAGAGTATTAGGCCCAGGTTGGCGAGAGCCAAGGCCTTGGGGGGGAGCCCAGAGTGTGCGTTTGAGTAACTGCTGGTGTCTAACCAGCAAAAAACTACACAGCTTGCCATTGATATCACTGTCTGACAAGCTTTCCCGCTGCTTGTCCGGCTGGGACCACTCTACCCATTAGGGCTTTGGCTTGTAGAGTTAACAGGAGCTGAGTGGGAGGAATTCCTGCCTCCAGTGGCCGGTCTGCCCCATATGATGCTGTAAGAAATGCAATTCTGATTATTATTATTATCATTATAGCTATTACCTTAGGTATAAAATATCCTCGGAAATTTGTGTCGGCAGTTGTGGCGTGGGGAAGGTTCAATGGGACAATGTTCCCAAATCTCTGGGTTTCATGTATGACGGCGTCTGTGAAAGGCATTGCTTTACGGTCTTCCAGCCTCGGGTGACGGTCTGTCCCAATCACTTGATCGATTTCCTCATGGACTTTCTCTAAAGTAAAGAGACGTGGATCACGAGGGTATTTGTCAGCCTGGCTCCATCCGTGACCCTGAGCCAGAAGGTTGTGGGTTCAAGCCCCACGTCAGGGACTCAGACCTACTTTAGGACAATGATCTAATAATATTCTTTCCGCTCGAGCGCTTTATCACTCCGTCGAGACGTCTCAAAGCGCTTCACACTGTAATCTGCAGTGACTGTGTATTTTGTGCGCTCTGAGACTCTATCCTGGGTGGAGGGCGCTATACAAGTGAGAGTTGCTCTTGTTTGTGGCTGAAATGCGACAGCCAATTGCGCACACGGAGGAAAGCAATCTGCCAGTCGAGCTCCAACCGGTTTCCTACTTACTGCTGGAACAGAGGCGCGTGGTGTAAGGAAACTTGTCTCAGGTTTCACCGCCCGGGAATCGAACCCGGGTCCTCTCTCTCTCGCGAGGTGAGTGCTCTAACCACTACGTTACAGGACTCCACAGTTAAGGGTGAGATTCAGACATAGTCTGTATTACACAAGCAAATCTCAACAGGAGAACTCTTCTGGCATTTGTTAGTTCAAGGAGTCACTGACAACAACGGAAATCTTACGTTGAAACTCGGGGAATTTCATCATCAGCAGAATAGCCCACCGGAGTGTGGTTGAGGTCGTCTCCATTCCAGCGATAAAAAGATCGCGTGTGGTCATCACCAGATTCTCCTCATGAAAATAGGTCTTTGGGTTTTCCGATTCCTGAGAAACAAATACAGTCAAACTCGCATAAGTCTTTATATATCGTTCAGCCATCCCCGACTCGCTCCTTCCTCACTCTATGACTTGCTAACCAACTCCATATCAACCTGTCCGCTCCCTCCGCTCAGCAGCTCCGGCACTGCTCCACGTTCCCCTCAACCACCCCACCACCCTGCCCGCTCCACCATCGGCTGTCGGGCCCTCAGCCTCTCTGATCCCACCCTTTGCCTCGGTCCCTCTCTCACTTCCTTTAAGGCCCTTTTCTTCGACCGTGCCTTCCACCCCCACCCTCCTGCCCTCCACCATACCGTATAAATGTAATTTATTGTTGTAATAATTCCCCCAACCCAAAAAAAAACCCCAAAACATGACTGTTTATGGAAAACTGCTGTGCACAATTGGCTGCTGCGTTTCGCCCACAAAATACAGTCATTACACTTTACAGTATATCCTGTGAAGCGCTTTGAGATGTCCCAATGACATGATAAGGTGCGATATCAAATGCAAGGATTACTATTATATTATTATTATTTACTTCCTGTTGCTTGACCATGAAGGCTTGAATGAAACTGCGAACGGAATCTATATTCAGATCCTGTCTGTTCTCCTTCAGTATTTTCCTCAAGAAGGTTCGGATGATCTCTTCATTGGACAGAAAGGTCCTATGTTTGCCCGGCAGAAAATCCAGGAACGGAAACAAGAAATTGATCAGCTGAGAAGAGAGAAAGGACGAGAGAGTAAACAGGAGCTCATTTCCCTCCAGTGATATTTTCTTCTCTGTTCCTTCACCATATCATCCGCCTGTTCCCTCCGCTCAGCAGACACCAGCCTGCTTCACGCCCCCCGCCCTGCCCACCCCACCATCAACGGTTGGGCCTTCATCCTCTCTGCCTCTGAACTCTGGAACTCCATCCCCGAACCCCTCCGCCTCACCCTCTCCTGTGCCTTCTTCAAGATCTTCCTCTTCGACCACGTCTTCGGTCACACTCCCACCACATTGTTTCTTTGAAGGGATTATTAACTCTGGAAAGCGATCCACCAGCCGAACTGACTGCTAGGTAACAGAGGCGTGTGGAGCAGGAAAACTTCCCTAAGGTTTCTTCCTGCTCAGGTACCTATCGCTTGCGAGGCGAGTGAGATAACCAGAACTCCACAAGTGAGCGGGTTGAGCGGGCTAACCTTCAGCAGTTACCCCATCCCAGCAATATACACTCTGACACAGAGAGCGTTACCTGTAGTGTTGGACTTATTGCCAGCCTAATGTTTTCATTGATGATCCGTATAAGATTGACAAACGTCTGATCATCATAATTAAATCTGTTGCCCAGTAGGATAGAGCAGATGACATTGGCCACAGCACCATTTGTCAGAATCGTGGTTTCAAAGGGCTGACCTAAAAAACAACACAGCGATCATCCAAATGATATCATAATCCTTGTATCTCATGTTGTGTTTTATCACTGGTGGAGTCCTGTAGCGTAGTGGTGAGTTTGATCAATCTCAGCACTCGGGGATAAAATAATAATAATAATTATCCTTGCATTTGATACAGCGCCTTATCACGTCTTCGATACACTGTAAAGTAGAGTGTATTTTGCGGGCGAAACGAGGCAGCCAATTATGCACAGCAGTGACCAATTTATTATCGTTGATTAAATTATTACTCTATTTGAAGGGATTATTACCCCCGGAAAAGCGATCTGCCAATCGACTAACAAACGGTTCCTACTTACTGCTAGGTAAACAGAGGCGTGTGTGTGTGTGTGTGTTGTGTGTCGAGAAGGAAATCATGTGTCTACAATCATAGAAACTTACAGGACAGAAGGAGGCCATTTGGTCCATCGTGTCTGTGGCGGCTCTTTGAAAGAGCTGCCAACTTGTCCCACTCCTCTGGTCTAACCCCATAGCCCTGCAATGTTTTTCCTTTTCAAGTACACATCCAATTGCCTTTTGAAATCTACTATTGAATTTGCTTCCACCATCCTTTCAGACAGTGCATTGCAGACCCTAACAACTCTCCGGTGAAAAAATTTCCCTTCACCTCCTCTCTGGTTCTTTTGCCAATTACCTCAAATCTGTGACCTCTGGTTACCGACCCACCCGCCAGAGGAAACAGCTTCTCCCTATTTACTCTATCAAAACCTTGTATAATTTTTTAACAGCTCTATTAAATCTCCTCATAACCATCTCTGCTCTAAGGAGAACAATTCCAACCTCTCTCGTCTCTCCGCATAACTGAACCTGTGTGTTGGTCGATTGGCAGATCCCTTTTTGGCTATAATAATAATAATCCCTTCAACTTGTTTTTAAGAATGAATAACTTAGTCACTGAATTCACGACTGTTTGTGGGACACGGCTGTGTGCAATTGGCTGCTGTGAATCATAGAATTACACACTGCAGAAGGAGGCCATTCGGCCCATTGTGTCTGTGCCTACTCTTTGAAAGAGCTGTTAAATTAATCGCACGCCCCCGCGCCCTCCCCGTAGCCCTGCAAATTTGTCCTCCCCAAATATCCACCCACTTGTCACAGAATCATGGAATCGTACAGCACAAAAAGAGGCCATTCGGCCCATCGAGTCTTTGAGAAGAGCAATGTAATGTCAATCCCACTCCCCAGCCCTTTCCTCATAACCCTGCGAACTCGTCCTCCTCAAATACCCGTCCACCGCGTCTCTAAAAGTTGTTATCGAATCGGCCTCCACCACCTTTTCAGGTACTTCTCTCTTGAAAGTTGTTATCGAATCGGCTTCACACCTTCCTTTCAGGCAGTGCGTTCCTGATCCGAACAACTCGCTGTGTGAAAGCATTTCTCCTCATCTCCCCCTTGTTCTTTTAACATGGGTGACTGATGAGCCAACTATCAGGTTAGTAAAAGAATACCCTCACCTTCATAAGCCTGGAACACGTCACTTAAGTGAGACGCTTCCTCTATGATTTTATCTTCGACAGATTTCTTCCCCATTCCGAAATCCCGGAGGGTTGATAATGTAAATCGTCGCATCTGTTTCCAGGATTCGCCATCAGCCATAACAACACCTTAAAGAGAATCCGGAGAAAGGTTTTACTCCACAACGAAGAGTATAACAGTAATAAACTTAACGGAGTCCTGTAGCTCGGTGGTGAGAGCACTCGCCTCACAAGCGAGCGACCTGGGTGCTATTCCCGGTCAGGGCCAAACGTTGGGCAAGTTTCCTTACTCCACACACACGCCTCTGTTCACCTGGCAGTAAGTAGGAACCTGGTGGTTGGGCGATTGACGGATCGCTTTTCCAGGGGTAATCATTGCTTCAGGAAAAAAATAAGTAACAATAAATTGGTCACTCAATCCACGGCTGTTTGTGGGACGCTGCGGAACGCAATTGGCTGCCGTGTTCCTCCCACAAAATATACAGTCATTCACTTTACAGTACATTCCGTGAAGTGCTTTGAGACGTCACGAAGACCTGTTAAGGCGCTACATCAAATGCAAGGATTATTATTATTATCGCCCCTTCTCACATCACTGGGACGTTTCAAAGCGCTTCACATGATATACTGTAAAGCGTAGAGACTGTGTATGTTGTGAGCAAAACGCAGCAGCCAATTGCACACAGTAGTGCCCCACAAACAGCTGTGGATTTAGTGACTAATTTATTATTTTTCTTAGGAATTATTACCCCGGTTGTTGTCCATCGAACAACTGGGTGTCAATTTACTGCTAAGTAAACAGAGGCGTATGGAGTAATTTATATTATAATAGTATAATATAAATATAACAATATAATATAATAATAACGATGTAATATAATAACATAAATATAATAAATTAACATAAATATAACCTAATACAATAGGGAAGAGGAATTACCGTGGTTTTTCCTGTGGATGCTTCTGACGTGGTCATGCGGACGTCCCATAAATTCCTCGGCATGGTTGACCAGTGCGTCCTTCACCACCTCGTAACCCGTCAGCACCACCGTGTCCTGCTGACCCAACCGCAGGGAAAATATACAGCCATGTTTCTCCGACAACTGGAGGGAGAGACCAGTATAAGATAAAATGTAAAGTGCAGTGACTGTGTGTTTTACAGCCACGCGGGGCAAACATTAGGCAAGTTTCCTTACTCCACGCGCCTCTGTTTACCCGGCAGTAATTAGGAACCCGGTTGTTAGTCGATTGGCGGATCCCTTTCTGGGGGAAACATTCCCTCTAAAAAAATGTGGTCACTCAATGTTTGCGGGACACTGCTGCGCGCAATTGGCAGCTGCAAATGCATTTGAGACGTCTCAAAGCGCTTCACAGAATATATTGTAAAGTGGAGCGTTCTGTGTATGACGGTGTATTCTGTGGTGTATTCAATATTCATATTACCCCTGGAAAGTGATCTGCCAATCGACTAACTACGGGGCTGCTTCTTACTGCTGGATAAACAGAGGCGTCTGTGTGCGTGTGTGTGTGTGTGTGTGGTGGTGGGAGGGGGGGGGGGGTTTGGTGGGTAGAGGGGTTGTGTGTGTCTTTGTTTGTGTGGGGTGTGTGTGTGTCTGTGGTGTGTGTCTCTGTGTGTGGGGCGTGTGTCTACATGTGTGGCAGGCATGTGTGTCTGTACATGTAGGGCGTGTGTGTGCGGGGTATGCGTACGTACGGAGTCTGTGTGTGGGGAGGGGATTGTGAGTGTGGGGGGTGTGTGTGGGGGGGGGGGCGTTTGTCTGTGTGTGGGGTATGTGTGTGTGTGGAGGGGGGGCATCTGTGTGAGTGTGGGGTTTGTGTGTGGGGGGTTTGTGTGTATATGGGGTGTGTGGGGGGGGGGGGGGGAGTCTGTGTGTGTGTGTGGTGTGGACGTGTGGGTTTGTGTGTGCGGGTGTGTGTGGGGGGGTGGGGGGAGTCTGTGTCTGTGTGTGGAGTAAGGAAAAATGTCTAAGGTGTCTCCCCGCCCGGGAATGGAACCCGGGGGTCCTCTGGCTTGCGAGTCGAGGGCTCTAACCCCCCCCCCCCCCCCACTCACCTGCATCAAGGATTCGTGGAGACGGCTCAGTTTGACCTGGTGCAGGTTGCCGATGATGGGCAGGCCTGCCGGGCCAGCGGGGAAGCGGGGGTCAGTTTTACGCCCGGACGCCAGGAAGAGGAGAAGAACCATAACCAGAGAGCAGAGCAACAGGGCAGTCGTGAGGTCAACAGCGGGCAAAGCCAAAGCCAGCAGAGCCATGGTGGGCGAGCAGGGAATGGGAGCTCAACTCAGCCTGACAGCATCTACCCTCACTCTATCCCTCCTCCTTTCCTCTCTCGCTCTATCCCTCCTCCCTTCCTCTCTCGCTCTATCCCTCCTCTCTCTCGATCCCTCCCAACTCCCTGTTTTCTCAGTTATAAGGACACAATCACATGACAACATTCACTCCCTCTGCCCTTTACACACACCGCCAAACAGCTAACGCAGCATTTCTAAAGCCAGGAGGGTCCGATGGCAAAGACATACAACTTGTAATCGCACAGTGCCGTTCAGACGGAGCAATAATTATGTCAATCCAATACAGCGCCTTATCGCATCGTTGGGACATCTCAAAGCGCTTCACCGAATATGCTGTAATCTGGGCGGGAGGGTGGACGGCAAATCGGAGTTACATAGAGTCCACGACCGTAGTGTTTAACAAGCAATAAGTAGGAACCCAGTGGTTAGTCGATTAGCTGATCACTTTCTTTGGGCAATAATCCCTTAAAAAAATGGGGTCACTCAATCCACAACTGTTTGTAGGATATTGCTCTGCGCAATTGACTGCTGCGTTTCGCCCATAAAATACACAGTCAATGCACTTGATCCTATATTCTGTGAAGCGCTTTCAGACGACGCGAAGACGTGATAAAGCCCCATCTCAAATGCAAGGATTATTATTATCATTATTGTTGTTGTGTTCTTAAGTAGGGCACCAAACAGTGACTTGATATTCCCTTTTGTGCGATAGAATTGACAGCATTTGTTGTTTTATTGTCTCAGATTTCGCCTCTGGCACGCAAGACTTAAGTGCGACGATTTACAAGTCGGTCATTATTATATAGCCTCTCACCTAATTACATGTGGTAAGGCAAGTGGTTAAATGACGCAGCTACGGGACTCCACTGTAAAGTGTTCTGATGGTGTTTTGTAGGTGAGAGTGCAACCTTCTACCTTTTTTGTTTTGTCGAAACTTTGACCGACATTTGAGAGCTTGAGTGTACAGTTATTAGCTGTGCCCATAATAATGCAATCAATAAAGATGTGGGTGGAGGTGGTTGACCTGTGAATCAATTATGGACACAGCTGTGAGACGTCTCACCAATGGGATGAAGCGCTATATCAAATGCAAGGATTATTATTATTATTATTACAGCAAATTCTGTCAAATCACTTTGAGCCGTGAAAAGGCACTGCATCAAAGGCAAGGATAAGAACATTTGCAGCCGAAAGACCAAGGTCCATCCAGTTCACCTTCCACCATCCTGGCAATCACATCCACAAGTCATGTCACAAACTATATCCTGTATCCCAAAATATTATTCCCTAAATCATTTTTTTTCCGTCTGACACACGGGGAAACCCATCACCGTGCGTTAAGAGTCTCCAAACCAAGCTGAGAATTTCATGCATCCCATCTCCACATGGAAATCACGGAGATCACAAGAACAACAATAAAATTACATTTGTATACACCTTTCACGTTGGGAGAACCAGTGCTTTGGGACGTCCTCCCGACGTGAAAGGCGCTCTATGAATGTAATTGTGTTGTTTGTTGTTGTTGAGGACGTCAGTGTTTCAGACCCGAGCTGGGGGTCGGGATTGGAGAGGCAGGGGTTGAAGCAGGGTGGGGTAGAGGAGAAACCATTTGTGGAGATGATGTGGAGGCGGTGTGAGAGGTACGATATGAACCACTCAAGGCCAGAACCATGAAAGTTGAGGTGAGAGGAGAGGCGGTGGAGAAGGATAGAAGGGTCCACGGTGTCAAAGACAGCACTGAGGTCAAGGAGGACAAGGAGGCAGAGGGAGCCCTGGTCGGAGATGGACAGAAGGTCATGTGTCACTTTGATCGGGATTGTTTCTGTGATGTGGGCGTCACGGAAACCCGATTGAAAGGGGGTTAAATTCAAAAATCCGTGAAAACACTCGCGAGGAGTAAACATATGGAACAGGCTCCCGAGGGAGATGGTGGAGGCAGAAATTGTCGTTTCTTTCCGAAGCAAATTAGATAAGATTTCTCGCAGGAAAATCTTGGGTTACAGCAATAATAATAATCCTTGCATTTGATATAGCGCTTTTCACGTCTTCCAGACGTCTCAAAGTGCTTCGCAGAATATACTGTAAGGTATATAGTTTGGGACCTGACATGTGCATGTAACTGCCAGGAAGGTGGAAGACAAGCTGGAATTCTATAGATTCCCCAAGCGTAGTGTTTGCCAAGGAATAAGTAGGAACCCGCTTTCTTTGGGCAATAAACCCTTAAAAAAATTTTGACTCAATCCACGACTGCTTGTGGGACATTGCTCTGTGCAATTGGCTGCCGTATATCGCCCACAAAATACGCAGTCGATCCACTTGACACTATATTCCGTGAAGCAATTTGAGACATCACGAAGACGCAATAGAGCCCTACCTCAAATAAGGATTATTATTATTGTTGTGTTCTTACGTCGGGCACCAAACAGTGACTTGGTATCCCGTTTGTGCAATAGAATTCACAGCCTTGGTTGTTTTACTGTCTCAGATTTTGCCTCTGTCACGCAAGAGTTAAGGGCGAGGATTTAAGAATCAGCCTTGCACCAAATAGACTCGCACTTAATTACCCGAAATAATGTGGTGAAGGTGGTTGTGAATGATTTACAGGCACAGCAAATAATTGTACACTCAAGCTCTCAAATGTCGGTCAAAGTTTCGACAAAACAAACAAGGTAGAAGGTTGCACTCTCACGTACAGAACACTATTATCCCACTTTACAATGGAGTCCCGTAGCTGAGTCGCTTAACCACTCGCCTCGCAAGCGAGAGAACCCGGGTTCAATTCACGGACGAGTGAAAGCTGAGGCAAGTTTCCTTACTCATCGCCCCTCTGTTTACCCAGCAGTAAGTAGGAAAACCGGTTAATGGTCGATTGGCAGATTGCTTTCCGGGAGTAATATCGCCTTCATCAAAATAATAATTTGGTCACTCAATCCACGACCGTTTGTGTGACGCTGCTGTGTGCAATTGGCTGCTGCGCTTCACCCACAAAATATACAGTCAATTCACTTTACAGTATATTCCGTGAAGCGCTTTGAGACGTGTCACCGACGGGATGAAGCGCTTATATCAAATGCAAGGATTATTATTATTATTATTATTACAGAAAATTCTGTAAAATCGCTCTGAGACGTGAAAGGCGCGGGATCAAGTGTAAAGATAAGAGCATAAGAATTTGCAGCCGAAAGAGGACCAAGGTCCATCCAGTTCACCTTCCACCATCCTGGCAATCGCATGCACAAGTCATGTCACAGACTATATACTACATAACCAAGATATTATTCCCTAAAATAATGTTTTTTTCGTCAGCGGAGTGTCTGACACGTGCGGAAACCCATCACCATGCTTTGGAGTCTCCAAACCAAGCTGAGGATTTAATGCATCCCATCTCCACATGGAAATCACATGAATCACAACAACAACAAAATTACATTTGTATCCGCCTTTCATGTTGGGAGGAAGTCCCAAGGTTCTGGACAGTCAGTATTTCGCACCTGAGTTGGTAGGATCTGAACCATTCAAGGAGAGAACCATGAAGGTTGAGGTGAGAGGAGAGGCGGCGGTGGAGGATGGAGTGGTCAAGAGTATCGAAGGCAGCAGAGAGGTCAAGGAGGCAGAGGGAGCCCTGGTCGCAGATAGACAGACAGAATGTCGTCGGTCACTTTGACCAGGGCTTTTTCTGTGCTGCGGGCGTCAAGTGATTGGAGGGGTTCGTGAAGGGAGTGGCGGGACAGGAAGGAATTGAACCCAGGTGTCGCTTGCAAGACAAGTGCTCGAACCACCGAGCTACAGGACTCCACTAGTTCTCACTAGTCTTCAGTTCCTTTCCTTTGACACGGACAACAGTCTCTGTTTGTGTAGAGGTTTTACTGGGATCCATTACAAAAAGACATTACAAAGGAAATCCAAACAGGGGACCCTCTTTATCCCCAGCGCCAGATACCAAGCCCATAAACTCGCACAGCACCACGAGGAAGCTTACATTTGCAAGTTAAGTTAGAAAGAGAGCCAAAAGAGAGCGAGTGGCACCAGCCAGAGAGAGCGAGAGCGACAGACACACACACGCAGACAGAGACAGAAAGATACATAAATTCAAAGGTCAGAGATTCAAGGTTCTGAAGGAAGTCAAAGAAAGAACAAATAGCCGTGGATTGAATGGCCCAATTTTTTTTTTAAGGGATTCTTATCTCGCCAATCGACTAATAACTGGGCTCCGACTTGCTGCGCGGTAAACAGAGGCGCGTGAGGCAAGGAAACTACTCAAGCTTTTGTTCCGCCCGAGAACTGAACTCGGATCCTCTCACTTGCAAGGAGAAGAATTAAGAAGATTAAGAGATTAAGATTAAGAGAGAAGATTTGCGCAATTGTCCATACATTTCCCTCACCCATCCACACCCTCTGAAATCATCAATAACAGTTCTCAAAGGTTCATGTACGTCCTCAAGTCTCGCTCCCACGCCCTCTCCTTCGCCTCCTTCCTCCTCTGTTCCCTCCTACTCATTGTAGCCGCTCTCTTCACTCGAACAGGCATGCCCTCCGGCCCCTTCACTGCTCCTTCATCACCAGCATCAAAGTGTGTCACCTTTGCCTTCAAGTCGCTCTGGAATCCCAGCCCCCTCTGATCTCTTTTCAGGACCGTCTTGACGGGGAATTTTTGCCCCGACCCGTCTGGCCCGAGCCCCTTCTCCCTGTCCCAGCCGCCCCGCAGCATCATTTTGAAGCCGCGGTTAGTCTCCGGGATGAAGTAGAACGTAGGGGCGGGAGGGTTCCTTGTGTTGAACAGGTGGAGTGTGGATCTCTCGTGCTCGCTCACGCTGGCCTCCTTGTACTCCACTTCACAAACCAGACAGAATTTCTTCACCTTCGGTCTCTCCCTGTTAATCAAACGACGTGTGTGTTTTTACACTGTGTTTTTATACACGAGTCCCGTAGTGTGGTGGTAGCGCATCTGCTTCCCCCCAACAAGCCTCGCAAGCGAGAGGACCCGGGCTCGATTCCCGGGCGGGGCGAAAACTTAGGCAGATTTCCTTACTTTGCACGCCTCTGCTTACCCAACAGTACATGCTATACGTGTGATGTCTGGGGCTCTGCTGATGACAGCACAGCCCAGCCTGGCTCATCGGCAGGACCTGGAAGTGCAGACCAATCACTGGGGGCAGGGAGACCTCCCACTCGGCCCCCCGTTAACCCTGCAAGTCAAAGCCCTAATGGGTAGGGTGGTTCTAGTTGGACAGGAAGCAGAAAGCTTGCCAGGCTGTGATATCAATGGCAAGCTGTGTGGTTTTAGCTGGTTAGACTCCAGCAGTTACCCCCAATACACTTTGTGTCCCCAAACCATGGCTCTTGCCAACCTGTGCCTAATACTTTCCGGAATTAAGTAAAGCAGGATGTATCCCTCGAGGGAGAGAGAGAGAGCGCGTTCCATTGCAACAATCTATCTCTGGGATTTCCACGTGTAGATGGGATTCAAGGAATTCTCAGCTTGTTTTGGAAACTCTTAAGCAACGGTGACGGGTTTTCGCATGTGTCAGACACCCGGCTGGGCAAAAAATATATAAATACCTGTGCTCTCGCTCTTGCCGTTGTCTGTTAAACTCTTCCAGGGCTGAGATTATCTCGGCGTGCCCGGCCTGTTGGGCCAACTCCAAAGCGTCCTGCCCTGTGGCATTGCACACGCCGACCCAGGCAGCCCCACACTTCAGTAGGTACCTCACCACATCCAGCTGCCCAGCGTAGGCTGCGCACATCATTGCCGTCCAGTAGAAACTGTCGTGGAAATTCAGGTCGCACCTGGCTCCCTCCACCAAACCTCGGAGAGTCTTAAGGTCCCCGTTCTGGGCGCTCATCAACATCAAGTGGCCGTTTC